GGGTCATTGGTCCAGTGTCATGTGTCCGGGTCATTGGTCCGGAGTCATGGGTCCGGGGTCATTAGTCAGGTGTTATGGGTCCGGGATCATTAGTCTGAGGTCATGTGTCCGGGGTCATTAGTTTGGGGTCATGGGTCCAGCCTCAAGGGTCCAAGGTCATTGGCCTGGAGTCATTGGTCTGATGTCATGGGTCCCAGGTCATTGGTCTGATGTTGGTCCGGGTATCATGGGTCCAGGGTCTTGGTCTGGTGTCATGGGTCCAGGGTCATTGGTCCAGAGTCATGTGTCCAGGTCATTGGTCCGGTGTCATGGGTCCGGGGTCATGGGTCCGGGTCATTGGTCAGATGTCATGGATCCAGGGTCATTAGTCCGGGTCATTGGTCCGTATCATGGGTCCGTGGGTCATGGGTCCGGGTCATTGGTCTGGTGTCATGGGTCCGTGGTCATTGGTCCATGGGTCCGGGGTCATTGGTCCGTGTCATTAGTCCGTGTCCTGGGTCATGGGTCATTAGTCCAGTGTCATGGATCCGGGTCATTAGTCCGGTCATTGGTCCGGTATCATGGGTCTGTGGTCATGGGTCCGTGTCATGGGTCCGGTTCATTGGTCCGGGTTCATGGGTCCGGGGTCATGGGTCTGGGGTCATTAGTCCGGGGTCATTGATCCAGAGTCATTAGTCCGGGGTCATGGGTCCGGTGTCATGGGTCTGGTGTCATGGGTCCGGGTCATTGGTCCAGTGTCATGGGTCCAGGATCATGGGTCTGGGGTCATTAGTCCTGTGTCATGGATCCGGGTCATTACTCTGGGGTCATTGGTCCGAGTCATGGGTCTGGGGTCATTGGTCCGGTGTCATGGGTCTGGTCTCATAGGTCATGGGTCCCAGGTCATGAGTCAGGGGTCTGTGGTCATGGGTCCGGGTCATGAGTCTGGGGTCGGGCTTTCTAGGGTCCGGGCACTTTTCCACACTTAGCCATCTTACTGCAGTGTAATATGGCATGTCTCAGTAGGAAGTTGGGACAAAAATTGACGTAAGCTACTCTTGCTAGTTGGTATTCGGCATAACGCGAACTTTCTGCACAAAGTTTATTTTGTTTAATATTATTATTTTTTCTTACGTATCTCTGTGGGCCAGATTGAGAGGCCAAACAGGCAGCATCTGGCATGCAGGCCGCAGTTTGGAGACCCCTGGCATAGAAGAAAGTGATCCGTTTTCAAACAAAACTGTGAATTTGTTAATTTCTGGAAAGTATTGGTGGTTTTTATATGCGCCATGGTGATGGACTCCTTACAAAATAGTATCATTGGATTCCCTTTGCTAGGTGAGTCTTATAAAAATAAGGGTGAGTCTTCTAAAAGGAAGCGTGAGTCTCTAAAAGTAAGAGTGAGTCATCTAAAAGTAAGGGTGTGCCATCTAAAAATAAGGGTGAGTCTTCTAAAATAAGGGTGAGTCTTCTAAAAGGAAGCGTGAGTAATCTAAAAGTAAGGGTGAGTGTTCTAAAAGTAAGGGTGTGTCTTCTAAAAGTAAGGGTGAGTCATCTAAAAGTAAGGGTGTGTCTTCTAAAAGTAAAGGTGAGTCATCTAAAAGTAAGGGTGAGTCATCTAAAAGTGAGGGTGTGTCATCTAAAAGTAAGGGTGAGTCATCTAAAAGTGAGGGTGTGTCTTCTAAAAGTAAGGGTGTGTCTTCTAAAAGTAAGGTTTAGTCATCTAACAGTAAGGGTGAGTGATGTAAGAGTAAAGGTGTGTTTTCTAAAATTAATGGTGAGTCATCTAAAGGTAAGGGTGAGTTATTTAAAAGCAAGGGTCGGTCTTCTAAAACTAAAGGTGTGTCAATTAATAACAGTGTGTCTTCTAAAAGTAAGGGTGAGTCATCTAAAAGTAAGGGCATGTCATCTAAAAGTAAGGGTGAGTCATCTAAAAGTAAGGGTGTGTCATCTAAAAGGAAGGGTGAGTCATCTAAAAGTGAGGGTGAGTCATCTAAAAGTAAGGGTGAGTCATCTAAAAGTAAGGGTGAGTCATCTAAAAGTAGGGTGTATCATCTAAAAGTAAGGGTGAGTCATATAAATGTAAGGGTGAGTCATCTAAAAGTGAGGGCGTGTCTTCTAAAAGTAAGGGTGAGTCACCTAAAAGTAAGGGTGAGTCATCTAAAAGTTAGGCAAGTCATCTAAAAGTAAGGGTGAGTCATCTAAAAGTAAGGGTGTTTCATATAAAAGTAAGGGTGAGTCATATAAAAGTAAGGGTGAGTCTTCTAAAACTAAAGGTGAGTGTTGTAAAAGTAAGGGTGAGTGTTGTAAAAGGAAGCGTGAGTGGTGTAAAAGTAAGGGGGAGTGCTTTACAACTTAAGGTGAGTAGATGTAGATGAGTAAATGTATAGTTAAATACATACCCAAACAATAATATACATAGTGCCACACCGCTGACCTGATGTAACTGTACCACCATCTTCCCCATTAAACTTTAATGTCAAAACTCTGTCTGTTCTTCTTTTGTAATTTGTTGAACTTTAGGATGGCTGTGATTCAAATTACATTTAAAATTCTTGTGATTCAAAGATGATTGAATATAAATTTTTAATGGCTTGACATTCCTCATCCTCATCTAATTGATTTATAAACAACAATCAATATTATTATGTTAACCATGAAAAGATAAAGCAATAGATAGTAATTAAAAAAATTTTTAAAAAATGAAAATGAAGTTTTGTATTGTTGTTGCTTTTTTGGATTGTTCATTCTGAAACAACAACCCACCAATTTTACCATAAACATGTTTCGACTTGTTTAAGTCATCATCTTTTAGTATGCGAATGAAGTAAATTGTTTACAATGTCAATCAAATTTATAATATAGGAGGATACATTGTATATGATACATATTAGTTAATAAAAGTATACTAAAAATTTACACATTTCATTCTTAATTTTCATAATGAAGATGAATGACTTTAATGTAAGTAAAACAGCAATGTTTATGGGAAAAATTTTTGTTTATTTTAAATCCTTCTTAAGCAGTTTCTCAGAGAATCATAAACATAAACTTCTGAGATAAAACATACATTGAGATAAAACATTGTTGTCTTTACAACAAAACCAATCACCTTTTGGTATAAATATAACAAAATAACACCACACATCTGCTTTTTCTGTCAGCTGGATGGAACAAACAAAGAATTGTTCTGTTTAACAACAACCTTGAGTGTCCTCTCTTGACGTAGCCGTTCGGAGTTCTCATATCGACGACGCGACGACGAATTCAGCATAAAAATAGCTCTTGTCATTCTTTTTCATACTTAAAAAAAGCATTATTCCGCGATCAGCAATGTGCCCTCACACTTGGCGACTTATAAAATGTAACGAATTTTCCTTACTATCTATCGTCGACGTAATTTGCGGTCAAACGAACATTGACAAAGATCTCATTTTACTTTGGGATATCAATTTGATTCTCTGTCGTGTGATAAAACGACAAAAAATATTAAAAACTTCAATAGATCACACAAAGGTGATCACATTCATTTGCCCGCCATTCCGTTGTATAAAACAGAGTTGCAGGCTCATCATGCTTTCAAAATGTTTTCCTCCCCTCCTGATTTCAATCAACGAGCAGCATTTCAATATTGTGCTTCTTTCTTATAAAAAATCTGGCAAGTAGGTAGGGTTTCCACACTCTTTGTTGGTAAGAAAGATTCCCATTGGAAACATTTAAAGAGAAATGTAAAAAATTGTATATATCTCATAAAGTTCAACAAATGAAATGAATAAATTAAATGTGAAGTCATTCCCAATTATGAAATATGTTCATTGAAACTTTCAATTTCAAAAGTGATCATGTACTATTCAGCTATTTAAACTCTTTGAGCAAGAAATCTTTTTGAAACATAAAGGAACATTTTACACCTTTTCTGTCAGGTGGAAACAAAGCAAACAACTGAAAAAGAAATAATGTGAAACATGGCGTTACCTTTTGTCCTCTCGTCATAGTCATTTTAAATCATGAAGTTCACTTCTGCTTATATATCTGCTGCACACTTATTTGTCCGTCCTCACACTTCACGACAGAAGTAATATTGCGAATTTTTCATAACATCAACGCAATTCAGCATCAAATTAAACCCACCGAGCCATTATTAAATGTTCTCACACAACAAGATGGCCGTCATCTATTCACATGACTTCCACATCATTCCCCTCCCCCCGACTTACCAAGTTCGTTAATGCTTCAAACCCCTTCCTTGCTTGCCGCTTTCACTGTACTGCCTTCGCCGTCCCCCCTAACTTACTTAATACTGCAGATTATATTACAGGTCACGATATTCATCAAATTATACAAATTATTCAGTAAATCATTTAAATTATTCATATTACTCAATTCTTATTCCGGTGTTTATCTACAGTCTATCAATTCAATATGATCATTACAGGAGTATAATAATTACTTTAAACTATTGACAAAAAGACAATTTACAATATTATTTTATTGCATTTATCTATCAAAATTGTGTGGGGCAATTTTGACAGACAAAGCATTTAACTTAAACTTCATCTAAATAAAGTAGGAAGGAAGGGGAACTTCCAACTTTATTTAGATTGACAATTATACTTATAGTGGAGCCAAACTATATCTATTACCACGAGCAATATTCACTGAACATCATTCTGGGCTGGTTTTCCTTGAACAATTTACCATTAACAGCATTATTATCATCGTTTCACTTCAATTTCACTTGTATCGGCATCTGAAAATAGAATGTGTTTCCAATAGATTTTAAACACAAAACATATATTAAACATATTTCATTTTGATGAAGTAAAAAATTAAGATTTTAGTGTTTAAATTGGGTTGCAACATATACAACACGCAAAAATACCGTTACCATTATTCAATTTGCTCATCGTCGGTTCTCAAATAATGGCAAAAAAAGAATGTTACTAAAAGAATGTATAATCTTTGAAGATGAATCATCTCAAAAGCAATATCTGCAAATTACAACCATTTACAACACAACGCTTCAATAATTGACACAACAAAGTCAACTCATGGTTTGAAGTTTTGCAGAAGCCGCATTGTCATCAAAAACAAGCATCGTAAGGCAAAAAGTGCGACGAAATTTTAGATGGAAAATATAACGAAGTAGCAAAAATCGCATATTGATACATATGTCAATAACAAAACATACCATGTTTGTTGTCCATTATCTGCTGACACAACGTGCAATTTTTTCCCAATTACTCCATTTGCAGCCAGAGTCCATTGATTTTACTTCTTTCTAACACACTTCTTTTGCATTTGTAGCGCACCAATGTTCATTACATTGAACTCCACTGCTTACAATCTTTGACGATGAGTCATCTCAAAAGCAATATCTGCATTCGCAATAACGCTTCAATAACCTGTGCGAAACTGAAACAGAAGTTCAATTCTTGGTTTAAAATCGCATAAAACACTTCGGAAGAAATTCTTCTTTTCTCAAAAAACAGGCATCAAAAACATAACCAAGAAGCGAAAAACGTCAATCATGGCAGCGACTGTCGTACTTAAAAAACATCTGAAGAGACAATAACAAAACATACCAATTCTGTTTTTCATCTATAGTCCATAATCTCTAAAGAATTAGCCCAGTTTCTTCCCCAATAACATCAACATTTCATTGAAATAGTAATTTAGTCCAACTGCTGAGATGTTGACAGATGCTGACAAGAAGCAAATGGACTAAAATACAGATGAAACGAATTCACTGTATTTTAGTCCATTTGCTTCTTGTCATCAACGCGGGGTAAATTACTCCAGATTATCGTACTTTTGGTGAAAATCACCAAAAATTCAACAAACATTACAGTCATAAAACACATATTTTCGGACCAATTTATAAAAATTCCTGGGAATTTTCAAAAGTTAGAAATGTTTTAAAAACATGTTGAAATGAAATAATTCTTTCTTCAAACAGTACATAAGCTGCTAATAATTTCTACACGAAAAAAATATCACTGAAATAAATTCTCTGGAAATTTTCCATAATATTACAACAAACTAAGAAATCTTTGTACGCTTTTGTCAGAGTAATTTACCCCTCATTGTCATTTAGCTCCACTATTGATTTGCATCACAGCTTTAGTTGCTTTCATATCTGAAATGATTAAGCACAGAAAAAGAAATATCATCTCAAGTATATTATTCATGAATGTAAATAAACTCATATAAACAATTACAACAACAATTTCAACAACCAACCAGTTTTGACGTTACAACTCCTTTCATTTATTGCAGCATGTTCTTCTTTCTTTTATGGAGTCCACACACAAACGAAATCCATCACCTTCTTCATTTTGCATGAGCTTAAACAAAAGTGCTTAAAGAGACAAAATACAATTAGTAACAAATCAAAACTGTCATATAATTGAAATACAGAGATAACAACTTCCCTTTATTCTTCTCTATCTTCTCGGCCTGCACGATAAGGAGCCTATTCCGTAACCTAACTAAGATCGGGATCGAGAGAGGTATATCCATAGTCCGGCGTGTGACAGTACCACCTCCCCGCTCGTCGTGGCCCCATGCGCCTTATGTTTTTATGATATACTTTCGAAACATGTGTTAAAAATGAAACATTTTGGAATTATATGGTCAGAAGTGAAACATTGTCGAAATATGTAATCAAAAAAATTTTAACATTAAATTTTTTTAACATTGTTGAGAATTTTTTCTTTGTCAATGAAGAATTTCCTACCTAACCTTGAGTATTACAATTTGTTACTTACTCACAAGCAAAACAAAATAATACATACAATGGCAAAATCAGAAATTGAAATTGTTAACTAAGCACTCCCCACAAATGCTTAGTTGCAATTTGACCGGCTTTTTAACTCCCCTTCTGTTAAAGGACACATGCAAGCTAGAAGACAACTTTATTTTATTGTAATGCCTATAGCATAAAAATAAGGCGTACCAAGTTTCAAAGTCGTCCGCGAAATATTTAAAAAGATATTTAGGCTTATAATCGGTAAAAACACGATATTCGATGACCATTGCTAAAACGCCGTGAGATTGTTTAAGTCTGGGAACTGGGAAAGAGTGACGTATTAGTTGACATAAACAAGCTTCGTTTTTATATCCTTCTACGACTTGCACGCAATTCTTGCACGGCTTTCGGTAGTTTGCTATTACTGTTTTTTATTTAACAAAAATTAATGGATTCTTCTGAAGAAGAAGCCGATTATGATATTGTCGTCAATAACAATGAGGTACAACCTTACATGTTTGAGCCTTTGGCCAACGCGGAAGGTGGTCATAGTAATGACAATTCTTCGTCATCGGAAAGCGAAGATGAATACATTCACAGAATTGGAAATATTGAATGGTTAGTTGCATTTTATTGAGGCTTCATTGTTTTTCCCAAAGTAGAAAGAATGTTTTTATCTTTTAGGTGCGAGTGTGGTTTTGTGTGGTCATGAGTACAGGACGGGAAAGTATATGTTGCCAAGAGGTAAACAACACTGATCCTCTGATACATGGCGATCATATTTGCATCACACAAGAGGAAGAGTTTGCCACAGTATGTACAAACGAAGCTGTCTTAAAAACAGCTATGGTCGTGTACACACATGACATTGGACCTATGCCTGAGAGTGAAGAAAACGAGTAAATATTACCTAAGAAGTGTAATTACGTGTATGTCGACAAGTGTATAATGCCGATAAGTATCTTAGACAAAATTTTGTATCGTTCAGAGCATTACGCTACACGGCGTACCGACAGTGGACGGCTTGGGTGCATGGCAAAAAAGTACCAACTACCCATACCTTCTTGTGCTGTGGACAAAATCCGGAAAGCATTTCCTTCGCCTTCTGGAGAATACAAAGGATTTGAATATGCTTCAACACTACTGAATGGTAGGGCTTATGGCGTATGACAAAGTCTGTTCATTTGTAATTATGTTTATTTCATGTGGGACGTTATTTCTTTTTATTTATTAAAGCGAGATTTATGTTGCTTAATGGCTTCAGCTTTGCTGATTTTTGATTTGTGGTGAGTCAATGGGACAGGTATTTCTTTCACTCCAGCGACATCAAGAGCTTTGGAGAGTGTTAGATTAATCCGTCTGCAGTACAAAACTTCTTTCATCAAGTCCTTAACATATCCTGAAAAGCAAATCATTATTTATGTTGGCTTTGCATTGCACTTTGAGAAAAGGTAAGTTTATTTTTCTGTGCTAACCATAAGTGCTCTCAACTTTCACTGGTTTGATGACCCCTTGTCCTTCTTTTGACTTTGAATAAGCCACTCTCCAAATCAATGTTTCTTCTGTTTGCCCATCATTTTTCGTTTTCTGAGGTTTATTTCCATTCTCATTGAAATGAAGAGCAGCAATAAACAATCAGCAAATGAATGTTAAGTTTATGTTTACAACTATTGCAACTTATTGCTTTTGCAATGACTTTTTTAAGTAATCATACACTAGTCATAAATATATTACCTTGCTTCCATTGAATCACCACTGCAAAAAGAATCACCACTCGGTGGAAACCTTCGATGGATGAAGTCTGCTTCTGATTACTGAGTTTTCCAATATCTCTCATGAGATACTTGGACTCAACAATCGAAGACAGCTCAACATAAGCTTTTGAACCTAAGATCAGAAGTTAGTTAACAAAAAGAAAAAGAATGTTGATGTTACTTTGAAATTTATTTGCTTACAATACCTTTTTTTATTCACATTCTATGCTATAACATATCATGTTCACATTTTGGGAATACATCACTATGTCCCTCATGGATGTCACATATATGATTGAGAACTGACAACCACTTTGCCTTGACAAGTTCTTCATCACCATTGCTGGAAGCAGCACACCAGTATACATGGTTGGAAATTTATTGGGCCCAATTCGACAATAATTTGCAACCACTTTTTTTTGATGCTGCTAAAATTTTCTTTTTGATTCCTGTTGGATTTTGATTGTTGATGAAATGCGTAAAAGGTTGGTTTGTTATGACAATCTATACCTTTTGCTACATGCCATACATCAAAGTAGTGCTCGATTTTTGGTCTTTGTTTTGACATGTAGGATTATATAGCTTAGTTTTTGATAAATGTAAACAAATATTGCTGACTATAACTATAATATTCACCTCTTGCCTTCGTCTCTTCTCAAATGCAGTTCTAACATTTGTTGGCTGCTTCCTTTTAGATGCTACACTTGTGGGTTCCACAGAGTATTCAAAATCGTGGGTACAGCATCCTTCTTAAGGCGAAGCCGTCCTGCTGTCCATCCTACTGATTGCATCGCTTCAAAATTTTGCACGAAGCGAACTCTCGAAATGTTGCGAGCACAATTTTGAGCTCTTTGTTGGCTTCAATCTTCGCGTCGGATTTTTCAATCCAAATATCTCGCATGCGCTTGTTTTCGGAAACGAAAAAAGAAACCTTTGCTGCGTTTCGTGGTTCTTAGAAGAACCGTTTTACAATCAAATGCGGCACAATAAACCATATTTTCAATGCTAAATTGTCGTGTTGTTAAGTTACCAATATAATTTGAACGAAGCGCGCAATTGACCGCGTTTAGCGAATGTCAACTATTACGTCACAACGACATCGGTAGCTGTCGCTAGCTCGTCGGGCATTTTCAATATGTTATCAGTAAAGCATCAACTTTAAACCTCCATATCTTCAAAAATATTTATCCCTTGAGTCTCAAACTTTGGTGAACTTTTAGTTGGAGCTATACCTTCATGTAAAGTACAAAAATAACAATCCGAATTTTATGTTGCATGTGTCCTTTAAAGAAGTTGACATGCACTTTCATCATTGTTCAGAAAAATCACAATTGTTAATAAATCTTTTTGTCATTTTGGTACAAGTAGTAGCAAGTTGTAATGCTCCTTACTTGGTTGGTACCAATACTCCTTCATGCATGCACAATCATTCTTTTTTTTTCAGTTTTCACATAATGAAAATTCAGGTCATTGGGTAGCTGGGTCAATGTGCGGTGACGCCACCCAGCCAGCAGAGCTGAAAAACAACATACAATTAACGATAATTAATACAGAACTGCAAACAAGCAAACTTACCTCAGCAATGCAAGTTTCTTCCATTGTTGCTGAGATGGAAGTGGGCTTAATGGATTGTTGACGCCTTTGCAAAGATACATGTCCCCGTATTGACCTTCAAGGCTAAGGTGGTTCCTCGTCCAAACATTATCCAAACATTTGTAAACTCACCAGCTTAAACCTTACAATGACACCAACTACACACAATAACATAGACCCTTTTATTTTGCTCCCTCAGACAAACAAAGGAACTTTAACTTAACTGCTTGACTTAATTATCTAAGAATGTATCTTTATCAGAAAATTTCATTGCGGGAGCCTAATGGGGCGCTCTAGTCCGACATGACCACGTTACGTTAATGCGAGCTCCGAACACGCAACCCGTCCTTTGTCAGGGACCTTCTCAGCGCACCTAGCTAAAGGGAGGGAAAAGGAGCAGGCCTTGTACCACGATGATCATCTAAAGCAAAAAAAAAGGAATGAGAAAAAAAAACATTTTAATAATTACTCCCACGGTCGATAATCCTTGAACAAATACTTAAGCGTTTTCATCAGCTTGTCACCTAAAACAATCATCAAAATAACAGGAATTAAAAAGCGAAATAGTTAGTAGTAAATGATACGTTTCATTATTAACAATCAATTAATGACCAACAACAGTAACTGTTTCAAAGTGTGTGCATTTTTATTACAAGACAACATATTCTTAAAAGCGTTCGTTTTGCTCTTTATAGTTCAAAAACAGAAAAAAATCCAAATTAACATTTCATACATACAATGCGACATGTACACGACGAACAACACTTTACGCTTTATTACAAAACGGCAAACCATTCATACTCATTAAATTCATCATATAAAACTAAAAATTTTCAATCCTTGCCACGCCCAACAAGGGCTTTTCCTCAATTGTCAAGTTGACTTTTTGTAAAGGAATGATGTGTGGTTAAAAAGAATGTGTGCAAAACCAAACTAAACTAGTTTTAATTAAAGTCATGAAAGCCGCGTTTGATGATGAAATCTTTGTGACTATCTATAAACATCTTTACACTTTTCTAAAGATCACATTCAGTTTCAGTTCAAAAATTTATATTTTTCTCGTTATTATAGAGCATCATGTAAGTTGCGTTATTCATAACAGCTTAGCTTTTCGCTAATAAATAAGTAGTAATGAACAAAGTACTTACGACATGTGGCTTTGAGCTTCGTAAACATTATTCTTCGTTTGTGGCTGTGACAAAACTACAACGAGAATTTCTTCTTTTAATGCACATATTATTACTCTATAAATCAGTTTATTGACGCTTAAATAATCGCGATTATTCTTACTACCTTGAAGCAATTGAATGAATATTGATGCGAAACGCGCCGCACAGCATTTCTCCTTGTCGCATATTTCAAATGGTTTTGAATAAACGGAACTTTCAATGAACTGAAACAGCACCTGGTGGAAATGTCGAAGAAAATCTTCCACCAATAATTAAATAAAATAGATTTTTACGAGATGACTTTCATCACAATACCTTTTTTAAACGTATTCCTGACGCTGGCAAACGTGAAAATCAAGTTGTTGTTGATTATATCAGCTAAATACGATTGAAGAAAAACATCAAGCCAAGAATTATCTAAAGATATACAAATATAACATAAACTTACCACATCGCTTTCAAGATAATGGCTTCTTCACCAAACTTCAACGAACGAATTGAAACATTGCCTAAATATAAAAAGAGTTATGTTTGCAAAACAAGCAAAACGAGAAATGTCCGACGTCAATATATATCACATTCCAAATTTACTTTTCACGTTTTTCAGCCAAAGCTCTTTCTTGTCTTCATCTCATCAGGCAAACAATAAAAATAATTTTGACAACAGCAATTCTTGGTTGTCATGTGTGTCTTAAGGGAATAACAAATATAGCAAAGACAATCCAATGATATTATTTTGTAAGGAGTCCATCAGCAAGGCGCATAAGAAAATCACCAATACTTTCCATAAATTAACAAATTCACAGTTTGAAAACGGATCCCTTTCTTCTCTGCCAATTGCTTGTTAGAAGTTCATCAAACTAAATATAAAAAGTGTTATGTTCAAAGGAAGCAAAATGAGACACGTGGAAGTCATTATCTCACAGTCCAAGTTACTTTACACGTTTTGCTGCAAAAGCTGCTAAGCTAGTCATTCTTTCTTGTCTCTATATATCTTGTCAAACAAACATAAAAAAAGTTTTCTCAACGCTTTCCATAAAATTATAGATTCGTGGTTTTTACATGGACGGGAACATGCGAGATCAAAATGTAAATTGAACAATCGCTTTCTGTTATGTTTTACACGTGAAAAGTCTCACATGATCATATGAAAAAGCATCAAACCTTCTCGCCTGAATAAAATTGCGGTGAGTTTGCTTGCTTCTTTAATTTAAATATCACACAACGCCTACGACGACCGACCACATGCAGAGGTACCGTTAACCAAGCCAAGCATTGCATACCCAAATATAAATGATTGTCATCAGCTGTCAAACTTGTCATTTTGGTGGGTGTAACTTAGGCCTGTTTCAAACGTCGAATTTTGTATGTGTTGAACGAATACAATAAGCAATTTTATTCGACCAAAATGTAAAATTTGACCGTGGATTTCAAACGTCAAATTTTGCTGGCGTGCAATGCAATTATGTACTTCGCTTTATCTCGTTCCAGACTTTGTTGTGAGTGAAAGGCGAGAGCCAAATTGTGTTCCTTCGTTTAATGTGTAATTGTCAGGGTACAATTCTCGGTGAATAAAAATTACATTACTGCATGTAGGTCAAGAAATTAAGACTCGAAATAAGTCATCTATCTACTATTATAATAAAACAAAGGTAAACCAATCTCAAAAATTCCATAGTAAAAATTCAGTTATTTGTGATAATTTTCTATTGTTCAACCGGAAACAGCAAACGTATATTATTACTCACTTTAAAAGATTTTTTTTAAGACATTTACCATTATGTGTAATGCCCAATAACAAAATAGTACATGGTTCTCCGCGCTTGATAACATGAAAGTTGTTCTATCTACTAAACAATTTTGTAGTTAGAGTTCATTTTATATTTCTACAGAGATTCGGCTATTATTCATTATCAATCAATTTCAACAATCAATATCACAAGAGAGCACTTTATCTCACATCAACTGATTTCCGTCATTCAGTCATTACTTTAATATTTCTGCCTGGTGAAAGGCATAAATTGATGGGGGTACAATGCCATCTATCAATTATACTTCGCAAGTCAACAACACGCAATTTCAAAATTTTCCGATTTGAATCGAAACTCGGATTAAAAATTAGGTTAAACTTACTCCTTTTTAGATTGTTTAAATAAAAATATATCTAAACAATGAAGTGTAACTGAAAACATTTAAGAAAAAGTAAAACTCCTGAGAAAACACAACAGACAAATCAACTAATTGTCTTCACAAAAAATAATGGCCTTTTGCTATAAATACAACAAACAAAACACACTTACTTCTCTTGCAGACTTCCGACCTACTTAACTCCAAATATTCTCTTAAGATCAGCATAATTTAAGCTCAAAACTAGCCCTAAATTGATAAGGATATGCTTTTCAATTTGATCTTCTGTCATGTAATAAAATGACATAAAGTGTTAAAACTTTTATAGATCACAAACAACATGATGGCTGCCGCCATACTACCATACTACCATGTATTCAATTAACACAGCTTCAATCCAGTGAACTCGACATTTGAATAACTGGAATGATAACCGAAGCTAAAAATTGAAGCCAAAAAAATATTTGTCGTCATCATTCGTCATCACACGTCAGGCTCTAGTCTCTCGCGTGTTCATTTTATTTTTTTAAAATCATTTGTCCCTTGGTAATGGTAGAGTTCGGATCTTGATCAGAGCGTAAAAATAACGAAATGTTTGTAATGAAAAGGTTCACGGAAAGTGAATCAAAAAGATAAATCGAGAAGCAAGATGAGGTGAACTTAGTCGATCTGCTCTTACGCTGCGGTTTTCCTTTAAAACATATCAAAGTCTTTAAGGATATTCAATTATTGATATCGAGATGACAACCATTTAGTATTTCAAGTTTCAAGCACTATCAAAATCGATGAAAAATACAATCGCTCTGTAAAAAGTAAAAATGCGAGTTATAGACTCGATATTTTTTATGAAACTGGATATTCAAGTTTCTTTTTTATTCGGAAAAACAGATCTTTAAATCCACTTAAATGACAAAAAAGACAAACACTGTCTTTTTTGTTTTCCGTTTGAAAGTTTACCTTCCGACGAAAGAAAAATTTATGCTTGAATATTTTTTCGTCATATTTTCTATTGTATTGTCTTTTTAGCAAACAGTGTAATTTTCAGTTGGCTTTTCCTCGTTACAAGTTGTAAGTTAAAACGAACTCTCTGTAGTAAAGTTTCAGCTGTAAAAATAATCTTTGCGAAGAGTTGGCCTCGTGTGTTGTTTGTCGTGATGTTGTTTATATGTTTATGCTTTTGCAATTTGTATTCAAATTTATATTGGCCGTGTATGTTTGGCACTCAGGGGAATGAAACTGACGTACAAACCGCGTGAATATTCGACTTTGAAGGACTGGAACTGACGTACAAACCGCGCAAGAGACTAGGACTTTGGCTTCAATTTTATATCTATAAAATGTATTGTCGTTATCATTCCAGATATATATAGATGGAGTTCACTGCTTCAATCTCGTCGTGTAACATACTTTGTTAACCCCCCGTGAATCACCACTCCAGTGATTTTATAGATCAGTCTGCATCAAATTTAAAATATCATTCAGTAACATAATTTAGGGGGTGTTTACATGAATCCGGAATGAGTTTCGATCCGGAATGAACTCATTCCACTTTAAATGAAATCCTATTGCATGTTTACATGAATCCGGAATGAGTCACAACTCGATCCGGATCGAGTTCATTCCTAGTTTCATTCCGGATCGAAATTTCATTCCGGATCGAAATTTACTTGTTATCTCATGTAAACGCGAATTGAGTTTCATTCTGGAATGATATTGTGATTAATGACGAAGCACGCATGTGGCATGGGTATTGTCTTCCGGCAAATTGAAGCTCGTAAGCAAATAAAGAGGCTAAATGGGTTAAAATGAGTGCGAAGAAAAACAACAATTAGTTTCATGTAAACACGGATTGACATCACGTTTCGATCGGGATTGAAAGTCATTCCGGATTCACGTAAACACCCCCTTATTCATATTACATTAGTTTTTATTTTGATATTTGTCCATTCTTTTGCAGCAACTATCATTTGTCCAAACTAGATAGAATCTATTCATTTATTGTGATGATTACAGCAGTATTATAATATTATCTTAATTAAAACTATCTATACACATAACACAATTTATAATCTTAATAAACGGTTTATCTATATTTAAATTATGTAGAAAAACACAGACACAGTACATAGCAAACATAAGTACATAATATGAAGATGAAAGAAGCAATACAATGTTACTTGTGTCAGAATAACCAAAACTAATTACATTCATTACAATACTTTCAAAGAAATAATATAATTAATGATATAATTGATAATATAATTAATAATACAAATAATGAATCAATTAGCTGTTAAAATAATTGTTTCAACAGAAATTTAATAATTTCACAACAAGCAATTATAGACAATATCTAATATCCATATACTTTTAGCATGATATGAGTGAAGTTGAAGTTGATATGAAGTTGAAAGTAGATATATTATATACACAACTTCGAGGAAAGGAAAAGGGACTTCAATACCTCAGTTATATCATCACTTAAAGATTGTTTAGTGCAGAGTGGATCATCTTTGATTATCAGCTGACCACCTACAGGTGGGCTCATATAACAATGGGGCCCATCATTATTATATGAACAAACAACTGACATATTTTCATGCCAAAGACTATAGTTCATGCATTTTCACACATTTTCATGCCAAAGACTATATTTGCAATTTCACGCCATTGCAATTTCATTAAATTTTCATTACATTTCATTACATTTTGCAATTTCATTACATTTTCATGCAAGGGACTATGTATTTGCAATTTCACACACTTTCACACCAAAGACTATAGTCTGCATTTTCACACACTTTCATGCCAAAGGCTATAATTCATGCAATTTCACAAATTTTCACTTTTATGTTAGAAAAATCGTTTTGACAACTAAACGTCGTTTTTGTGCCCAAAACTGAAGAACATCCCGTCGTTTTTGGAGCTCGAGAATGCAATTATTTCGACACGACATTTTTCCGTCGTTAGCTCGTCTGAAATATTCAATATGTACGGTAACCATTTATGTTAACTCAACTAAACTTTAAAATGTTAAACTTTAACCTTCATATCTTTAAAAGTATTCATTGTTCAAGCCTTAAAATTTTGTAAACTATTATTTGATTTACTTTTTATACAAAAATAAAAAAAATCCAAATTTTAGCAATATTGCAGTGTCTTTAACAGAATACACAGGTCCGAAAATAATTATCAGATTCATTTTCGGGGTGTAAGGCCAAAATAAAGCATAGTAAAATTTGACAATGTTCGTTTATGTATAATCGACAATGTAAAATCAAGAAAGTTTTTACGTATTTCACATACGGCTTTAAACTTGTAGAACTGACCGTCAGGGTTTGCTCTTCAGTTTATCCTGGAATTCTGTTTAGCAAAATTTATCCTCTTACTTATGCTCTTTACTTATGGTCGGGGCTATCTATTCAGTAATTATATTTATACTTAATTAAGTCGTTCAAGGGAACTCAAGCCATTTCACCATGTCAATAAGAGAGCTTGACATGTTCACTCTCACGACTAAAATTATCCAATTCGTTTTTGTTTTATAAAGATATGACGACATTTCTTTTATTAGTCATTTTGATCGATGGAGTATCAAACAATTAATGCATATTGCATGTTGTTGTCGAAAGTGTTTTGATTGTGGTGTTTATCATCTCAGACTGGACCTTAATAAGTTATCTTAACCTTCATTGTAATTCACCTGTCTTCATGAAAGCACGACACTTCGTGTACATCAGTACATATAATGGAAAACATGCCATGTTGTCATGTTGAAATTAGTTTTGATTGCTGTACATTTTTCAGTAAAATAAGATGGTGGACAAACATATCTTGATCCACTTTATGTTAGCATACTAAGTAACACTTCTTAAAGTGAACATGAAATTAAACAATATCCAAGAATCTTGAAATTAGTGTATAAATACAGTGTGAGTGAAAATGTACTTCAAAAACATCATTTAATCAGACATTTCAGAGGACGACAAATCAGTAGAATCACTGGAATGAGCAAGAAAAAATCTCATACTGGCATCAAGTTCACTGTCACTGTTGTTGAACATCACGTCATTGTCCTCACTGCTGCTTATGTCACCATTAATGATGTCACCCAAATCATCATACATATGACTATTGATAGTATTATTTTCATGATATGAATCAAGTAATCTGTTATCATTCTCACTATTACTATTCTGTCTTGATACGTCACCCAGGTCTCTTAGTACAGTGTCGTCGTCATCAACAATAAAGTCAGCCAAATCATCAACTTCATCTTCACTCTGCTAAAATGATATGGTGATGTCATTTTTTAACTAGAGATTGGTTGCAGAGTACAAAGTAATAAACTTACCAATTCATCATCATCATCGTCGTCATCATCATTAACACCATCATCATAGTCATCATCATCATCATCATCATCATCATCATCATCATCATCATCATCATCATCATCATCATCATCATCATCATCATCATCATCATCATCATCATCATCATCATCTCCTTCTTCACATTTTATGCGACCGATTTCATAAAGACGACAAATACTTTCGAAATTGGCATCTTCGAATCCTTGATTCTAAAGTAAGTACCGACCAGAAAGTATATGACAAAGAGTTTCTATAAAATATGCTTTATATGTTCTTACCTCAACAATAGCCACAATTGTATCAGAGCAGTTTACAGCCAAGTTATTTATAGGTTTCTTTACATCATATGTTGCTATAGAATGATAGAGTAATTCTATGAAAACCAAAACATCACAAGAAAACGTATGATTAAGATTAGTGGGCATAATTGTGCAAAAAATGTCCGTGTCGTGCATGAAAACCTAGTAAAATCTTTGCACAAATTTCCCTTTTTTTAATGATAAATATAGACTTTTCTTTCTAATAAAAAGTATTGACAAAAAGTGACCTTGATCAATCGTTTGTATTTTATTTAACAATAAAAATTCTTACCAATCTGCTGAAAGTTGGTTGAATCGATTGTTTTGAATGACGACTCAAACTGTCCCATTATTTCAGCTTGTACAGCATGTTTCACTGTAAAAAATCTTTAATACTAAAATACCTGACACTGAAAGTGAGGATTAAGTCTGGCGTTCAACTGGGGTTTTCTATAACCATGTTTATATCCCAAGCTCACACTGTGAAATTTGGTTGATTGTTGCAGTCAGCCGGATGTTAAAAGACAGTCGAATGAAATCAAAGCCTCGGGGTCAAGCAGAGCATTATTTTCACCTTTGTGGTGACAAAATGTTGGCCTCGATTGACTGCCCTCTTTTCCAAGAACTCGCCAAAACAAACAACAAGAAATCTGGGTCTCATCGAAGTTCGAGTCAGAACTATTTATAATTTATCTTAATAAGCTTTTGGGAAGTTGGGACTGATTTGCCTGTTATGAACGCTGGCCAAAGTAAAGGCAACTTTTCAAACACACTGAAATAATCTGGCTGATCTCATTTTAAGATTTATATAAGAACACTTACCTCCAAATATGACATTTCCTTGGTTGTTGAATGTAACTTGACACTGATCTAATGATGGACAAGTATCAAGAAGATGAAAAGATCGAAGATCCCACTTCGTCAAAGTTAAGAAAAGATTTTCCTCTAATAATCTTCATCAGAAACATTCATGAAGGAACAGTTTAAAGGATACGATTTCAGAGTTTATAATGATTTCCAAATCGGATGGATGAAATACTCCACTGACGTAATTATTGAACTTATCAAATTTATGAATAATATTGGCGGACCGAATATCCCACAACAAGCCATCATTTAATATAAGCTCGTCTGTTTTGTTGAATGTGGCAATATTCTTCAAGTAATTATTACTGTTTTTTGAATCGGATAACGTTGTGATTTTCTGTCCTGCAGCAAGATCATAAATCTAGGAATGTATTAAGAAATAACAACTTAAAAACATTAAATGCACTTTTACGAAATAAAACAGAAGAGCTTTGTTATTCACAAAGGTGTTTAGAATAGAAAGAACTTTGTTATTCACAAAGGTGTTTAAAATAATTTTCAAAGTATACACAAATATACAGACAGATTTGCTGAATTAAATTGAAATGCCAATGAAACGAAATAATGACAAAACAAGACAGAAATTTATTCAGGGGCATTCCTTAAATTATTGTTAGACCCACTTCAGCTGTAGATCCCCGAGTTCCAATGACTTTAGATAGACTTTGGTTGCTAAATCTCACATGCCTTGCGTCAGGAAACGACAGCCTATAAAAAATATCACAGTAAAAAAACAACACATTGGGACAGTGAAGTGTACAAACTTAGCTCAAACAATTCATTTTTAAACAAATTAATTGCTTCCACACTCTTTGAGCACTGCAATATTTGCCAAGGAAGAATAAAGGATGGATATGTTATGTCACACTCTTTGAGCACCGCAATATTTGCCAAGGAAGAATAAAGGATGGATATGCTATGTCACACTCTTTGAGCACCGCAATATTTGCCAAGGAAGAATAAAGGATGGATATGCTATGTCACACTCTTTGAGCACCGCAATATTTGCCAAGGAAGAATAAAGGATGGATATGCTATGTCACACCCTTTGAGCACCGCAATATTTGCCAAGGAAGAATAAAGGATGGATATGCTATGTCACACTTTTTGAGCACCGCAATATTTGCCAAGGAAGAATAAAGGATGGATATGCTATGTCACACTATTTGAGCACCGCAATATTTGCCAAGAAAGAATAAAGGATGGATATGCTATGCCACACTCTTTGAACACCGCAATATTTGCAAAGGAAGAATAAAGGATGGATATGCTATGTTAGTCTCTATAATCACAGTAAACAAAGTTAATTTAATGCAGTTGAACCAACACCTCATGTCCAAGTTATTTGAACCCACAGACCATAATGACGACTGCGGGCTTCCAAAAGGCGAAGATGTGAGCAATAGTTTACCATCCTAGAAAAAAATTATTATTAATAAGTCGGTTGACGCATGGTATGTCAAAATAAATCAAAACACCTCAATTTGTATATGCAAGGTGTCCCAAAAAGTATGCACCGAAACCACCTTGGAATTGAAACGAGTGAATAAAGAAAAAAAATTATTACTTCCCAATTGGTCAAAATAACCACGACAAAAATAAAGAAAATTTCTCACAAAGATAAATGCAACAACGCAGCTTTAAAGCGAAAATTTGAACGTCAGATTTCAATAGAAAGTACACTCTTTTTGGGACAGCCTGTATTTACATTTAGATTAAATACAAGATTTTATTTTTAAAAAATCCACACCAAAACAACGTTCACGACAATATGAAAATGTTTTTAAATTAAACCAAAACTTCAATATTTCATTCAATCAACGTAGGATCCACCATTCGTTATAGCTCTAAAATGGCTACTAAAAAATAATTCAGGCGCCATAAAATGTTTACAATTACTATAAATGATATAAAACAAAACATACAATTGATGCAATACACGATGAAATTATGGAGCGATGACAGTTATGAGATCGCAAACACTATATAAAAAATATAAAAAAATCGATTCAAAGCCGTCATACGTCAATCTCATGATAAATAAATTTCATTTAGAATGAAAAAATATTAGAGAAATAATTGTCTACTTCGCCCGTTCGAATATTAAATATTTTTATCTCTCCAGCTTGTGTTCCAATGAAAATATCTGGTGTGTTTGGCTAAACAATACATAAAAAAACCAGATGTCATATAAATGGTCTCTAAAGGCAAGAAAACTACCTTAGCATAGCATAAGCGTCATAAGAAAAATATTTAGTACTAATATTTCTTAGAGTTACACAGAAATTTCGACTTCTCTCGTTTTTTATCGTTAATACAGAAGTAAAAAAATAGAAATACGTAAGGCAGTATTACCAAAAACGACGCACAAGTGTAGTAACATACTTCATCCAAGACTCTCAGCACTCGAAGAGGACGAAATCTTAGAGAAACAAAAATTTTACAATTTTCCATATCACCATGTTTTGTTCCCTCTTTTAGTTACCAATATATTTGATTCTACTCTACACATATTCACTCTACCTATGGTGTACCTACTGTAGACATATGTACTGTATGGTGTACCTACTGTAGACATCTGTACTGTATGGTGTACCTACTGTAGACATATGTACTGTATGGTTTACCTACTGTAGACATATGTACTGTATGGTTTACCTACTGTAGACATATGTACTGTACGGTTTACCAACTGTAGACATATGTACTGTATGGTTTACCTACTGTAGACATATGTACTGTATGGTTTACCAACTGTAGACATATGTACTGTATGGTTTACCTACTGTAGACATATGTACTGTATGGTTTACCAACTGTAGACATATGTACTGTATGGTTTACCTACTGTAGACATATGTACTGTATGGTTTACCTACTGTAGACATATGTACTGTATGGTTTACCAACTGTAGACATATGTACTGTATGGTTTACCAACTGTAGACATATGTACTGCATGGTTTACCAACTGTAGACATATGTACTGGTATGGTTTACCTACTGTAGACATATGTACTGTATGGTTTATCAACTGTAGACATATGTACTGTATGGTTTACCTACTGTAGACATATGTACTGTATGGTTTACCTACTGTAGACACATGTACTGTATGGTTTACCTACTGTAGACATGTGTACTGTATGGTTTACCTACTGTAGACAGATCTACTGTATGGTTTACCTACTGTAGACACATGTATGATGTAGTCTACCTAACTATAACATGTAGTTTACCTTTAGCAGAGATATACACCCCAAGAGATACATACTATGCAAATATCCACCCAATAGCTTACCTACTATAAACATATCTACAATTCAATTTCTTTCCTTCATAACCACCATAATCAGTTCGTGCCTTAACAGACATAAATAATACTACAGATTTCACAATATTAATTTCTCAACAGTTACATATTGTTTTCGACATGTAAATTACCTTTTTAGCTGCGAGTCTTGTAGTAATGTTCACTGACGCATGGCAACGTTTTTTTGGTTGTGGACATTGATGTGGCCTAAAATACAAACATACTGAAAATCAGCAAATGTTTTCTAAAAGAAGTGTTTCTATTGTATCCATACTTTAGGAGAGAAAAAGGTGGACAAACAGAGACAGGATGAGAGCATTTTTCATGTTGGTTTCTTAAATACTGCACTACTATGCTATCCAAAGTAGGTGAAGTGGATGTACTGCTGTTCGGACGTTGGGATCTGGACATTTGTGGTGAAAGGAATGATCCAAAACGATGAACGACGGAGTTTCCGGGTGAATTACAAACTGTATGACAGTCATAAACATTCGGCCGAGCAACATTAATACGAATCTAACAAAAATTCCCAATATCATTGATCATATCCTTTATAATACATTTTCAGACTAACGTCTACAAAAATATGTAAAAAGACCAATAGCTTGTACGAAGAGGTTTGAATGAACAGAGAAAAAGTAGTGCTTAGAATACAGTCACGCAGACGATTAGCAACGTTGGGTAAATTTTCTGCATTTTCTGGACGAGAGATCATTGATTAATTCTTTAAACATATTCAGACAACCTTTCTTTGCGCTGGAGATGATACGAATGTCGACTTTGAACAATTTTTATTCATTGATGATTTTGTTTCCTTCAACAAAGTCGCTGCTGTTTGTTTTAACCCTAAATAACACAAGCATAAAAAGTACATAGCAACACAATAAAATGATTTAATTCATTTCTTCTCAATAAGTTACTTTTCAGAATAAAATAAGAGACTAAATAATATGTATAAATATTTATGACCATATTAATGAAGAAATTAAAAAGTTAAAGTCTCAAATAAATGTGTTCCATACTATCTTTTTAAAATATTTAAGGTGAATATTTGATATTTAATAATTGTATTCATAAATATTTAAAATATTTACATTCATTCATTTCACAAAAAAATACGGCTCCACCAGAACCCATGCATTACCTCGCTCATTCAAATGTCTGTATATCAAAGCTAATAGTTCTTGGTCGGAGTAAGTGATTTTTGTTTGAGCAACCACATCAGCCTGAACAGATAAATTCAAATTTTTAACATTGCAAACGACTAATTTTAAAAATAAATAATCAAGTAAAAAGATACAACAAGATTTTTGGGCGACATTATCTCATTAGCTTATCAATTAAAAAGTTCCTACCTTGTTAACTTTTCCTAGAGTTAAGTATGAAGCAGTGTTGATGATTTTTCCGAGAACTTTCTCCAATAGTTTTGAAACGTATTTACAAAATACTCGATGTTCCGAAACGTTATCAGGAAGTATGGGCTCTCGCATTAAAACTATAAGTGATGCATATAAGAAATCATTTCTACTTATTTAAAACTTATTTATTTCAACTTATTTTTAAAAAGTCTTTCCGGATAAATATCGAACTGAGATTTTCGTGTTCGGACCGAGCCGTAGGGCAAGGTTTGTACTAAAAGACTGGGGTAAGATATTTCTCCGTAAAGACCAAGCAAGCAAGGTTAACGAAAGGTATATTTTATGGCATTATATTTGACCTGAAACGAAGCCACTTTTTTTCTCATCCTTGCTATTTTTCAAAGGTTAGTTTTTACTTCACAAATTTTTGTCAACACAAAAGAAATCGTCTTTCATGTGTCGTCGGGAAGATAGAACTCACATTCCCAGTGTTTTTTTTTCGACTTCTATATTTGTACATGATTTTTTGCTTCGCCTTTTGCGTTTTACATAACTTTCGCTACTTGCTTTTAGAAATTTGTTTACATTTTGTCGAAGAATTACATATATTGCATCGTCAAAAATGTTTCTGAGTCAATCATAAGCATGCCATTTCACCGAAAGTAGCGCTGGCTATAAAATAATAACCTTTTGCTTTGATATAAGACTGTTTAGTATGATACAATTATTTACTTACGTTGCAACTGCCCGCTATGAAACATGGGTAATTTACTCATTATTTGTCGGATTTCATCACTTCTTGCCAGTCCCCATAGAGCACGACATGCCAAAGCGCGAATGTTGTCTGCATCTGATATCGGTGTTTTTATAAAAGTCAAAGTAAGTAAAACCCGAATACCGTTATAAGCGCGAACACAATTCCATAATTGTTGTTGAATATTGTCTTTTGATGGTTTTCTTTTTGAAGTTTTAAGGTCATTTGAGATGTGAGTTGGAACCTGAAGGAAAATTTATAGGACTAAGGAAGTAAAGAGTACAACAGCTAAATCTTGAAAATAACACATTTGACATTTGCCGCTAAGCGAATTAAGTTCAATTATCGTAACTGCGTAAAATCACTTTTGATAATGCGCAATTTAATAAAAAAGACAAGTTTTTAAAATAAACATATTTATTTAAAAAAAACTTGTCGTTTTTATTAAAGTTCAATTATGATTAACATACAATTTTTTGCAAGATATATTAGAAAAGTTTTTACGCAAATTCAAAGTAATGTTTGACTTGATATGATTTAATTATAACTGTGAAAATAAATAAATGAAATAAATTGCACCAAATTCCGAACTTGATTGCATACAATTGGATAGTTTTGCTCAATACAGTGCTCCATATTTTAAGAAAAATTGCTAATCGATTTCAAGTATAAAGGAAAGGGAACCTGCGAAAAAATTTATTCCACCAATTGTTTAAAATAACATTGAAAAAATTATTCGCTGACTGACTTGTTTACAATAACACAACATACAATTGATATAAATTATATACCTAAATATTATCATTATGCTGTTAAGCCCTTAACATTACTAAATGACAATTGTAATTTTATGATTTACAAAGTTCTGACAAACAATCGCAATTTTAAGGAATTTTATAATTTACCTTGTGTTTAAATGTAGCACAAACACAGTTGCATAGAACAAGTAATGCAGCTTTTTGAACTTCAGCGTCTGCAACAAGATCACCTTCAGCGGCTCGTAGCAATACACTAAGGGTGTAGACACATAACAAAAAAACTTAATACACATATGAAATAACAAATAAACAAATGAAATAACAAATAAACAAATGAAATAACAAATAAACAAATGAAATAACAAATAAACAAATGAAATAACAAATAAACAAATGAAATAACAAATAAACAAATGTAATAACAAATAAAAAATGAAATAACAAATAAACAATGGAATAAAAATAAAATAAATAAAAATGGAATGGAATAAATAAAATATGAATAACAAATGAAATAAATGAATGGAATAAATGGAATGGAATAAATAAATGGAATGGAATGGAATGGAATGGAATGGAACAATGGAAATGGAATAAATGGAATGGAATGGAATGGAATGGAATGGAATGGAATGAAATAAATAATGGAATGGAATGGAATAATGGAATAAATGGAATGGAATAAATAATGGAATAATGGAATAATAAATGTAATAATAATGGAATAAATAAACATGAAAATAATAATAATAATAATAAATAAATAATGTAATAACATATATATATATATGTAACAAAAAATACAGGTAGGTTACAAGAGAGGCATTTCTCATGAGACTTGATGGTGATGACAAAATACAGGTAAGTCTTACTAACCGTATACCGATTTCAGTAATTCCAGTAGGTAATGTAACAGGTTCAATCAGGGCTAATTGTGTCTCAACACAAACCGTAAGTACTGTTAAAGTATCCAAGCTAATCGGGTAACATCGTTTCTAAAAATGTCATATTTTCTCATTACCTGATTTTGTAATGCTTCCAACGTAATGTTTTTTTTACCTACCGAGAAGTGTAACTACTCCATTCAGAAGAAAGACAAACAATTTGTATTAGCAGTGATATTCCTTGTAAATTTATCATCATCTATAACATACGCCAGAAAGGTCAATGAGACAATACATGTTTTTCAACAAAGCAATGATTGGTAGTTTAGATAAAAACTGCACATAAATCTTGTAATTTAAATCATCATGATCTATTGAGAAAATAATACCGACATTTTTATACAAATTTCATCACCTTAAAACAAGTTTTACTACTCTATAAATCACAACTAGAATCCAATGATAGAGCTAAGTTTAAAAAACACGGCCTTTTGACTCATAATGTCCATCAATCACAAAACGTTTCATAGCTTTATTCATTTGTACTTTGCTTTTACGAATGGTGGGAGCACACCATGCCGGTGATTGAACAAACAAGTTTGAAAATACATTTGTTGAAACAAGCTGGAGATAATACACAATGAGCCAATAATATAAAAATGAAAACTCGAGCAGTCCCTACACCTTTTCGCATTGCTCAGAGAGTAAGTTGTTCACTCGATGACAACTTATTAGAAAAATCATCTGAGTATGCGCAGTCGACTTTATCAACTCTCCGAGTTTATGGCTATGTCAACAACGAGCTGTTGGGTCAACTTGCACCTATTTCGGACTAACTGTCAAATAGCAACGGAGGCTAAGTTGCAGTGGCTAATAAGTCCAGACGGCACTCTCCTGCTTAACACTTCAGTGGTCTGATAGGCTGAAGCTAGTGCTGTAGAACTAAATTTATTAGATGGGGGCTCTCTTGACTTTTTTGTCAATACTGCCCTTTTAACATTACCAATTTCAAAGGTAGAAGGGGGGTTCCTCCCTCAAGCGCCCCTCCACTTCTATCTACAGCACTGGCTGAAGCTAGCTATTGACATCCCCAAGTAAGATAGCGTGGCAGCAATCGACATCTTCTACCAAAACGTTAACATGTCACCCTCTAATGCTCAGCTGTCTCCGGGTATCGCGAGGCATAAGACCGCACACAATTTCACTCACAATTTTCCCATTCAATACATTTTATAAAGATTTTTCTACGATGCATTCATGACTTACATCAATTGACGGCCACTTTATTATGACGTGAGAATTTTCCAAAAGCAGATCAATATTCTCAAGCATACTCACATGGGTGATAGTTATGGCCTAAAAAATATAGAAAATAATGTCTTACCAACTACATCAAAACAAAATAATGAAAACGTAGAAATCCTTTCACCTTATAATCAGGAGTTGGTGGAGGTGATGTGTTACCGTTGTTCATAGCAAGTGATCTTTTTAAAGCATTTGCTTTGTAAGCAACATGCGAATCAAAATATCTTCTCAATGCCAAACACGTATGTTTTACAGTTTGACGACAGTCAAATAAATAATCGTCGCTCAACACTTCGCTTGATTCCGTTAAGATTTCCAACGTACTCAACTAAAAATAAACATATCCGAGCACTTGAAGTAAGAGTAGAATCATCATATTAATGTAAAACATATTAAAGAAAAACACGAATGAATCGGACTGTACTATGAAAATATAAACGAACCATATTGATTAATTTCCTTAATCCATCATTACTGTCAAATAAAGAAAGAATTGCATAAAAAGGAAAAGTTTGTGAAAAAAATATCGTTGCATAACATCTTCCTGAGAAGTGAGAGAATTCCATTAACCATAAAATGTATTTGACTACGTCTGACAACACTGGAGGTGGTAAAACACAAATCTAAAAGAAAATGTAAAAACGCTGCAAATATTTTCATGGAAAATTTATTCTTTGATGATGAATGCTTTGAAAATTAGGAAAAGCACAACAATGTATCAACTTTCACTAGAGCTTAATTATTTTCGCCGTTCACAAAAAATTTGTGAAATAAGTATATCACAAATAGCACAAAAAACAACTTATACACGTAAATAAAGCAATAACTTTTTTCTTGTTATTTTTTTAAAAAGTTAAAATGCTATTTTAGTTTTCCTGGGAAGCTTTCGCAGTTTTGCTAAATCAACAACAAAGTTCTTTCATGTTTGTAAATGTAGATCGTCCAAGTTGATATAGTCCTGAGAAGGACTGTTTTTGTTGTTGTTGACTGACGTTTCGACAACCTTAGCGGTAGTCATCTTCAGAGTCAAAAATAGTCCTTCTCAGGGCTATACCAACCTGGACGATCTACATTTACAAACATGTAACGATACTCCCGGGTTCAAACCATTTACTTTATAACGTTCTTTCAACAACATTTAATAATGGTTCTCTCCTTACGTAGAAAACGTCATGTTAATTATCGCTGTATTTTTTAACCTTTTCCAAGGCGTCTTCGACGTACGCAAGGTAATAAAAACAGCATGAAACAGCCGTAGCAGACGTGGAAGGTCGCGGTATTTGAATAAGCTTTTCAATGCCACCATTACTGACAAACTCAAGGGCAAATTTCTTGTGACACATCAATGACGTTAAATACTTTTAAATACAAAAGTTATCATGTTAATTTAACATTTACATATACACATATATTATAATTAAAATCATTTTAGTGCGTTCACTAAAAAATCATTAAACCTGAAGCGCTTGAAAGATCACTCCATCTTCACATGAATGTTTCACACTTATAAAATGAGCAACGATACTTTGTACATCCAACTCAAAGAATATTTGTAGAAACTAAAGAAATGAAGAAATACCAACATGCTACAAAAACTGATCATAAAGACGACAAACGAGACTAGAGCGAAAACAAAAGAGAGAGAGAGAAGAGGAAGAGAGAGAAATTGAGAACAATAAAGAGAGAGACGACAAGAAAGAAAGAGAGATAGGCCAAGGGAATAGAAAAATTGCATTTTTTTACAGTAAAGAATATTACTAATGAAATTATATCTTTTCTTTCAAGTGCAGCTGCGCATAGAGTAAAAATTTTATAAGTCGATCAGAAAATTCCAACATAAAAATGGACAATCTATTTATGCTGGAAGAAAAGTGTTATTCTACCTCTTGATATTCTCCTAGAGGAGTAAGATAACGTAACATCAGTCTGATTTGAGCGTTAAGTGTAAGAGGGAAAAGTTTAAACGACGATGGCTTTAACTGACGACCAACTTTTTTGTTTTCTAAAAAATGAAGATTTCACACATAATAGAATTTGTTGGATATTCAATGGTCAATGAAAAGCTATCAGTTCAATGAACCAACCTCTCTTAGTCAAGTTATAGCTGGACTTTCCATCAGTTGCCGCTAGGCTTCCACTACTGTCAAAATCTTTTTTGTTCTTAATGCTTCCAATTTTTGGTTTGGTTTTTGAAGCAGTCTTCGGTTTAGGAAATTCATCAATAGCTTTTTGATTTATTTCTTTAAAATCTTTTGCTGACTTTAAACGGTTTATCACTATGGGGATCTGGCAGGATTTACAATAATAAACAACGTCAAAAATAAGAATTTATAATTGCAGATGGGTACAATTTTTCTACAAACAAGAAAGTAACTATAAATATGTAGAAAATGAGCCACATTCTTTTGCACAACAAAACAACTCAAATTCATAACAGCCAAAAAATTTACAAAAGAATCAATTGTTGAATTAAAACTACTAAATATATCTCTACCAAATGAGCGTTATGTTCTCTGTGGGCCGAAGAAAACTCCTCCATACCCATAGCAATACCAAGAAGTCCTATATGGTTATATAAAACATAAAAAACAGCTCATAGAAAGTTGAGGTCAACCTAGCGCATTAATTACCCATTGAATAGGAACGTAATGGCTCTTTCCCATTTTCTGCCCAGTCATAAAGTCTTAATAGAAAACCTTCCTACACAAAATAAACAATAATAAGAATCACATCATGTGGAATTATTTGCAATTTAATAGAAACCAAATACCGTTTCTTGATATATCTGTTCCATTTCCAGACAACACATGATATCAAAAAGAAGACGACAAGAAACAGAACATAGTTTGAAGTCCCAACGAGAAGTCATTAGATATGTGTTTAATAAAACGTCCACTAAATCTTCACTTTTACTCAAACATTTTAAAATATGCGCATAAGTGGATTCGGGATTGCTGCATGCTGAAATGATGTTGGAAAACCATATGTTAACAGAATAAAAAAGGTGTATAAAAAGAGTTAAATATCTTATAATTAGTACATAATCTTTCAAAGTTCCTATGTAATTTATTTTGTCGGACTATGTCTTTAAAGTTAACAATGAAGCACTATGATCTATATTTTATCTATGGCTTAATTTATTAAAAAATTTTCATGTTGGACAATAATATTTGCACTAAAATTTAACAATATGAATTCTATAAACTTGTTGTACAAATAATTATGCACAAGGTAAATTTTAAGTTGTCCAAAGTTGTCCTTTCATAAATTTGAACATTGTGCAGCAATTAACAATTTTATCAACAATCTAATATAACAAAACTATCAGGTACCTGGACCTCTGTCATCAAATGGGTCTGGATCAGATTTTAAAAACACTTCATATTGTTCTTCAAGAACATCAGCAATTCTAGAAAAAATTAACATTCATTAACTTGAAATTTCATGTTGATAATAACTCTTTGCATTTTTGGATCTTACTTTTTCAAATACAAACTGTCAAAAACAAAAAAGAATGCTTCTAATAATCAATAGAAATGAGTAAATGGGCATATTTAATATAAAGCTGCCATTTTCTTTGTAGAATGTTGCATATGAATGTTGATGGAGTCCGCAAACGAGGTAGACCGAGAAGGAGATGGATGGATGCTGTGAACAGTGATATGAAGGCGATGGGTATAATGAGAGATATGGCGAGAGATAGAGACGTTTGGCGTAGAAAAATTCATGGACCGGTCAACCCCCCTGGCGGGGATTAATACTGGCCGGTATACAAATGTTGTTTGTTTGTTGTTTGTATTTTCTTCATAAATCACATTAAATATCAATGCACTTAAACAAATATCAAGATAATACTAATTTATTTTTTGGAAAATGGTTAATAACATGTGTGTCATAACCAACATCAGAGTAATAATATGATGTTTCCATAATTTCTTAAAAGCCCTATATATACATTAAGCATTTCATATGAACAACAATTTTCTTTAGAGTAAACATGTTTTGGCAGCTTATGCATGGTTATGGTCATAGCCATAACTATATAACACCAGAGTGGTGACCAAATTATTAATTAGATAACTAAAGATTGTGATTGAGAATAGACGATCTTTCTTTGGCTAGACTGCAGCTAAGCAAACACTAGAGACGCTTACATGCAGAGCGCAGGCTTGTATGATATAGCAGCTTTCTTCGGGCAAGAAAATACATGTTTGTGTTTGATTTATTACTACCACATTAGAAAGTTTGTCTTAGTTTTAGTCTTCCAAACATTGTTTAGGTTATGGTTATGGTTTGGGTCATGGTTATGGTTTGGGCCATGGTTATGATTTGGGTCATGGTTATGGTTTGGGTCATGGTTTTGATTTGGGTCATGATTATGATTTGGGTCATGGTTATGGTTAGGGTTTGGGTGAGGGTTATGGTAATGGTTTGGGTTATGGTTTTATGATTTGGGTCATGGTTATGGTTATGGTTTGGGTGAGGTTGGTTATGGGTTATGGTTTGGGTGGTTATGGTTAGGTTTATGGTTTAGTTTTATGGTTTGGGTCATGGTTATGGTTATGGTTTGGGTGAGGGTTATATGGTTTGGGTTATGGTTTGGGTCATGGTTATGGGTGAGGGTTATAGTTTGGGTTATGGTTTGGGTTATGGTTAGGGTTTTAGGGTTAGTTATGATTATGGTTTAGGACATGGTTAGGGTTTGAGTTATGGTTTTCGGCAGCATTTTAAGGGTCTAATTGCAGGATTAAAACAAAAACAAACTTGATATTAAGTATATAAACTTTTTAGCAGATTGCTTTAATAAAATGTTTTATCATTACTTTTACTTTTTTAATATTAATAATTTTTAGTTATGTAAGCAAGCGGCCATATGCATTAGAATTGGGGAGAAGGGCTCATATTCAAATAGGGATGAATGAATGAATGAATAATTTTATTTCAATGCGCTAACCGTGGTCAACAAGTGAGTTGTTTTCCACATGGGGCATGTGCAAATTTAACAGAAATGAATTTAACAAGAATTCTAAATCAAAAAAGTACAGTTCCTAAAACATTAAATTACATTGTATAGACTACAAAGTTAGGTAAGTATTTAAATATCACGAAATTATTTGGGAAAGTGAGCAGCGATTCTGTTTTGAAGACTTTAGAGAGCATGATTCTCTGAGATCAATAGGTTTATATCAGGTGTTAAATTCCTATGAAATCCTTTGATATTAACATACTATAACAGGCATTAATGAATACGAGCCCCCTAATTATCGATTTTCCTACGTTCATGTTAAGGCCCATAAATGGCAGGGGCCCACAGTGAGTTTTCGTGTCTTAGTCCCTGGTCATCACGTCCCTCAGTAACATAAATTTTCTCGATTTCCTTGCAATGATTCATATAAATATAAATGATAATTCTTGAAAATGCACTTTTAATGCCATTCTGATAACTAACCTTTCAAGAGTCTCAATAGGACTTTCATGAAGACGTTCTTTTTCCTTCCATTGTTCCAACAAAGTTGTAACGTCAGAAATGGCATCCAGGGCGCTGACTACTGACATATTTCTTACCTAATATTTTGAACGTTAAACAAAAAGTACTGCTGCAAGTGTACGGCCTTTCGTTATTAATATCAGTAGTATCGGCAGGTAAATGGTGATACCGGTATTGGCAATTGCTCCCCTCATGTCAAATTAAATGAAGTATTGCCTTGATTTGATGGAAAACTGTGGGGGACTGGGAGTTGGGGGCCAATTCAGGTCCCGGATGTATCGCGGCTTCCTATGCACCTTCGCATGCTGTTTTGATCATGTTTAAGCTTTTTCCTGTGTGAATGACAACTATATGTTTTTGAAGTCTCTTAGCTGTTGAATTTTGGGCAAAAAATTCAACAGCTAAGAATTTTTGTATAGAAACAGTCCCGACTTATTACAACAAATTGATAGTATTTATTTATTTGGACATAGGCAAAAAAGATTACTTCATATAATGTAATGTAGGCAATTCCTCGCGTTTACCTACTTTATTTGAAAACTCCTGAAAGGTGCACCCCATAACTTGGCTAGACAAAAAAACGCGGGAATTTCAAAAGGAAATTCAAAATATGTAATTTAAACTCATATTTTTGTTAAGATCATTTTTTGCACATGAAGTCAATACATAACAGTCTATAGGTACATAGTGGAAACTCTTTATCAAACAAGTGAAGTGTAAGTGTATTTCTAGATAAAGTTTAGTAGTTGGCAATGTTCATTGAAAAACGGCAGTTTGTAAGAACATATTAGGATAAAACTTTAATCCCTCGACAGAATCATCTCGACATGCCATACCAACTTGTTCAGTAAATAGTAGTCTGGAACATGATAACAAAAAACGTAATGTGAAGTAAGTTGAAGCATTTCAGAAAGAAATTATTTGCAGAACATATCTACCATAAAGTAAACGATTTGAACCCGGGAGTATCGTTCAACGTTAGTAGAGTCCTGAAAAGGACTATAGTTGATGATGTTTACTGACGTATCGATAACCTTAGCGGTAGACATCTTGAGAGACAACCTTAGCGGTAGTCTCTATTGACTCTAAAGATGACTACCGCTAAGGTTGTCGAAACGTCAGTCAACATCAACAACAACAGTCCTTCTCAAGACTCTACTAACCTGGACGATCTACATCCACAAGCATGTAACATATCTAACATATCTACCTGAATTTAGTTCACTGTAATGATTCAAATGAAATTCAACTATTACCTTTCTTTGGCTAGCATTACAGAAATTCCAAGAATTTTAGACAGTTGGTCGGCAGTCAAACAGCTATTGGAAAACAACTATAATATAAAACATAAATAAGATAACTGTCATATTAAGAACATAGAACGACCAAACTTGCAGACTGGCTTCACCACAGTCAACTCTCGTTGTTAAGGAAGCCCTAAGAACTGTGATTTAGTGTCGATATGTATGTAGGTAAAGTCCATAATAGTGAAATGTTCGATGGAAATATCCCAAGTTAGACTGCACACGTGATAGCTGTGTTGCTGCATGGCTGTGGATGAGGTATAGTACCAGCTGAAGCAGGAGAAAATGAAAAGAATATTTTCATGTAGGTATTAGCTCCATTGTAAGGAAACGTCATGGTAAACAAGGATGTACGGGTTCGTTTGTAGCCAGGGGGGGGAGTTTCTTTATAGATAGTTGCATAATTAATGTAAAGTTGCAAAGTTTACACTGTATGCGTGAAGCTACAACACTGATTGACAGGGGGTAAAAAAGCCAAATAAATAATTCTGCAAATCCTTGCTAGTTTTTTTCTGAATCATCTGATGTCGAGGAAAGTTGCTCTGCTTTCAGTATCATAATCAGTATATCCATAAACGTCACTCAAAATAGATTTCAGTTTTTACTGCGAGGATTTCAAGTGCTTTCCAAAATTTTGGAATAAATTCTTAATCTTCCACCAAGCTTCTTTTGTTTTTTAAAAAGTGATAGCTAAATGTAATCAATGCAGATGGAAGCTTGAAAACAAAAGATATTCTGTCATACTGTAATCCATGGAGACATCATCGAACCTCAGACTTCTTCTTTTTTTACATTTACAAAAATCAATAAAACATAGTTCTTTCTTAATACAATTACCAATCAAAAAAACTATCATCAAATATCTCCAGATGCCGTCCTAAAAAGAACGTTTTGATTTGGAGATGCTGAATAACCCTCGTATCAGTCTTCTTGTGGTTACAAACCAAACTGCTTTAAACACAATGCGCTTATAGCAATTCCTTAACAACCAATGTCTCTAACAACGGCATCAGCCTCGTTTAATACGTGCCATTCTTAAAAAACGCGTTAGAGTCTACAGGTATCTTTCATTGGGGTGATGTGTAAAGAAATGTAAATTGCCACAGAAAACAACAGGATCAAACTGACACCTGAATAATGCTGTGTTCCAAATAACCAAGAGAAGGCTGATATAAACATGCACTCGCAACATCTCTAAAAGCAAAATCATTCTTTTGTAGCAATCTGGAGGTATTGATGTAGTAGTTATTTCTATAAAAAAATGTATAGAGAGAAATAGCAATGTGTCATTGCTTTAGAATTGGAAAAAATAGAAGAAGCCAACGGCTATTGTACCAAAACTTTGCAACAAGAAAAGAAACTTGCTGAAAGTTTTTCAATTCAATCCAAAACTCAGCAAAGCATTTCAACAGCTTAGAGTTATAAAAAAAATGCATGATCCGATAAAACGATTTTACATAATGCAGTCAAACGTTCACTGATATAAAACATTAAAGAATAATAATAAAATATTACATCAGTGAACGTTTGACTGCATTATGCTTAAAGTTAATTGAAATCAAACACATTATGGATTGCCTTCTAGAAAAATTCGTGTGTAATCTTTGTTGATACCATAAGAGCGTGAACTTAACTTAACACCAACTGCTTTAGAAATAGTACAGCAAGGATTCAGTACAGAAATAATTATCTTAAATTGTTAACCCTCGTTGTCCTTGTGTGTCGCAGTTTCAGGCATACAGTGGGGTGCAAACTTAGCAACTAAGCTATGTTGGTCATCATATCAACCAGGGGAAGCTTAGCCTGATGTTTCAAAGCATGGGTGGATGGCAAAATATAACTCAAAGCGATGTAAATTGATAATGAGAAAAACTAAATTGTTTCAAGTTAAATGTGTGAATTATAAAATGCTTTTCATATTGCTTCTACTACAATGAATTACAATTCACCACATAATAATTGTGAGTAAACGTGCATAGTTATCATTAAATATTCACTGTTTTTTTTGGGCAAAATGCCCCCAAATTTGTACTTTATGAAATACTTTTTCATGGCATTGATTTTTTCGACATATATTTAAAGGGGTCTATGATTTGTTGCGTTTATGGAATTACGCCTGCAGATCTCTGTTTACCATGATGATTCCATACACTGGGGTCAATACCTACCTGACAATATTCTTTTAACTTTCTCAGACAGCAGGTGATACTTACCTCAACCAAAGTCTGGTCTATATGGCGTAGTAGCGGTAATAGCCAAACGGGGGTATCCACAAAGCTAGATTTGATTGTAGAATATTTCATATAAGCTCATACGTACCTTTTCTCTAGTGTCATGTATTACTTCATCATCACTATGACTTGAAGACTGAATCACAAACACTCCACTGCTAAACGAGCGCAGTCTAAATAACAAAGTCACTCCACTAAAATCATGTTATTAAATCGTGGAAACTTTTTTCAAACAAAATTAAAATCAACTATGTCCATAAAACATAAATTAAACACTGAAAAGTGTTATAATGAAAAAAATGACTATGAATAGACAATGAAATAATCATATTTTATCAGCAAAATCCACCTTAAAGAAAGTCCAAGTGACTGAAACAGTTGGGAAGCATTCAACAAGTCTTCAGGAGAAACCAGCTACAAAAATCAAAGCTATATTCGCTCTATCCTCTCATCAATGAATTGACAAAAAATCTAAACCTCCATTCCTCTAGCTCGATTAAATCTACAATAAACATCGGTTAAAGTCATCATGCCTCCTTCAATCTAAATAAATTCATTCAGATATTTCAACAAATTGTTTTGATCACAAGACATACAGTGATAAATATAAAAATCAAACAAATAACAACATCTGCTTCAATACCACATGCCTTTAACTGTTCACTTAAAAATATTTCCAATTCTTTTGCAAGTTTCTTGTGATAGCTTGTACCACTTCCATGGGTTTCCCTAAAATTGAACTAAGTCATAATTGGACTCAATATTATCCTACATCTGACTTTCTCTTGCACCTCTCAATGAAAAAACAACGTGAATTGTGGTGCATTAGTTTACGTCTACATATCTGTTTTATGAAAATAAATTATAAATGCTATCTGACAATTAAGAAATAAGCATGCTTAAAATTGCCCATAAGTAAACTTTGACAATCATTTCTCTAATAAAACATCTAAAGTTGTTTAATGCATCAATCTCAACTCCAGCTGGAATAAACATCATACACATTTGTCCTCAATGTCTCAAGCAGTAATTTCAAGAGTTCTTTATCAGAATCTACCTTGTAACCGGATTGGATATTCCCACACTAAGAAGATAGGATTTGAATAAAATGGTCTAAAAAAGTAAAAATAAGTTTACATACAAGTGTATACCATTTAAGAAATGTATGAAGAAACGTAAAAAATGTGAGCGTTTAATCGCTTTCAATGATTAACGGCCGGGCGTTTAATAAATCTTAGCCGTTCCAGCGAAGCGTTAAATAAGTAAAAGATATTCAATATAGAGGGGCGTTTATATCATTTTTATTGCCTTAGTTTGAATAGGTGAAAAGAAAACAATAACTAAGTATTTTGTTTCTCAGCCCAATCAACAAGCCACAATAGTAATGATATTATGGTAGGGTGACTGTGTCTATTAGAAAAGGGCGTTTATTTCACAAGGCGCATTTATTGCATCATTTAAAGCATATGAAATCGCCTCTATCGCGTATTGTATGCAGACAGTATAGTAAAATAATTTTTCCCTTCCTTCCATAGGGCATAGAATAATAATTTGTTTCTTTGCATAAGGTAAAAGCTTTTCCCTGACACCATTGATGAAGTGTTGCACATTTACACATGAGTGAGAGCTCTGGTAACTGCTTATCCGTATCATACACGTATCACATTATATCCGTATCATACACGTATCACATTATATCTGTATCATACACGTATCACATTATATCTGTATCATACACGTATCACATTATATCCGTATCATACACGTATCACATTATATCTGTATCATACACGTATCACATTATATCTGTATCATACACGTATCACATTATATCTGTATCATACACGTATCACATTATATCTGTATCATACACGTATCACATTATATCTGTATCATACACGTATCACATTATATCTGTATCATACACGTATCACATTATATCTGTATCATACACGTATCACATTATATCTGTATCATACACGTATCACATTATATCTGTATCATACACGTATCACATTATATCCGTATCATACACGTATCACATTATATCTGTATCATACACGTATCACATTATATCTGTATCATACACGTATCACATTATATCCGTATCATACACGTATCACATTATATCTGTATCATACACGTATCACATTATATCTGTATCATACACGTATCACATTATATCTGTATCATACACGTATCACATTATATCTGTATCATACACGTATCACATTATATCCGTATCATACACGTATCACATTATATCTGTATCATACACGTATCACATTATATCTGCATCATACACGTATCACATTATATCTGTATCATACACGTATCACATTATATCCGTATCATACACGTATCACATTATATCTGTATCATACACGTATCACATTATATCTGTATCATACACGTATCACATTATATCTGTATCATACACGTATCACATTATATCTGTATCATACACGTATCACATTATATCTGTATCATACACGTATCACATTATATCTGTATCATACACGTATCACATTATATCTGTATCATACACGTATCACATTATATCTGTATCATACACGTATCACATTATATCCGTATCATACACGTATCACATTATATCTGTATCATACACGTATCACATTATATCTGTATCCTACACGTATCACATTATATCTGTATCATACACGTATCACATTATATCTGTATCATACACGTATCACATTATATCTGCATCATACACGTATCACATTATATCTGTATCATACACGTATCACATTATATCTGTATCATACACGTATCACATTATATCTGTATCATACACGTATCACATTATATCTGTATCATACACGTATCACATTATATCTATATCATACACGTATCACATTATATCTGTATCATACACGTATCACATTATATCTGTATCATACACGTATCACATTATATCTGTATCATACACGTATCACATTATATATGTATCATACACGTATCACATTATATCTGTATCATACACGTATCACATTATATCTGTATCATACACGTATCACATTATATCTGTATCATACACGTATCACATTATATCCGTATCATACACGTATCACATTATATCTGTATCATACACGTATCACATTATATCTGTATCATACACGTATCACATTATATCTGTATCATACACGTATCACATTATATCTGTATCATACACGTATCACATTATATCTGTATCATACACGTATCACATTATATCTGTATCATACACGTATCACATTATATCTGCATCATACACGTATCACATTATATCTGTATCATACACGTATCACATTATATCTGTATCATACACGTATCACATTATATCTGTATCATACACGTATCACATTATATCCGTATCATACACGTATCACATTATATCTGTATCATACACGTATCACATTATATCTGTATCATACACGTATCACATTATATCTGTATCATACACGTATCACATTATATCTGTATCATACACGTATCACATTATATCAGTATCATACACGTATCACATTATATCTGTATCATACACGTATCACATTATATCTGTATCATACACGTATCACATTATATCAGTATCATACACGTATCACATTATATCTGTATCATACACGTATCACATTATATCTGTATCATACACGTATCACATTATATCTGTATCATACACGTATCACATTATATCTGTATCATACACGTATCACATTATATCTGTATCATACACGTATCACATTATATCTGTATCATACACGTATCACATTATATCTGCATCATACACGTATCACATTATATCCGTATCATACACGTATCACATTATATCTGTATCATACACGTATCACATTATATCTGTATCATACACGTATCACATTATATCTGTATCATACACGTATCACATTATATCTGTATCATACACGTATCACATTATATCTGTATCATACACGTATCACATTATATCTGTATCATACACGTATCACATTATATCTGCATCATACACGTATCACATTATATCTGTATCATACACGTATCACATTATATCTGTATCATACACGTATCACATTATATCTGTATCATACACGTATCACATTATATCCGTATCATACACGTATCACATTATATCTGTATCATACACGTATCACATTATATCTGTATCATACACGTATCACATTATATCTGTATCATACACGTATCACATTATATCTGTATCATACACGTATCACATTATATCTGTATCATACACGTATCACATTATATCTGTATCATACACGTATCACATTATATCTGTATCATACACGTATCACATTATATCAGTATCATACACGTATCACATTATATCTGTATCATACACGTATCACATTATATCTGTATCATACACGTATCACATTATATCTGTATCATACACGTATCACATTATATCTGTATCATACACGTATCACATTATATCTGTATCATACACGTATCACATTATATCAGTATCATACACGTATCACATTATATCTGTATCATACACGTATCACATTATATCTGTATCATACACGTATCACATTATATCTGTATCATACACGTATCACATTATATCTGTATCATACACGTATCACATTATATCTGTATCATACACGTATCACATTATATCTGTATCATACACGTATCACATTATATCTGTATCATACACGTATCACATTATATCTGTATCATACACGTATCACATTATATCTGTATCATACACGTATCACATTATATCTGTATCATACACGTATCACATTATATCTGTATCATACACGTATCACATTATATCCGTATCATACACGTATCACATTATATCTGTATCATACACGTATCACATTATATCTGTATCATACACGTATCACATTATATCTGTATCATACACGTATCACATTATATCTGTATCATACACGTATCACATTATATCTGTATCATACACGTATCACATTATATCTGTATCATACACGTATCACATTATATCTGTATCATACACGTATCACATTATATCTGTATCATACACGTATCACATTATATCTGTATCATACACGTATCACATTATATCTGTATCATACACGTATCACATTATATCTGTATCATACACGTATCACATTATATCTGTATCATACACGTATCACATTATATCTGTATCATACACGTATCACATTATATCTGTATCATACACGTATCACATTATATCTGCATCATACACGTATCACATTATATCCGTATCATACACGTATCACATTATATCTGTATCATACACGTATCACATTATATCTGTATCATACACGTATCACATTATATCTGTATCATACACGTATCACATTATATCTGTATCATACACGTATCACATTATATCCGTATCATACACGTATCACATTATATCTGTATCATACACGTATCACATTATATCTGTATCATACACGTATCACATTATATCTGTATCATACACGTATCACATTATATCTGTATCATACACGTATCACATTATATCTGTATCATACACGTATCACATTATATCTGTATCATACACGTATCACATTATATCTGTATCATACACGTATCACATTATATCTGTATCATACACGTATCACATTATATCTGTATCATACACGTATCACATTATATCTGTATCATACACGTATCACATTATATCTGTATCATACACGTATCACATTATATCTGTATCATACACGTATCACATTATATCTGTATCATACACGTATCACATTATATCTGTATCATACACGTATCACATTATATCTTATCATACACGTATCACATTATATCCGTATCATACACGTATCACATTATATCTGTATCATACACGTATCACATTATATCTGTATCATACACGTATCACATTATATCTGTATCATACACGTATCACATTATATCTGCATCATACACGTATCACATTATATCTGTATCATACACGTATCACATTATATCTGTATCATACACGTATCACATTATATCTGTATCATACACGTATCACATTATATCTGTATCATACACGTATCACATTATATCCGTATCATACACGTATCACATTATATCTGCATCATACACGTATCACATTATATCCGTATCATACACGTATCACATTATATCTGTATCATACACGTATCACATTATATCCGTATCATACACGTATCACATTATATCTGTATCATACACGTATCACATTATATCCGTATCATACACGTATCACATTATATCTGTATCATACACGTATCACATTATATCCGTATCATACACGTATCACATTATATCTGTATCATACACGTATCACATTATATCTGTATCATACACGTATCACATTATATCTGTATCATACACGTATCACATTATATCCGTATCATACACGTATCACATTATATCTGTATCATACACGTATCACATTATATCCGTATCATACACGTATCACATTATATCTGTATCATACACGTATCACATTATATCTGTATCATACACGTATCACATTATATCTGTATCATACACGTATCACATTATATCTGTATCATACACGTATCACATTATATCTGTATCATACACGTATCACATTATATCTGTATCATACACGTATCACATTATATCTGCATCATACACGTATCACATTATATCTGTATCATACACGTATCACATTATATCCGTATTATACGCGGAGCGTATATCAAGAAGTAAGCGTGCGATACTGTAAGTAAACATTACTTCATCTTCAGTCAAGGTTCCTTTTCTTTCTTCAATTTTTGATGCAAATCTGTCAGCCAATGCAACCATTTCTTTTGCCTGAAAGTGTGTTAAAGGTATCTTATTCTTAAACTTGCACCAAGATCACAAGACAAAGACATATTACTAACTTACCTTTTCCATCAAGGCATCCAAATCTTTAAAAGCCTAAAACACATTTATATTTTATTGCCTGCATGCCATTCATATATATGTATGTTATAATCCATAAAAAACGATTGATTTTAAAGAAAATGAATAAAGCATAACATGCAAATATAAATTCTTCTTCCTCCCCTAACCCAATTTCCCAAATGATTAAGTTGGCTACACAACTGCTCAAAATAAAATGTATTAAAAACAAATGTGTTGATTCCAGCCTAGCTACAAAAACTCAAACAACCTATGTAGCAAGCTTATAAACCTGCAGTACATTAATAAAGAAGGAACTAAGATTCTGTTACAATGAGAGACTTCTACCTGATTGATTGCTGTATCTGTAGCACGTGATTTTTCCTCTAGATTTCTTTCAATTCCCAGAATTCCTGGACCACGCCTCTGTATCTGCAAAATTAAATGAGATTTGATGTGATATAGACAATATAAAAAAATATTATGAGAGATGAGTTACTTTCCAAAATTGGTAGTTACTGAAGCTTAATAATTGGAGGTCTATTATACTTCATAATCAGGAAATTAATTTGTTTTTTTTGTTACTAGTAACAAGTCCCAGGCAGTTTTACAATTCATATTAAAAATGACCAAAAATGTCAAAAAGATCATGTAAAATGAATTATTTAACTCTGATTTGTTTCTCTGGGTTTGTTTGATTTGATATAACTGTAATATCTAACCCCATAGACAAGCAATTATGATTTAAAAAATGCACAAGAAAATAAAACAAGAGCTATCTTTTCCAAGTTCATCACTTCTATGTATGGTATTTAAAATGCTTAATTAAAGACAGTGAAACAGAAAGAACTATTTTTAGAATTTATTTAATACAGCATGTGCTTGCATTTAGTTTGTGCTTGCATTTTGTTTGTAGATTATTTTAATAACCATTAACCAGCCTATTTTAATGAGGTAATCAGATAAATACTGATTCTTTTGAAATTAGCAATTAAATCAGCTTCACAGATTATTTTCTGATTAATTGGCTTTACCCGTGATTGAACAATGTTTGAGTCAGCTTGAAGATTTGTAACTGTAGAAGACTGTAACCATAATTTCTTCATAAGTTGTTGCTCTAATAATCTTCTAAACTGAAACATTTCTATAAAGGTCTGTATTCTCAAAAACACATTATAGTTTTATTAATATTTTTTTGCATTACACATAACACAATATTACACACATACCTACAGTTATAAAGCAGTAAAGGTCAAAGCATTTCAAAAACAAATACTTATATATACCTCAATATGCCCACCATTACGAAAAGACAATTTTATGAAAGCATATGAACTTGAATCAAAAGGTCCAGGCTGCCTGTCTGCAGGAGGAGGATTCAAATAAACAAATAACTTTGCACTGAAAGAAAATAACAATCATGACATATATGTGACATATTTGCAACAAATTTTTTTGGCTTGCTAAAAAACACATCAAAAGATTTTTCTTCACCTTTTCATTAAACCAGATGAATGTTCTTTAACTTTGCTGATCAAAGCAAGAGATAAAGAGATACGTCTATCCTAAATTAAATTTTACATTAAAAACATTTAAATGCTTTCAATTATTTACATACAGATTGATAAATGCTTGATACTTTGAAAAGTCAGCTTAATGACCATGAAGATGCTAGATATTATTACAATGTATAACAATAATAATGTAATAATACTCAATACAAACTGGTAATTTTTGATCCTCCCAAATCAATGAATGAGATGTCAACTTTAGATTTCCATTATCAAAATTAGTCTAGGAAGAAAAGCAAAAAATTCAGGGGTAGAAACTTCCTTAATAAACAGACAGCTTTACTACAACTTGGCCAACATAATTTTTGTGCACATTGTTGTCATGAACTTCTGATGATAATGACAATGTATCTAAAAACTTATTTCAACTACCACATTCACATTCACGTCAGATTGGAAATTGTCTGATAAAAAACTACCATGATTTAAGGTAATACAAATCATTTATAAAAAATGCACATTACAGTTAAATAGCTTTTTATGCCAGAGACACAAATTTTAATTTAAAAAAACAAAATTCTATCATTAACAATAATCCACGATAAAATTTACAAAGATTAATATTACCTTGTCTTCGCCATCGTAAAGCCGCAATCCACGTTGTTGTGTCACCAATATTTCACCTGTTTTGTGTAAGCCGTTGTCATATTTCCAAGAAAATCTATCCATATTCGTTTTATTAAAATATAAAATAACTTTTCGTAGTACAAGTCATAAAATTTAGTGCATTTTTCGTAATTAGAGTTGTCTGAGCCCGCAGTGTTTTGCATAAGCCTGCAGGTCTGCAATATTCATCGTCATTGGAAGAAAATAAGCAAAAATCACGATTTAATACTTAGTCTTTCTTTCTTCATGTCTTCAGTTCGTTGGGCTTTTTGTACGAGTAAATGGAACCCAACAAGATCGGTAAATATGGCATATTTAAAATCACCAAATAATAGCTATAAATGTTGGTATTTGGCCAACCAAATATTCTCTACGTAAGATAATCCCTTTCAAATGTGTATGAGGTTTAGAAGGGCTTGAAAATGAAGATTTCACACTTCGCACAAAAGCATTTCATGTGACACCGCATCGAATGACTATTGAACACGTTTAAAACTGACAAAGTAAAATAGGAATGCGCCCCCCCCAAAAAAAAAAAAATTGAAGCTTCTCTTCATCTATGCTTATTAAGCATCGTAAGGTCTAACTTTCAATGGTGAGGAACCATCAATATTAAGTAGTATTGCATGCTGTAAATTAACTCTTGCTTTCACTTGTCTCTATATTTCATCCCGAACGACGCAAATACCCTGATTTCTTTTTCCTAGCTTACTTCCAAATGTTTATCTTCTACTTTTGTTATTTACTCCTCAGCTGTATCAATTGTTTTGTATTTTAGCTGTAGTTTTTCATGTTTTTAAAAGGAATGGTTATTTGCACTATCTTGTATTCAAAGTGAAGAAAGAGAACGTGTCTTATCATTTGTGTTTAGGAGAGATGCAAAATCAGCTTTAGTAAGACTTATCCGATACTTCATGTATTACAATACTTTATGTATCCTTTTCTGAAATACATTTAAATCATGTTACGACTTGTTGCAGGTTGGTCGTCTTTTAATGCGGAAAGTTTTATCGGAAAGTTTCGTTCTTTCCAATTCAGAAATAAAGTTAGGAAGGACAGGCAATGGAAAACCTTACGTTGTAGGTGATAAATACAAAATTCGTATTGATAGCAAAAATACATGCTTCTCTCAGTTCTTGTTCTTTTAGATAAATGCAAAGGACAATTTCTACTTCAACGTTTCACATCAAGTACTTTTAATTTTTCTGATAAAATCGTTGCTTGTTTCATACATCGATTGATTATTATTTTCAATAATAACCAGGGAGATTATGTCGTACTTGCTGGAGAAAAACATTGCAATGGTACGATTTGATTTAAGATCTAGACGCAATAAAACAAATGTAAAGTAAAGATTTAGTAATTTACAAAACAAAAACAATTCTTTTCAGTTGGAGTTGACATCATGAAGACGGAGCTTAAAGGTTTCGACAAACCATATTTTATTTTGCCCTTACTTGAGCGTCAGTGAAACTCGTGCATGTCTTATTGATTAAGGAAATCAAACATTAGATGAATTTTTTCATTCAATGCGGCGTCAATTTAGTTGTAATGAATGGCAAACTATTCAAGATCGTTCTTCTGAAGAAGAAAAATTGGAAATGTTTATGAGATACTGGGTAATGATGTGTTATCATATGTGTAATATGGAAATTTGCTAACCCATAAATTTGTTATTTTAGTGTTTAAAAGAAAGTTATGTTAAAGCCCTTGGTGTTGGACTTGGTTTACTGAAAAAACTTCGAACAATTGACTTTCACATTGACAAGGAGTTTCCACGTTTAGCCATACAGGTATAAGAGAAAAAAACATGGAGATAAATTTTGTATGGGAAATTATTCATCCTGCGTTAAAACTATTTCAGACAGTGACAAAAAATACTAAACTTTTCCTGAATGATTCGCTTTCTGAAGAATGGTGTTTTGAAGAAAGCAAGCTTGATGAAAATGTAACGTATAAGTAGAAGCATGTTTTAGTGAAAAGATTATTCTAATGATACGACAAAAAATACTATTTTTTATTTTCAGCACCTAGTTGCCGTCGCTCTGCAGCGGAACGATGTGTCGTTCAAAAAAAACGAGTAAGCTTTGTGTGACTGTCAATGTAACAATGTTAGGACATGGAAAAAACAGAAGTATTTATTGTGCTAAATACATACTATTAAAATAGTTTAAGAAAGAAATTAAGTTTAAAGGAGTAAAGAAGCTACATCTATCATTGTATCCTTCAGGAATAACATCTTCCAATTTCTAACCATGAATGATTTGACGTCAAGCCTGTCACCACTAATGACTGTCGAGGAAAGTCTTTGGAGCAAATTTGCAGCAAAAATAAACAGTTAAAAACAGCACGTGTTTTTTATCGAGATTATAACAGCACGTGTTATTAAGTCCTTAATAACCGAGAAAGCGAGGTTATTAAAAGATTTATTATGTGGCATTATATGACCTGAAACGAAGCTTGCTTTCTTTCTTGTCTTTGCTGTTTTGTACGGGTTAAATTTCACTTTTGTACTTCTCTTCCGAAAAAAGAAATCGTTTCAAGTTGTATCGTCTGGATAGTTAAACTGTTGGGACTACTGAAGTTTAGCGGACACCTTGGACGCTGACCCAAACCCTAACCCAGTAATCCTGAACAAAAACGAGCCCGCGCTCCGCATATAAGCGCTTCGGGTGTCCGCTAAACTGCAGTCTAACCAAACTGTTTTCCCAGTGTTTTTCCTTCGACTCACATTCGCAAATGGTTTTTGTTTCGTTTTTTTCTTGCGTTATGTTTTGACAGTCGACTGTAAAATTACGCATTTTAGACCGTGGTCATTTAGGGGAAAATAATGGACCGGCAAAAATATTTCTGAGCCAATCAAAGCTCGCCATTTGCAGGAAGTGACGCTTGCCATAATAATAATCCTTAAACATCCACGTGAATGTATTTATTGAAACTTGTATTTACTACAAATTATATGATCACGTATTAACTAGTTATATACCTTTCACCTTAGAACATTGATTTATAATCGTGGAAAGCTTAGTCTAGCATCAGGATCAATAAATTATGTTTTTTTTCATTACTGTCATTATAGTTTTGCTCATTTATGTTATGTCTAGAAAGAGGTCTTCTAGTTCTCGTATTTCCATTCACAAACGTAAATACGTTTTTATAACTGGCTGCGACACAGGTTTTGGTTTCAACGCTGCTGTGCATCTAGATTCGCTCGGTTTCTCTGTAATAGCGACGCATTTAACGGAAGAAGGAAAGATTAATCTTCGTAAACATTGTAGCGAGAGTTTATGCTTGATTAAAATGGACGTTACTGATTTTGAACAAATTCAGAAGGCATATCGTTTTGTGCAGCAGACAATTACGCCTGGATACGGTAAGATTTATTTTTTGTACTTTTAGCAATCTATTACTGCTTATTGAATATTCTTTTGGGACTACGAAAAACAGTATCTTCTGTTTTGAAAGGTTCAGTTAAACCCACACAATGTGTACAGCAGAAACAAAAGTTAATGTATTATGCATAAAAATACAAATAATGTTGAACGGATATGAAAACGGAGATAACATAAGAATGATTCCTATTTTAAGTTGCTTTTTTTTGTTGAGATTAAACCAGTCGATGATATTTCTGTGAAAACCCGGTTGAACCATGATGTTTATATCTTGAGCCGCTAGTCTCGCAGCTAAACTGTTAGATTTGGAAGGTCTGGGTTTTACCGAATTTTTTACTGTTTTACGAATTTGAAGGAAAAATTAAACATTGATTGTACTATTGACATCCCAAGGCAACGTATAGTTGACAATAACATTCAAAACTTTGCTATTTGAGATTATCAACCGCTAAAAAACTTAAGTGTTCTCTATTTTTCTGAAAAAGTATAGGGCAGTCCTTACCAGACTCAGCTAGACTACTCCTAACTCTTTGGCCATTTTTTTCGAAAGAAAACTGTGCACCCTCTTCTAGCTTTCGTGAACATACTGGTCCAATTTTTTAAGATTTAATTTTTCTCAAATTGTGTGATTAAGTGTGTTTTGGTATCTTTGCAAGTTATTAGGATATACGTATTGGATAATTGATCATAGAGTTTGGCACAAACACGTATGTTTATAACACCTTTATAAGAACCTTTATAAGAATCTTTGTGTTTATAAGAACCGTTATAAGAACCTTAGTTCTTTATCTTATTAATATCCTGTCTCTTCATTATTATTCCTATTCAGTTATTTTGCGCTACGCATGTATGACTTCCCGGCAAGATACTTTCACTTTCACCACCTTTCACAAAATAAGTATGGAATAGTATTGTACAAGAAACTATTTTACTAATAATTTACATTAAAAGCAAAAATTTGCCGAAATTTTTACTAAGAGTTATCATCTTGCGAAAAAGAAAAGATTCCAAGGTTTTATAGTGCAAAATGATATATTTGTAAAAACATCTACATTTTCTTCAGTAGACCGTATTCTGTGGCACAACAAATCGCTTAAAAAACGATTTTCCTTACCCACCATTGGGCAATACATTTTAACGCGATAGATAAGTAGGATATATCATAGAAAGTATAAATGCACTTATTTCCACCTTCAAAGACCAGCAGATTTTGAGTATTTCAGCATTGAAAATTCTGTAATTTGATGTTTTTCGCAATCGATCGACGCCATTTTGATTACGTAATTCAGAAGATACTTGAGGTGGGATACGACATTAAATGCTGATTCTGCAGTTTTATACTCATTTCTAAATGAAGTTACTAGGGTATCTGCTGTTAAGGCAATCTTCAACCAGGAAGCTTTGGATAACGTTTGACAGTGTTTTGAGCAAAAATTTCAAAGTTTTCCAACTGGACTGAAGAAAAAACATGCACTTAAACCCATTTGAGATATTTTAGGCTATTTCTGCTTTAGGAAGAAAAAATTTTGGGCATAATTTGGAAGGTGTTGTCCGGGATAAAGTGGACACTTGTGTTAGTTCTGAACACTGTATTTCTGGAATTTTTCAAACCATTGATTTTTTTGTGTTTATTTAAGCTAAAAATGATGCAAACCTTGGCAGGCAACAAACCATGGAAAGTAACCCCAGAAAAGAATTGTTCTAATTCCACATTATTAGCTTCGTAAAACCTTATAAATAGCAAACTATAGTATGTTCTGGCATTATCTCCTTGATAAATATAAAACACGACAACACATTGAATATCATATTTTATTACCAACCTAATATTAATCTACTTTGAATATACTATATAACAACTTTACAATATTAACTTACTTTAACGTTGGATTGAACCCGGGAGTTGACTTTGGTAGATTACATTATATGTATCATTTCAGTTGGGTTTTATTAACGCATAATCAAAATTCGACGCCCCATATTCCCTTCTTCATCCTCAAAAGAATAATAGGTCGGGTGCAATGGCGAACTGCTCCTCCCTCCCTCCCCCCCCCCCACGTTTGGAGTAGATATAAACCGTCAAATATACAATATCGAACTTAATTTTCTTGATCAAAGGTGGCGTCATCCATTCGTGCTCTACGTAACACCTAGCTTCACAAAATTAGCATTTTCGTCAATTAGCATTTCCAAAGAGATGATAAAATCCACTAAATTCATCATCATCATCATGTTTTTGCAACCCTTCTCATCCTCATCGTCTTCAAACTTTCATTCTGGCAATAACAGCAAAAACACAAATAGGTGCATTTTCACTCAGTCTTTTTGCAAAGCTGGTCGAGCATTCAGACTTACATTTACACTTAACATCTAAATTCAAACGAAGGTTGATGTCTCAAGATATACCCTTTTCATATTGTGTTTCATATTTCGATGATGTATTGCCTCTAACATGCAATAGCCAAATCTAACTTATATATACAGCTTATTTTTGATATGGACGAATAGATTTTCTTTCACCAATTGTTCATGGATAGATGTTTGATGATAGAGGACTGCTATAACGTAGATGGCACACCACTTGCTCCTCAATCTTTGAAGCTGTATCCTGAGTGGAAGTGGAAGACTAAGTGCTCGACCATGAAAAATGCTGATTTCAAAGTACCGATTTGTGCTCCTCTATTAATTGCCTGAATGCAGTGTTTTGGAGATGATAATGACGATGAGAGCTGTTATGAACACCTGATAATGAATTGATGATGATGAGCTTCCTGCATCTGATCTGTACCTTGGAAATGACGATGATGATGATTTTACTGCTAGATGTCACATACAACTCGAATAGGTTGACTCAATGCTATCAAAAAAGCGGAAATGAGTATTTTATATTTGACTGTTAATCTCACTACCATACTTAAATATGAAGAGTTTCTCTCGTGTTTTATGTCATGTTTTATGTACATAAAAGACATAATGCCAGAACATAGTATAGTTTGTTATTTGTAAGGTTTTACGAAGCATATAATGTGCAATTAGAACAATTCTTTTTTCGGGTAACATTCCATAGTTTGTTGTCTGCCAAGTTTCGCATCTTTTTCAGCTTAAACAAACACAAAAAAGTCAATCATTCAAAAAATTCAAGATATACAGAGTTCAGAACAAACACAAGTGTCCACTTTACCCTGGAAGGCGTTGCCCTAAACTGGGAGACAGCACGTTCCAGATTATCCAAAAATTTTTACTTCCTAAAGCAGAAATAACCTAAAATATCTCAAATGGGTTTAAGTGCATGTTTTCGTTTCAGTCCAGTTTGAAAACTTTAAAATTCTTCCTCAGAACACCGTCAAACGTTATCTAAAGCTTCCTGGTTGAAGCTTGCCTGAACAACGGATTGCCGGAAAACTTCAGTTGGAAATGAGTGTAAAACTGCAGAACATTTTAAAATGGCGAAAGACATCAAATTATAGAATTTTCAATGTCGAAATACTCAAAAACTGCGGTTCTTTGAAGGTGGGAACAGGTGAATTCACACTTTCTATGATATATTCTACTTATCTATCGTGTTAAAATGTATTGGGGCAACGAAACTGAACGATAATCGGCCACGGAATACGGCCTGTTGCCATCTAGCGGAAGTAAGGCGTGTCTGCTTAGAATTTGCTTCAGAAAGTGGGGGACATGAACATCAAAGGTTCCGACACGAGTGGACCTTCCGTTAAGATATCTATTCTGTGGCTACGCGTTGTATTAATTATTAATGTTACTTGAACATTATAATCCTAATACAAGTTGCCCTGTTCAAGTAGCTATAAATATCACAGGCTGGCTGGCCCGATCTTGTTTTTAAAGATTTTTTCTTTACTGTACTAGACAACATAATTATTGTACGAGAAAATGTACTAGAATGATAAATGTAATGGAATTAATTTGGGAGTCTTTAACATAAAGGTTTAAGAAGCTGTAATGTGAAAATAATTCTATTGCGGAAAAATTCAAAATTGCTCTATCTAAAAAAATTAAATAAACAAGTAGTTAAAAAAGATTTTTTGAAAGTTAAGGATTTTTCGAAACATCAACTGATTTGTAATTCATCAATTTCTCATTGTACATTGTTTAAGTATTTAGGCGGGTTGTTTGTCGTCCTTTTTTCATGCTTTTGGTATCAGGATAAGATAACTTGTGAAATTATCTAGCTGTAACATTTGGCAGCAGTTAGTGCTGGATATGAACAGAATAGAATTCTGTCTATTCTCTAATCGGATGCAATATTTGCTTGTTATAAATAAATGAAATGGGCAGCACTATTGGGTGCACTGGTTTGCACAGCACTATTTTGTAAGGAATAAGAGCATGTTGTGACCATATTATTTCAGCTGTGTGCAAAACTGAAGATTTGTTTTATGTTTAATCTAGAATTATGGGCTGTCATTAACAATGCAGGGATCTGTAACATCGGTCCGTTGGATTGGCAAAGCTTAGAAACGATTAAAAGAATGATAGATGTGAATTTGTGGGGATTAGTTGCTGTAACAAAAACATTTTTACCACTTTTAAAAAAATCCGGAGGTCGTCTAATAAATCTATCAAGCATTGGAGGTCGGTAATAACGTTGATTTGCTGTTAATTACCGTCTAACGATAGTTTATCTGTTTTTGACGAAAAATCATTTGTTTGTTTTCTCCTTTTGACTACATTTATTTGTTTACTTATAGCTAGAACAATTCGTGAGATTATTCATCTTAAAAAGTGCACATAGAAAAAAAAACAGCCAGTCAATGAAGAAAATTTATATTCATTTAAACTTCTCAATAATTTCAGGACGACTTAGTCTTCCTTACATGGGAGGCTACTGTTCTAGTAAATTTGCCGTTGAAGCTTTCACAGATGCTTTAAGAGTAGAGTTACACCACTGGAAAATAAAGATAGCGCTTATTGAGCCAGGTTTCTTCCGAACAAACATGACATCGAAGGAAAACTTGGCTTTTCAATTAGATGAAATGTGGTCAAATTTATCTCAAGAAAAAAAGACAGAGTATGGGGAGAAATTCTTGGAAAAAAGTAAGATTGACGATATTGTCATCGCCAATTTCCAGAATTATAATGCACGAAAAACACGTGGAAAATAGACAATAGTTGTGAAGTTGAATTTTCAAACTGATAAAATTCAAAGTTCCATAAAAACACATATTTTATTAAATGGACACTCTGCATTTTCAGCTAAAAGCAACATTCTTTCTGGAGTGGTAGAAACATGCGCCTCAGAAAATATTCAAGTTGTAACAGAGGCTATTGTTCATGCTGTGACCTCATTCCATCCAAAGATACGTTATACGTTAGGCTGGGATGCAAATATCATTTGGATTTGGTTGTCACGTTTACCGTCAAAGGCAGGGGATTTTATGAAATATCATATTTGTAAAATAGAAGCTCCTCAGATAAAAATACAAGAAAACTAAAATCGTCAAGAGTTACAACTTTTATCTCTACGTTGATTCTAGATTATGAATGTTTCGATATTAGTAGCTTCGATAGTTGTTTTCTTAACTCTTATCATCATTTCCTCATTTTTTGTGTTATTTCAATAAATCATTAAATAAAGCTCGTGCTTTTTCTCTCCTACATGTGTAATTGGAAAGTATCAACAATTGTACCCAAGTTATTCAAAGTTACAAACATGACTGTTGAAAACAATTGTATGTTAAAATGTTAAAATATACTACACACGATAACATTAAACTAACTTATAAAACTAACTTATCAAGTATAAAAGATAAAAGTTTGAAGTAGTTCATATTGCCATAACCTGTTACATTGAACATGCAGCATTTTCAGCATTATGAACCTGTTACATTGAACATGCAGCATTTTCAGCATTATGACAGAGAAGTCCATCTTTACTGGTTATTTTGAACAATTTGTGAATATTTGTACAAAAGCATAATCGATAACTATCCAGAGTATTGACATCAGGAGCCTCAGGAGAAGGTACATTTTTCATTGTGTAATTCCTTGCTTTGAATGACATCTCATCCTAATTCAATTATTCCAATCAATAATAATTAAAACTACACTCAGTCTAAGTTTCCTAATGATTACAGTACAAAGTGCAGATGAACTCACCTTCTTTCCAACAGAAAAATAAATCCTTTCCTTTGCCATTGCATTCAATCTTTTTGAATCAATAAATACATTTTCATTTCCCCGAATTGTTATGTTTCCATTTGACCTTATTTTCAAATCTTTTCCATCATCACTAGTTATCTGAAACAATCCAATTTGAAAACATTAACGATAATTATTCACTTTCATTCACATCAACAAATAATTCTTGCCGGCATCAAAACTTTAAAAAGTTAATAAATATGATTTGCTTATTTCTATTCAATTTATTCAAAGATGCAAATCATGTTAAGCTTATTTATTTTCTTAGGTACCCTGTGTGAAACAACATATTTTGTATCAAGGTCCTTCACTTTCGCAGGAACATCCCAAACTACTTCATGTTCTGCTATATGAAGTATGGTTTTATTGATATCTGTTGATACAATCCGGACTCCGCCTTTCGCTTGCAATAATGTTTGATCAATTCCAACTTGCACTATAAAACACAACCACATCTTTTTGATATTGTAGCAAGCAATGATTAACAATAAAATCAATGAGACTAATCATCAAAGCCATAATCAACAACATCCTTACCAAAACTGCCATCATCTTCAACTCCGACATGACCCATTTTCAACTACAATCATACACAATACATACCAAATTTAAAATTGAATTTAAAAGTAAATAAAAGTTCAAGAAAGCACTATCAATCAACTTACAGTTGCATTATTCCCTTGGATATATAAGTCTTTATTTTTAAATGCTCCAATTTCACCAGTTTTTAACACAACTTTTCTTAAGTTTCCACCAAACATCCACCTCACAAGGCCAGATTTAAACAAAGATAAAGACTCCATGCCAGATTTATCAATGCGTAAAACACTAAGCATGATACATAGCATCTACATCAGAAAACACAATCAACAAAACAGTACTAAATGTTGAATAATATTTTAAAAGACATAACATACCACAAGATTAACAAAACAGATGATGGCAAGTAAGTAAAAAAAGGCATAATATATGTATCTCTTTCGTCCACGGATTCCAGTCCGATGTAAATGACGTTCGTGAATAGGAATTCTTCCAGCTTTAAAATTACTTTCATGTTCTTGTTCAATAGCTCTTTTTTCTTTTAATTTTTGCCACATGCCTTTTCTTTGACGACTGGAGTTGTTGCTTGCCTGCAATTTACAATGTCAAGTAGAAAATTGCAAGGTTTTCTGCAATCAATCAACTCACTGATAACTAACTAACTAGTTCTCAATTTTTTAACCAGTGCTGAAATGTGAATTCTAAATTCAAATATGACACATCATTAAAGGTAATAATAGGCAATAAGATTTGTACACAATAAAAACACAGTCCATGCAATATAGCCAGAGTTCATACAAGACCCAAGGTCTTTTTGATGTAAGTTGTGCCTGAACAACTATAAATGCAAACAATAATTCTAGCAAAATAACCAGACAACTTAGAGGTAACTTAAACATGACTTTCACAAACTTCCCCTAATTTCATGCTTTTCCACATCAAAGTATGCAGTAAATTAACATTGGCATCAGGAAAGTGTGAAGTAATTCATTTTGTTCTTTTGTCCTCTAGATCAATATTTTAAATATCTTAAAATAATAGGAACAAAGCCATTTACTGGCACTAAAAGAAAGGAAATAGAACTATATAACAGATACATTAGAAATATTTGACCAAAACGATATTGCCATTCAATAAAATGCCTTGTTTTGATATCCTTAAACGAAATGTTTAACAAGCGAATTGTGAAAGCAATTTTAGAAATAGTTGACATACATGATCTCGTATTGAAATTAATAAAAATATTGACATGTTACAATTCCAAACATTTACTCGGGTAATTTAATCTTCGTAAATACAATTACAACACAATCTCAATAACATACATTTAAACGATTAGAATAAAACCAATGGCTGCTGAATCAAAAACATATTCAACAGATAAGAATTATCAACACATACACTAAAAGCATAGCATGTCAATTGTCATTAACCAAAAATCATTCAATTAAATCAAAATATCTTACCATTTTTATCACAGTCCTTCGTTGACAAAAATTCTTCTTCTAAGAAGTAAGTTATGCTGTATAAAAGAGAAAAACTCAAAAGAAATCAAAGCAGATTGGGTCTCGAAGTGTCAACTAACGTAATCGCACTAAATGTTATGTTATGATTTTGTTCCATTGCATTTTATAAACTTTACCCGCAATGCCCGCTGAGTTTTGGGTGGTAAGGAAATGGAGCATGCTGGGAAATGTACGAATAAAATGTGCACCGTGTATATTTGTATATTTCTCATTTCACGTGGATCTTGCACTTTCAGTTTTACTTTTTATGTTTAATTTATATGGTTACTTTCCATCATGTTGTGTCAAGTTATGTCTCACGCTTTACGAAGTATACGATTAAAAAATTTTAAGCACGGACATGCTGTTAAACATTTTTATGCAATAAAAAAAACTCAACCGGAGATTTTTAGTAAACCTCTCTTTCGTCACAAAAGTAAAACCAGCGAAGGATTTTTTTCCTCTGGAAATGTTGTCATGGTTACAGGAGTTGGTCTGTTGACTGGAGTGATGTTTTATGTGGGTAAATTTTACGTTGCTCTAACCATGTGGGTTACTTATATATAAATATTTCCTTAGGGAGCCTAAAGTATAGCCCCCTAGCAAGGAAGTGTACAGAATGCGTACTGATATGTCACATCTGTAATGGTTTGCTGTAATCAACTATCTTAGATTGCTTTATTTTAAATGTTCTTAAAGAATTTTTGTGCTTTATAAACGTTTTTTAATCTAAATTAACCAACATTTCAATGAGAATGGTGCACTTTTTAATGAAGTGTTAATTAAAGACAGCCTGAAATTTTCAATTTAGGCATTTTATTTTGAAAAGTTGGGGAAAATTCCTAAGCTTTCGAAGGAAACTACTGAACTGCTAAAGGTATGAATTCATTAGTTCTTTTTGAACATATGTTCTTTTTTAACCACATATGTTCTTTTTAACCACATATGTTCTTTTTAACCACATATGTTCTTTTTTAACCACATATGTTCTTTTTTAACCACATATGTACTTTTTTAACCACATATGTACTTTTTTAACCACATATGTTCTTTTTAACCACATATGTACTTTTTTAACCACATATGTACTTTTTAACCACATATGTACTTTTTTAACCACATATGTACTTTTTTAACCACATATGTTCTTTTTTAACCACATATGTACTTTTTTAACCACATATGTACTTTTTAACCACATATTAATTAAACATATATAATTATTTCTTTTTGTACAATAGGTACTTTTGCAAAAACACATGTACTTTTGTAATGATTAATTCTCAATTTGCAATACTTTCATCTTTTTTAAGAAAACTAATTTTGATGAATCAGTTCAGGCAAACAAAGTTCTTGTTGTGGAAGATGAAAAGGGTACTATGGAAAATACAAAAATTACTTATTTTACATCTTTTGTTTTTTCATGGTTATCACATCTTGCCCTAAAATTTATATTGTTATTTATTTTAGTTGATATAAATCCTGCTGATGAAAACCTTCCTGAACATGTTCCTTATATTTTGATTGGTGCTGGTACAGCATCATTTGCTGCTTGTCGAGCAATCAAGAAAGAACAACCTGATGCTAAGGTAGACTGGAAAATACATTTTACAATTCATATCTCTATTTCATGAGTGTTCATTTCTTACAATGATATCATTAAAGAAAAATTACTTGAAATGAATAACTAATCTCATTCTTTAATCATTTATGGTTATAACGCATAGATTCTTATCATTGGTCAAGAGAAATATTCTCCCTACATGCGTCCTCCATTGTCTAAAGAATTATGGTATAGTGAAAATGCAGAATCAATGAAAACCTTGAGATATAAAAATTGGAGTGGGAAAGAGAAAAGGTCAGCGAATTGTACAGCCATACGTATAATGAAATTGAAATGGCAATCCCTACAATTCTATTATATTTTCTCTTGCAGTTTGTTCTATCAAAGTGATGATTATTACTGCAAGCCTGATGAATTAATATCATCAAAAGAAGGTGTAGCATTACTAACTAGAACTAAGGTATTTACCACTTGACATTTGAGAACCTATGACAGCATAAAATACATTCCATGTTTTATTCAGGTTATTGCTGTAGATTCTAAAAATCACAAAATTAAACTACATAATGGGAAGGAAATAAGTTATGACAAGCTTTTGTTAGCAACAGGTACATAACTTTTATTCACTATGAACATGTACATCAGTGTGCGAATTAACGGTGTTCAATGTGCAATTTGCACATCGTTTTAGCTAAAATGAAAGCAATTGCACATCACTTTTTCAAACGATGTGCAAAAAACTTCTTTATTGATTACTACCACATAAATTGAAGAAAGTTTTCAAGCTTAATCTTTACTGATCTTTACTTTATAAACAAGTGCGCTGCACGACATTAAAATCCATGTTGGCACAATGTCATCAAATTCAAAGACGTTATCACTTTGAGACTGGGAAGTCTGTCAACAGTCTACATTCATGGTGCTTATATGCTTATGACAATAGGGGTGTAATACATTATTAATGTCAATTTTTGCATTTTTGTTGTTTTGTAAACCGTTACGTACTGTTTTTGGCATCATAGCTATTTTGAATATTTTCAGTAAAATCAGGAAACATTTTGATTTTGATTCTTAAAAGTTGGACAAAAAAAACTTCAATAAGCCAAATTTGAAGAATAAACCAAGGGAATTTTGATTTTAAACAAGCCAAATATGAGAAAAAGAGGCCAAATTTGGCCCAAAATATTACGCCACACTGGCAACCTTGATCAGCCATAATTTTTTGTAATATGACATAAATATGATGTTTTTTATCGTAAGTAAACATCAAGGATGTTACTGTTAATAATCAGAAAACAAAAGTATATTCGGTTATACTCTTTTCACTTTTGTCCTTCTTGTCATTTTCGTCGAAAGGTTGTAGCTACCAGCAAAGTTAATACAGTAAAAAAATGGATGGAAACATCAAATGCTGACTCGTTTGATTACTAGGATGATGGTCAAGTGGTGAATTTATTGCGCTGTAAAGTTTGCACAAAAAAGGAGGAGAGAATAACATGCGAAAAATTTTCTCTCATACATTTTATAACTGGATCAGCGGTTTTAACAATAAACACTGTCGTAAATCATACGAATTTGTTCACGTTTAAGAATATTAATTTAGCAAATAGCGCTATATAATAATGAACGTAATATCGATTTCATTATGAAAAAATCGCACATCGTTTTTTTGAGCTAATTAGCACGATGATGTAAACTGCTGATAAGTAAAGCTGTGTTAATTCTTTAATGTTTAAGGTGGCACACCAAAGAATCTTAAGGTCTTAGAAGAAGCTAACAATGACGTGAAGAAAAGAACAACTCTATTCAGATCAGTTAGTTATTTTCACAGAAATCTACTATTGATGTATTTGATGTATTTTTGAAATTGTGTCATCTGTCAGATTTCAGATCTTCAATTTCTTGATAATGTTTTACACAACTCAAAATCAATAGCAATAATTGGTGGAGGATTTCTTGGTAGTGAACTTGCATGTGCTCTTGGTTATAGAGGTAAAATGTTAGTTTTCATGGATATACAATAATTGTGATCTTCCATTTGTACTTGCTCATGGATGTGCAATTAGGTATATAAAAAAAGAAAGTAAATCCAACGTTTACATGTTGTAACTTTAACCATCTTCAATGAATTTGAGAAATTCTTTAGTTAGTACATAAATTTTTAAGGACTTAAATAAAAATGGTCCAAATTGCATATTTTAACTACTGAGACTAAGCAATAATGCATTAAAAATAATTTGTACATGAGCTTTCCAAAAGGTGATTAGAAATCCAAAATTGTCTAGCTGAAGTGTTATTGCAATTGAATTACTCTCTTGAAAGGGGAAATAGTGAAATTACAACTGAACTGTGCACTTTGATTGTTAAAAAGTTTAAAAATATCAAAACACACATAAATTACATAAAAAAGTAAAATGTCAACTTGTTTCATTTTGATGTAAAGGCAGGCATTCGTCATTGTTCCTAAACGAAGATTTAGTTCTCACTAATGGAAATATTCTAATATATGTAGATATCTACAAAAGTACAAGAATATTTCAAACTTATTAAATAGTTGTTGAAGTTACAGCTCATAAAATTTGGACTCACTTTTTTATTCTGTACAATGAGAAAATACTCAAACATTGACATCAATCAACTCCAATAAGTAAGTTTTCTACTTTCTACTTTATAAATTACTCCCAATAAAGACCCTCATTTTTGCAATAGAAAATATTTTGCACCATTTGACGGATTGTGTTCCACCATTACTAATTAAGCCCTTATAAACCAAGTGCGAGGTCTTTAATTGTAATACTGGACCGAGGTGGTACCTAAATATAGATGTCCAATATTTTTCAGTAGAGACCAAGCAAACGAGGTACCCGACACGAAGCTTTTTCTTTTGTTTGTTGTTTCGCAAAAGTTTGCTCTAATTGTTTCGTGGAGATGATAAAACTCATTTTCCAAGTGTTTTTCCTTCGACTCACATTCGTACATGGTTTTTTGTTTCGTTTTTTTTGCGTTTTGCTGTTTGCCTTACAAATTCACTTGAAGTGGCGCTTGTCATAATAATCATTATCCAACTCTTATGAGATGATTTATTTTCAGGGCAAAAGACTGGATGTAAGGTTACCCAAATATTTCCTGAGGAAGGTTTGTCAACAACAATCTTCATCAACCATTATTATTACGCTATGTATGTAATAAAAGTTAATTATTTATTTATTTGTTACTTTGGATCAATTGGGATTAAAGACTGCTGAAAAATATTTGCGCGAGGCCTCAAATGTGGCCCGAGGCCGATGGTCGCTTTTGAGACCTAGTGAAAATATTTTTTATGTACGGACAGACCAAAGCGGTAAATAACAAATCTTATTTTATTTTTATAACGAAGAAATCCACGTTGTAAAAATGGTCGATATGCGGCTTGTTTGATACTGAAATTGCATTGTTTTTGTACAAAATTCAATTCGTCTGGATGGTAAAATTCACTCTCCCTTTAATGACTACCATCTGAATACACTTTTCTTTCTCGTTTAACAATTTACGTCGCTTTTAAATCAATTTTAAAAAATTTAATTTCACTTTGCATTTTGTAAACAAATGCATTGCGAAAAAAATATCTTTGGACCAGGGTTAAGATATGGAAAAAACTGCCGCTTCTGCAGCCAATGAGATTACGAGAAATCTAAAGACACCACTTTGCATGCATAAATAAGAAATAATTTTAGTTATTGTCAAATGTTAATTGTTATTGTTAATTTAAATGTGAATTTCATTATTTTAGGTAACATGGCAAGAGTATTACCCCGATATCTTAGTAATTGGACAACAGAAAATATTACTAAAGGTGAGATTGTTTGCGTTAATGTATTTTTAGCAGTACAACAGTATAACGTTTTTGGCTTTTTGCTACTATTATATTTTTATAGAAGGCGTTACTGTTCTTCCTCAATGTCATGTTGATAGTGTGAAGTATAAAAATGGAAAAGTTACTCTATTTTTAAACAACGACAGAGAGGTTTTATAACTTTTATTTAACTATCCTTTACAATTTACGTTATTCAGCGTATGTGTTGGCACAGGCTTATGCAAACCGAGGAGACCTTTGGGAGAATTCAAGAGCAGATCAGTGCAAGCCCGAGACCGAAGATCGATGGTTGCCCTTGCCCCGAGGTTTACACAGTTGCCCTTGCCCCGAGGTTTACACAGTTGCCCTTGCCCCGAGGTTTACACAGTTGCCCTTGCCCCGAGGTTTACAGTTGCCCTTGCCCCGAGGTTTACACAGTTGCCCTTGCCCCGAGGTTTACACAGTTGCACTTGCTCCGAGGTTTACACAGTTGCCTTTGCCCTGAGGTTTGCACAGTTGCCCTTGCTCCGAGGTTTACACAGTTGCCCTTGCTCCGAGGTCTGCACAGTTGCCCTTGCTCCGAGGTTTACACAGTTGCCCTTGCCTCGAGGTTTACACAGATGCACTTGCTCCGAGGTCTGCACAGGCTAATGCAATCCTAGCTATGGACCAATCACTGCGCGCGTTTTATTGTTTTTATTCTATAAATATTTTGGTGATTGCACGTAGTAACAATGCTTGATACGTACATATAACGAATGTTTCGCAGTTAGAGGTTGATCACGTCATTGTTTCTGTTGGTTTGGAAGCAAATGTTGATTTGGCAAAATCAGCGAGGCTTGAAGTTGATCCAGAGTTGGGAGGATACAGAGTCAATTCTGAACTTGAGGCGAGATCAGACATTTGGGTCGTAAGTAGAAATATTTATGTCGTTTATAGCGTACCATAGCAAATGTTTCTGTCTTATTTCAACATAAAAAATTTAACAACACAATATTAACATCAATCCTGTTCGCAATACTCCTGAACTATTAGACGCTCTAAAATTTTTTATTAAAAATCAAGAGTAACCTCCATTATTAAAGTTATAATTTATTAAAGTAAAATAAATATGAAACCATCCACTACACCTTGTTTCACGACCTACGGCGATCATCAGGTAAATGAAAACAATTAAACTATTGTTCCGTTAACGTGACGTGTGCTCATGACGTACATTATTCAAATTAATAAACTGTCAAGCGCGTTTAAAACTAAAAATTTTCCGCGCAAAGTTTTAAACGTGCTTGACAGTTTAATGACGTCAGCAGAAACGTCACGATTAACGGAGCTATAGTTTTATTGTTTTCATTCGCCTGATGATCGCCGTAAGACGTGAAATACTGTGTAGTGAATGGTTTCATGATATTATTAATCATTTTTTTATTTCATAATTTTTATTTTGCTCTATTCATAAAGATATTGACCACTCTTTTATCTTGTGTACTTTTTATTTAATTTTCTATGTATATATATATACACACAGGATGTTTTTGGTTTTTGATTTTTTCGATACAGAGTGCAGTTCATACGAGTAGTGCTAAGTTTATATATTAAAGAAAAAAATAAATTTATTAAAGTTGTTTTTATTTTTTTCTTTAACTAATCCGTACTTCCATGTTTGTGGATGTAGATCATCAATGTTTGTAGATGTAGATCATCAATGTTTGTGGATGTAGATCATCAATGTTTGTGGATGTAGATCATCAATGTTTGTGGATGTAGATCATCAATGTTTGTGGATGTAGATCATCAATGTTTGTGGATGTAGATCATCAATGTTTGTAGATGTAGATCATCAATGTTTGTGGATGTAGATCATCAATGTTTGTGGATGTAGATCATCAATGTTTGTGGATGTAGATCATCAATGTTTGTGGATGTAGATCATCAATGTTTGTGGATGTAGATCATCAATGTTTGTGGATGTAGATCATCAATATTTGTGGATGTAGATCATCAATGTTTGTGGATGTAGATCATCAATGTTTGTGGATGTAGATCATCAATGTTTGTAGAATCCTGAGAAGCGGTTCAACATTAGCGGTAGTTATATATTGCTCTGTCTGAATTGATTTTGAGCCCTTTTTTATTTTGTATACATTTTTTATTTGATACTAGGTACAAATAATTTCTTCTTTCACCAGTCGTTGACTTTGAAGAAAAAGTGCTCAATTCAAAAGTAGAGCGAATCTTTATATATTTATTCAAAAAATATAACAAAACTTTTTACTATGACTACTTCTAGTTTCATACCAAATGCTGTCATCAGGTAACGTGATGCAGTATAAAATCGAATTTATCTGTTTTCAGTATTTCAGTTATCTAATGACTGCATTTTACATGAAAGTTTAAGTAGTAACAATAAAAAAAATTGTTTTATTTTGAATGAAATAATGTATAAATATATGTCTTCACAAGTTCCCCACGCGTTGGATTTCTGTCTCTAAAAACAACGCCACAGTTAATCAACTTAATCGCTAAATATTTCCGAAAATACAATGTTATGTTATATTTAGGCTGGAGACTCCGCTTGCTTTTATGACATTAACCTAGGACGTCGTCGTGTTGAACATCACGATCATGCAGTGGTCAGCGGTAAACTTGCTGGCAAAAATATGACAGGCGCCAAGCAGTCGTATTGGCATCAATCAATGTTTTGGTGAATATAACCTATGTTAAATTTTTGTTTTCATATTTTTATCTTGATATTTTTATCTTTTAACTTTATTATTATTCAACAAAAGGAGTGATCTCGGACCAAAAATTGGTTATGAAGCCATTGGTTTAGTAGATTCAAATTTACCAACCATCGGAGTGTTTGCTAAAGCAACTGACAAAGATTCTCCGAAAGCCGTTGTAGAAACAAGTGGAGAAGATTTTAGATCAACAACCGAAGAAGAGGTAATTTTAAAGTATTTTTTGACGAACTGTTGAAACAAAGTGTAACAGTGGTTATTTTATTAATCTATCTTATTTGTAGGCAACATCGGAGTTTTCTCAAGTTTCTAATGTCTTAGATAAAGCTGAAAATAGAAAGTCACTTAAAGAAGGGTTCGGAAAAGGAGTAATATTTTATATGAGAGAAAAACGAGTTGTAGGAATCGTTCTTTGGAATATTTTTGAAAGAATGAATATTGCAAGGAAGGTTTGATTTTCAATAAAAAATTGCATGTTTTTATCCTGATTATTTCTTGTATGTTGGTCGACCATTAAATAATTTTTGTTTCAATTTCAGATTATAATGTCAGAAGAAAACCAAGATGATTTGTATGAACTTGCTAAGCATTTCAATATTTATTCATAAATAAGAATGAAAATAGAATTGGTAACAATATTAAAAAAAGATAGAATTTTGTGATGATCTTTTTACGTAGTTTTTGTGTATTTTTGTGACAAAATTGCGCAAATTGTCTGATTGACGGCTATAACTAAAAAATCAACTAGTCACACTCATCTGCATGTTACTAAAATTGACATATTTTCATTTTCTTATGCAGGTGCTGTCAACCCCCAATACCAACTGTTATAAAAGTTCTAGATCTTTCTTTGCCATAATTTATAATTCCCATCCACTGTTTGTTAAATGATGTATTGTGTAACGTTGGTGTCATTGTAGGGTGTGTGTGGATAATAACAATAACAGCATAACAAACATTATCTATGAGTCATGACGTAATGTATGATACAATACGTTGATTTTGAGAGTACAGTGGCTAGACTAAAGACGTGCAGAAGAAGTCGAGTTTTAGTGTATGAGTGAACAACCAATTCCAATTTATGTGGATATTTAAACCTTCTTTATTAACCAGGTATTTTTCAGAAATTCTTTCATTTCCTAAAACGACTTCGTTAATATGACACCTTTTGACTTGACTAACATAAAAGCAATCATCCCAAGTTACGACGAATACAACATTCTTCAGCCTTGTTTTATGTATGGCACATAGCTGTTGTTTGTTTCTGATAAATAATTTACAAAAGCCTTGGCACAGAAAAAAAACATACTTTAAAGCAATACATTTGCGGTCAAAGGTGCATAGGAATTTTGTCTTAATAAAAAAAACAGCTGGCAGCCTAGCAAGGAGGCAAAGCGTTATTGTATATCTGTGTTTGTGGTGAGTATACAGAGAAAGAGTCTTTTGTTATTTCAAAAATGAACTTGAACAGGATTATACAATTAAACTCTTGCCAAAACAATGAATATTTTTCAATCCAAAATACTTTAGCCCCCAGTGACAGTATGGAGCCTACTGCGTAGATGACATGTCACTCTCATGTCACGGGATTTTTACAAATCTTATTACAAGTGTTTCTATGGAGAATTCATTTCTCGACTTTGCTATCAAAAACAAAAGTAATGTCATCGCATTTTTATTTTATTCATTTAATTACCCACACTCCGTACGTATTGAGAAAACATAAACGTATCTCCGGATTTTTTATAGAAGTATTTATTAAGCTTTCGACTCGGTTCGAAGCACTATATATTTACATATATATCAGTTGTGTTGATATTGTAAATTGTATGAATCAATGAATGAGATAGGATAAATGATGGAATTGTCAAATAGGCAATGTGGGTGAACGGCAAAAAAGCAATGCTTATATAGTTATATTTCAGTCATAAAATTATGAAATATCGATTTCACAATAAGGCGTGTCCATAAACATTGTATCGCGGTATATATTTACTATGTTTTTAATGAAACATCATATTTCACACTACGATATGCTTCGATACGCTGTTGATTTTGTGAGCTTTGTTTTAATATTGTAGCTGATATTGTCTATGACCGTCTATGACCAACAGACAACAGTCAGCTTCAAATTTGGTGAGTTTTATTGGTGTGTGCTTTGTAGTTTCGGTACATATAGATATTTGTAATACTGCGATGCTTATCTTATTCATAATATGAAAAATAGAGACTTTTTGTTGGGTACATAAATATCAAATTTTCCCAAGACGAACGTTCCTTTCTCAAAAGTACTCATGTACAAAACGCAAAACGTTATTTCCTTGTTGAAGTTGAAATATTCTGTGAAAAGTAAGGAATAAACATACCAAGTAATAACTGTCAAATATCCCATATCAAACTTAAGGTAAAATTGAAAACTTCTTTATCTTTAGTTTTACAGCCTCGAAGTAAATGCATAATTTTCCAAGGTAAATACGTTTATCTTAACTTTATTTTCATTTTCTAGATTGTCAGTACATGTACATTAGTGTATATAGAATATTAGATCAAATTTCTGGAAAACATTGCTATGGTAGGGAATAGGAGTGATGGGTATATTGTTTCAGTTGTTTGGATCATATTTGTGTTTTGCCATCCCGCGCTCATCACGTGTACAGCTGGTGAAAATGGAATGTGTTTAGCTAACACTAATTACACCCATATACAATGTATATCATCGCAGTGTAATGGAACAAACTTGATTAATTGCGTACAATCGTGCAGCGAAAACGTTTGTACAAATTTGACTTGTGATCATACTACTAAAAAATGTGAACAGTTTTGTAACGGATGTAAGATTATGAATTGCACTTCTTTGGTTTGTCATCAACAATGTACGGAAGGATTTTGTGAAAAAATGATTTGTGGTAAATCTCTACAATGTAAACAGCAATGCACATACTGTCGAAATCAGTATTGTTATGACAGCAGAGTTTGTCAACAGATTTGTCCTAAGACAACAAGTAATTGTTTGTTAAACTGTTTTCAATCGGAGAAATGCTTACAGAACTGTAACGGAAAGCTTTGTCAAGCAGATTGTCGCAGCAAGCAAAATTGCGTACAAATATGTAATTCCAGAGGAAGTTGTGAAAAATTAGTTTGCAAATCCAAGGTTTGCCGTCAAAAATGTGACAAAAACTCTAATTGTCGTCTTCTTCGCTGTCATGGTGATAAATGTAAGCAAGAGAGTCATGAAGGAAATGTGACAATGGAATGTTTATCAAATGACACTTGTTATCAGCACTGTTATGCTTCTGGTTGTCGTATGTCTTGTGCAGGAAATGTTAAAAGATGTCATCAATATTGTTATGGTGGTGGATGTAACATGACTTGTCCATTCAAAGTGACTAATTGTCACTCGAAATGTCCAGGGGGGAATTGCTCCACAGATTCTATGGTGCACATTACTTCGAAGCCTCTGGAGAGAGACAATCGTGAAAAGTGTAAAAATTCATCTACATTTTCACAATATTCTACCTTATATCTAATTGTAGTATACATACTATTTTGTAGTTTTCAATGTTGATGTACTTTCAAATTTTTAAATCAAAAAACACTCTCTTGTAGAGGCATAGGAAGCAAGTGTGAGTGGGGGGCAAGATTTTTGGGGCAATTTTTCATTTAAAAAAGATATTCTTCTTTAAAAAGGATACTCTTCTTGTAAACAGGGCACTTTTTATATTAAATTTAAAAGCTGGTGGACATTGTCTAGGGCTTCGTTTTTTTACCATTTTTCCGTTTGAAGTAGCTAATTTACGCTTTTTACGACTGTTTCAGATAATATCTGACGAACAGTTTAGTCGCAAGGTTGTTCAGACGGGGAGGGCCATTTCGATTTTCGAGCGTCTATCTAACAAATGACCTACGAGCTCTCTAGGAGGGCTCGACATAATTTGAAAGGGTAACTTTCTCTTGTGTTTTTAACTTTGCAATGTCTCTTTGCCACGTTGATATCAACAAAATTTTCAATACCTTCATCGTTTAGAACTTTAGAACCACCAGTTGGCTAACGGTCACAACCTGGTCATCAGAGTCACAGATGGTCACCTCCGTTTGATGGATGAAAAATTGTACAACGTTCAAGAATGCCGCCATGTTTGTCAAATTTAAAATGAAGCCTGATCTCGTAAATATTTTGATTTTTTCTTTACAAATTTTTCTAAAAGTATCTTTTGCAGAAGAAGAAACAAATGAATCGAATGCTAGGTATTACATCCAGGGGAAAGTTGTGATTCATGGGGACAAAATGCCAGGTGATTAAGCAAACAATGATAAAATAAAAAGTAGCTGACGTCGAGTAAAAAATATGTGCGAGCGAAAGATGAACGTAGATTTTGAAAAATTTTGGCTAATGTGGTGACTATGCAAATTTATTTGTATTTTAATGAGGATAATGTATAGTAACAGAGAAGGCATATACTTATGTATGGAACTCTCAGTCTTTATTTTTAATTTTTACTGTCCCGTATATACATTATATCAAAATTGCAAATGAAAGTTAGTCTTAACTATTTTGTGGCAATCCTTTTATACAATTTCATTATGTCCAAAATGTAAAATATTTTAATGAAACATAGGGTTCTAACAAATAATGGAGAAAGAATAAATAAGATATAGCAAAAATTTCTTAATATTGAACTTGCATGTTTAAAGATGTTGATTGTCCAGGTTAGTATAGTCCTGAGAAGAACTGTTTTTATTGTTTATGACTGACGTTTCAACAACCTTAGCGGTAACAACAACAAAAAACAGTCCTCAGGACTATACTAACTTGGACAATCAACATCTACAAACATGTAATGATTCTCCCGGGTTCAAAGCATTTACTTTATTAATATTGAACTGTTAGAAATCATAACATTTCAAAACATTTCTGCTTTCTTTGACTTTAATCATTTTATTATGTTTAGATTGGACTAGTCAAACAAGAATTTTAGTTAATGGTGGTGAATATATTGGTTTTTTAAAGTCTGATGGTTCATTTATTGTTAATGATGTACCATCAGGTTCTTATATAGTTCAAGTTGCTTCACCTAATCACCTGTTTGAACCAGTTCGTGTTGATATTAATGCTGAACGTGCAAAAATAAGAGCCAGAAAAGTAAACTTTTTGCAAAACTCAGCTGTTGTGAGCCAGCCGTATCCATTAAAATTTAAAGTTAAGGAGCAAGCAAAGTTCTTTGAGAAGCGAGAATCATGGCAAATTAAAGATTTTTTGTTCAATCCAATGGTTGGCCAATTATTAATCCATAGTTAGTTATTAATAATTAGTGTGTTATCTGAAGAGATTTAAATGGTTATTTTAGGTGTTGATGATGGTGTTGCCATTACTGTTGCTTCTTGTTTTACCAAGAATGATGGGACAAATAGACCCAGAGACTCAAAAGGTATTCTGAGAATGTTAATTGATGTCTGATTCATTTATATGGTTTATGTCATTCTCTTCACTTGATCATTTTCTAGTAATAATTTTCCAACAAATACATCGTATTGTTTGTCTTGGATATTTCAAGCACAAGAAATATAAAAACATGCTATGTGAATACTTATTTGTTCAATCAATACAATAGCTATTGATAAAAAAATTTCTAAAAATATGCGTAATAATTTTGCTTCAAGATTTACCAAGCATTTGGTTTCCTTACTTTCACTATGATCTCAATGGTTTTCTGTTCATTCCTTCATTAAACAGCATCATCATTTTATTATTTGGGCATTTCTTCATTTAAGGATCCAATAATTGTTTCCACTAATTTGATATCTAAAAACAGTTGTTGTTCTTTGATATCTAAAAACAGTTGTTGTTTTTTACCATGTCTGGTGCATTCAATGATTTTGACTTAATTTAATGAATACAATGATGTTAAAATTATCAAGTTTATCCAATCAACATTTGTTTTAGTGCATAGCAAACTATAAATTGATGTTAAGTTCTTGTATCTTCTGCTTCATCTACTTTATATTTAACGAACGAATGGTTTAACTTAATGGTGATTTTTCATTACTTTTTCTTAACTATTTATTTCAGGAAATGAACTCCATGAACATGTTTAATCAATCTCAAGAAATGCCAGAATTTTCTGATATGCTTACCAACTGGTTCTCATCTGGTCAAAAGAAAAAACCTGTTAAAACTGTCAGTAAGAAAACTCAGTATGCACGTCGACGTTGACCAAAAGCCGTATTAGAACTGAACTGCTTGCTTATGTAGACCTTAACATAAAGTTGTGGATCTAGTAGAATTTTCTCTGATGTAACTTGTAAACTCGCTCTTTGTGAGCAGAATTAAACTTAGTGTAATTTCGTTTTTGTGAGCAGACTAGAACTTAGTGTAATTTCGTTCTTTATGAGCAATATCAAACTTAGTGTAATTTCGTTCTTTTTGAAAAGCATTAAACTTAGTGTAATTTCGTTTTTTGTGAGCACCCTAGAACTTAGTGTAATTTCGTTCTTTATGAGCAATATCAAACTTAGTGTAATTTCGTTCTTTGTTAGCAGAATTAAACTTAGTGTAATTTCTTTCTTTGTTAGCAGAATTAAACTTAGTGTAAAATATTTTGTTGTTGCAAATATAAATATTCCAACCAACTAGCCATGGCCGACATCTCATTAAGCAATTTTCAAAACAAGGTTAATTTTATCAATGTTATGTAGCAGACTTTACCTTTAAAACACAATGTCAGTGCAAAGTTGATATTTATATAATGTTTTTGGCTAATAATTGTATATGAATTTTTGTACTGTCTTATTAATATTTTGTACCATACATTTTATGCGATACTCTCATTAATACTTGGTACGATAAATAATTACAGCACAAATGTAAAATCTTGATGTATACATCTCATAAATATGAGGTTTATACATTAGAAAACTCAACAAAAAAACATTCAAAGATAAAATTTTAATAAAGTAGGATTCTGTTTTATTATGTTCACAGGATTGTTTTTTTGGGTTTAAACCACATTATCTGCTCAAGAGATCTCCTATCTGAGTTTAATTAGTTGCCCTAAAAAACGCTCATATCGTAAATTCTGCTGTGATCTTGAATACGGAAAATCCTCAACATATTTCAGCATTATGATTGTTTAACCTTGACATTTAAATTGCTATTATGAATTATTTACTTTAAAAGCTGCACGATATAGCATGTAATGTTTAAAGTTTAAGTTTTTGTATTTTCATTGGTGTTTTTAGTAACTATTGACTCATGGCTAGCTTTTAAAAATTGACTCGACTAAATATTAAAATGCAAATTTTTGGTCAATTTATGTGGCGTAGCAACAGTTAAAAAGCAGATGTTTGCTTTGCTTGTTATTTTCAGGTTCTATTTCGTCAACACTATTAAGTAGAAACATCTCCTGTTATGGGAAAAAGACAAAGCACTTTATCCGAACAACACTTGGAAAGACTTCGATCTAAGACTCAATTCTCCGATGACGAAATCAAAAAATGGCATGATATATTCAAAAAAGACTGTCCCAGTGGTAAAATGTCTCGAACAAAGTTTGAGGAGATATACTGCAGTTACTTTCCTGATGGAGACGCAAAGAAATTTGCAAGACATTGTTTTCGAACATTTGATAAAAACAACGATGGAACGATAGACTTTCGAGAATTTTTGTGCAGTTTATCAATTATTTCTCGTGGTTCACAAGAAGAAAAGCTAAAATGGGCATTTTCAATGTATGATATTGATGGTAGTGGTACAATAAACAGGGAGGAGATGTTGGAAATAGTTCGTGCAGTTTTTAAAGTAACAGGAAGGACAAAAGTTAAGTTATCAAGAGATGAAAGTTCACCAGAAAGAATGGCTCATAAAATATTTTCGCTCTTAGATTCCAATAAAGATGGTAATATCAGTGAAGCTGAATTTGTTGCTGGAGCTAAACAATATCCAACTTTTATGAAACTTCTAGAAAACCCAAGTGGTATTTAATGTCAATTTAAATGAATCAAAAGTTTGATCAACAACTTTCTATTCACATAAATGATGCTCAAATTAAAGTGACTGTTTTATTCTCGATGTAAATTGTATCAATATATAGGAATTAGGAATAGCAAAACCAAATCATTTGCCAGTTTGCTTGTTATATTATTTTATATTATATTAGCTACAAGGCCAATTTTAATATTATATATGCTTGCCAGGCAGCTGTGAAATTTTACTCGATCTATTATTTATTTTAAGATAAAATGTTATCAGATTAGTTTAAGCCAGTTTATTTTGATAATGGGCATTGTAAAACTTCTAATACTGATAAGTCAGAAGTTGGTTTGCGTCCACAAAATATGCATTATCTGTATGCATTATTGACGAGTATCAACATAGTAATTTTTATTCTTTTAGATCGTCATACTTTTAGCGTAGCCAATATTTTTGATTTCATTTTCCAGGGAAAGCTCGAACCCCAGGCAAAGCTTCTAGTACAGCAAAATCACTCGGGAACTTTTTAGAGCTTCACTTAACTCGAAAAAGTTATCAACTTTAATAAAACTTTGCTTTAGTTACATGATGTCGTTTTTGGAGGGTGTAGGGGAAAATACTGCGTTCTGACAAAAAATTGACATTCAGAATACACGACAATTAATGATTCCTGTTGCAATTCTGTGCAGACTATAAAAAGGTGTAATTGTTCGTGATATTTTAACTATGAGAAACTACTATTAAAAATCACATAAACTGACATAAACAATTCAATTTAATATAAAACAAGAGGCATGAAAAATTATTTTTATTCATAACTCATTACAGAAGCTAACTACAGTTTCTACATACTTAAATCTGACTATTTTCAGTCTACACAACCATATCTACTCAAAGCGAGATTAGCTTTGTGTAGTCTAACGTGTTACAAAAATCATCTCGAATGAGATTGGAATTCTTATGTTTCTTTGCCAGAGGCGCCAGCAAGGTTAGGGGTGGGCGAGTGCGTCCTACTAATATTTTTCAGAGTAAAAGGTCTTTATATTTGATAACTTGAGAATGACAGTGATGTCAAATGCGTAATATATATAAGTAACATTTTGGGGGTATTTTGTGAAATTTTCAAATGCAGGAAATATTTATTTTTGAAATTTTCTGTCCTGCAGGAAGCCAAATATTTCATTTAGGCCTGTCCCGAACAATCTGCTCCTCGAAGTGAACGACATTCCTTGTTTGAACAAAACATATACCTTGATATCGGCCGACCTTGTAATTTAAGTTTGTGATCATTAGATTGTAGCTTTCTACAAATCTATCATAACACTCATTAAAGAAACATACAGAGAAACAAAACCTAAAAAATTCAAAGAAAGTTACATGAAGTATGATAACTTTGATATGGTTTGCTGTATTTTTCAACCTACAGCTACTAAAAACCTGTCATGTCTAGAAGCTTTTTTAAAGAACTGGAAAGTTGTATAAAAACTTTTATAGCAAATGTTTCCATAATTCCATGGCAACTAAACGTCAGCATAACAATGATAATTTGGATTCAATTGTTTGGAACAAATTCTATTTGAACTGAAAGAATATTCATTGATTCAAACTTGAAGGCATGTGAATTTTCTTTACATCTTGTAATGAAAATTCGCCTTCCATTTGACCAAACTGGCGGAATCGATTCTGATATTTTGTAGACTTTTTGTTATGCTCAATTCATTGCACTCAACAATTTTCTGACTATCTTCAAACTCCACTTCAGATACACGCCATAAAGCTGCTGCTACTGATATTTGCTAAGCGAGTTGAAGCGGTAATCGGAACTGTCAAATAATTTTCTCAATCACGTAATTAGTCAATTTGATTAATTTTTCGACAAACTTTTTTATGTTTCAATAGTTATTATAACTAACCATAGTTACAAAACAACAAAATCCTGAATGTACAGTTGACGGTTTAAAAATTTAAAAAACGTTTTTATGAAACCAAAAGTTGTCGTATTTGAAGTGCTATTAGTTGTCTGGATCTTTCGATCGCTGATGAAGTAGCAGAGTAAGTAAATAATTCATTATAATTGTCGAGTGAGTTTCCTTTCAGTTAATTTTCTATCATGGTGTTCTTTGAAAGCAATGCATATATTGGATTTTGATAAAAATTTTGCCTCACGTTTCGTTAAAGTTCTTTTGCTTTACTTTATCATTGTTAAGTGTGCTATATCAAACAATATCATAGATGGCAGATTTTAATTTTTAAAAGCAATCTTATTAAGGAAGACGTGTATCCCTTAAAAATATAGCATGGAATCAAATCAGTCTGTAAAGCTTCTGTTCGATTAGACTTTTGCAGCACACATAAGCTAACCTTAGCAGACCAATTTACAATTGTGGCAAATAAATTGAGGTTCGATATTTTTTACGATTCTATTTGTAAGTAAAAATATTATACAATTGTCATGAAATAATTTAGCTTGTATTATAACACAGGCAACTGAAATCGCTCAATCATTAAATCCAGAATGACTTCACAACGCTTTGGAAATGATTAAAAGCAAAGTATATTATTTAATTATCCATGCGTAGATTTTTTATTAAATAGGAGTTATTATTCACTTCACGATTTTGCTCAGTAAAATATTCACGATTACAAACCCATCTTTTGATCTTTTGATCTTTTACAAATGCAAATGTATGAGGTGTGGTAAAATACTTGGAATAGCTACTGAACATAAACATTAAACATTTGAATTTCTTTGCATGAGAACATTGTTTAGACAATGGCTCGGTGGAGATAACGGTATAAACACATTCTTAAAATACTTTTAAAGTTATGAATGAATGTAATTGGATTGACCTCAATTGTCTCTGTGCTTTGACTGAAATTGGACACCTGCATTGAGCACGTTTCATCGTAATTATTTTTATATGCAGGAAAAAATCTGAAACAGCTTTGTAATTGTCGACAAAAAGGATTTCAACTTTAAATTTTGAGAAGACGATATGTTGACGTGTGTTGTAAATTTCGCATGAGCACCTCTCAAGAAAGTGTTGTTTTAATAATCTCTCAATATTGTTATATCCGTCTGCTTTCTAGATCATTTATACTATGTGTCATCTCTTAATACGGTAGTGTTTTAGTTTTATTCTTTCATAAACAACAAACTTTACATACCATTTAATTGTGTGAGAACATTTTCTTTCCTTAAAAAGAGATAAATTACACCAATTTGAAATTAACATTTAAGAATGACAGGAAGACCCACTCAAACAGGTCAACACGAACAAAGATCAACATCATGGTTGCAATTGCGCTAATCCTAAGTCCTTTACTGTCAAATGAAATGTCAAAATTCTGTGTAAACGGCAGCTCGTAAAAATGAGCAAGTCAGCAGGCATGTTGTTGTTAAGTGACATGTTATCACTTATCACTATCAAGATTAAACCCTCCTACAATAAGCAGGAAATTCACAGTTGACAAAAATTTAAATTGCAGGTGTTTCATTCATTCTTGATAAACGGCAGTCATAAAAAAACTATAAATTTAAAAAAATGCCGACCTCAACACAATTCTTTTTGTACAATTCACTTCTAATATTAACTTCTTCATTGTAATGAAACAAAGTTTCTAACAGCTTACAATGCGGTAAAAAATTTAATCTGGCGGTCTTTTTAAAACCCACGCGTTTTTACAAGCTTTGCTATTTCCTCTTCCCGACTATACATTGTCTCACGTCTAATCAAATACATACAGCAAGATTTTGGTAGATATAAACGTTGATAATTATTGTTACTATCTTCCTCTTGGACATGATTATAATTTTTCGAAATGATAACATCATCATTTACTTACAATAACAACACAATCAATTGTAATCTTCAAATTTTACATATTAAGCATAGATATACTGCGAAAACTATTCTTTATGGTGGGTATATTCAAATGAAAAATCTTCAAAATCTTTGATAAATTTTTATACAAGTGGGTGTCAGCAATAACAACACCACGCAGTCCGGATGTCTTAGATTTAGCGATATATAAACGGCTATATAGAACTCAGATCATTCAGAAGTATATGTTCGAGCACATCAAAGATCGATCAAGCCTCAAAAATATCCTGTCTAGTTGTGTAAAAGCTAAGGAATAAAATTCCAGGTAAACATTATGAGTACAAACAACTTACGTTTACAAAGTAAACCTAAATCATTCACTAATTTTGTGTCGTTCGACCTTTATATCGATTTTTATGTGTTTGAGGGCAATATCATCACAACTATGGAGGGGTCAACTTCCTGTCATCATTGTCAACTCAGAATTAACCAACACTATATTTTAAACATTATCATATCTTAACATAGTGCTAAATTACCACGCGTCAATTTTTACATGCTTTATTAAATTTTCTTTTAGAATGAACATAAAATATATTGCTGTCATGTTGTTACTTCTGGTCGATGTAAAAGAAACTTTCTCATCAAGTTCGAATTGCAAACAGAAACAAATGGCGTGTTTTAGCAGTGCAAGAAGATGTACCATAAGATGTGACACTATTCAATCATGTAATGAGTGTAATAGTAAAAGAAAGTCTTGTTTGATTATTTGTCTATCGAAAAAAATGAAACTCAAACGTAAAATAAGAAAATTACTGAAATTATTATAAATTGCAATGTCAATTGAAGAATAACTTACTTATTTATTTAACAAGTTCCGTAGTAATAATATATTTTGATATTGTACATATTTTTAAATTTATAGATCATAACAAATCTATTTTTATATTTTTGAATAATTACATGTGGTAATAAAAATTTTTCTCACATGAAATATATTTCAACATCATATGCGGCAATTTGCCAGTAAAACTAACTATGCATTGCCAATGTCCTCTGGTGACCAATTGTAACTTTTGCATTTTTTACTTTTAGAATATTTAAATTTTAGATAACTGAAATTTTTAAGCTATATATTATATAAAGACCTCAGTATAAGAAAAACTGCGCCTCTGGTCACATGTGAAGACTATGATGATGCAACATTAAAAAACATTGCTCTTTATTTATCACCCTGAGTTGTTTTGATGTCATTTATTAACACACGAGACACAACAATTGCGAAACTCTAACAATAGGAAATTAGAGACTCATTAGTGTAGGACAATTGTTTTATGTATTGTGTTTAATATATCTCGTTGAAACTTTTAAAGAAAACATAAATGTTTTCAAGTACAAACATATCAAACTTGTTTAAGTGGCTATAAAGTTAAAACAGGATAGATATCAGGCTATGATATAAATTTTTCTTATCTTGTCTAATTTAGTTATTGCTTTAGCGTTAACATGACAAGTATGTTTCAGTAATTGTAAAATCTACAGACAATTAAAGAACGTCAGAGAGAATTGTAAGACTTAGAAAAGAGTGTGCTCAACAAAGTGTGGGATGTTTTGACAAAAACTTTTATTCAAATCATAAAAAATTGTTTGATAATGCCGAAAACAGGGAAAATATGAATATTAATTATAAGTCAGATAAAAGATATAGCTTCTGCTGAAAGGCCTTTGCTTTAACTCTACATGATTCAGCAAAATGAAGTCACATAAAAAACTCTTTTACGATATTATACGCTACTATCTGGAACCATCAAGTGCAATTTCAAAACATCTTACACCTCTTTCATTACTACAGCAAGTATATTAACAAATTAAAACCAAAACACTAGGAAAATGCAAGAATTTTATGACTCATTATCACTGCCAATTCAAACATAGCAAATGTAATTATAATAGACCTTAATACCAAGTAACAAACGACATGTGCAACACTTATATTGATATTAAACTAGTTTCAATAAAGTCAAAACAAAAATACAATACAAAATAAAGACGATTGAATTGAAAAAAAGGAATGTCAAGAAAAAAATATTTCACACATTTTTTTTCTTTTGTTAAGCAAAATAAACTAACACCTCATAAGATTTCAACATCAACACTTTCCCAACAGTTCTTCTCCTTCTTTAACGGTTAACACATCTTCTTCTGTTTGAACATCATATTTTATGAGTTTTTCCAACCATTCTTTTGCTTTCGCTTTGTTGTTAAGACGTAAGTAACATTTGGCAATCATAAGTTGATTTGGACTGTAAAAACTTGCTTTTACACTTTCTGCACGCTCAAAATATTCAGCAGCTTCTTCATACGTTGAGGAAGGCGGTGTTTCAAAAATTGCACTTGCAATCTTTCTTTGATACCATGGAACATCTGCAATAGTGAAACACCAACGACCATATAAGTGATATGATGTTGCATCACAAGGATTTAACTCTATGGCTTTTTTGAAATGCTCTTGAATTTTATAGGCATTAGAAATCTTCTGTTTTATTCCTTCATAATCTCCAACCTCACTCAATGTTATTGCAAACCAACAATGACAAGAAAAATTATCTTTGCCATTCTCTAAAGCTTGTTTGGCAATCTCATGAGCTTCGTAAGTTAAAGCCTTTTTTTGCATCTTCAGTAATAGAGAGTTTAGAAAGATCATAACAAGAACGAGCCAATCGCCATAAGATATCAGGATTAGAAGAATCTTTATATTGACTGAGATAGGAATGAAGACTTTTGACAACTTCAACTTCTTTCTCTTTCTCGTACTTTGATAAGTAAAGTTCTTCAGCATATTTTACAATATCACTATCATCAGATAATTTTTCTCTTGTAGTTTCCATTTTTTTGTTAGACTCCCAACCAAGTAAAGAAAAAGCAAACAGAGAAGTTGAAAGAAAAGAAGGAAGAATTTGGCAAGGTAATGTAACCAAGTAAATTGATACCTAACAAGTATACAAAATTTTATAGTTATGTAACATAATTTCTATTTGAGAAAGGGTAATGTTATGAGTAAAAATGTTTTGTATAATTCAAACTAATCTCATGATATCAACTGTCATTTTTCCTGTTTTGAGTATTAAAATACACATGTAGATTGTGCTGGCACAAATCAAAAATTACAAATCCTAATGTTTTATATAAATTTGAGGAAGAATAAAAAAAAGCTTGCAGTGAGTTCAACCATATGTAAGAGGTGTGTTCCCACAGATGATATAAATAAGTTTTTTTATCATTTCTTCATAGTTGCATTCCTACTGTTTTACTACAACATGCCAAATCTTAGTGATAAATTCTTTCATCACCTACAACTAACTAGCTACAGCTAATTCTTTACAGTAGTTCAAACTGTTCAAATATGAAGTATTCAAATTGATTTAATCTCAAGCATTCCAAGTAATCAAGTAAATGTACTGAACACTGAACGTTTAATTAGAATTTTAATTCACGAAAAAAATATCCAAAATGAATACATGTTCAAAGGAAGTTTTCACAGAAGTATTATCAAGCTATCGATAAAGAAGTACATTTGTCTTGCAAGATGACCTTAGGCATGGAGCCGCCATTTTCCTAACGGCTTCAAATTTAATAACGTTCCATTTTATATTCTTCTAAGTTTGTCAGTTAAATAAAAATAAATGTTACTATAATATAAAAAGAATGCATTAAATATATAAATACCTGAGAGCGTGAGTACTTCGAGAAATAGTTGGAAGAAAATCGAACGAAGTGGATAAATATTCTTCGTATTTTAAACATAACCGTGCAAATGCAGTGGACCGTGGCGTTCGTTACTTTATTTTGAACTTTATCCACCTTCACCTTGTGATGTACTGATGTTGCATGTACAGATCACAGTACAGATCATGAGCAGATCAGATTTGTGCAGATACACATTCCAGTTTTGTTTTAGATCAACGTATAAAATTAACAGAAATTTATAAAACTGGGTATAAAACTAGGTATAAAACTAGTACATTTATCTGCGAATGACAATGTCTAAAGTGCAATATGTTATAATATAATAATTTGGTTCAGTACAGTGGCTAGTTACGTTCATCATATAAATTGTGTTCACCAAACTCACAACCTTCATTCAGGTGCACTGAAACATACCCATACAGTATCCACACGATTTATGAGAAAATCAACGACATTTACTACAGTAACTTATGAACCCGCTTTTCTCTGCAATTCTTATGTTCTTATTAAAAATTCGAGTGTGGAGGGTGGTTTGACCCACGTACGATGCCAGGTACGAAACAGCCCGCCACCTACACACTCGAAGTTCAGAGCATTTAGGCATCACCCATTGACTGGTAAACCTTCTCAACATCCCAATTATTCCTCCATACTATCACACCTTAAATCTACAGGATACACCGCCACCTTCGAGGATTTTAAAATACTTTCTTCATGCTCAGACTCGCAAGAGCTTCTTATTCACGAAAGCCTCTTAAACAACAAAATGAAATCATTTCTTAATGTCCAAGGAAACTCCATTGTCCTTCAATTGCTTTAATCTAATTTCCTCTTCCTCATGTCTGTATACTTTGTGATTTTGTGTTTTTTTGTCTTTTTTTATGTTTCTTTCATGATTTCCACCTATCCCACTTCATACCATCTTATTCCATGTTTACTTTCATGTTTCATCCCACCATGTAATTTAATATTATGTAAATAGTTATTATATATCAATCCCTCATCACTTGTAATTTAATAATATCTGGTGATGTCTTGAGAGTCAAGACGAAACGTTACGCTTCTAAATAAATCTTTCTTTTTATACGTCATTTTTGTATTGAATGGCTCTTTTAAAAGCGCTTTGTTCGGCTTTAATATTTATAATAAGAATTCGCTTCCCGCCAGGTATATCCCAGCTCACAATTCTTATGTGCGTTCTTTTCAGTTTCCCACAGAATATTTTAGCTAAAAATACGTATAATCAACTAATTTAGTGGGAAAGGAGGGCACATAAGAGTTCAATGAACATCAATGAAAGCAAAAGAACCAATCCTGACAAAAAAGTCGGACATTTTTTTACATATTACAAAAATACTAAATAACAGATAGACATAACTCAAGACAGGTTGTTTACAATATGCTCTATGCGAATCGTGATACGACACTACATAACACTCTCAACACCACTTGATTTAATAAAGTGAGTTTGTGCACCAATTTTATTTCAATTTGGCTAAATTTTTTCATATTTAATTCATAAAATGATTGATATACGATGACAAGTTTTAGTACCTCAAAGAAAGAAAGTGTTATTTAAATAGCCTTTGAGTGCCTTCATAAGCAAGAAAAAGTGCAGCATTTGCAGGAAAACAGCGAACAATAGCAGGAACCAAACCTTTATATAGAGCTCCAATACCTGTGTTATCCACGAAATTTAGTCAATTTATTGAAATGAAATTGATGATAAAAGTAATGACTAAGGCTAAGTAAAATAAAAATTATTTTATATTCATCTCACCTTCTTTCCTGAATATTGCGTATGTTAAAGACACAAATCCTTTTGGATAATTCAAATCACTGCTTCTGGTCTAGAGAAATAAAGACTTTAAATTGATTACAACAAGAGATGACGAAGGTTTTCCAACTGGACATGCTTTACAAGTTGTGTTTCAATGTTAATGCTGAGAATTTCATAAAAATCAAAGCATTAATTGTCAGTATTTTCCTTATTTCAGGGGCAGTATTGTCCAGCCGTTGGTTTTTTAAAAAATCCATATTATAAAAACGTGAACAAAATCATTCTTCAAGCTTGGTCAATAACATGAATCGTGGACTTGATAACTATCTTGATATCATGAATCAGTTGATATTATGATTCAGTTGATATCATGAATCTGTTGATATCATGAATCTGTTGATATCATGAATCAGTTGATATCATGAATCTGTTGATATCATGAATCAGTTGATATCATGAATCAGTTGATATCATGAATCTGTTGATATCATGAATCAGTTGATATTATGAATCAGTTGATATCATGAATCTGTTGATATCATGAATCTGTTGATATCATGAATCAGTTGATATCATGAATCTGTTGATATCATGAATCTGTTGATATCATGAATCTGTTGATATTATGAATCAGTTGATATCATGAATCAGTTGATATCATGAATCTGTTGATATCATGAATCTGTTGATATCATGAATCAGTTGATATCATGAATCAGTTGATATCATGAATCAGTTGATATTATGATTCAGTTGATATCATGAATCTGTTGATATCATGAATCTGTTGATATCATGAATCAGTTGATATCATGAATCTGTTGATATCATGAATCAGTTGATATCATGAATCAGTTGATATCATGAATCTGTTGATATCATGAATCAGTTGATATCATGAATCAGTTGATATCATGAATCTGTTGATATCATGAATCTGTTGATATCATGAATCAGTTGATATCATGAATCTGTTGATATCATGAATCTGTTGATATCATGAATCTGTTGATATTATGAATCAGTTGATATGATGAATCAGTTGATATCATGAATCTGTTGATATCATGAATCTGTTGATATCATGAATCAGTTGATATCATGAATCAGTTGATATCATGAATCAGTTGATATTATGAATCAGTTGATATCATGAATCAGTTGATATCATGAATCTGTTGATATCATGAATCTGTTGATATTATGAATCAGTTGATATCATGAATCGGTTGATATCATGAATCTGTTGATATCATGAATCAGTTGATATCATGAATCAGTTGATATCATGAATCAGTTGATATCATGAATCTGTTGATATCATGAATCAGTTGATATGATGAATCAGTTGATATCATGAATCGGTTGATATCATGAATCGGTTGATATCATGAATCTGTTGATATCATGAATCAGTTGATATCATGAATCAGTTGACATCATGAATCAGTTGATATTATGAATCAGTTGATATCATGAATCAGTTGATATCATGAATCTGTTGATATCATGAATCAGTTGATATCATGAATCGGTTGATATCATGAATCGGTTGATATCATGAATCGGTTGATATCATGAATCAGTTGATATCATGAATCTGTTGAAATCATGAATCGGTTGATATCATGAATCTGTTGATATCAGGAATCAGTTGATATCATGAATCAGTTGATATCATGAATCGGTTGATATCATGAATCAGTTGATATCATGAATCTGTTGATATCATGAATCAGTTGATATCATGAATCAGTTGATATTATGAATCAGTTGATATCATGAATCTGTTGATATTATGAATCAGTTGATATCATGAATCTGTTGATATTATGAATCAGTTGATATCAAGAATCTGTTGATATTATGAATCAGTTGATATCATGAATCGGTTGATATCATGAATCTGTTGATATTATGAATCAGTTGATATCAAGAATCTGTTGATATTATGAATCAGTTGATATCAAGAATCTGTTGATATCATGAATCTGTTGATATCATGAATCAGTTGATATCATGAATCTGTTGATATCATGAATCTGTTGATATTATGAATCAGTTGATATCATGAATCGGTTGATATCATGAATCTGTTGATATCATGAATCAGTTGATATCATGAATCGGTTGATATCATGAATCAGTTGATATCATGAATCAGTTGATATCATGAATCAGTTGATATCATGAATCAGTTGATATCATGAATCGGTTGATATCATGAATCTGTTGATATCATGAATCAGTTGATATTATGAATCAGTTGATATCATGAATCTGTTGATATTATGAATCAGTTGATATCATGAATCTGTTGATATTATGAATCAGTTGATATCATGAATCTGTTGATATCATGAATCAGTTGATATTATGAATCTGTTGATATCATGAATCGGTTGATATCATGAATCTGTTGATATCATGAATCTGTTGATATCATGAATCAGTTGATATCATGAATCTGTTGATATCATGAATCGGTTGATATCATGAATCTGTTGATATCATGAATCTGTTGATATCATGAATCGGTTGATATCATGAATCTGTTGATATCATGAATCTGTTGATATCATGAATCAGTTGATATCATGAATCTGTTGATATCATGAATCGGTTGATATCATGAATCTGTTGATATCATGAATCTGTTGATATCATGAATCGGTTGATATCATGAATCGGTTGATATTATGAATTGGTTGATATCATGAATTGGTTGATAATCAAACAACAGACATATCAGACAAAAAAATGAAAATGAAACCTGATTTAATTTTAATTGTGATTTTACCCAAACATGTCAAATTGTATAAAATTATGTTGAATATTTTATAATTAATAGTCTCTCATAGTATGTCTTCACTGGTAATTAACTTCTATACATACATAAAACACACTAAATTATAACAATTTTACAAAACTCACAAGTCATCTATAAATTATACAATATGTTCTACATGAGACATTATATATTGTGGCCCAATGAAATAATTCTTCTCATAATGTTCAACTCTTATAGAGAAAAACTGTAGATAAACTGCATGTTCATGTCTTAAAGTGCCAATATCACCAACAAGATCTTTAGCAATACTATTAGTGCACAAATTTGACTATCATTAAATATGTCATTCTTCATGGGGAAAAATGTCATGGTTGAAGAACTGGGACTCAAGAAAGAATCTTTTGTATGTAATATTTAGGAAATCAGAGATGTTTACTGTGTTTTCTCAGGCTAATGCAAAAATGGCTATAGACCAATCAGCGAAGGGATTTTATTGTGATGTTTTATCACACAATGCGCAAAAAACCCATTTCTTTCATCAAGATTGATATGTCTTAGTCTAAATCCTTGTCAGTGAATGACATTGGGTCATTTGGTTGCCCTGTGTATGATTTTGAAGATGAATGTGCCGAAAATGATAAAAACTTAAAAGATGAGTTCAAGAGAGAGAACTCTCATATGCTATTAAAGAAGACTTTAAGTCTACACTGAAAAGCTCTAGGCAGATGAGTCATGGCTCAAACAATATAATATAAGACAAGAAAAGTATGTAAGAAAAATGGAGGTATTATGTCTTCAACCAACCAACTCAATCAAATTCCTATTGATTCTTGGTAACAAATAAAACTATCCTTGATGTTATTAATTTAAATTTACCTGAATTCTGGATTTCACAACATCAGTGGGAAAAACAGAGGACCAAAAACATGCTCCCGCAATTCCTCCAGATATTGCAACTTCTATTGGACCTAGAAAACACATAAGATTATATAAGCAACTTTATAATATAAATCTATTTAATAATTTTGATATTTTTAAGAAGTAAAAATTTCATTTGGGATTTCTTACCAAGATCATCAGCAGTTTTCCCAGCAGGAGTAAGAAAACGCTTACTCAACTGGTATCCACCAAAAAAGAAGAAATATCCACCAACTTCCCGTGTACACGTACTAACAAATCCACGATATAATCCCTGTAATCCCTCATTAGTAATAATGTTAGCAGTCAGTCTAAGTGCACCTCTAAATTGTAAAAAAAAATTTTGAGTGGTTTATGAGGTAGATTGTAAAATATTAAATTTCTCATCATTTTAAAAGGAACATGACAGCAAACAATCACAACACAACAAAATCTGCTAGTTTGCTACATTATTATTCAACTGTCATAAAATAAATGTTCTTCTTACAAAGGTTTCTTTCCAAAGTTTTCCTGGAGTTGCTGATTTTGATATTGAGCCTGCAATTGACACTTGATCAGTTCAGTTGGACAAAGTGCAAATGATGTTATAAAAGCAGCAATACTACCAGCACATGCATTCTGAAATACACTCAATTTATCAACATGAGAAACATGAAACAAAGTTTGAATAACACTCTGACATCGACCATAACATAGAAATAAAATTGAGTTCTCAGCAATTTGAGTTACTAATGCAGGTCCTGTTCCTGCATATAAGCCTCGAAATCTCTCTTCTTTCCATGTCCTTCTAAAACAGTGTAACGCACTTTTGTATAAACTTGGGAAAACTTGCATCTTGACTTTTACAGTATCAAATGGTTGCCCAGCAAAAACACACGCAATTCCACCATTTGCACCAGCAATAAAATCTATTATCATAGCACGTTTGTCTAAAAACTTAATACCATTTAAATTGTTGCCTTCAACATCCATTTTTCTAAGAAAAACGTTTCATTTATTAATGATTTATGTTTTTGATTTTAACTTCAACATCAGCTCTGATGTTGTCTGTCAGCGATGTCTAATGTGTCAGCGGTAGCTCTGAATTGGAAACCTGATAAGTTCATAAGTTTGGATTAAAGAATCCGTGAATTCAAAGTAGAGTTCACAGGATTGAAAAAGATTCGACAGAAGTTGAAACAATGGGAATGAAACAGATTCTGAAATAATTATTTCATAATCTAATAATGATATCAATCACCATCTTCGGTTGACATGTTTTCATACTGTAACCAGAGCTGTTTTTTGTAAGTTTTGGAAGGAAAAATTGTTTATAAAGTCCAATGAGCCAAGGTTTACATTTATCTTTATAAAATAAAAACAATAAAACGCGTGCAGTGATTAGTCTAGAGCAGTGTGTTTGAAATAGCCTGTGCAAAACACATCTGGGGCCGGTAGCACTTAAAAAAACGGTGTTTATATTTTTCATACGACTAAAAAATTTCGTAACCTTCGAAACAATATTTTATTTCAGTGGTTGCTCAGTTCAAATCTTTTGTTTTTTGCTTTTTATTTTATGCATTTTAGAGGAAAAATTCAAATGTTTGTCTTTTCCGCATTATTTTATTTTATAAAAGAAATAAAAGATGTCTACTGTGTTTGCTACTAGATGTCTACTTAGTGAGAACTCTCGGGCATGTGCAACCATAGAACTTCGGTCTCGGGCTTGCATAAGCCCGTGCAAACACAGTAAACATTTTTTATTTCTTAAGTAAAAGCTAATATACGAATTTTCCCATGCATTACTTTTGATTAAAATAACTTTTGAATTAGAATATTTTAATTAAAATACAGTATCATGTTATTGTAAAACAAGCAAATTCAAACAAATTATTTTTTAAAGACTATACATTCGATACAAATAATATTTACTAGCCACAATTTAGCATTCCATGACATGACGTGTTATTCTTCGTAAAGGAAGCGCCGTTCTTATGGGCTATAGAGCTAGGGGAACCTCAGGGGCCATAGACCCTTTACGGTAAAATTCAGCGTCCTTTAAACTACTTTATGCAAAGTACGTAGTACGTACTCATGTTATTCTCCCCATTTTTTTAACAGATTTTGGCGTCTCTTAACGTGAATTTTCTTTAACATTGCTATTAACATTGTTATTTATGGCAGTTTGCTCATCATGAATTTGTCAAAGAATATAAATGCCCTCAATTATATTCATTCCCTAAAATCAAGACTCCACAGCATTGTATCATAGAAGCGCAATCATGTTTTAACTTACTTCATTCGACGTGTACCAAATGCTGAGCTGATCATTTGTGTTTATGACTGTAGTTTCAAAATCAATGTAATTTAATGTTGTTTCAAACTTTAAATCGTAACTGTTTGCCATGACTCCATCACCATTTATCAAGTATTTATCAGCTGATCAGGATTACTCTAGGTGTCCAACAAAACTACACTTTATAGAAAAACATTACAAAGTTTATGATTGTATCAACTTGAATTAAGCACGTGGTTAAATGAGCCCTAAATTTGGAGAATGTATGAACACACGAGGAAATAAATCGTTGTTTTCAATTATTTTGCAAAATCACTGTATATATGCTTTGTATTGGTTTATCTTAGCAACAAGACACACTTTTAATTCGTTCAATTATAACGATAAAGTTATCACAATCATTTGGTTGTAAACATAGAGACCAAAAGAGAAATTTATTTCTTTTTTTGTGATTGAAACATAAGCTAGAACGTTCAAATTATTACCTAATCTTATTTAACTAATTATTTTCATATCTGCCCAAATAGACAACGATATCCTGTTCCACCCTGATATCTTTTTTCCTCAGCAGGTTGCAATATTATATTTATAGAAAATTTTCTATGTTCCAAGACTTCCGTCAATGGGAAACAAGCTTCAACCAACCAATGCAAATTGCTTGATAAACTTTGTACAAGAAAAATACGAAAATTTAAAAAAAGGCAAGTCACAAATTACATAATGCAACTAAAACTATCTTAACTAAAAGCATTTAAAAATACTCTTCTTTTATAACAACATTGCACAATGTAGTAATCTGTTTGTCGCGTCAAGTGCACTAAAATTAGCGAGGTGTAACTTCAATAATGCTATAAATTGTAGTATTTAATCAGCAATAATTTTCAAATGAAAACAACGACAAACAGAACATTATGGATGTCTAAAGTTACTTTGTCTTTTTATATAGTTTATATTTAATTTATTTATATACGACGTTTTCTAAGCTAATCCTACGTCATTCTTGACCTTAACTGGATATAATTTATTAAAGACGTATATCGTAGCATGTGTACGATAAATTATAATTTAGCTGACGCACATATGTTATCAACAAGTAAATTTTATCTTCTTACTGACCCATAGAGACGACAAAAAGACAACACCCGTGCAGAACGATGATAGCAAGCTTTTCATCGCACATTTTCAATAAAAATATTTTGAAAGCATTTCTCAATAATCACACGCATTTTACCTTTTTGATAGTTATTCATACCAGCAATTTCTGAGTTAGCCAAAACTAATATTGCATCATCGTCCTTTCCAAAACAAGGTAATCACTGTGACCAAAGATGTAATTCACGTGGAAGGACATTCTCAGTAGGTGGTCATAAAACGTTCATCAAATTCTATAACTCCTAAAAAAACTGGAGCTTTCCTTGCTAATTCAGTATTACGATCTCGTTTATATAGAGCTAATTAAAAATAACTACCTTATGATGTAAAGTTCTAGGTTGTGAGATTTAAATTACAATAAATATAGGAAAATAATGATCATTACTATTTTCTTGTAGTAAACTGGGCATTCAAGGGTTTTTTTTTATTAAAGTGTCCGCCACGAAAACATTAGATAATAAAAGATTTCTTTTCGAGATTTAAGACATTTTAATTCAATTTTACATTTGACCTTCACATCCAACCAAATATGGTTTAATACTTTTATAAGTTTGTCAAATATTGCCATTAGTAAATAAGTAAATGCTTGAGTTTTAATATAGTAGCTAAATGTCACGAGTATTTCTTTAGCGGATCAGGTAATGAAAAGTAAAAATATATGGCTGTCCTTTTGGATATTTACGTTTGGAAACAACTAAAAGATCACACAATTTTCAAAATTTTATTCTTTAGACATTTTCAACAAATGATAGGTGTTGTGTAATAAATGTATTTTTAATTTAAAATTGAGCAACTCTAATTATTTTGTCTATATGACGGTTTACCACCAGCTGGGACATATTTAACATTATCATGATGACGTTTGTTCAAATTTCCTGGATTATTAGCATCCTTGCTTTTTTTTAAATGCGTCACAACCTCTGATAACAATGCAGCTTTCATTCACGAAATTCATCAAGTAATTTTGCTCAAGACAACGACATATTTTTTATATCTGACTATGCGCAACATTTCACTTTAACTCGTGAGTAGCACATGATATGACTGATTGACATTGCTCAATATAAAAATATAATTTGAATGTTAAAACAAATAATTGAGGGATGTGTGCGAGAATGTCATGTGTGTATGTGTGTATATCCAATGAATTTAGTATTCTTCCTGTAACAATATCTGCATTTCTTTGATATTTTTACACAATAATTTGCGAACATTTTGTTTGATGATGGCAATTACAGCATCGAACAGATACGTTGATTTTCCTATATAATTTCCTCTGTGTATACAAAGTCATCCAATATTTATATTTACAATTGTTTGAGGTAATGACCATCATTAGTCACAACTTCATCATACTCCTGATGAAAATGTTTTTTGTTTTTAATGTTTTCACAAAATGAACTTTTATCCATCAAACCAAAACATCAAATTTTTCTATATTCAAAACAACGTTTTGCCCTTTCTTTCCTGAATGGCTTCGTGCAATTAAAGAAAAGCCATGTACTTCCTTCACTAACGGTAACAGGAAATGGGGTCAATAAAATCGTGGGATCATGCACTTCTTTCAATCATAAATAGTTCTCGTGGGTATAAAAGGCCAATCATCTTGTATCACATTTATAAAAAAAATTAGTCACCATAAAGAAGAAACGTAAACATTTTGGCAGAATTCAGAGAAAAAAAAAGGTAAAATAGACTTGTTATCATAAGTTCATTTCATAAACTATTCTTCTCAAATACTTATTTTTAACCTTTTCAGAATGCGTAATGCGATGAAGACGTATGCTTTGTTGATCTTCTTGATATGCTGTTGTCAAAGCTATGGTTATCTACCAGGTTGTGAAAGGGCCTGTTACTCAAACTTCTATAGTTGTTTTAATATTTGCGGTATTGAGCGTAATCCTTTCGTCCACTGCGGAGAATGCGTTGAACAAAAGGGAGTGTGTTTTCAAGAATGCCAAAAGCTGAAGCAACGGAAAATTGCAATATCAAGCAGAACGCATCGCTTTAAGAAGTTATTGAAACTGACATAAAGTAAAGTGAGTGGAAATCTTACTTACATATTTATTGCAGTATTTATTAATACAAAATATAGAAAATATGTATATTTGTATATTGTTTGTTAAGTTTTGGAATTATATTCAGAGCTAGTATGTAATCAATAAAAATTTATTTTTTCGGTGAGTAATCACATCGCGTGCTGAATGTTGAACGCAAGAAATGAGGAACACAACAGTAAAACTTAGTTAACACTTTACATTATTGTATGGAAAAGAGAGTAAAAACAAAATTCAAACTATGTATTTAAAATATATTTTTACTCGCCGTTTGAGTTATTCAAATATGAAAAGTTCAGGATATTCGCTGTAATCTAGTACACAAACGGGTAAAGGTGAAGTATTTTCCCCATAAGTTATATCAAATAAAGCTTTAGGGGAGCGTAACAAACGCGATAATTGTGGGGGGTCACAGTCACATATAGATCTTATAATCCATAGAAAACAACTATAGGCTCTGCTTTCTCAGTGTACTTAATATGCTTTCTGATGAATTTTACCTTGTAAAATGTTAAATTTTCTTACTTAAAGCATTTTTACATTTGAAACGGAATTAGTTTATAAGACTAAATTACCTCTGCGTTGCCACTAATATTGCCCTTCAAAGACTGAGATTTGTTGTACATGATTTGCTGAAAGGAATATAACACCTTTAATGGCATATTTTGTTTATCATTTTGATTGTCAATTGACCAATTTACCTTCTGGCATGCAGACAAATTCTACATCATTATCATTATCATATTGCCATCGACATTAGAAATATTCGTGATAACTGCTTGATTGATCTTGTTTCCTTAATACTACGCGTGAGAGATTTGACATCATCAAATTTACTTTCCTGCGTTAGTAAAAAGACCACCACATGCTTCTTATAATGAAGGAATTATTAATTACTAAATCAAAAATAATTGCCATTGACATTAGTGACGACAACATCTCTTGTCTAAAATCAGGTTGAAATTCACAGTAATGTATGTTCTGCTCAAAAAGATTAGAAGAACCACGAATGACGCCATACATAATCTTCGATAACAAAAATGTTTCACAGTGAGACATATATTAAACATACATCAAATTTCTTAGGATTAAAACCAAATCATTTCTACCTGTAACTTCATTTTTTTATCAACTATGCTTTTTTGGAAGCTTAAGACCTCATTACATAAAACAGCTAAGATCTTCTACTGAATTATTGAGAAAAGAAAGTTGGCGTATTATATTTCATTATTGAGGGAGGGGATTGTAGCGGTGTTTATCAAATTACAATAAAATTCATATCCTATTGACGAACAACAAAATTCGTCTTTTTGCCGAAAGAGGTTTCAGACATGTTCGGTACCATTATAAAGGCTATTTGATTTTCATAAAATAAACGACTGCCTTAAGCTGACTAATTTATGATTGTTTATTTTGCTTTAACAGTATGTTTGTTAGTTTATCCTCGTTATTTTTGCTTTCAAAAGTTGTTAAAAGCACACCATTAAAATAATTAGACATTTTTCACCGGCTGTAACCTTGTCAAAGTCATTTTAATGAAAAGTAAATTTTTCAGCGATAGTTGAGAAATGATCGACACAAGATGATAATTTTAACCAAGGAATCTTGTTAATACGTTTAGTGCGAAATAATAACTTTTTTGACTAAACTTTTCAATAATCTTCCATAATTCATGCTCATTACTAATCCACACAATTATATTGAAGTACAAGCTAAAACTTAACTTAGCAACAGTTTCAATCTTGCAAATGGCCAATTTTCCAAATTCTTAAAACATGGGAATTCTTCTTGTATTTTTTCCATATTCTGCCATTTACCGTTTAATCGCCTATTACATTCTCACGAACGAATACAGGAAAACCTGCGCGCTGCCGTCCTTTTAATGCTGGTTTTCATATATGGTCGTGATCGTGTTTTGCTATATTGTTGTAAATATCAAAGACTGAGTTATAGAGACGTTCATGATCAGCGGAAATATCTTGTGAAACATTCATGAAAAGTCAAATCAGAAACTCATAGAAAAGGAAAAATTTTCCAGCTGAAATTATAGACTATTCCATCAAATAAAGAAAATACAAAAGTAAGTCCCAGATAATACACTAGCCCTAGTTTTTTGCACCCCTTGAACCAGGAACAAGGGACCAGATGACTCGGTCTAGCCACTCGGCAGAAAATTTTTGGATGGTTTAAAAAATATTTGAAACAAAAAAGTATACGATTTATGTGAACTGTCAATGAAGCAAATCGAGGATGAACCTTTACGTCAACTCACTATGGCTTCAAGTGAGCTTACGCCAACAAACAATGAAGTTGAGTATGGGCATCGTATAGGTCAAGTGAGGCTTGAGTAAGTATATTTTAACACACAATTAAAATTTGGATAGTCATTGAGTGCATTGACCTTGTGTTTAACACATTGCAATCTGAAAGCTTCCTCTTTGCCACTGCATGTCACTGCTTGCCATAATCGTCTTTATTTGATTATCTCGCAAGGTCGCAATTAATTAATTATTCTGGACAATGTTAACGTCAGTTTCCGACTACAACATTCTTTACGTTAGTTAAGGTGTCACATGACAGCCTATATCAATGACTTCACGACACGAACTATAACCATAGTGCATAGCTGTATCCTGTATCAATAATGCTAGTCGATAATCAAAATTTTGAAATCCTCTCCTGCAATCATACATATGATAGAGTCACTTTTATAATTATTCTATGCATATATGACTGCCAAGCTCATTTAAAAGTTAGAATTTCCGTTTGAATGGGACTTGTAACTTTCTGGATTAGAATCCCATAGATAGAATTTCACATCAATATATATAATATATGTAATATACAAAAGTTTGAAGATTGATAAATCAAGCATGTTTATGGTTAGTAATAGAAGTTTCTCCGGATTTTTTTGTGGATAACTTCCTGCATTCTGAAGAAGAATCGTGTCGAAAGCTCAATAAAATTATTTGAAAAAAATGCGAAGAAACGTCTAGCGAATAATAAAGCTGTTACGTCACTCAATTGTTGCAATGAACAGCGTGTTTGTAAAAAGTATGTATATATTTTTTATAATAAGCAAAAAACGCATTGCATTGTGTCTTTCTAGTTTGAGTTATCAAGTTTAACATTTTTTGTTCCAGCAAGTTTATTGTTTGGAATTCTTCACTATAGACAATGTTATTATGAATATTTTCCACAATAAAAATTACTTAATAACTTTATAGTCCTGCTTTTTTTCTATTATAATTATTCGTTTTAGCTCAAATATTTGCGTTTGCGTACGTCAAACACGAAAATAAATATTTATTATAGGCTTCAATGACTTGAATTTAAAATTCGTATGCAAAAGTCGTTAGAAGCACTTGAACATTTGACGGTTGGTGGAGAAGGTTCAAGGTTGTCTAAGTTTTGTAAAGAAATCAGTGGTCTGATATCGTCGTTGCTATAACTTTCTAAACACCTTTATCATAACAAGCAAGCTAGGTAAGTTGAAAAGAGCAGCTAACAAATACACAATCGTAAAGTAACGGTAAATTTTAAACAATCGTTAAGATTCAATGTCCGGACAGTCACAGCATGTTTGCTTTTTGCATGTTCTCAATGTTTTGAAATGTTAACGGTGCCCGAAAGAATTCACCTTAAATAGTGATAATAACTTCAACAATCTATTAAATCAAAATGAAACAGTTCTAAATGAAACAGTTAAGTTTTAACCGTTGCTAGAACGAGCGATTCGAATTGAAAAAGATAGATAGCGCTTACTTTGCTTTTTGCAAGAAATGTGACGAGTTTTGTCATGTCAAAATTAAGCATTTTGTTTGAAAAATCATTACGGACTAGAGTAAATTTTAAATGTTTTGACATGTAACCGTTTGAATTTTTAAAATACAGCGCAATGCATCGGAAGTGAATCGTTCTGCTTGGTTGATAATAGTTTATATAAAATTTGTAGAACTTAAAATCATATTCATACTCTGATGATGAAACAATCTCAGGAGACAAATTGTATTTTTCAAATTAAGTTGTAAATTCTTTTGAACTTTCTATGTTTTTCTAATGGGTATATCCATAAAAGGAAACAGTTGTTATTCATTATATCCGCTTTTGTTTTACATTTCAAAAATACGTTGGGCTCCTGGGGTATAGTCTTGCATTAGACAATTTGTGATATCCTGTTACTTAAGATGTCATTTATATGAAAACCACATATACAAGACTAAATAAAACGAACATTTGTAACAGAAAATTCGGTGATGTATGAACATGCATGATGCCATCTTCAGTGGTGTAACTAAGTGGGATACATTTGTCAAACTTTGTTGACTACATAATTGATAATATGTTCAAGAGTGATGATTAGGCGATCCAACGTGGTAGATTTTTGCATGTTTAACAAAGGTAGCTTTACATAATTTTATATCAATGATTGCATACAGGCTTCTACCAGGCATCCCGCCTTGTTGTAAGACATGAAATAAATATTGGGTTGAAAAAGAGAAAATTTGCGGCATTTCTTGCCATATTTGTCAATCTTGAGGAAGAAGGCAAATTTGTTTGGAAGAACTATACTATCTATTACTAGTCCTCAGTAGAATCGTTTTATATCGGTCTTTTTGGGCAGTGTTTTTGCTTTGCTGTTTTTGTATTTGTACCGATTTCTTTCCATGGATTGGTTTTAAAATGTTAGGTATCCTTTTATATTTTTCCTCTGCCTTATCTACCCTTTATTGATTGTATTTGTTCTCATCGTATCTGCGGTAATCTGCCATATTGACGTTAGATAGCATGATTGACAGAAGTTAAGTCCATTCAAAATCATCTTAATTTATAGGTTCATTTTTGTACTAAAACGATCAAACATTTCATGTTTCTCCAACTTAGTAGATGATGTTGCTCCAACAATGTGGGATGGTTTTAACGTTTTTTAGTTTGCAGTGTGCTTTGCATAAGCTATATAGATTAAATTATGGCAACTATAAATGGCATGTGAAATGAGTTTTTTCGTATTTAGAAAATGTCAACAGTGAAAAGAATAATTTTGGTTCTATTCATCGTAATGGCCACTTCATCAAGCAAAGGTTTTTCATCTCAAAAATGTTACAAAAAGTGTGCAAGTATTAACTCACAGTGCTATAATAGTTGTACCTACGAAGGTAAAATTCGTTGTATTGATTGCTTTCGGAGTCGATCGAATTGCTATGATAATTGCGAGAAAACAATTCACAAAAGACAAAAAGAATTGGCAAAAAAAAATATCGACTTGGACAAATTGCACGTAATAAATGCATAAACGAACATAATTTTTTCAAGACAGCGAACAATAGCACTTTAGTTGGTAATTTTTCTACTATTGACGAAGGAAATAGACAAGTTCAGAAGGAACAGTATTTTGAGAATTTAATATGAAGATATTTCACTTGGTTTATGTTATTTTACATAAGTTAATAAATGGATTCAATTAATGTAATTGCAATGAAATAGTTGTTATTCATTTATGTCAACCGGCGATTGCACAACTTGCACAAACTTTGTTCATTAAAAAACTTAAAGTTCTTTCGATATGTTTTAACAATATTATTTATATATACTACATATACGGAAGGACTTCGCTAAAACCTGCTAGCCAGAGGTAATTGATACTGAAATGTGAAACATCTATGTCCTCCTCAATCTTCATGAGCGATAATCTATTGCTTACGCTTATCAAAAACAAAACATTTTCAAACATGCTCCATAACGATTAATCCAATGGCCATTTTTTTTGCTTACCAAAAATTTTTAGACTTGTTTTCATCGCTTTTGAAAACATAGAAAGTTGTTTCCAAATTCTCATTAGAAATACATTATTAAATAGTGTGTATGCTATATTTTTAATTTAACCCAATGCTTCATTATTTTGATAATTTCCAAGAGCTTCAGATGTGACTCTAAACATTTTTATAAAATTTAACCACAAAACCTACAACATCACGATAAAAGCCTGTAATATTGGAAAGTCCAAGAACGCTCAAAATACTTATAAGACGAATATTAGTTACATTGAACTAAGCGAAATGAAAAATTTATGATTTTTGGTTGAAATTAAAACAAAAGATTGTCACAATATGTGTCAATAAACAGTCAAAGTGAATACAAAAAAAATATACATGGTTCATGTTCAACAATCATTTTTTGTGTACTTTACAACTAAATATGCTGACAGTCATCTATGTTACAGAAAAAACACCTACAGATGGCACATATAATCAATTTATCTTGGAAGCAATGCAACATGATAAAACACAAACTGGTTATGTCAAGTTTTGCTGAAAATTTTACAAACCTCAATAATTATTTGTGGAAAAGTGAAATATCAAAGTTTTAAACTGAAAAATTACACCTTAATCACTTGTTTTTGAGTTGTTATGGAACATGTTTCTATTTAATAAGATGAAGATAGTTTTTTTGCATTTTTCATCGTTTTGCAGAGTATGGTAAGATGCTCCAAATATGGGAGAGTGTGCTTTAATGATTTTTAAATAAAGCAGAAGTTTATTTAAAGTTCGAAGAAAGATTTCCATAAAATTGAACAAAAAACACCGATACAAGATGATGATGGTTAACTACTTTTCTCTGTTATTCAAGTATTTCCACAAAATGAGATAATTTATATCATTTATGATACAAATATGAAATTATTTCAGCGTTAGCGAGTATTTACAGATTATTGAAAAATGTGCGTTCAATCGTACTCTAGTTTTCATATAACCACAAGTCATAGCAAATAAATATTATCTTCTACAATTTCTTTATAAATATCTTGCGTAATTTCATTGAGTAAACTATAATGTTGAATGCAACGAATGTCTGCCTGCAAAGCTGTGCTCTAAAGGAGCTGTGTAATATAACATGTGTCTGTTCTCAAAATTAGATTCGTAATTTTGTTGCACATTCTGCAACATCTTGGACAAATATGTTTAGAAGGTACTATATCAAAATGCGATGGTCTATAATAACAAGGAATAACTGGATTAGCGACGCTTTCATCAGCCGACAGTTGCGTTTCATAGCAAGATCTGACAGTTGACTCAGATGCACATGCAGTACTTCTGTTAGATGAAGTAGGACGTGTAGTTAATGATATTTCCGCTGATCTTTTACATGATCGTTGACGTCGTATTCTTAGAACAACGATTGTCCCAATAACAAGCGTTAAAACAACAAGAAAACATAGAATGCTATAAAATGTTATTTTAGCAAGTCGAGAAGAACTGGCTTTGGATGTTGGGAAAACATTTTCATCGTTTCGAACTAAAAAAGGAAAGGTTTTTTTTTATGTTTCAATTTAAAGAAATGTATTATAAAAAAAGATATGATGCTACATGAATAAGAACGTGAAAGAAAGAAAAACCTCGTTTGACTTGACGTATAAAACAAAAAAAAACATCAATGTTCTTTTTGCAAAACACTCCTGAGTTCAAAAATTGTTAAATATTTCTTACCAATACTTGTATACGAAAGTTGAAAACTTGAGTTATTTTGATCATTGAAAACTCCATAATGATTGTACCATACAGAAACCACATTTGTTGAGCTGTAAATGTCATCTTGAAGTCTTTCACTTAAATGGGTAATTTTTTTTAGTATTTTGGAACTTGAAATGTTTCCATCACGTACAATAATGGTGGAGTTGAGAAAAATTTTCAAAGAGTTAAACCATAATTTCACTTTTTTTGTTCCATCAACGTTAATAAACCAATTGCAAACAGATTTATGAAAACTCGACAATTTCCCGGAAACTATGATTCCTTGTGCTTTAGTGAAGACGCAGCCACATGATTCACATTCTAAAAGAAATGCTACAGTTTTGAGAAAATCCTTTGTGCTAATGTTATGAACGAAAAATGAAAAAAAATATGAAGAAAACGACAAAGCTACCAGTGCATGATTTATTTTAGCTAGTAATACACATTAAACAACTCAACTACAAAACATAGCATACCTTTACATGGCTTTAGATTGCAAGATTTTGATTGGGTGCGTTCTCCCTTACATTTAGATTTTTCCGGATACTTGGAAAAACCATCCAAAGGGCAAAATCTTAGCCGGTGTCTCTTTCCTTCACCACATTCTGATAATGAGCTGCAAGTCCCCCAAGATGACCATTCTGACCAATCCGTTAATATCGTCACTACATACAGTTAACAAATAGCAAAATAAGAAAATTTTTTTACAAAGTTACCAATGGTTGACGAATATAACTGTATTTTAATTGGAGCATGATAAATTTACTACAAAGCCTCCCCCATTTATATCAACTGCTGTGATTTAGATACAAACTAAATAACATCATACATCAATGTTTCCATTTTTGCGATTAAAATTGTGCAGTTGAGAATTATTTAAATGACTTGTTAATAGCTCAATAATAAAACAAGTTGTAAACACAAGAGGAAACTTTGTGTAGGTATTTTCAACGTTTGTAAGAGTAGTTAACAATTACTGTTTATTCTATTCAAGGTGATAACGGCACCTGGCTCTCATCTTTAAGGATTAAGTTATTAGCGCACAAAAAATGGACATATGCTAATACAGCTTAAAGTTTCCAATTTCAGACTGACTCACTCTCAATAACAAGGCAAACTATAAGACGTAATTCTTTATACATCATAAACATCAAAAAGTCTTCCTCGTCGTAAAGAAGCATTTAACATTAAAATTGCGAAAGAATTAACGTATATTGCAGAGTAACAAAAAGCTTAAGAACTTTGTTATATATTTTTGGCAACTAACCTCTTTTTTCTGAGGGCAAACAAAGACTTGCATGTATCTTTTTCTTCTTGCTCAGGTTTGATTTTGTTGTGTAATAAAAGCAATACTCGCGAATATATCTTTTGAATATTGAACATGAAAAAAAGACAGAACGAAATCCATGGAAGGCAGTTTGAGTATGAATAACATTTTTATAAGTTTTTGACTGTACTTCAACATGGTCTTCATTTCTGTCACAGAATGGTGAAGAATATTTGATAGCAAATGAATGATAACAAGGAAATATATTTTTTGATTGAGCTTCCATTTTGTATTTCCCCCAATTAACGAGCATTTCAGAACTTGCAGCCATTGTGACGTTGTTATAATCAGAGGTATACTTGAAATAAAATACTCCGGCTGTATCAATCACATTACAACGAAAATTGACTTGAATTTTGTTTACAACTTCATCATTATCAACCTTCTTGCTAGTCACTAAAATATTTTCTTTGTTCTTCTTTCTCCAGTAGAGATATAGCGTTCCTTTATATGCTTTACATCGCCCACTTCTGCTATATAATAGCGCTGAGACAGGTCCGTTAAATACTGTAAGGTTTTTCTTAACGCCTATCAAGACTTTCTCACTACGAACCACAATAGGGTTTGTCATGGGAATGTAGGTTTTTGTTATATTTGGGATGAAATAGTCAATAAAGTATCGTCCAGGAACAGAAAACGTATCGCACGGAATTTCTAAACTTCTTTTAAATAGTTTTAACTTCAATATACTCACGACCTTCCATTTTTTAAAAATTTTCAGCTGTACAGCTGCCCCTGAAAGATTCCTTGTATTTTTTGGACCAAAAAGAAAAGTCAATTTGACTGTAGATTCAAACAAACGGAACCTCCTGGGAGAATAGTTAATTCTTACAATTGTCTCTTCACTACTTGATAGACTATCATTGTTCTTTGATGATAACACTAAAAGAAAAATTAATCATAAATAAATTTCAGCAATAATATAAATTATAAGAGATTAATATGTTAACTATATCTGTTCGAAATATTCAATTAAAAAAGCTATCAAAAAGTTAATGTCAATATTGCTGGCGTGTGTAGCCATAGCGTTTTTAATTGAGACTTAATTTCCATATTTTGGCATCAGACCCCTTGATTTAAAGACTGATGAGACATATGGAATACTATACTTTCAGGCTGATAGCAGCAAACATGAATTAATATCACCGAAATAAACGAACAAATACAACATCCTTTATAAATAATATTTGTTCTACACAGTTCAAAAGCAAAGTAGCACTGTATATGTTTTCAACAATAGCTTTACAGAGATCTGTAGTGATGAAGTTATCAAGTCATAGATCTTAGGGAACGACAGTTCGAATATTTAAAATTATACAGAATGAAATAACTTACCTAAAACACAGAAAAAAGTCATCAAGATGGCAACAATGAAACCAGGATTCTTCATATTTTGTTTGCAAGTCAAACGCAGCAAGAAGTACTGTAAGCAAAAATAAGCGTTTTGTCATTCATACATTCCCGACAATAACAGTCTCCAATATTCATACGAATTTCATACATCAGTAAACAGAGCCGAATATCAAAGCTCCTTCTTTCGAATTATCAACTGCAATTAATGTGATGACAAAGTGTAATTAATAGTCTCCGCCTACTGCAGTTGCCTCGAAACAAAGGAAGTTCTCAAAAGAATACGAGTAATTATATTCGTTTTTTCAACTTTAATATGTTCCTTCAACATGTTAAATATGTCATTAGCCCTTCTTCAACAACACATCTTGGCCTTCCCAGATATTGAAGAGAAATCTTGTCGACAACAAGGACGTTGTCTGTGGGAATCTCATATTTTACCTTATGACATGTGATAGCTGTAACATCGTTTTATATTAACAAGCGAAGGCTTGTGATGCACATGAACTTAAATAAATATTTAAGTCGATAAAAATATCGGTAAAAATAAATAAAAATATATATAAATTCTCATATTTGTGAAGACAAAAATTACTCTATAAGAATATTATCTAGTAAAAGCCGCGTACGCTATTATAGAGGTTGTTGTGAGACAGAAATCTGGTGTTGTTGTATTTTGAATTTAATTTTGGGTATGAAAGATATATCAAGGAATATAAAGGCAAAAATGTTGAATAGAAGCCAAGGGTTAAAGGCGCATTTAGTTTCAGCTATGAGTTTTTATAAATATGTTAAATATATGATGATAACAAGGCGACCGTCTATAATATATGATAATAATCTCATTTAAAAGCGAAAATCATGTCATCTCTCATCGCGCCTTCTTCTTAGAAATCTAAATATTGAGACTTTGATTTTTTTAAACACCACTATTAAACGTTTATAAGAAAATTCTTACATTTATCAATGATTGTTGAAACTTATCAATGATTGTTGAAACGAGAACAGGTGATTATACGACCTAACGTTAGCTGGCAACGAGATGTAAAAATTTCCAATTTGAAAAATGACCTTAACATTATACCAAGTAGCTACTGTTGTGAATTTATCATTACAAGTTGACGCCACAGTAGGGAAGACAAATAATAAGTATATACAGCAACAAAATGCTGTCAAGTATGTTCTACAACCTACCAACATCATGATTCTTTTGAAACTTCCTTTTAAATACAAGTAGAAAATTGAAAAGCGTTGTTGAATTATTCTTCCAACTTGCTCGAGCTACGATGTGTTATTCACGAAACTATATCAGGAAAATAGCTCAGTCAAAGTAGGAATATTATTCAAATAAACGTGCAGTGCATTTTTATAATCTTTATATCCTCAAGTGTCTTCAAAACACGTGGTTAAATAAATCCCCATTCATGTCTTGGGTCAGTTGGCTGATAAATTTTCGTCATTGTCAGAATTTTATAATCTTCATAATTTAAAATCTTAACTTGTTTGAACCAAAAAAGATGAGAAAAGTCTTCAGAAACAGAGTGGAATGCATTAAATGGAGGAGAAAATGCCAATATTAACATATTTCCTGATTAAGAATGAGACTTCTTACGTTTAATCTTTTAAAAATGTTTGATTAGGAATCTGAAACTAGTTTTCAAGAAGATTTTTATTTCTTCAGAGATAAGGCGCAAGCATGTTTGATTTGCAAGTCCTTAATAGTCATAACATCAAAATTTTTAAAATTCCATTGAAAAATGGCTTAAACACAGCGGTCCCATTGCTGCTAGTCGTCAGAACACAAATATTTGCATGAAATTAAATCAATGTGATATAAATCATTAAAATGTACGTAATCACGAATTTAAAAAGCGGATATATCTTAGAAATGGATTGTAAGAAATAATATATTAGTGCATGAAATTATGATTATTTTTCTTGGCGTCAATTTCAATCAACGGAAAGCTAGTGTGGTGTACTTATCTTTTGCAGCATTTGGTAACTCTTTGGAATTTAGTGAACTCTGTCAAATAGACTTAGGTGTATTATAAAATATTTTGATGCCATATATGGCCAAGTAATGTTCTGAGACATTTGGTTTTCATCAGACAATTTTACAGTATAACCTTTCAATGCTTGGTTTGAATAAAAAAGTGTTATAACATACTTACATTCGTCATATTAACTTATTATTTCAGAGCATTCTATGATGGTTGTATAAAGTTAAATTAACATTTTAGCCATTTCAGGTGTTAAAGACAAAATACATTATCTTTCAACAGATCAAGCATCAGTCCGTCACATCACATTAATAAACGTCGAGACATTATTAAAGACACATAATTCTTTCAGACAAGGGAAGTTCGAGGTTACTTTAAATGTCAAATAACTAAGATTTGTGTCCAATGTATTAACGATTTTCTGCGTTCCAAAATCGTTTGAAAATGCTTAAAAATGTAGAAAACATAAAAAATAAAAATTGAACTTTTTTGAGAGAAATTCAAACAATTTCAATTAATAACCTAGGTGTAGCCACATATAGCCTTTTAAACAAAAATTTTATACGTGAGAAAGCAGGGTCATCGGGGAAACTAATCCTAATTTTTATTTGGCTTATAAGTCCTTACCTAACATATTGGGTTCATTTTTCAATAAATTACAATTTATCTTCCGATTGTTTCTGTCTCGTTATTGAAAATGATATTTTCTTTTTTATAAAAAATTATGACTGCAGCAGCTTTCGACTACACGAACATTTTCGTCCCAATTTTGGAGATAATATTCGCAAATATGAACAAATTGCCTTAAATCAAAAAATATGAGAATTATTTTTTTACTTACAAGCAGTCAAATTAACAAGCATTTGATAACTGTATGCTTCTCACCAATTCAATGGAAGGAATCGAGAGTGTTAAGCCGTGACAACTGCCATGAGATATTGTTTTATGGTGTAATTTTATCTCGTTATGTTTATATAAGGCCAGGAAATAAGGATGCTGAATGCAGACAAAACCGCTTCGTAAAAGCCTTTTAAGTTATTGTTTTACTTCGTTATTTTGATTCGTAATAAGCAATATTCCGGATAGAATGTTATATGCGCGGGTGGTCATATTTAATTCCTTCTTCGACTGATATTACAAACCATTTTAAATAATAAATTTTGGGGTCAACTAAAACCAGAAATATATAGTTTGCTTCATGTTATGCGTCCAACTTTATTCGCTTGCTGAGAATATAATTTACTGTACAATCTTGAAAAATACTCAGAAAACGCCTGTTCAGTGTATTCAGTACATCCCCCACTGACAAGATTACATTCCGGCCTTTTTTTGTTTGGGAATTGTGATAGTTTAACACCACAACATGAACACTTGAAAATGCACCTTGCGTTGTCTAGACTACTGTTTGATGTCCAATTTTATGTCAAGTTTGCATAGAAATCTGCTTTTACACAATTGGACACTGTGAGTGGAGTCATATACAATGTTCATTATCCAAAACTTGTTAATTTCACATCAGAAAATTGTTTTTCATTCTCGTAATCCCTGCTGCGTCCTGAAAAAGCTTTTTCTGCGTCAACATTTATCGCTGAATGATAAAGGGATAAGCATTTTAGAAAGTTATACCATTCAGGGAATATCATTCTTTTGTGAAACTCAGAATTCAATATTATACTATACTATACACTCTACCTGAATTACTAATCTCTACAGGTGCAATACCATCATTTATACCATAATGTTATTTTATGTTGCACACATATACCATGTTATTTTATGTTTCTGCACATACTTTACGAACAAGCTAGGGCGATCATGCACGATACTAAAATTTACATGTGAAAAAAAATTAACTAAATTATGCTTAATAAGCTAGAATAAACACAAGCAATAAACAGAAAATAACAGTAGTACTACAAAGTTTCATTTCAAACTTTGAGCTATTCTGAGTAAAGTTTAGTCCCACTGTGGTTTAGTGCTGAATCTTACTCAATCCTAATTTACTTTTGAAATATTGAAACTAGTAATAATGTGTCGTGCAAAATCCCATATTGGTTGCATAGCAACAGCAAACAAATTAGAACTCATTTATTGTTTTAAATTCTAATAAATACTGGATATGAAAGATTGTTGCAGTCTTTGTAGATATATTGATGTTATCGTTTACTTTGATAAATGAATACGATGCAGTCGTTAAAACGAAAAAAGATAAAAGTACGTCCATCGTCAGCATCTGGCTTATTGCAGTCTAAAGATGTGCAACATCTTTTGGATGAACTTCGCCCAGTAACTGCACCAGGAAAATCTCAAATAGGATTTGATCCAACATTTTTAACATCTCGTCATCATGTAGCAGGAAAGTCTACATCTTTCTCGGAAAAAGGAAGACAGGTTCACGGTGGAATTCCTCAATATGATTTGAAAGCAAACGTTGGACGAAGAGCAACACTTTGTGAAGTCGATCTTGACAAAATACAGCGTCCATTGACAGCAGCTGAACAGAAACTTACAAAAAAAGTAAGTTAATTTATATTTTTCTTTTATTTACACGGTACTGTTTCAGGACATTTTGATGCTAAATATTGATATATTCCATAATCTCTGTATAATGTTTACCAGCTAGACATTTATTTCTTTTTTCACATTTCATCTTAAATTCTAAATCATTATTAAATTAGCTTAAAGCAAGTAAATTTTTACTTTTGCATGATATAATTTTAGGAAAAATCATAAATCATCATATTTTTGTGCAATGTAAAACTTTTCTGAAAACAACCAATTTATTAAAAAAATCAAAGTTTTCTGGTTTCAGGTGTTTTAGCTAGTAATATACAACTTTCACAGTGCTTTCAACTTTTACAATTGTGTGAATTTTGTGCAGTAATTCATTTTCTTCTATCTTCAAGCTGGAGGATCAGATAACCCTGGGGCAGTTAAATGAAATGAGACAAGCATTTGAGGTACTGTAAAATGATTAATAGATGTTTTCCTACAATCAACACTGCCTTTACTTAGTGCTGTTTGTTAACTTTAAAATCATAAAATGTTTTTGCAAATCTGCTGTATTTACAACAATTGCACTTAGAATAATTTCATAATTTAGGAAGGTGGTATTGACAATAGTGGAAACCTAAATCTTGAAGAATTCAAAGAAGTCTTTCTTAACTTTTTTAGTATAAAAGGAAAGGTTCGAAATTAAAGATATTTAATATTTTCAATTCTTACTGACTGGTAGTTCTTACTATGAATAAGTGTGATGCTAATATTTCAGAGTGAAGATCAAATCACAGAATTGTTTATGAAGATTGATTCATCTGCTGATGGTGAAATTACATGGGTATGTTTTAGTTTGCTTTTTTGCTATGAATATTTCTACGATGGTAAAGAAATTTTAAATTTACTGCCAAATTAATTGCTCAAATTTATGTCAAATTTTAGAATGAGTTTTGTACATATATGCAACTGGAATATGCCGAGAAAGAAGCCTCATATCTTCGATCTAAAAAAGTATTGAATGACTATAATTTCATGTGTAGCATGGCTGGGCTGACTCCAAACATGAAATAGGAATATCTCTGACCGAGGGTGGTAGGAAGTATGATAAGAGATTTGTGATGAGAGTATAAAATGGAGGGATGGAAGTTTGAGTTGGAGAGAATAATGAATTGATTTCTAAGGAAAACAATACAAGTTGTGGTTTCCTTGCAGTAATTACTGATAATGTAGGAGACTTGTGTGATTTTTTGTGAGGAAAAGTTGTTTGCAATGATGTTTTTCCCCATTAAAGGAAATAGCGTTCCTCCACTATATTTTGCCAAAGGTAATGCTGTTTCCAATAGGAAGAATACCACGTAAGGGAAACGTGTCTTAAAATACTATATTGTGACTATGAATGCTATATTATGCCACAATTTAACAGCTTTCACTGATAAATTACCATATACGTATATACCGGCCTTGCCAATTGAACTTTATAAACCTTCCTCCAACTTCAAAAATTTGTGGAACAGCATTGGCTGTATAAACTGGAAAAACAATGGATAAAATTAATTTTCTAAAGAAATTAATTGTAATATCTCTGGAAAATTCGCATTGCAGAAGTAAAAGACTTTCGATTGGAGTGATGGTTCGTGAAGGTGATGTGGTTTGAATTACAACTGGGTACAAAATGCAGAGTGAAAGAACGTTTATAAAAATTGTCATGAAAAAAACAAAAGTGCAGTAAGAGGAAAACAAAGTAAGCGAGACGTGAGGGGAAAGAGACGGCAGTAAGAGGAAGAGAGACGATCAGTAAGAGGAAAGAGACGCAGTGCAGTAAGAGGAAAGAGACGTGCAGTAAGAGGAAAGTGACGTGCAGTAAGAGGAAAGTGACGTGCAGTAAGAGGAAGATGACGTGCAGAAGGAGTGAAGGTGAAAGAGAAAGAAGGAGCAGAATGAGATTCTTTCACTATTTATACGTGAAACACAGTGTAGTGAACCATTGTAAAAGCTTTAAATACCCTAAAAAACATTTGCATACAAATTCTGTACTCATATATATCGTAGAATTTGAAGAAATACAAATAATCAAGTTGATAGTTGATAAATCTAGACGTGTATTGCTATTATTTTTTAGACGGCATTTTATGTTCCCGCTACAATTGAAAGCTCTCCTCACCGTGAACAAGTTTTAACAATATGTCACACATCCGACAACACGTCACTATGTGTCAGTAAGGTAAAATTTCGTTTAGTAAACTCTTTCTCTTTTACTCATCGTTTCTATAGAAGTAATTGTTTGGTATAATATGTATCATGTAAAACTGACTGTATAAACTATCATAAGCAAGGTGTGAGCAACATCACTGTGAGGACAATAAAAAAGTTCTTTTCTCATTATACTTATTTATCGGCTTATTTAGGACGGTGTCGTGTCTTTTTGGTCTCCAAGTTTAGATTATAAAAGATCAAAACAAGTACACAATACATACATGCAGGTATTTATCGGCTCGAAGTTAAATAAAATTACAAGTTGGTCTCTGTGTACGTTTTTAGTTAGAAACATCATGCAAGAAGTCAAAGTGGATCACAGATTTTGTGTTAATGCCACAATTCAACAAACTTATCATTTCAACAGGGTAAAATACAAGAATTATAAATAATGCAAAAATATACAATGTTCAAGTTACAAATATGTATTTATTCATTCAAGCGACCGTGAGATTCAGTTTCATGAATTATCAACGTTTGAGCCTTATTGTCAAATAAGTGGTCTGGAAACTACTCCTTTAAAGATGGAATATAAGTACGAAGCACTGACTGATATGCGTGCCATGATATGGTCTGTGTATTCAATATTTTATTGGAAAGCAGTTTGTAAACAAAATAATCATGTTTTCATGCAATATAGTACATCAAATTTATAAGGAAAGGCACGTTAAAATCATTCCACAATTTATCCATCAAAAAATCTTCAGGGAACTAATAGAGGCTAAAATACCAATTAATTAATCCTCAGATATTGACAAACCAATTTATGTTAGTAATGTTAACTATCTCCGTCAACAAATATTTTACAGATCAACGGGGCAAGATGAAAGCATACTATTACTTGGTGATAGTCTGGTACAAAAATAATTTTTCTGATACGTATAGTTCATCGTTTATTTTTTTGATTAAATGATTTATCTTACTTTGTTAGGGATGCATAAGTATATTTATTTTGTCCTCAACTGGCAAATCTTTGAGGTTGTATTGCATTATTGAGTATTATAATTTCTCTTAAATCTCTTTTTATCTGTTAAAATGTGTATTATTAGGACTTGGAAGAAAATGCCAAAAGTTGATGGAATAGCAAATGTCAATGTTGACAGGTTGGTCAGATTATGAAAACAAACGTTGTCACAACAAACTGATGCATGCATGAAAAATGTTCGAAAAAATTATCAAATGCTAATAACTCATTATGAAAAACAATTTTTTTCAGTGTAGTTAGTTCTGAAAATATAAAATTTGTGAGGTAAGTCCAAGTGCTTCGTAAGCGTATCTTTCTTATTTTTTACAAAAAACTATGACATTAAAAGGAAGTTATTCTCTGTAATATTTAACTGCAGATGGAAAGTTCACAATGATTGGGTTTCACAGGTTAGTGACATGAACTTACATATCCTTGCTAAATTTTGTGAAAGTTGATTGTCCAGATTTGTAAAGTGTTGAGGAGAGCTGCTAGTGAAGGTTATTGAGACTGATGTTTCTACATTCGTAGGATTCATCATCAGATCCTATCTTGACAGATACAATAATCATCACCAGCAGTCGTTCTTTGAACTTTACTTAACTGTGCGACGAATTTCCCTCAACTTTGTGCTTTGCATTATTGTTATTATGAACGTATCTATACTTATTTATGTCTGATGCTAACTCTTATATCACAAACAGCTAAATTATTATGAATCACTTCGCGCTGTCATCTCTTGTTCAAACGATTCACAAACATCCTTAGTTATTGGTGAGAAAATTTGTTTACATTCTCATTAAGTAATGGATAGCGAGTCTTGGGTTTGCCAAAATTTTAGCAACCTTTGTGAACTTAGGTCAGACAATTGGCAGTACGAACATTGAGTCCGTTGGTCAATCAGGATATTCTGGCAATCAACGAAAATTGTTTCACGGCGCAGGCTCAAGAGATAATCAACCACCAAGACGACAAGATGCAGACCACACTGTCTTTAAAATTTATAAAGGAGTTAAAACATTTGATTTTTCTAGTGAGAAAAATGTTATTGTTACTGGAGGTAAAAGGAAGTTTTAATACACCGATATATCATAATATACACAATATATATGCCATAATATTTGTGACTCTTGAACTTAGCGGGAAATATTGTTATGTATTTTGATGGCAGCAGATTTTATAAAATTACGCTTATCGTTAACTGCTCATCCTATGTATCTAAAGGCAATGCACGTTATATCTTTATTTAGGAATGGATCGTTTGATCCGAGTTTGGAATCCTTATGTCCCAAGGTGAAATGATTTCTTCACTTTGTTACTGTAAACATGCTCACAGCGTTCTCTCTGTTTTAGCAAACCTACAGGAATTCTTCGTGGACATTGTGCACCTATTTTTTACCTTTGTATCACTGCTCAAGATAACAGAATATTTAGTGTTTCTACAGATAAAACAGTCAAGGTATAACCGTTTTACGATTCATTCTGTTCTTAAATTTCTGTTTTTCTATTACAATTAAAGAAATACAAGTAAAGAGGAAAATTATTAATTAATTACAATAAAATTCGTCTTGCAGGTCTGGGATTTGAACGACCAATGTGCATTGTTTAGCGTTGGCGGGAAAACTCATAAAATAAGAGGAGATCTGTCTGGTCAATTTTTAACGCCATTGTTTTATCAATCTTTTATTTTATCAACATTTTCAACATAATTTGTTTCCATTTATAGCTGTTCATTATAACTTCTTTATCCAAACTCTCGCGATTGTAACCTCTGATCAAGTTGGCTGGCTCACGCTTAAGACCAGGTTACAATATTTTGTATCTTGTGGCGACCCTCCTTAATATATCTGTAGTCTGACAAAAAATTTGCTATTGAGATAATAACAAGATAAATTTACGCAGTAGCTAAATGTAATTCACATTGTAAATTAGTAATATTATTTCATAAGATAAAAATAAAAATAAATTAGAACGATTTAAGATTAAAGAAAGAATAAAGATGATCTTCATGTTAAAATTGTGCATGATTTGCCTTTGTTAAACTTAAAAATTGTGTTTCTTCTGGTAGATTATCGTCGTCAGATCTAACTTTGACACATAAAGAAGCTATATATTGTGTCAAGTATAATAGCAGTTTTAAACATGTGGTCACTGCCTCTGAGGGTTCGGTAAGGATGTTCTTATCAAAGCAAAAATTTGTAATAATAACTATGATTTATTATTAATTATGAAGGTGATTAAAGTATGGGATGTTGAAACTGGACATCAAGTGTTTGAATTCAGTGAAGCTCACAATAAAAGTGGTATAACCAGTGTAACTTTTGATTCTACCCAGAGAAGGTAAGTAGGTTGAATTTTTCTTAAGAAATTCAAATTCAAGGTTAATTTCTCTTTGTAACAATGTGGGATAAATGTCTATTGTAAAAAAGTAAAATTTGTAGTTTTGTTGTTGTTTTATTTCTAGATTGATTTCGGGAGGGCGAGATGGCTGTTTAAAAATATGGAATTACAATAATGGTCATTGTCTGCGAACTTTACAAAAAGGTTTCTTAACTCAACTCTAAACACGAGAATCATTTTAATAATAAAAAATATTTAGTTAAAAAAGCGTATGCTCTTAGATACAAATATTGATGAAGTCACATCATTGACCTACGTCGTTATGAACAGAAATAGGTAAGAAATGAATACTGACGTGCAAAATTATCCATTGAACTTTATGAATGAAGAATATTTTAATGTTTTCATCAGATATATTATATCTGTTGGTTGGGATAGAACAATAAACGTTTTTCTTGTAAGTTTAACAAATAATTGAAATTTTTAAAGTGAAATTATGCTGTCCTTAATGATTCAAAATTTTTCAAGGATGATACGACAGATTTTCGACATACTCAGCAGCCTTATTTACGATGGGACGATGATTTAGTAAGTGTTATTTTTAATAACTACATCTCCGTCATCCTAGATTTATTCCTGAGTTTATCGTAGCTGGAAAAAACATTTTATTTGATGATTTTATCATCCTCTAGATAAACGGACATAAAGAAGATATTCTAGCTGTCGTTTCTTGTCCTCCAAATTTACTCGCTACTTCCAGTTTTGATGGCGAGGTTAGTCTATAAATTATTTAATATTATATGTAATTTTATATTTCACGTTATTATATGTAATTTTATATTTCACGTTATTATATGTAATTTTATATTTCACGTTATTATATGTAATTTTATATTTCACGTTATTATATGTAATTTTATATTTCACGTTATTATATGTAATTTTATATTTCACGTTATTATATGTGAAACCAATATTGCCGGTGCCGTTTTACAGGTGATCGTATGGAACATGGTATCCGGGCATATACTCTGTCATATTTCCTCACCATTTCGTCTAGATGCGTCTCATGGTAACCAGAAATTTCAAATGTTTTTTTGCTGGAAAAATGAATATGTGATTTTTTAATTAGTTCCAAATCATTCGATTCGATTATATTGTGTCTAAAGAAAATATTTCTTTTATGGAGGTGGAGAGAATGCTGTTGTTTCATTGGTCTTTTTGACGTCTAGAAGTGGACTCAAGTCGTCGGCTATGTTAGTTTCTAGTGGCCCTCAAGGTAAAATACATGTTAAACCATCTTTAGCATCTTAGTAATTTGTGAATTCTGTTTTAAATTTTGTAATCTTACTCGTGATTTCTTTATATCTTTATTAGCTATTGTTCATTTTTGGAATGTGTACAACGGTGGTTCATTATTTGGTCATATACCCAAGGTCTTTACTAAATAAAATTTGCACAAACAGCACAAAAACCAAAACAGATAGCTGAACATTGTTTATTTCAATGTTCTTCACAATATTTTCATCGATTATAATACTCTAAAATATTTTATATTTTGACAACACAGTGCTTTCTTTTAAAACTTTAGTCAGAATTCGAAATCACTGCTATGACAAGCGACGAAGAAAACATGATTCTGATTACCGCAGATCACGCAGGTGTAAAATCTCAGGCGCTCTTATAGTGTGACCTTTAATTGTTTCAGTTTTGCAATTGTTTGCACGACATTTTCAGGTTGAAAATGTTCATTTTTATAGGATTTATTTATACATGGGATTTAGAAAATTACTGTTTATCTATGAAGAGTGAAACTCCTCCACGACGTAAGTATTAATAATTTATAGCGTTTCCCAGCGGTTGTTATTTCATTGCGGAAAACACCCATTGCTTTTCAATTTTTACTTTCTTACGTGAATTGATGAGAGTGAGATACTTCTGCTCACAGGTATCGGACACTGGCGGGCTCACGTTCAAGAAATCACATGGTAAGAATATATAGCATGTAGACGTTTACAACCAAGGTTATGGTGATCTAAGGAATTTCAAACTTAGTTTTAAATTTTCAAATATCTTGGGTTTCAGCCTAGACATTGGCGAAACGTATGACGTATTACTGACGTCATCCATTGATTGCACTGTTCGCTTGTGGACTATGAACGGTCATTTTATTGGTAAAAACATTTTAATAAAACAGGTCATAAGTACATTTATGGATAATGCAAATGAAATATTTAGGTACATTTGGTCAGCCAAAACTGTGGGACATTAACCAGGAGGTGTCATATCAGCATCCAATGGTACCCTATGATGTATTAGTTGATCCTCTAAGTGTTCCTAAACATCCTATTTTTAATGACCATGATACAAACGACGAGATTGTGGAAGTTGATGAAGTCAAACATGAAGTTCAATCTGTTGGTAGTACTGTAAGTGCTTTAAAGTCATTATATATAGTTCAAGGAAAGATTTTGTTAACTCTGGGGACAAAGAAATATGTGATTTTGTCAACAAATGAAAGGAGTTAGGACGAGAGTACGACTGATTTAGAAGAAGAATTTTAATTACAAATGAGGTTTGAAAGAAGTGGACAGGAGAAAGTTTATAGAGGAATAACAAAATTGTTGTATATAAAGGTTATACATTTTATTTAACGTTGACGTTCGGGGGTTCGGACGCTAATGATAATCTGACAAAAATAGCTTTAACTTTAATTTTTACTTTTTCTCATAACTGACGAATTAAATTGTTACTTTAAGGATGATTCAGCCAGCAAAGAACACCATGTTAATAGGTGAGAAAACATGAAATGTGTTTATTTTTTGTTTGTATTATGCATTACATATTTCTAAATGAACTCTCAGTAATCTTAGACTTGATGATCAGCACATCTCCAATGATTTAAAAGAAAGAATTTCCAAAAACAGTATGGGAAAACGGTATAACGATATAAAAAGTAGAGTTTATGCCGATTGTAATTCATTAAATTCAGTTGATTTTTAATTTTTTATGTGTAGATTACGACACGAAAAACTGCGTCAAAAAACTCAAATGTTTGATGTTGGTCCTAACGCGTATCAATCTTTAACCTGTTATGATCTTGAAGTGGCTCCCAAAATCCCATCACCACCTGATACGTCCATAATAGATGATCCTTTAAACATCAAATTTTAACTAAATATTCATTGGCTGCTGCGCACTATAACTATGTATGATTAAAAAGAATGCGACTTTCTCCTTTGGCTTTACGTAATTTATAAAACTGTTTTAACGTTTCTGCTGAGGGAGCGTGGGTGCTGGGGCAAAGCTAGAACACTAATTGAGGGTGGGGGAGGGGGTTAGTGGTGAATATTCATATATTAAGCAGTGACCAACTGATTTCTTCTAGATTAAAATCGCTTTCAAAAGAAATCAGTCAAGCAAAGCTGAATACATGAATATTCACTGCCCCCTCCCGATGATTTATGACAATAATTTGTGCACTAATGTATTAATTTAAAAAACTACTAAATATTTTCAGTGTATTTCGACATTTCATGAGAAATGTTATTCTTACAAATAAAAATAATCCCTCCAAAAATTTGTTGTCATTTAAATTGCATTGGAAAATTAAAATAGTCAATTTCTCAATGTATTCTAAATACATTTTGAGTGAATTATACGATGGAAAATTCCAATAAAGAAAATTTACGTAATATTTACTTTATGGAACATCTATCATTCTTAATTACAAAAAATATAAATTCACAACCAAAAAATGGTGAAAAATGATTGAGACATTTTGGCAAACAACTCAAAATTGAGCAATTAATGAAATAAAATATTCAATAAGCTAATAGCTACTCTTTTAACTCATGTACTAATTTCCACAACATTTTTTCTTTCCTCTCCCAATCTTTTCTTTGTCAATTTTATCATTTCCCTCTTTAGCATCAATAACTTTTGTGGAAATAGATTGTAGCTTTGACAACTTTAAACTGCCTTTATTTTCTAACACATCGGGTCTTTCTTTAAGAAGTCTTTCAGCCAAAGTTTTAAAAATATTATCAATTTTTTTCTTGTCCTCATCATTTTTACTTGATGTTTCATAAAATTCCATTTCATATTTATCAGCAAATTTCTTTGCAGTAATTGATTGTATTCTTTTGCTGTTTGTTAAATCATTTTTTGTTCCAATGAGAATTTTTTCAATTTTGTCGGGAATTGTAAAATGTTTATATTCTTCTATCCACTGGTTTAAACTTTCGAATGAGCCCTCACTGATTGTAGAAAAAAACGTGACTTAAAAAATGCAAATTTTCTTTTTCATAAACATAGTTATTAACAATAACATAATTTACAAAGCAGGGAGTGTGATGATTTAATTTGCCACAATTTTAAATATATTTAATTTGTGCATAAAATTCAAAAGTACAAAGGAAACAAATACTGGAGAAATAGGAACAATAATTGTTAAAACATACTTCAAAATTTTCAGTAAACTTTTGCAATGAAACATGATTTTAAAAAATGACTTCACTTGTAATTTCTGGGAAAATCAACTACCAAATTCATTTAAAATAAAAAAACAAGTGCCATGACTAAAAATTTTGCCATCTTATATAAAATCTTCAATAAAATTTTTACGATAAAAACAAGTACTAACCTTGAAATGTCATATACAAATACAATAGCATCAACATTGCGATAATAATGAGTTGTCATACTTTTACGAAATCTTTCCTGTCCTGCAGAATCCCAAAGTTGAAGCTACAAGAAATATTTTATTTCAAATTTCAATGTATCCAATAAATCAAAGTTAGTCACACAGAACTTGACTAAATTCATGTTTCATGTATTATCATTATAAAATTGATGATAAATAAATGATTATATGATAAAAATGTAAAAAATTGATAATTAGTGAATTTCAATCTCTACTAGCGACAAGTAACTTTGCTTTTGTATAGTTTTCAACAAAATAAACTCACCCTAATACGATTGTTGTTTATGAGAAGAATTTTCTCAAAGAAATCAACGCCAATGGTCGTTTCAAGTTTTTCATAAAATTTCCCTGTACAAAGACGATATGCGAGACTAGTTTTGCCAGTGTAACTGTCACCAATAATAACGACTTTAAAAGTTTGAAGTTCTTCTGCTTTCTCCATTATGTCATCAGTGAAATACTAAATTTACTCTCCATTATCTTACACAAATTAAAGTCAAAGGAATATGTCAACAAATTTCTTTACTTGATACTTGATACGAGCACATTTTCGACATTATATAACAAAGACCTGTCGGTATTAAAATAACAAGAACCTTTCTTTACATCACGTTTGACGCCCCTATTTACAAGTAATTACTGACCAGCTAATATCGCTGATTTGGAAAAAAACGTGGTACGCGCTGTGTACGGAGTATGAAATATCGTGTAAGCTGTGTATATATGTGGTGCTGAAAGGGATAAGGGTTTTTTGCTGAATAATGGTAGAAAATAGCGGCGTAACGCAACTGCTTAGGATCTTTGTCACTTCACATCCAGATAGCCCCCAGGTATGACCCTGGGACAAAAATCGTTCAAATCAGAAGAGTTCAAGAAAAAAATTCATCCGTTTAGTCATATTAATCAATGGAGGAGAGTCTTCCCTACATATGCATCATATATATGGAGACCAGGAGATGAACGGAAAAATGTTTCTCCGAAAAAAACGTTTTCGCTTGTCCATATTGTTTGTTAACAATGTGCAGGTCAGAATGAAAATTTTCAACTATTTAATGATAAAATATACAAAATGTTTAACCTCATACATGTTAGTAAACTAACATTTACAGTAGGACCATTCAAAAGAAGGCAGTAAAAATTCATTGGCACCATTGGTACTTATAGACTGACTGAGTGCAGCATGATTTATGCATCAGTGAAGAATAAATTTTAACCTGTAATAGTTGAACAATCAACTTCCTGTCAAATCTCTTTTAATCCTATCCATTAATCTTTTCTTTGTCATTTAAATTTCTTGCTCTATTGTTAAATATTTATACTGCTGTTAATGATTAGTAGCCATAACCTATTGTTGACTTTTTCTAACATTGCAAAACTGTGAAAAAGCTTCTTCTATTTTGAATTTTAAACATCAGCAAGCCAGCAAGGATCTTTTGATTTACGGCCTTAAGTTTTAATTGTGGTTGCTTAAATAATCGCCACATATGTCAATGGCGTCAGGAAATCATGCTACGATATCAAAGACCCGCTCGGTTATGTCTCTATCGTTAGTTGTCGTCCTGAGTCCTTTATCTTCAGTTACAACTGTTGAAACATTATGTTCGTTGAGTAGTTTTAATCTCGGGAAAATCTTTGAAGATTTTCAAACAAGCAATAAAGGAAGTATAAACATTCGAGTAGAAGATGCAATGGATAATGTTCAACTTATTGGGTGGATTTCTCCCTTTACTTTATTGATTCGTGGTTGCTACGAAGATATGGAAATAATAAGAGAAGCATGGAGCGGAAGAATCCTTCAGGCTCCAAAAGGCTTTTTTATAAAAGATTTTGGTATGTCATCCACTCCACTGTTATTCATAATCTTTCTGCACATAACAGTCGCTGATTAAGTTTTGTTTACCAAAAATAAAATAATTTCTGTTAACAAACAGTATTTGCACTCAAGAATGAGATACATATATGTTTAAATATGTTTAGGTATTGTAACAGAAGTTCACATGGCTCAAACTGCTCAGTCACAATTTTTATCATTATCGAAAACACTTTGCGAGATAGTTCTATCATTGAATGAAAATGGAATTTCTGCTACATTTGAAGAGGTCGTCAGAAGATTAAGCAACAGTTTTGACAGCGTTATTTTACCACCAACAAGTGCAATTAAATACAACTTAGACATTCTTGTAAATGAGCTACGACTATTTTTAATAAAGGGACACTACTATCACAGGTCAGTCACTCCATTTCTTGAAGCAAAAGAACATACACAACTGACAAAAACACTAAACAAAACATACAAATCTAAAAATGAACTTAAAAACTATGAGCAGCAAAAGACACAAGTGAATATAACTGCCCAAACAAAAATAAAAAAAAACAAAAGAGCACAAAAAACTAAAAAGTCAGACAAATCAAATACCTTTAAAACTCGTAAATTAAAGCAATTTTTACCTTGTAAACGATTACCTTACAAACAATTAGATGATATCGATGACAAGCACGAAGAAAAACATTCTAAGGATAAGAGAAAAGAAGGCAGCAAAGAAAGCTCGTTTCTTGCTAAAGTTTCTCGACTCTTTAAAATGGATGACAATAAATTGAAGAGTTCAACTGTGGGCAAATGTAAAACGAAATCTGATGTTTCTCACTGGAAGTATGTTGATTATAACAACAAGAAAAAAAAGTTACTTTCAGATCAAATTGAAATTCAAACAACAACGAGAGATCAACACAGTAATTGTGGTTATAAAAACTTGGATGAAAATGAACAGGAAAAACATGAAAATGCTATTGCTGACAAGGTGAAACATCGTAAACACGTCAAAAGAACAAAGGCAAATCGCAAAAGACGAAGGTTGAGCGACAACAAACGATATCACATGTACTCTAATGAAAAATCTTGCGAGAGCTTTGATCAATGTTTGGAAATGAATAAAGAAAGACAAGAAAACAAAGTGACAAGAAAATTTTCCTCAAGCTACGTTAAGTTCAAAAAAATGACAATCACTGATTCCAAATCAAGGAAAACCGAAAATTGGAATATAAAGAAAGCAAACACATCACATAATTTCAGGAATCAAGATAATGATATTGATTCATTTAGTTCAGACAACAGTCCTCAATATCCTGTATCATCTGACAACTTTTCAGAAGATGAGACGACAGACGACGATCAACACCAAAATACTACTTCTTCAACAAGAGCAATTTGTGGAGATCTAGAACAAAGTTTGTTGTCTTTAAAGCCATGTCACGTGATTTCACCAGCAGATCACACTCTAAAAAATACTTCACCTCACGCACGAGAAACTGGGACTTCAAGGAGAAGGAATGATGACAATAATTCAGAAAATCATACTTCAATACAACTAATTGGAATTTTATGAAATTATCTTTTTGTTTCTTCTCATGATATATGTATATATGATATATTGACAAATTTTCATTAACCATGCAATTTCTATTTAAGTAAATTCAACTATGATCTGGTGTGTACAGATGTTCTCTAAATTCCCTACAATATGAAAGTACAACATATAAAAATCAGGAAAACTTTTTTTCAGGATGTTGAATTGTGTCAAGAACCCTGTTGATGTCAAAATTTTTAGCCTTCAACAATTGCGTCAACCAGCCACCTTCATCATGAAACCCCATAGCTTTCATATGAGCTAATGCAACTTTCAAAGGATCTTTGTCATGATCAACAACAACATATGTGTGATCACCATCATGAGAAACTGGAGTCAAAACTTCTTCCTTAGAAAATCAACAAAAACAAAATCAAGGTAAAAAACAGAAGTGAATGATATTCCATTTATCTTTATATATTACCATTGGTTCTTCCACATCATCTTTTTTCTGCTTGCTCTGTGAACATTGCCCCGAGTCAGCAGTATTTTTCTCTCCTCCATGCTGACCACATTCTGAAAAAGCACCAAGTTCAATTGTTCATGGTGAAGAATTAATTTAAAAAACAAACATAGATATTGAAGCAAGGGATAATTTAAACAATTTTTATAAATACCTTTCTTATCTCCAACATATGTGTGGACATCAACACCAAATGGCTCAAGGAAAGAATTCAAAGCCTCTCCCATTTGATGAAAAAATGCTTCACCACCAGATTGACCTCTAGATGTTTGAGGACCATTGGGAGACTGAGAAGATCCATCTCTACGATAGCCACCATGACAAGGACCAGACCCACCAGGTCTGGGACCCATACCTCTACGATGTAGCCAAGGCATGAACCATGACGGATATGGTGGAACAAATGACGATGGTGTACGTATTCTCATTAGAATATGTTGTGGATGAAGACCATTTTGCTCACACTTACCACAAAGATCAAAATCAGGACAAACCATACATTTAAATCTTGAACCAATCACAGGTCCTTCACATCCATCACATGTGACCATGGGATGAATATCACCTCTTACTGTCTCTTTAAAGTTTTTGAATTCTTTCTTGACCAAAACTAGAAAAACGTGAGATATATTATATCTATCAGTGAGTTTTTTTTTACTTTATTTCGTGATATACAGTGACAGGTGACAAATGGAGATCCATCATAAACTTAGTACCTTTGATGTAAACACGAAATAAATCTTGTTGCACTGCTGTTAAAGCTTCAATTAATTCATCATCACTTGAAAACACCACAAATTCATTATCTTCGTCTAAATTTTAGTAAGATAATATTTCTTATTGCAGATGACAACGACCTTCCCACCCGAGACAATGAGCCATGAAATACAAACGTCTATAAACCTTAGAATAAATCGGTATATTTCGATTCAAAACAAACCTTTCCATGAGAGCTGCAGTTCTTCTCGGTTCAATTTTGGGAAAACGCAACGAATTTTTCCAAGAAGATACTCAAAACTTGTGGTTGCATCTGCCTCCACAGAAAATCGTCGTATCTCTGGTTCAGAATTGTAGTTTAAATAAGCTTTTACAGTAAGAGCCATATCTATGTTTTCTTGCTCTTAAATAATGAGAATCCAAAGAATTTTTCTGCCTATTTATATGACTTGCAGGTGAATAATTTACATTTTACTAAATCATCGTTTTATTTTGCGTTGTCATCATGAGTTTCTTCTGATATCTTCGTGCGTTTCATGTTCAATTTCTACTGCGTCATGGTCATCGCGGCCTGTCACGGTCATGCTCGTCCGATGAGAGGACTGGGGATATATATGAAATTGGACATAATTTAAATACAGAAATAGTTATTTTATTATTTTTATAATTTACCTTGACTTGTTGCTCAAACCAGAAGGAAAAGTGAGTATATTGTATTGTATTGCAGAAAAATGTTAAAGCAAAGACAAAAATTACCAAACGTCTGCGCGATTTTTTGTTGCGTTTTCTGCGTTTTTGAAAGTTTCAGGCATACCTAAACTTTCAATCCACCAAAATATTATAGTTCCATGTTAAATACACAATCCGACCTAGTTTCGTAAAAATTGAGCAATTTGCCAAGTAGAAAAATGGGTTTTTAAGAGCATTTCTAATACCATGAAAATGTATTAAATATATACAGCTCAGTGTCATGAAGAAAAGTGCAAGATCCACGCAAAAGGATTCTTGAAAAACTATTTTATCGATTTAAATATGTAAAAATCAAGTTTATTTTTCAAATACATAACACCCTATTCTTGTGCTGTCCGTGTAAAGCATACAAAGAGAGTAAAGAAAATAAACACATTTCATATAACGGGCCGATAAACTTGGTATAATGATTGTTAAAAACAATCGTCCGCGACTCTTGCCGATTGTGTTTCTCCTCAAAATATCTTGCTGAGGCATACGCTAATTATGGTAGATGCAATTTTAAAGCACAAAGAGTTCACTGGATGCAGGTGGATGCAAAGGATCATGGTATGGTTTAAATAAATGACTTTGCATTTTGTAAGAGTGAAAGAAAGTGACTCGACAAGTTACCAAAATGCAATGTCATAATGTCATTTAAAATTTTATTAATGCTAAGTATGATGTAAGCAAATTATTAAAAGTTTACCAAGTCCATTTATCTGTTACGATAATTTTATGATTCACTGCAAGAAATTTTATATAGCTAGCTCTTTTGGCAAAATTGTGGATAAAAATGACTAAAGAATATCGTAGCAACTAGCAAGTACAAGCACAAACCACAAGGATAACAATACATGACAAAGCATTATTTCAAAGCTTTTAAAACATTATTAGTACATTTTATTACTTTGTTTTTATCTTTATCTTTCATACTCAAGTTTTTCCACTGGTAAATACTTAGACATGGATGAAACAAAAGTATTTTCCCTTGATTGCTTCCAGTTCAGTAATTTCTTAATATTTTCACTTGCTTTATTTTCCATTGACTGACTTACTCCAAACAAAACAAGATTTGCTGAAACGATACCGTATTCTGTACGAACTAAATCCTTTTTTTCGTCGTCTTTTTCCATTTTTTTTGTCAGTTCATAAGATCTCTCCACAAACTTTGCTGATTCTTCGAACTTTCCCTGAAGAAATAAAAATACTATAGTGGTAAACATAAATGAAGTGTACGAATCATAATTATCAGTTTCTATACCAAAAAATTCAATATTTCTGCAATAGAGGAATACGCTTTCTGACATTCCTTTATTTCATTCGATCTCTCGGAAAGATGAACAAATTCCTGAAGATGTTCAACTGCTAAATCAATGTTTGTTTGTCTATTGAATAGAATGTGAAAGATATAGTTAAAAATAAAACCCGGTTAATATCGCGTTTATCATAGATGTATACTTTTCATAACATTTAGCTAACGATCTGTGTGCTCTTCCCATTCCAACATAATCTTTTGTATCTTCACAAATTTTCAAATATTCGTTGTGATACTATAGAAATGATAGGAAACCAGTAAAATTATTGCATTTCCTCAGTAAAGGTTATGTAAGTAAACCTCATTACCAACAGAGCAGTTTCAATATCATTATTCTCCATATAAGTTATACCAAGTAAATAACTTGCATCTCCTTCATTTTTCTTGTCATCACCTAAATAACATAAGTTTACATTTTTTTAAAAAAAAACATTCACAAGTTTATTAAAACAAATTCAGGAGTTCAACAACTTCATTTCATACCTTCTTTGGCAACTTTATAAGCTTTTAATAAATATGAAATACTTTCCAATGAACTTGATGCTTTTATCTTTTTATAAAAAAACTCATATAAAATTATGTTAATTCAATGTAGGATTACATATCACAAAATGAGTTTTTTCCATTTCTTTTACACACTGCACAAATAGATTTAGAGAACTATTTTACTTGGTTTGCAAGTGTTGTATAAACATTTTGTAAACTCTCACAACCCATTGAAAACAACAGTCGACCAGTTTCTTCCATTTTCCATAACTGGCCAGAGGTCAACAAATAAAATTGTTCAAAACATTGCATGGCATTTCTATAATCACCTGCAAATAATATTACAATATTCAAGACAGAGTTTAACAACTACAAAGTCAGCAATTTCTTATTCTAACCCTGTTTTTCATAAGCAATTCCCATATTAAAATTTGCTTCTGACTCTCGACGTCGTCCATCACCACAATTTTAACACTTGTATCCAAACAAAGTTTATAAAAATGATTTGAAATAGAAATGTCTCCAGATTGTTCAAAGTATGTTGCCAATGTCAAATATGAATTATATACTACATCCATTTTACCTAAAGAAAAAAAGTATAAAAATTATTGTTTGTTATGTAAAAAATACTGTGGAGTAGCCCATTGTTAATACATATTTATAATCAAAACAATGATAAAAAAATCATTATATTCATTCAGAAACAAATATATTTTCACCTCGCCTTGCTGCAGTTTCTGCATCCATAAGATGCATTTTTATCTTTGCTAGTTTCTGAGGCTGATCTTGAAGTAATGGTTCTTCTTGTGAGCCAGATTCAAATGCCATTTTAAGCAAAGCATCTTTGTTTGATTTCATCAAATTAAAGAGTTGGCAAAAAGACTGATGAAATCCATCCTTCAACATGTCCACACACAAGTTGTGAGAATATGTATTACGATGTCTGTATTACATGTATAATATAGGTAAATAAACATATTATATCAAAATGTTAAGTGCCAAAATTAATATTTTTAAAGTCACCTTTCTGTTTCAATTTTTGTAGGTTTTAAGTTTTCATCATCCGGTGACTGCCATTTTCTGTTGGGAAAATTTTTCGTGTTGCTTAAAATTACTTCAAGTTTAGGTGGAGATGGTATTTGTTGTAACAATTGTTGAGTCACATCGCCACCAAGACTGGATAGTGAAGGCAAACGGGCAATTGATGCCATTAGACAATAACCTTTAAACAACAAATGAAAAAAAGTGTTCTGTATAGACACATGGTCGTCACTGGAACTACTGTAGCAAATGTCCCATAATCTTTCCCCCGTATTATACATAATAACTTCTCATGACAAGTTGTATTCATATTTCATATTTGTGGTGTAAGTGTTCAGTTCCATAAACGGAGATAGAAAAAGGCTTGTAATGCCTAACTGGTAAATTCTACTCAAATAAAGGTACACTTTTTAGTCTTTTATACCTGTAATTCAAGTTCAATCAGATAATATTAAGTCTTTTTCACAGCATCTCGAACTGCCAAAAATGTTATTTTATGGTTGCCGTGACAACAACAATGTGATGGCGGTGCACGACGATAATACCCGATATTTTACGAAAGGGATATTTGCAAGCTCAATGACTTCATATCATACGAGAAAACTGCTTTATGATTGGCTAGAGAGGAAAATGATGATGTTATGGTTTGAGAAAAACATGGTGTCCATAATATGTGAAATAGAAGGTGTTAGCGAAAGAGTGTAGTTATTATTTTGCGAGAATGGATCATAAGGAAGAAGACTTTAGCACACTTGATTTAGCCGATGATGCTGAACTTGAATTAGATGATGTCAATATATTTGATGGTGAGGTTTAGTTAGTAAAGTAGCGAGTGTTTATATTTTGATATAAATCGTTTACAAAATGGGTATTTTGTAAACGGTTGTATTTTTTTATTTATACTAATACTTTCACTATATAGCAGCAAAAGTAATAACACTACAGCATTTATGAAATTTTTTTGTATTTAATGTTTATCTCTCATTTCGTAATACATTAAATTTTTGTGAGATTGTGGACGTTTGTGTGTTATGGCGCCTGTTACTGTAGTCTGTAGCCAGGTTGGATTCTGTGTTGCACCATTGAACTAAATAGATATATATATAAATATAAACAGATATATTCTATTATAGTTTGTGTGTTGCACTTACTCCGAATGAAACGCCAAAGTTGGTTTTGTTTTGCTTCTGTTTGAGCCAAAACCATGAAAAATTGGTGTTAGGGGGAAGCCAGACTTTCGTTTTGCTATTTTTGCGCGAATAAAATAAAAAAGCGACTTTTGCACTATATTTTCCCAAAATGTATTTTTTCAAAATTTGAAATTTTGCAACCGAGATCTTGGTTATTATATGTTAAATAAAATTCATGTCAAGTTACTCAGCACTATTGTGCCAAGACTACAATGAAGAGCAATGTTACACCAATATGTCAATGAGAATATGAATTCCATACCAGAAATATCAAGAGTTTACTACATATGACCCACCTTGGGTCTGTAGGCATCTGTAAAAGTATGTTCATATCTAATTTGATACCTAAGTTATTGTGATTTTAGAAATTGAGGTGTGAAGTCATTGTTTGTATTTGATCTATACTAGCAAAAATTGGAAGGGTCATTTCTCAATAGGGATTTTGCCAAATGAGTTAAAACTTTGCAAACTTACTTTACTATACTGAAGAAAATATTTTGGTGAGTAAAATTGTTCCATCAACTTACTTGGTGCTGAAATCCCAATTCTACTTTTTTTCCTTTTTGACATGTCATGGTCAACTGCAAACATGTTTACACAACTTTAAAAATCAAAATAACAAGAACCTTGCAAACTAGCTTTTACTATGGAAACAATTACTCACCAAAATTTTTTTAGTGCTGTTTGCAGTTAGTTTGCTATGTGTTCACCCACTGTAAAAACAAAAGATTTCGAGAGAAATGAGTAATGTTAATGATCAAAATTTACATAGCGGGACCAAAACTTGTGGGCTGGCTACGCCACTGTATGGAAACAATTTTACTAACCAAAATTTGTCTTTAGTGCAGTATGTAGGCAAGTTTACAAAGTTTTGACTTGTTTGTTCAAACCTCTTCTGAGATATCACAGTTCAATTTTCAAAATTTGCAATTCCTCAGGAATTAAATAAGATACAAACAAACTGCAACCACCATTCTCTATTATTTGAGATGTCTTAGGTATCACACAAAATCATAAAATAACTGTGTGAAATTTCTCTTCCTAAACACTTTAATCAATTGACTCTACTGCTTCATTTGTATTTGGTCAGCAATGGCTGGTAATGGCAAGTACTATTGTTGAAATGGTCAGTATGTTGTGTATTTAATAATGAATTTTTTCTCTCCAGATGCTCTGTTAAATGACTTTTTTTCACCATGGCCCAGTAGCTCTCTGGATAAAATGATTGATCATACTTGTACAGATGTCGCTTCATTTGACAAAGTTAAAACAATTTCAGAAGAATTTCCATCAAGTAATTCAGCAAGAAGTACAAATGAAAATAATATGTTAGGAATACAAGAAATGGAAGTGTTAGAGAATAGTTTTCCAGTGAATGTACAAGCATTTAAGCAAGACACACAAGAATCTGAACTTAAGAGATTATTAACAAGACCAAGCCATGTTGGAGTGAAGCAAGAACTTTCACAAGTGAAACTGTTACTTAAGGATAATGAGAAGACTTCTCAAATAATGGCAACAACCACACCAGGTCAACCAGTATCCATAATGCCAGCTTTAACTTCTCAACCACAAAAAATTCTTATTTCACCTCAATCTTTGCCATCAACTCTAAAGATTTGTCCAATATTTTCAAAGCCAGTAGAAGAGAAACAGCCAACTATGTTTAGTACAGTAACTACACAGTATGTAACATGTCAAACATTAGAATAGTTTTTTTGTGTTGAACAATCTTGTATCATGAACTTTTTGAATGTTTAGTAAACCTTCCATTCAAGAAATTTCACCATCTAAACAATTGACGGTCCCTCAGACTCAAGTTAGTTTTTGTACACAGCCTGTATATTCATTTTAGCTCCATTGTTAATTCTTGTAACTGTCTAGCAGTGAATTATATTAGTACAGAACCACTTGCTATTATTATTTCTAATTCTAGATACCAGTTGTTCTTAATTCTTCACCAACACCATCCATGATGCCTCATCAATTTCAACTTGTATTTGAACAACCAATGTCTTCAAATGTTGTAGTGTCAGCTGGTGGTCCTTCAACATGTGCTGCAGTTATGCCTGTTGCTCTTCCACCTAAAATTGAAAAACGAGCGCATAATGCTATTGAAAAGAAATACAGAACTAGCATTAATGATAAAATAAAAGATTTGAAAAATCTGCTTTTTGGCACAGATGCCAAGGTATGGAAAATTTTCAACGTTCTTAACTTGCGTTGTTGTACATTGATGTTTTAATTTTTGGTAAATTGCTGCACGAGGCAACTCCAAACGATTGCATTAAACGAAAGAGTCGAAAAGATTTTAAAACGTCGTAAGTCATTTTAGTTGTAATTTTCAAATCAGGCTAAATTATTTGTTTTCATTTTAAAGGGTTTGTGAATTTGCAAAGTCAGAGCATAAAGAAATTGCTCAAATAAGGTTTTTGTTGTGAAGTATTTAATCTTTTCCATCTGTCAAAGTGATTTAACGCTTTGCTTAATCCCGGCTACTGGGCTCATGTGAACAGCCCCCTAGTACATAAGTCATCCCACACTAAAGGCTGACACTTAAGAGTTAAACAAATACGTGACATTCAATACAGAGCGAATTTATAAACAAAATTTATTTAATGTTCATCTTGTTTACGTTGTTGTGTTTGTTGAAAATCCCACCTCTTACGAAACTAACGAGTTCGTTGGTCTTTGACTCTTTCCTCTTAGCGAATGACTTCACTGGTGATTTTTGTAACGCTTTAAAAATTGTTCTACAGATTCAAAAATCAGGAGTTTTAAAGAAGGCTATTGACCATATCAAGCAACTTCGTACAATCAACCATCGTTTGAGTCAAGAAAACACCTCATTTAAATTGAAATTACAGCAACTGGGTTTGTACTAACAAATTATCGTGACATTTAAATTTCGTATTTGTTAACAGTTGGAATACTAAATTGAATGAACTTTACATATATCTACATAGGGAAGTTAAAACCTGTGAAGGAATACGAGAAAGATGTTAACGAAGTGTTGTGCAATCCTTTGACACCTGAAAGTTTGTCAGACATCAAGAGTTCTAGTAGTCCAATTTCATCTCCTGAAGATTTGACACAAGATGAAAATTTCCCAATGTTTGACAGAACTCGTCTTGTCATGTGTATTGTTATGATGTCATTTTTTGTATTTGATCCTTTCCATTTGATATTTTCATGGCAACCAGGTAAAGAGGCAATGTTTCACAACAAAAGAAATTTGTATGATTATTGTTTTAATTAAAGTCGTTTACTAGTGTCCTTCCTATATTTTTGTGAATTGCATTTGTTGATACAATCAAATTAATTAAAGAAAAATAATTTTTGCCTTTTAAATGAGTTATTTTAACGTTCTTTAGGTATTTTTCATCTTCGACTGTCGGTGTGAACAACATAGAACATCATGGTCGACTTCTTATGTCTGTAGATTCTTTTGATATTTCTCAAACATCCAAATTATCGATGGTCATTTCTCTTATTGCTTTTCTTTTTCGTACAATCGCTATAATGTTCATATTTTTCAAGTTGTTTGTCTTTGGTGAACCATCTTGGCGACCTGATTCAAATAGCGCTGCAAATTTTCGGTTTTATAAAAAACAAGGGAATCTCGCAATATTGAAGGTTTGTGCTTTGCTATCGTTGAAAGCCGCATCTTTCAATGCTGAATGCAAGGTTTATTTCTTGATAAATAGGGTGAGTATGTTGAAGGAAGCAAAATCTTGGTTCGATGTCTTGAGATATCTGGACGACCTTTGCCAACATCTCGACTTGATATGACTTGTAGTTTACTTTGGAATATCTTCAGGCAAATTGTTCATCGTTTCTCTTTTCTAAGATGGCTGTCAACGTTGCAAAAATGTTCATCTTTTGTTGAAAACGACTTAAAATATCGTCAGGAATCAGCAAAGCAAGCAGCGTTAGTTTATCATCAACTTCATCAACTTTATCTTTCTGGTAAGATAAAAAAAGTCGCGTTGTTATTTACTAGTTCTTTTTTTAACCACGTCTTGATATGAATACAACATTTACCCTCTTTTCTTTTTTAACGTGAGCAACAATCAGTACTCAGAAACATTCTACAAGCACTTGAAATCCATGCATGCAAGAATTTTCCCTTCTGTGCTGTTTTATTTAAAAACATTCACGTCCACCAAACTGACTCGGAAAATATTTTGTCTGTAACTTGTTTAGATTAGATGGTGTGATCAAAACATCGTTTTATTAGGTTTAGTTCCAGTCAGTGAATGTTTATCAACTGTTGTTTCATTAAATGCTGTGAACACTGCTGATATTGCGACAAAATGTTTGAGTGAAGAAGATCGCGTTGAAATATTTATTGATTGTGCTATCCAGTTAAGATCGACGCTACCAAGGAATCTCCAATTTCTTGCTGTAAGTTATCTAAATCGTTTTTTTGTTGAAAATATTATTGAAAGTTTTCTGATGAATTTTTATTGTAATTTTTAGCGTTATTTCTTGGTCCGTGCTCGTAAATTATGTCGTGGTCAAAGTTTAACATTACCATATCCATGTTGGTGGTTATTCACACCTGTTGGTCATCGTTTTTTTGTCAGCAATCATTGGAGTTGTAAAATGGAATCAAATATGTGGAATGTGGCCAATCCAAGTTGTATGTTTACTCCTTTAATATTGTGATGTCGATCTCATATATCAATAGAGTTAGATTTCACAATTCCCCATATTTTTTCATGGAATTGTCAGGAAATGAGTAAAATGAGCTGATAATATCTGTTATTGATCTAGATAAGAAACCATTGGAAAGACTAACGCACAAATTTTGCGAATTCCTGTTGGAACAAGCTTTGTCTTCATTAATGTTATCGAAGGATTCTAATGAGTATCATACTGATTCGTTGAATTCTGAGGGTAGTCGTGCTCTTGATTTGCTTCATACAATGACGGAATGCGTGCAAAATTCCAGGAAGTCTAGAAGTGAAGGAACTGCCAGGTAGAAATTATATGTGTATGTAGACCAGCGATGTAGACAGAAATCGTTTTTAGTTATTAACTTTATTAATGACGTACACAGGAATGTTAAAGTGTTTGATGAAGTGGTAGCATGGCGTTCAAGAGATCATATAGGATGTTGGTGGACAGCTGTGGGTAAAGTTGCTACATATTGGTTAATTGGTGACATTAACAATGCACAACAACATACAAGATAATTGAACGTATACCAGAAGAAATTAAAAATAACGAGTACGTAAATAACAGTTTTTTCATTTTGATTACTCTATAGAATTATTAAAATAAATGATGAGATCGCATGATAAACCTTTTTAAACCTCACATTTCATCCAATCTTTATTTCTAATCTCGACTTAAAATTTGCCAACTTGAATTATTGAATTATCTGAGAAACAAATTATTTTTCAAACAGCGATCCATTGGGGAAAGCATTATTGATGTCATTTATGGCAAAATCAAGGATCTCCGATAGAAATATAGATGAAATTTTGGATTATTGTGATGAAGGTAGTGCTTTACTTAAAGAAAGTCTCGCGTATTCCTCCCTCTTTCCTCAAAGTAAATTACTAAAGGTAAATGAATGATACTAATCTAGAGTTGAAATATACCTTGAAGACCTGAACATTCGTCCAGTAACATTGTTTTATTAGTTGATGCATTTACTTTGTTGTGATTGGCTACTATCAACTCGTGCTGATCTTTGGGAGAGAACGAAATTGAATGATCATAAAGTTGATCGTGTGGAAGGTTTTTATAAAGATTTGAAAAGTTTACAAAAGATTGCTTCATATCTTCCTGATGTCATGAATAAGGTAATCGGCTTTTTTTGTTGTTGTAACGATTCAATCAAAGTCAAACAATGTAACTGTCGTTAAGATGACGCATCGTTCAAGTGATGATGAATGTCTCTTTGTTGTATGGGTTTTATTATTGTCTTTTTATTTAAGGTTTGCATTTACCAAGCAACTTACAGAATAATGATGGGAGCTAATCCAATGAAGACTAAAAGATTATTGCAGAAAGGTATTCAAGATGGAAGAACTGATATTGATAGTAAGTATTGAGTTTTATTCAAAGTACTTCATAGAATAATCTTATTTCTCCTCTCGTGTTTAAGAAAATATCTCAAAATACAGTGTTTCTGCAAAAAAAGATCGTGCTGTTGCATTGGCATTAGCAAGTGGTCACCTGCCAACGTCATTGTTTTGTAACAATGCAGAACGGGAAAACATGATGGTACAAGCCGTGGATTGTTTTCAGAAGTTTGGGGAGAAAGCAAAGATTGCCCGATGTCGTAAAATAATCACAAGTTTTTGATTTGGCCTGATTACGTGTAGTTAAAGTTTTAGAGAGTAATGTAGCGTTGTGAGATAGATAATTAAATACTTAATACATGTAATATTTCTACTCTGTAGTAGAAAAAGTATAATCACTGTAAATAGTTAAGTAACAAACATCAATAAACTGTTCGCCCCAATGTTAACTATTGCATTTTTTATGACATCGTTTTATAAAACTATAAAATGATTTCAGATAATTATCGCTCGCATGCGGAATGCGTATTTACATATGACAATGATGTATCGTAGATACTGCAAAAAGTATGATTATATGCAATGTTAATTTTTCCACAAATATCTTAATTATGTCGTTTCATTTAAAGACAATCGACTTTAGTTTCTCAATATTTATTGTAAGTTGTACTGTACATTTGCCGTACTTATTTCCTTATATGTTAACAAAACCTGATTATGTTACACGTTATGAACTTATAGAAACTTTACATTCCTCTTATGAACAAATCCACAAGCATACATAAGTGTACATACTTAATACCGTAATTACCAGTTTATTTTTTACCAAAATGCTCAGCAATTAAAAGCATAACAGCAGTGGATAAACAGGTTCTTTATACGTCACATTTCTAGTTTTGATAAACAGTGTAAATCATGTATAATGTAGTATTCAAGAAGTCACCAAAATTACAAAATTGGTGAAAAATACTTTTACCTGAGAGATTTATAATTGTAAAGGATGTTCATGTACGATACCGCCTTCACTGTAAACTGCTTTGGCAATCGACGACATTCTTTCATCATTGGTTATATCCATTTTATTATTTAGTGTCTCAAGATTTCTTCTTATTCTACGTGAAGCCTATACACATATTTACATTAGTGTATTGTATATGCGTGTGATGGATTTAAAAACATCCAAGCCAATGTAAATTTCACATCATTAGCATTATTCATTTCTTCAGAAATCTATTGTTTTTAAAGTGCGCGAACAGCTATATTTACACAGCACGACAAAACTTAAAAGCTGGCTATTGTAATCATTGGAGTAAACATTACTTTTCTATCGATTTGCGAGTAAAACAACTAAACATTCATATACCTCATCACAGAAGAATTTAGTCATCATTGCCTCGTGTTGGGATGATGAGAAATTATTCGTTAACGATCGAGTCGACCTAAAAATTAAAGAACATTTATCAAAAACACATTTCAAATATGAAAGTTCCAAAATTATACTAGCAACAGATGCAATTGCGATAATAAAAACTAAATTAATGATGAAATAAAGAAAAATTAACGTTTTATAATAAAATAAAAATTATAAAAACTTTGAAACCTTGATAAAACAGCCGCCATTCCATAAAGATCAATAGTAGCATCAGCTAAACGTCTTAGTTTGAATTGTTCCTCTTATGAAAGAAAAAAAGAAATTTAAAATAATTCAATCACTAATCACAAATTTCATTAACATACCAATTATTTTCTTTCCATGTTTAATAAGTAGACCTTCAACAGATGCACCGAATTCTCCGATACATTTTGACAACTACGTATATCAGAAAATAAAAGTTCTTATTTTACATACATTTCCCAGTAAAAATGATAAATTTCATAATGATATTAAACTATACCTTTTTTGATGAATCAGACAGTGAAGGATGAACATAAGCGCTAATCGATGGACCAGGATCAACACCAATTGCTCTGAAATTTAGGAATTACACAAATGTAAAATAAAATTTTAGTAAATTAGCGATATTGATAGATATTTGTAAATTACATAGAAACCTCTGAGTTCTTTTCTTTGCTTCAGACAAAACCAAACCAAAGTTACCAAGAGGATTTTTTAAGGATTTCTGAAGTTCTCTTAAATGCTTCCCAGCATCCTGTCAAAATAAGAATCTTTCCTCGCATCCCAAACTCCCAATTTAACAACAAAAAAATGAAAGAATAAAAATAAAGACAATAACAAAGAAAAGGACCACGATAACTTGTATTTACTTGCATTCCAGTTAAACAAACAAACAATCGAAGAATATCGTTTGTTCCTTCAAATATTCGAAAAATCCTTAAATCACGCATCACTCTTTCCAAGCCAGCATCCTAAAGAGCAAAAAGACATAATTTAAACATTAATTTTGCATTAAATTTTGTATTCTTGAATATGTTTGTTTCCATTCAAATACTTACCTTCATATAACCCATTCCACCATAAATCTTAAAAAAAAAAGAGATTAAACTTGAGCAACAATGTAGAAGTAACTATAACGAATGAAAGACGGTTTATTAAAATTCACCTGTATACATTCATCAGCGACCCACCAACAGGACTCCTAAAATTCATAAACACACGATTGAAAATTAAAAAAATTCCCTTTCATAAAAATCAAACATACTTACAGAAGCAAAAACTTTACTAATTGCAGCTTCAATTTGATATTCCGGAGCTCCACGATCCATATTTCCACTCAACATATATGCCATAGACTTAAAAATATCATAAACAAACAATTTATGGAAATAGCAACACAACTTAAAGAAAGTTACTCCACAACTACGAATATAGTAACTCATACGAATACATAAACTTTATTAATATGGTATAAAAATTTTGTTGAAAAGAACAATTATTAAAAATTAGCAAAAGCCAATGAGCAAAAAGAAATCTGAAATTCACTAGTGAAAATAATGGTTCAAGCGTCTGATGGACGAAAAATGGTTTACATTAGTGAAAATTACGACAAAATACACAAGAAAATACGTCATTTCTCCATTTAGCGCTAATCTGCAAAATTTAATAGCGTTCATACTGAGTGCTCTGGCACAGTACTCATGCACGGGCACCAATGTGAACACATCATTTTGATGGTATCCGACTCAGTGTCTGGGTCTGGGCACAACGAAAAGAGGTAGTACCCAAGTACGGTGCAAGGGCACCAATGTGAACGACAACACATGAGTAACGTGTACAGAGAGGCACGTATTCACCACATGGTTTTAGAATACGGTTTACAATGAAAAACATGAAATTATAAATAGACGAAGCTAGTGTGTACTACGTTGTGTGAACGGCCTGCAGATTTGTGCCCGTACAAGGGTATCGTACTCCGACACTCATTTTGAACGTGCTATAACAGGCCCGTAGACTCCGATTACAAAACCGTCTGGTGGCTATCCGCGAGCGCCAAATGTTCTAGATTGAGAACCTTCTACAGGAGTCTGGGAACAAGTATCTCTGGGAAATATTTAAAATTATTTTTATTTGATAAACATGTAAATCAAACGACTAAAAACCAATTATGATGCTTAACCACAAACTTAAAGGAATTAGCTAATCCTTAAAACCAACCCTTAATATTACCTTTTATACTACCGTAAATTTTAATACAACCTACCACTATTCCATAAGTAATTAAAAAAAACCTTTAGCTCTCGAAAAATTAGTCCGGAGTAAACGGGACCTACAGTACCCTTGGCTACGAGCATGTATATATGTCTTGAATATCAAGACGGTGGAAAGACTTTGTAGACGCGTATTCACTCAATAACCATAAAATAATCTGCAATATCTTGCTACATATTTAAATGTCAATGGATATTATATTACCTCAGTGACGTAATGCAAGACATTCATACGGGCAATTTTCTCTTGTATCGCACCATACTGAGATATTTTGTCTCCAAACTGAGTTCTGTTAACTGCAAAGTCAGTCTAATAATAAAACAAAATTTCTCATCTACACAAATGTACATAGAAGCAAAGTTTAGAGAAAGTTTATAATTTAAAATTTAACAAAACCAGAAATACGTAAGAACAAACAAACCGCTTTAGCAATTAATGATTTCATAGTTCCAGATAATGCAGCAGCCATACCAAAACGTCCATTATTGAGAATATTCATGGCAACCTTAAACCCTTCACCAACCTCTGCAGAGAAATGTTTAAATTTGTAAAAAATTCTTTCAAGTATTAAGCAATTAAATAAATATTTAAAATAAGAAATACCTCCAAGGACATTTTCTGCAGGAACTTTGACATCATCAAAATAAACCTTTGTAACAACATAACAATTGCATAAGAATGTAAAATATGAAATTGTTTTATTACTAAGTAAGTAAATACCTCAGCTGTGTTTGATGCTTTTATACCCATTTTTTTCTCAGGAGGACCACTAAAACGAAAAAACAATGATTGCCAATTTAAAAAAAAGTATCAATTAAATTGGAATGAAATATCAAGTAAACAAGCTCATTTGTATTAATTAACACTGAATAAGTGTAAGCAAAGACGATATTTTTCTTTTGAATTGACTTGGTATGAAAACAAAAGTAAATGAAAGTAATTATATTATTATTAGTATGTAAAATGAAGAGTTTCATAGGTCATAAAGTTAATATTCAACAAACACACCTGGTAACCCCTTTGAAACTTCTTTCAACAATAAAACTTGTTATTTTTTCTTTTGTTTCTCCAGTTTTTTTATCTTTTACAGGTGTCTACATACATGTTGAATATATTTTAAAATAATTTAATGTAAATTGAAGTCAAGCTCCTTTATAGTTATGTACGTATAAATAAAAAAATACCAACATTTTAATGTCTGACATACAACATAACAGACAACAAACCTTAGCAAACACAGTAAAAATCTCTGCGATACCTCCATTACTTATCCTAAATAAATCAATATTACAAAATAGAAATGAGCCAACTGATGAGTTGAAAAGTAGGCAGGCATATTTATTGAATTGAGCATTGTTCATAATATTTAATATTTGAGAAATCAAATAAATTCAGAGTTTGGAATGAAATAAACAAGCACCATAATTTTCCTCCATTTAATATCCAGTACTTTCCATCCTCACTTGGAACAGCTTGACATCGAATAGACTAAAAAAATATCAGGTAAATTATTAAAACAATATGAATAAAATAAGCAAATGTTATTTCAAATACTTACAGCTGCATCAGATCCACTTGTAGGTTCTGTCAGACAAAATGCAGCAATATTTTCACCGGATGCAAGCTGAATATTACAAATTGAAACAATAAATTTATGATAAAAATAAAGATTATAATAATCATTTACTAATGAACAAACTTAACTAAACCTTAGGAAGGTATTTCCTCTTTTGTTCCTAAAAATAAACAGAAAAACTGCATTGGTTGTGGGAAACCATAAGCAAAACATATTCAAAAACATAATGAATTAAAACAATATTGTTTAACCTCATTTCCAACTAATAAAATTCCTTTAAATCCAATGGACTGATGAGCACCAAGTGTAATACCAATGCCAAGATCATGGATTCCAACTATTTCAACCAACCTGGAATACTTTTGTAAAAATATACACACATTAAAATATACAACATCACCTATAAGATAAAAGTGTAGTGACTATTGATAACTTACTGCAGTGTTACTTAATCCTAAGCCACCGTGATTTTCAGAAACCTACAAGATTTTATTTATAGTCTTTATAAGAATGATTACACCTTAAACTGATATATTATTTTACTATGTTTACCTGTAAACCAAAAGCTCCCATCTCCTTTAAGCCTTTCATGGTTTCATCATCCACTTTCTCTATAGCATCATTCTTTGCAGCATCATTACACTCCTAAGAGAATACCATGATATTTTATATGACACTACAACCGAGTCGTTGCAGAATTATGTCATAAAAAATAGTCTTTATTACTTGAAAGAATTTCTCAGTGGGATCAACAAGACCTTCCAAAAGCTCACGTTGCTCATCTGTCAAAGCTATAATGAAAAACTTAGCAATGTTTTATTAACTCAAAGAAAACTAAAATTACAACATGAAATGAAAGAAAAGATTTACCTTCAGGATAAGGAAATACTTCATCAACAAAAGCTTGTCCTTTGAATACTCCCATAGCAAATGACTGATGATTCTGAACGAGAAAGAATGTTTTTAAATGCTGATTGTATTTCATTAAAAACCAAAACATGACAACCAGCATTCAGCAGAAGTTAAAACGACAGCAACGACATGACTGGGTATAAAATTATATTTGAGTCCAAAGGTCAAATATTGAGATAATACATGAAGTAAAATATCGATATCATAAAGATACACTTGCAGTGAATAGTTCAGCAGATTTCGCTAAAAAATACCATTTTGTATTATGTCTTTATTTACTAAGTATGCTCAACATAATTTTTGTTAATAACGAAATTTCGTCGACACAGTTTGTGTCTGATACAAAGAAAAATGTCTTTCTTACACATGGAAATGTAGAGATTGTTCGTATATGTGGACTGTTTAGATTGATTTTTGGTGATCTAGATAAAATTAAAACACTATATTAAAAAAACATTTACCACCAAAATGTGTTACAAAATAAAAGTTGAGTTGTCATGAATGTTTACATCAAAAAGTTATGTTACATTAACACTCTTCGTCGTCTTACCTCGTTGCCCAAATTATTGGTTTACTATAAGTTACGGATCTTCTTACGACAGCTCGCAAAAACATTTTTTTAATATTAAAAAAAAATAGCAAAACAAAGTAGAGAAGTTGATTCGAAGTTATAAATAAAATTTAGGTTGAACAATGAAAAACACTTATTAGTTACGTCATCAATGTTTAGTAAGTTGCATAGTCCTAGTCTCCAGGTAAGTGGGAGTATTTAAAGGCGTAACTAGGGGGTGGGTAACTAGGGGGTGGGTAACTAGGGGGTGGGTAACTAGGGGGTGGGTAACTAAGGGGTGGGTTACAGTGGGTGGGTAACAGTGAGTTTATTAAAATTTTTAGTCTTGTAGATTTTCTTTTCATGTATTGTACAAGAGAATGGTTTACAATAAAAATTTGATGATATTTATTTAAATTGTGTGGAGAGTCCCTTGTATGCGACTACCGCTACGTGTTCGTCATTAGCGCGCGAACTACGTGTATTTTGATGACTACGTGTCTATCGTGGCTACGCACTCATGAAAAAGTCCGTCGTATAACTGAGTACGGGATTTTGAAAAAATTTGGTTGTCTACACAACGAGTTAAGAAAGTCATTATTTATTGAGCGTTTGTTTAATTTTCTTAATTTTCTTTAATGTGTGCAGGAGACTTTGACAACATTATCATTTATTTTAGTTTTTCCTCCAACATTATCATTGACTTATATTCAAGACTCAAAACTTAATATTTTTGGATAACAACTTATAATGATGATCAATTAGACTGTAAGTAGAAAATTAAGACACGGGAAACAATAATTTATAACCACAAGTCTAAGTTATGAAGAATGTTATTTTCTCACTTCTTTTTAGTAAGATTACTGGCTACGTTTACGGGGAAAAAATTGATAAAGCAAATGTAAAAATGAAAGTAGACCAAATAATTGGGCGATTGCTTCTCGTATATCCTTGAACATATACTAATTAGTGAAAACATAAAAACGCATATTTTTTATCGTGTTCAGAAAAATTGTTGTTTTAAATGTACAAAAGTTTTACAAGCTTTACACAAATTTACATAAAAACAAGCTTAGTAATAAATTTTACAATTTCTATAAAATTAAACATTAGTCATTCGCAAACTTCATCTTCAACGACTTGGTTCATGGCCCAACATGTTCTATGGAAAACAAAAATCACGAATTAAATTGTGCTTATTTCGAAAAATTTCAAGAAACACAAACATCACTCATCATAAAGATAAATATAAATGTAAACTCAAACTTTGTGAAAGAAAAAAGTTTGTGAAAGAAAAATAAAATCTGTTAATGAAAACTCTTGACAAAACAATATTTAACATCATACCGTCAGTGAATGAAGTTCTTTGGAAAAATTTCCCAGAGTTTTAGTGAGTTGATCTTCGTCCTAATTATAGCAATAGAAAATAAGGTTCAATATTGGTCGACAGTAAAATAAAAATGTATTTATGTATTTCAACAAATATATATGTAATGTCCCCAATGTTTGCATACATTTCAGCTGGAAAGATACAATGGAAAACATTATTTCGGAAGCATTTAAATCTCAACTATATTCGTCATCCTTACTGTAGCTACCTTAGCGAAACACATTCCAGTGTAGTTTTTGAGACTTTGGTGCAAATATTGGGTTTGAACATATTACATTATAAAACGATTGTTTACACCCTCCTCTACCATAAATAACTGTGTTATTAATGCTATCATTTTTGATTGAATATGGGTTACATTATAATCAATTTAATTGATTCTAGACGTACATATGAGTATTGTTAACCTTATTATTTGATTGTTGATCCTTCTCACTTATTTCCACTCCCTGCTGTGAAGAGTTGTCATTTTTCCTTGTTCTTGTTGGTAATAAACTATGTAATAACTGAGGAACTTCACTATCCATGGGACAAATATATTCTTCACATTCGATGTCTGATTTTGTTCGTTTTTTTATCCCACTGATAGACAATTTTCGTGGCTGTATAAAACAGAAAAAAAAGTTTGTTTTTAACAGCATAAATATTTTAAGCACAAACCTCGACCTTCGTTGAGAATTTTTATTTTATAGAAGTATCAATATACCTTTTGTTTTTCCCCAGGAATCAATGCCGTAAAACCATTGGCTAAAGCCGTTTCCTTAACCTTTAAACATGCACTACCGACCAATGATTCAAAATGCGTTGCTAGGTGACGTCGCAATAACTTCTTACCACTTGGTATAGATAATACAGTTGCCATGGTTTCTGCCGTAAACCGCGGTTCGAGAATCTGGAAGTATAGTTTCTCTTAAATAAGAAATTAAGTGTAGTGGAAGATAAGTCATACAATAAAATATTAAAAATCACATAAATAACCATAAAAGCTCCATGAACACCACTGCTCAGAAGATTTCCAACGTACTCCGACAGATCAGCTTGACGTAACCACTCAGTAACACGATAATTGGTCCAAAGAATCACGTCAGCTCCATGTTGCCATGACTAAAGAATAAAATAAATGCTACATGAAGTATGTTCACGTAAGAAATGAGAAATCAATTAAAAATCATTAGTACCTCATCAATGGGTGATTTTTTGAGATAATTGGGATGAAAATTGTAAATCCTAAAATATAACACATATTTTGTTATTATTTTTGGCGCAATTATTTGATAATTTAAATTTTAACCTCAAACATTGAATTGCACTTTTCAGACTATGTTGATGAAAGGTGTTGTAAATCTTAAGTTGAAGAACATCATTCTAAAAGAGAAAAATAGAGTACTTCTATAAAATGTGCACCTGAAAGACACCAGAAAACGTCAATTATCAAACGCAATAATACTTATACATACAATGGTTAAATAGTTCAGCATTCTACCATCTACAAGATTTTCACGAAATGAATCTTTATATTGAGGAAGACCAATATCATCTAACCACTCTACATATCACAAAAATATTTAAGGAATAAAAGACCTGCTCCAGTCTAAAATAACACATAAAGGTACAACACAACTTTATAAAAGGAACCCAAAAGAAAAAATGACGCCTTTACCATAATGAGAAACTTTGAAAAAAAACAATTTTTTATTCTCACAAGAAGTTCTTTATCAACGAAAAAATAGTTCTTACTGACCTAGAATCCAAGTATTATCCAAGGCTGACAAAAAATCTTCCTGTCCTTCATTCACACCCTATGCTCGTTGAAAAAGAAATGGGAATTTAAACAAGAGTAACAAAAAAATAAATTAGCTACTCAAGTGCGAAGACATCAGTGAACATTGTTTGAATGTACGTAAATTTGTAAACAAGGAAGTTAAATTTAATCATTTGATACAGTCAGCAACCTGCAACGCCAGTTGAAGTTTTTTACGATGTAAAAGCTTTTTCATCCCCAGGACTTTCTCTAAGTCCGATGACGTCATATTTTGTAAATCGTCACCAGTCTTTACATGATTTAAACAGGCCTCAGTATATTGACCAAGACCTTCATCTTCCATCCAACTAACAATAAGATCACATGACCATGTAGAAAATGGATCATTGCTGGGAAACCTTTCATAATCATGAAATTTAGAAAAAAATAAAATTATTACGTATCTTTGCTTTGCAAGCGCTTGTATCTACACTTAGCAAGTTTTCTATATTCATTTACTGAAACGTACAAATTTTTTAAAAAGCTTCATAATGTTTAAATTTATTTTTAAAGAAAAATAAACAACAGCCGTTTGAGTAAAAATATGCCCTGAATGTAATGTATATCTTCATCATCATATTAAAATTATATTTACCTTTTGAGATAACTAAATTGACGATCGTTTACTTCTGTATCGAAGCCATGAGTGTTTGAGCGACGTAGTCTTACAATAATTTCAAATCAAACAAAGAATTCAATGAACATCAATCGTAAAATATGGAAAAGTCGAAAACATTTAGATTTTTGACAATTCAAAAAACGTCGACTTACTTTCCTATGACTTTTCCCACTATATTCTTCTTTTTCGCTTTCTCCTGAGTATCTTCAACATTCTAAAATGTACAAATTTATGAAGATTTGATTTTCAATTGACAGAAAATGAAATAATAATAGCTACCTTTGTTGCAGTTTCAATATTCGTGCTGTTATCAGCAGACGCTAAAATAACGATGAGTAATTTATTTAATTTTCCACAAAAAGTTAAAAGACAATCCACATAGAGTTTATGAGAGATTGTTTGCAAACAAACTTTCCGTTTTGTTTCTTACGGGAAGAAGTTTCGTTACAATTGTGCTTTTGCTTCAGTTTAAAAAGACTTTTCCCGAATGAGGAACGACCAAACGAGGAACGAGCAAATGAAGTACGACCAAATGAAGATCTTGTTTGACTTTCTCTCTTAAATGGCTGGTTATCTTTGTTGACTGTATCAGATTTTTTCATTTTCCCCGTTATTGTTGATTCAGGTTTTTTGAAGTGACATTCTTCTGTGAATAAAAATAAGGTGTTCATTATCAATTTCATAGATATTACAGTGTGCGAATTAGTTTAGAAAAAACGATGTGCAATTTCTTTTGACAAAAGTGTTTCTTTAGAGGCATAATCAAATCGATATTACGTTATTTATTATATAGCGCTAATTGCTAAATTAATATTTTTAAACGTGAACAAATTCATATGATTTACGACAGTGTTTTTCGTTATAACCGCTTATTTTTGCACATCGTTTGAAAAAGTGGTGTGCAATTGTTTTCATTTTATCTAAAACGATGTGCAAATTGCACATTGCACACCGTTAATTCGCACACTGGATATTATAATAATAAATATCTTCAATGCAGCATTAGACATCATCTTCCTTTATTTTTTAAGTTCAATTTCTTTCTATGCAAAGAATTAAATAACACAACCTGGCCTCCCTCTAAAAGCAATGATTTCTCACTTGTATGGATGAGTTTAGAAGACTTATTTTCTACATTTTCTTTCCCATGTTGTGCAGAAATCTCTTCATTTTCCGATTTATTCTTTGCAGCTTCATTATTAGAACCACATACATCTGAGGTATGTACACTAATGTCACTTTTTGTCAATTCCATCTACACAAAAACTTGTAGTGATGACGTCATAATATGCATGGAAAATGCCAAAATAATGTACAAAAAAATAAAGAGCCCAAAATAATGCTGTAAAATATGCTTACACTTAGTTTTGAACTGGATATTGTTTGCAGTTGTCTTTTGAGATCTTCAATTTTATTTTCCTTCTCTGTTAACACTGTTTCCAGTTTTTCAATTTTCATTTTAACAGAGCTAACTTCTGATGCTGCAAAATAAACCCTTGCAAGTCAAAATGTTCTATTTATACAGGTACACTTGATAAATATATGAAACATCTACCCAGTATGTACATATCTCATATTCACATATGTACATATCTCATATTCACATATGTACATATCTCATATTCACATATGTACACATCTCATATTCACATATATATTAAAACTATATTCCATAATAAGCCTTGCAACATCAAATATTTCTCTCTTATGAACAACTCATATATTTCATAATACACCATAAGCAATACAAGATGTAAATACTCCATATCACTATATGTATAAACATACTATAAGATGTACCTTCACACATTGCCATTACCCCATACATAATATATACCCATGAACTATATACAAAATATATATGAGACTTCCAAGCATTTATATCCGTAAATCAATGACAACAAGATGATAAAACTGATCTAAATTGATATAACTAACCTTTTTCTCTTAGTTGAGCTTTCATACATGAATTATTTTCAGCTAAATCAAACAATGGAAAATAAAAATAAGGTCAGATCAACACAAAAATTATGCTATGAAAATTTTTAAATAACTTACTTTTAAAGTAAATGGTTTGAACCGGAGTATCGCAACTTACTTTTATTGGAAGATAACAGATGATTTCCTTGTTTTTCTTTATTAAAAAACATTTCAAGATGCGATTGTAGATCTTTGATTTCAACATCATTCTTTGCTAAAAGTGCTTTTATTTCATTGTCCTGAAACATAAAATTGCTATCTGTTTGAAGACAATAGATGAATCATAAATGGACATTTTGTTTTCATAAAGACCTTCCCTGAAGAAACTTATCAATGCTTATTATCATTACATGACTCATTAAATTAGATATGTTTAACACTATTTTGAATTTTCATTCATACACAAACCATACTATAATGAGAAGAAAATTTTAACATTTTTAAAATACCAGTTATCATGTTACCTTTTCCATTGCCTCTTCAAAATCTGCTAGTTTGATGAGAAGTTCATCTTTCAAGAATTCCAGCTCTCTCATTTTCTCCCCTTGAACTTGAACTTGGTCAGATAAAATACTTACTTGAAGTAATAAAGAATCATTCTCTTCTTCAAGTCTCCTTACTTTTTTATGTGAATTTTCAACTTCTAAAGAACAATGACCATTGGTTGCTGGCAATTTTTCTTCATTTAAAGTCTAAACCAAAGACAAAACACAATAGTTCATGTAAAAAGTCAACTCCTGATGTACATGAATTGCTTGAAAGTTAAAGTATTCAAATCAATCAAACTTATATAAAGTTTTGATTGACGTACCTGCAACCAATTCTTCAATATGCTTGCAGTACTTTCAGGGATGATTATTTTGTGTTTAAAAGTGGAAATACTTTCAACGTAAGTGGCAAGTTCTATGGCTGTATCTTGAATCTTCTTATCTAAACCACAAAGTTCACTTCCAATTCCATAAATAAGTGCATCACAGTGATTTGAGAAACCTTCTCTTGCATTTCTATTATTTGATGAAATATTCTCTATTTGGTGCGCAGCATCACTATGAGTACAAGTGGCATCATTTTTTGGCTCATCCATAAGTCGTTATATTAATATATTTTCACTTTATTTTAAAAGTATTCTAAAATAATATCAACAAGTATGACGTCAAAATATAACATCTGGAGGAGAATTATACGAAGTATTTTTAGATCCTTTTCCACTCGGCTGCTCGGCACCACTCGGCACCACTCGGCACATACTCGGTACAGCAGCTGCCTTGGGTCGATCCATCTTCGGTCAGCATGCGGTCAGTGGCCTCAATTCTCCTCGGTCGGCTCTCCACGTGAAACAAAAAATTTAAAATAAATCTTGTTCACTTCAGAAATTCACTTACGGATGTAAATGTTGTGTGGTTTCGCTGTCATAACCTAGTCATGCAGATTGACAAGCATGTTGTAGATGATCTAAAACTGAAAGATCATATCATGATTTGAAGAATGTCTCTAGAAATTCAAGCAGATATTGCAAATTCATTGCGTTTCCTTGAATCAAGCAAGGCCACTGAACGGAATGTAAGCAATAAACACAAATGTTCATTTACATGGTTTGTCTTAAAACTAGGGTGCAGTTCTTAACATAATGACCAAACAGAAGGGGGAGGGGTGGGGGGAAGAAGATGGTTTAAAATATGAAAGGTTTACCAGCCAATTGTTTAATCACTGGAAAAAAAATGCAGAATTTTGTAAAGAATTGAATAATGATTCGAAATACATGCATTGGATGAGTTTGGCTGGCATTGCAAATGGCAATGAGTGCTATATAGCTAATCTTCAGCTTGACTCTGTAATGAAGCATGTCTAGTAGGGACATAAATAATCAATGATGTATCAAGTTCTGAAATTTACTTAGCAATCTAAGGATACATTTTTAAGGCAGAACGTGTCAATGAACTTCATTTGCTCTTTAGAAACATGCCAACAAAATGAAATGCTTTTTGGAAAAAACAACAGTAGTAAAATTGATTGATATAAACTCTGATGTTGGCAAGAAAAATGCCATCACTTGGGATTGTATTCAAAGATCTGTTCAAAATTATGTTGTAAATGAAATTAAAATTTTAAAAGTGAACAAATCAAGAACATCTCAGTCAACTTTGATTAATAATAAAGAAAAAAAGAGACAGGTTTGTGTCATCTTGATAATTTCTTTGAAATTTGTACAGTGCATGAAAGAACTTCTCTTTGCATGTCTTGTTTGAATGATCTTAAATTATTGTTTTTAGGAGGCAATATCATTTTTGAAATATGTCATTAAGATAGCAGACAACAGTAAGTTTTTTTTAAATATAGAGCAAAATGTGTAGTTTTTCAAAGTCAATAGCAAAAGTGGAAAAAGTTTTTGAAAAGGAGAGTTATCAGGAAAGAATGTCATTATTTTTTATAAGATGCTTCTATTTAAGTTTATTTGTTTTAATTAGTATTAACAAGACTGTTTATCTATGTGGTAACGATAAGCTTATTAATTATATAGAGTAAATTAAATTTTTTGGTCATGATTATTTATTGCAAATGTGATTAATGATCTCAAAGCTTTGAAACATACGGAATTTTTACTTCCAATAGAATGGTTAACTCCTTTATGAACTGAATTATTAATGTACCTGCCTTTTGTTATATTATAGGAGATTTGAATCGTTTAAATGCAAAAGATCTTGTTCAGCATATTTTACATATGTTAAAACACGAAGATAAAGCAATTGTTATTGATTATCAAAACATTTTATTAAAACATGTACTTACTTCAAAAATATATTGCTGTGAAATTTCATCACTTTTATGGAAAGGTAATGATTCTTTTGTTGTTGTAACATGTATTGATATATTTTGCACACAATTTGAAAGTTATTTTTTAGATTTGATCTCAACTACTTGTACTCTTATCACATCATGTAATGGAGAACGATCTGTTTCCATGAAGACACTTATGCATATCATTTCGGCTGCTGCTGCTCAAGTTGATTTGACATCTACACAACTTTTTACATTTTTTGGCATGATTATTCAAGGTTTAAGGTTAGTTGAATTTTGGTACTATTGAAGTAACAATAGAGTTGCAACACATAAAAATAGAGGATTGCAACACATACAACAGGAGAGTAGGTGGGTTGCTACACATGAAACAAGAGGGTTACAACACATACAACAGGAGGGTTGCAACACATACAACAAGAGATTAGGAGGGTTGCAACACATACAACAGGAGGGTTACAACACATACAACAGGAGGTTTGCAACACATACAACAGGAGGGTTGCAACACATACAACAAAGGGTTACAACACATACTACAGGAGGGCTGCAACACATACAACAGGAGAGTAAGTGGGTTGCAACACATACAACAGGAGAGTAGGTGGGTTGCAACACATACAACAGGGGAGGAGGGTTACAACACATACAACAGGAGGGTTGCAACATAACAAAAGGTTAAAACAGGAGATAAATTTCGAATAAATATTCTTTGTTGCCATAATTTGTTTGATTTGCTATTTTAGTAAAGAAAATAATGCTCAATTCTTGGAATTTCTCCTCAATGCTCTACTGACATTTTCTAAAGCAGTAGCAATTGATTATCGCTGTCAACTTTGTCAGCTTGGTGAAGATATTATTCCACATCTGTTGCAAGTTTGGATCAAACCAATACCTGCTTCTGTGAAGGTGAAAACTTTGCTAGTTATGTTACAGTTGAAAACTTATATTTTTAGTTATCGTTTAATGTGGTCATGATTTTGAATGAGGTAATTGTTTGAATCCTTTGTCAGGAAAGTTTGGTGACAATTCTAAATTTACAAATGAAGATTCATCATCCACATGGTGTCTGTGACGAAAAACATGGCGCTTGGTGTTTCAATTCTTCACAGTGGAAGGTCTTGTTAACAATTGTTTTGAATTAAATTGCAGCTATTTAATTGTTTAAATTCAATCTCCCGATAATCATTTATAAACAATATGTCGATAATCTCATGGCAGATAATCAGAGTTGCATTTTATGAATGTATTTTCATGACCACGAAAATGTACTAACCTATCAGAAAATATTGATGTAGTTTTGTTTTGTTGTAGAAATGTCTTCTGAAGTTATATAAAACAATTTCTTCGGAGATCGAGCAAGCCAGCGGACGCGTGAGAGGACAAAAGTACAACCCTGATTCTTCCGTATTAGGTATTTTTCTTGTTTTTGTTGTGTATCGTTTGTTTTATTTGATCTAGTATGAAGTTGGAATCTGGTCTTACATCGTCTATGGTCAATCTTGCGTCACACGTGTGTCATCAGGTGTGTACATACATAACACTGCGTAGATTGTAGATATCATCAACACATTGTTTTACTACTTGTTAACCCTCTGAATCTGTAGTAAATCTTTTCATTTTTTACCATTAGCTGTTCTGGTTGCAATCTAAAAGTCTTATATCATTAGAGTCCAGTACAATCGAAGGTACTCTAATTAATAATTACTATTAATAATTGTATATTTAAAGCCGGGGCTACACGAGCGATTTTTTATGGACGCGATTTTTCAAAATTATTAAACAAAAATGATGGATACTTGTAAGACAATTTCTATAATGACGATCATTTAAGCAATGTTTATTTTGGTTAACATCAATTTCAATGTTGCGTCTCATTGGCCAGACGCAGTTTTGTCATGTCGTGTTTTTCAGTCGAGGTGGCTACACTTGATAAAATCTGGTTGACTTATTGAAAAGTGTTCAACTTGTTGAAATTATCACGATCAAATTTAAGAATGTTTTCTGAGGTCGAAGGTGGCTATAAGAAAAAAATCTCAACATTTATTGATAATCTCGAAAAATCGTGTAAAAAAACTTCGTGATTTTTTAGCTTGTTATAATAAAAGAATATTTTATATAATCTATTGAAGATTCCAATTCTTTAAAGAGAAGAAAAATTGATATATGTTGGACAAGTTTAGTTGATATTTTCAATAATAGTCAAGAGACATCAACTTTATTATCGTGGTGAGGTTTAAAATTCTGCGTTTTATATATTTGATACTTTAACATGTATATTTTAATTGTTTTGATATTTTTTTAAGGCTTCAGATAGCAACAAAAATCTTGTCGACATTCCCAGGATCACTTCCCAGCGAAGAATACGTTCCCTTGATTTGTTCACTCTATAAATTACAGGTTGAGAGTAAAAGGTTGGAGTATAATCACTTATTCATTTTCATTTCTTTTCACAGTTGTGGTCAAAATATTTTAAATAATAAAGACCTCCACTAAAATTTTGATTTGATTCGATTTCTTTTTATATAATTTCTTTGTAGGGTTGAAATAATTCTAGCCGTCATGACATGTGAAAAGCATTTCGCCTCTCAGCATTGCCATTTGCCTGAAGTAAACATTGAAAATGCTATCGTAAAGACAACTTGGAGCAACATTTGGAACAGTACTTTAAGAAATTGTTGTTCTCACGCGTTACAAGATGTTAGTTTTCAGCTTTTAGAAGTTATTGTGAAGGTTTGTTATGTATGTTGTTTTGCTTCGTTTTTTGTTGTAGTAATGTTGTTTGTGATGATTGTATTGATTTGAAAATTGACTTTTTATGATTTAAATGCATGTTTTTTGTCAACGCTCTAGGAGAAACTTGTAAATGCTGATTTAGAACCATGGAAATTACTGACAAATTCCGTTTGTAGTTCTTCACAGTAAGTGGATTATGAATTTTCTAACTTCTGTTACCCATCTTCACCATCGTTATCTGTCTTCACCATCGTTATCTGTCTTCACCATCGTTATTTGTCTTCACCATCGTTATCTGTCTTCACCATTGTTATCTGTCTTCATCATCGTTATCTGCTTCACCATCGTTATCTGTCTTCACCATCGTTATTTGTCCATCGTCATCTTTCTTCACCATCGTTATCTGTCTTCACCATTGTTATCTGTCTTCACCATTGTTATCTGTCTTCACCATTGTTATCTGTCTTCATCATCGTTATCTGCTTCACCATCGTTATCTGTCTTCACCATCGTTATTTGTCCTTCGTCATCTTTCTTCACCATCGTTATCTGTCTTCACCATCGTTATCTGTCTTCACCATTGTTATCTGTCTTCACCATCGTTATCTGTTTTCATCATCGTTATCTGTCTTCATCATCGTTATCTACTTCACCATCGTTATCTGTCTTCACCATCGTTATTTGTCCATCGTCATCTTTCTTCACCATCGTTATCTGTCTTCGACCATTGTTATCTGTCTTCACATCGTTACTGCTTCACCATCGTTATCTGTTTCACCATCGTTGTTTGTCCTTCGTCATCTTTTCTTTCCATGTTATCTGTCTTCACCATGGTTATCTGTTTCACCATTGTTATTGTCTTCACCATCGTTATCTGTTTTTATCATGTTATCTATGTTCATCATCGTTATTACTTCCGCCATCGTTATCTGTCTTCACCATCGTTATTTGTCCACGAATCTTTTTCACCATCGTTATCTGTCTTCACCATGGTTATCTGTCTTCACCATTGTTTATCTGTCTTCACCATTGTTACATCTGTCTTCACCATTGTTATCTGTCTTCATCATCGTTATCTGCTTCACCATCGTTATCTGTCTTCACCATCGTTATTTGTCCTTCGTCATCTTTCTTCACCATCGTTATCTGTCTTCACCATCGTTATCTGTCTTCACCATTGTTATCTGTCTTCACCATCGTTATCTGTTTTCATCATCGTTATCTGTCTTCATCATCGTTATCTACTTCACCATCGTTATCTTATATTTCACCATCGTTATTGTCCATCGTCATCTTTCTTCCACCATCGTTATCTGTCTTCACCATTATCTGTCTTCCACCATCGTTATCTGCTACCATCGTTATTTGTCCATCGTTATCTTTTTTCACCATCGTTATCTGTCTTCACCATTGTTATCTGTCTTCACCATCGTTATTTGTCCATCGTTATCTTTTTTCACCATCGTTATCTGTCTTCACCATCGTTATCTGTCTTCACCATTGTTATCTGTCTTCACCATCGTTATCTGCTTCACCATCGTTATTTGTCCACGTTATCTTCCATCGTTATCTGTCTTCACCATCGTTTATCTGTCTTCACCATCGTTATCTGTGTTGACCATCGTTATCTGTCTTCACCATTGTTATCTGTCTTCACCATTGTTATCTGTCTTCACCATCGTTATTTGTCCATCGTCATCTTTCTTCACCATCGTTATCTGTCTTCACCATTGTTATCTGTCTTCACCATCGTTATCTGCTTCACCATTGTTATTTGTCCATCGTTATCTTTTTTCACCATCGTTATCTGTCTTCACCATCGTTATCTGTCTTCACCATCGTTATCTGTCTTGACCATCGTTATCTGTCTTCACCATCGTTATCTGCTTCACCATCGTCATTTGTCCATCGTCATCTTTTTTCACCATCGTAGTTATTTCTTCACACCATCGACATGTTGCCTTTATTCTGTCATTAACATTATTCATTTTTCAATCATTTATTTTAGTGATTCCTTAAACTTTATCTGCACGTACATCACAGCGTTTCCTCTGCCAGAACATTTCAACCTGTCAAACAACATTTTTCAAAATGTACCATGTCATTATCCGTTACGTCATCAGTTATTTGATTGGTTGTTGCCGCCAAAGAACAAGATTGAAGAGCAAGGCTCAAGTATTTTTGTAACTTATACAAAACTATTTTCAAGGTAAAAATGTCATAAGATTAAAGAGTTTATAACTTTTTGTTGTTAAGATCATGTCAATCTATGTATAGTGTAAGCAAACATATTTTGACTGAGTGAGAAGTTATTTATTTTTTAAAAACATTATTCGATGTTTGTGAGGTTAAAAGAAATGTTCACATATAGTATATTGAAAATAATATTTTACTCTTTAGATGTCGTAAGGATGTTCTTTCGTATATTCTTGTAATTCTTACTCAACGACAATGTTCATGTTCTTTGCTTCAACCTCCACTTCAAAGGTGATCATCGCCCTTGTTAAAAAAATATTTCCTTTGCTCTTTCATTACATGATTATAACGAGTAATGCTGTTGATTGCCATATCTATATGTTTACAGAGCTTCGTGCAGTAATTTTGACGAAAAATTGAAGAGAATTGAGACAAATTACCTTGTCTCTTCTTTCGATGAGGTAAATACATTGTTTTATTCTTGATTTCTCTGAATCAATGAAAACTACGACGTAACGGAAACCTTTCATTATTCAATTCTTGATTTACTTATATTGTTACCCACGATTTTTTTGAACCATGAATTGCTCTCGACAGATGGTGGAGTCTTCGCTTGTCGACTCGAACACTTTAAATAAAACACAAAGGTAATTACGTATTAATAAGCTTTTACGTAACAGTTGCTCGTTTCTTCAAATTTTATTTATTGAAATTCGAAGCTCGTCCGCTGTAAATGATACGGTTAGTGAGTTGTTGGAATATCTTGTTAAACGTTTGGTGGAAATATCTGAGAAAATTATGGAATCAGAAGAGGTGACATAAAACTGCTGAATTTTTGTAAACGTGTAAACTATTTCATACATTTTTTCTTATTCGTTTTCTTTATTTTAAGTGCTGTGGATTATCCTCATCTCAAAAATTTCAATCTATTGATGGGAAATGCGGATTTTTTGCAAACTTTTGCAGTTTAATGTCGAAACTTATGGGATTAATGCTTCATTTGAAAGTTTTCACTTTCGAAGATCTAAAGAAATCCTCGCTCTTTCTTGTTTCACAGGTGACAAAATGGTCATTTGATCATCTTTAGTTCGGCACCATGTTTATTTTTGTCAATGTTGTTGTTATTTTTTTGTTGTAGAATATTTTTAAAGCTTTGTCTCAAGGAATGTTTGAATGCTCACGTCATCCAAATGATTTAGAAAAAAACGCTCTCACTCAATCCTTTGGGGACATTTTAAAGGATTTGTTTCTCTTTGATTATTTCTCCACGGTAATGAAATATAAATGTTTAAATAACGCATGTATTGTCTTCTAATCTCATTTATACTTCATGTAATATTTCACTAAGCAAACTTATTGATTATTTTACTAAACACCTCTGATTTTGACATCGTTATTTAGAACATGAAAAAACATTTTGAAGAGTATTTTAATGAAACTATGAAAATTTTGAGGTCTTTGATGCCGAAGCAAATGATTAATTGTATGATGAATATTGTCTTGGAAGAGGTAAATTATCTCCACTTGCTCAGAGACTGCAGTTTTATATTTACATTACAAAACAATATATTGAAACCGTTCAGTAAGTGAACTTTACGTTTTTTTTATATTTAGAATCGACAACAAAACAAAACACGAGTAGCTATTGATGTATTTGATGGAACATTTGTTGAATCAGATGGAGTAGAGGATGGGTTTGAATCCACTGATAAATCTGCCACCCAAAAATCCAATCAAGATTTTCATTTAGGTAAAAATAAGATTACTATAAGATATCTTCAAACTTTGTTAATCTTCGTAGATATACATATCTCATGTTTCTTTTAGATAGTTTATCTCGAAATGAAAAGTTAAGACTTTGTTACATGAAGATCGTTAGCTTACTCTGCTCATGCGCAGTAGAAGAAGATGAATCGTCACATTGTCTTAGACCTCTGGAAGATAAAATTTTTGATTTCTTTCGTTCAGCGGTAAATTTGTCGTCCGTTTTATTTTAAATGACTAAATACTTTAATTGTATCTTTATTTTTAGAAGTTTGATATTCTGAAAACATTTCATTCAAAGTTGGTAAGCTCACGCGTTGTCACTAAGCGTTTTCTATAATAGCAATTTTAGTAATTTATCAATTTTTAATGTAAATTTTTAGTTCTTTTCATCTGTGCCTTTTTTATGTCTTGGCCGTGTCAAATGTGACCATCTTCTAACGATGCTGCAAATTCTTATGTATGAAAAACGATTAAAAAATTGAGTCAAAAGTACGTTAACATATCCTTTTTCGCCTATTTTTTCTCCTTATTTTCATTTTCTTTAGGAAATTTATATCGAAGTTTCGTAAAGATCAAGGAAAATGCCAAACTGCATTACGTCTACTTTCTCAGATCTCGTCACAGTTCAGAAATAGAAAAACGACAGATGAGTTAAAGGATAGTCGGGATTTGTTGTTACATATGTTGAAAGCATTCTGGTAAAATTTACGGTTTATATTTTTACGTAATTCGTTTTTTCTTTGATTTCAAGAATATTTTGCGATTTTTATACAGGAATCTTCGAGATAGCAGCTATTGTTCTGCCGTCCGATTGGACTTTGCTAAATGCTTGAATAGTTATATTCGGGTACGTGTTTAACTTTATGAAACAAACCGAAATGAACTGAGGAAAGTCGTCATTTTATAGCTTTACTTTTAGGTTGATGCAGAGAAGGAATGGGCTTTTATTGAAACGAAAGACAGCAATAGTAACGGTTTATGATTAATATTTTTTAACATGAATTCGCATGGGTCTTTTGTTAAAACTACTTGGTGTTTTCTAATCTTTAAATTTTGTTATTTGTTCAGGTTTGACGCAATCTCATCTTACTGAAATGTTTCCTCAACTTTTATGTGATACAAGTCACGAAGTACGAGTTTATGTTTCTCAAACTACTTCCATACTCTTTCTAAAATTTGAGTCCAAAATCTCTGGTATTCCTGCAAAACCAGATGTACAGGATAATATGTTTGATCTAGTTGTTCAGTATCTTGTGAAATCTCTTGTTGTTGAGGTAAGAGTGTTTATGTACCTTTGCTGTTAACGTAGGATATGCATATGTACCTTTGCTGTTAATGTAGGATATGCATATGTACCTTTGTTGTTAACGTAGGATATGCATATGTACCTTTGTTGTTAACGTAGGATATGCATATGTACCTTTGTTGTTAACGTAGGATATGCATATGTACCTTTGTTGTTAACGTAGGATATGCATATGTACCTTTGTTGTTAACGTAGGATATGCATATGTACCTTTGTTGTTAACGTAGGATATGCATATGTACCTTTATTGTTAACGTAGGATATGCATATGTACCTTTGCTGTTAACGTAGGATATGCATATGTACCTTTGTTGTTAACGTGGGTATGCATATGTACCTTTATTGTTAACGTAGGATATGCATATGTACCTTTGCTGTTAACGTAGGATATGCATATGTACCTTTGTTGTTAACGTGGGATATGCATATGTACCTTTATTGTTAACGTGGGATATGCATATGTACCTTTGTTGTTAACGTAGGATATGCATATGTACCTTTGTTGTTAACGTAGGATATGCATATGTACCTTTGTTGTTAACGTAGGATATGCATATGTACCTTTGTTGTTAACGTGGGATATGCATATGTACCTTTATTGTTAACGTGGGATATGCATATGTACCTTTGTTGTTAACGTAGGATATGCATATGTACCTTTGTTGTTAACGTGGGATATGCATATGTACCTTTGCTGTTAACGTAGGATATGCATATGTACCTTTATTGTTAACGTAGGATATGCGTATGTACCTTTGTTGTTAACGTAGGATATGCATATGTACCTTTGCTGTTAACGTAGGATATGCATATGTACCTTTGTTGTTAACGTGGGATATGCATATGTACCTTTCTTTTTAAAAGACTGCAGCAGTCGTATGATTTTTGTAGAAAACATCAATGAGTCAACATCAACACTAACAGTCCTTCTCAGGACGCTACTAACATAGACAATGTACATGCCGGGTTCAAACTATTCGCTTTTTCAATATTTATTAAAGGGAAATCTTACTGATGATGCGTCAAAGGACGAGATAAGAAATAGAGAAAGTAGTCTTTTGTCTGCTTTAAAATCTATCATCATCACAAGCAGTTGGTGTGAGGGCAAAGCCATGTGTTTACTGTTTCAAGCTGTCAAAGAACAAAAATTTAACGAATATATTGTCGCAAAGGTTTGCTGTCTTACAAAATTTGTTTATTACATGAAACATCAATGATTTATTTGTTACTTTGTGTATCTCTATTTGTTTGTTTTCATTTAAGATTATTCATCAAATGAGTGAAATATTGGGTTACAAATCATTGAATGATTTTATATCCATTCACATTGGACAAATTATTGATAGTTGGTTACATCACGCATTTCGACTCGAGGATTTTCCTGTAAAAGCTGTACAATGTACATCGCTGGCTCATTTCTTGAGGTTCATTATGAGCAACTGAAATAATTCATTCCATTTCCTACATGAATTCATTCAAATATTTTGTCTCTTGCTGCATAATTATGTAATAAAATGCATGAAGAACGTTTGGACTGGTCAGAAAAACAAAATGTTTTAGTTGCCTTCAGTAAAAATAGTTAACTAACTGACATGTTTTGCTTTTAGGGCTCATCGATCCACAATTATGCCACATTTAGTATGGCATAAAGATATTCAAGCCCTGGCGACATTGGGGCGCGAAATCGGAAATGATGGAGACTGGACAGAAATTCTGGTTGAAGATTTTAGTCAAATTATGTCAGTCATTGTTCCGTGTATGGCTAAGCAAGCTCGTAATGGTAATCAACATGAAGTAGATCAGCAAACGGCTTTTGATCGTTATACTTATATTGAAAATATCCTTCAAAAAGAGGTATGCTCTTAATTTTTGGTAAAAATCTACAATAGACGTACATACTATCTGCAAACCATATTAATACTACAAAACATTGCTGTTTCATCTCAGATTTTTGTATGTTTTCTTCATTTTTTGTAGGTTTTAGATAAACTGACGGTGTCAAAGTTTGATGAACTGGTAGTTGAATTGTTGTTAAAACTTCATGACTGTCCTAATGAGGTGTCAGACAATTTACAATTTAAGAGGTACTTCATGTTGTTGATGAACATATATTCGTTTTTCGTGTGTAGACAAGAAAAATTTTAACATGAATAACAGCGTCGAACCATTCCCTCGATACTCGAGACAGTAAGCGCTAGGGCGTTGCGTGTTTTTAATGGTGATTTTACGACTCCTTTACGTTATCGTCGAGAATGTCAATTTTGCCAGGTTCTGCTAAATTTACCACTTACATTCATGGAGACTGTTGAAGGAACTACAAAACAACTTCATGTTTTTGAATTTGAATCCAAACCTTAGTTTATCGATACAACTTTGTTTACACGCTTTTATCATTTTTAGTCACGATGATCCACCCATTCAACATCCAAATTTCACATCAAATGCGATCAAAGCCACCTTTGAATATCTCACAAAATGTCATAGTGAATGTGGTAATCTTGTTTCCGTTCTATGTAAACGCAAGGTATGGTAATGTTTACATCATTAGCATACTTGCTGAAGCTAGTTATGCATGAACGAACATGGTTATTCCTAGTCGAGCATATTTGTGGTTGCGTGTTGTTATTTTTTACATACGTAAAACTTTTACTGGCCTTCCTAGCTTCAAACGTCATTTTGCACTTTATGTTGTAAATTTAATTTTTTTCATTACGTCTTTCATTATTATGTCATCAATAATCTTCTATACTTGTAAAATATTTTTCGATTTATTTTTACTATTTTTTTTTTCAGGAAAACATTCAAAAAATCCTTTTGAGATTGTCTGAACTTTTAGAAAGCACTCATATAATCCATAGAAGACGTTCCTATCTTCGAATGTATCGAATGTTCGTCTCGTTTCTTCTTGATGATTTAGATAAACGTTTGGTTAGTTTTAGGCCATTTCTTGTTCGAGATATCATATTTACTTTATTACGAACTATGGCGTGTGACAACACGAAAAACATGTTGAAAATTTCGAATTCACTGGATGAGAGTGAAATTATGGCAATAATGAACAATGATATATTTACTGGAAGTTGTGACTTACTTTATCGTGTTTGTAAAGCTGCCTTGACTTTCTCTGCACAGGTTTGTCATATCCTTGTACTTTTTTATCCTACCAGTTATCCAGCTTTGCCTGCTTTGATGTGATTCGTGCTGTATCCAGTTGATTTGTTTCGTGCTGTAGGCCACCGTGGATTGTGCCAAACGAAAAAAATTGTACTTCGAGATTGTGCCAAATGTTGTTCTTTCGTGGCTTGTGCGTTAACTTAAATATTTTTCTGAATCCAGCCGTCCGTATTTTCTGACAATTAACGCATTTTTTGATGGTCTTAAAACAATTTTATCTTTAAAGATATTAAACTCTTGCAGGAAATTGATCTTTATCTTCACGACATTGTAAATGAAGTTTTGCCCGTGGTGTTGATGAACGACAGTCGTTCTGAAAAGGTTCGTAGAATGTTGTTGAATTAAACTTAAGTTTAACCTAGTTAAAGAAATCTTTTTTGTTTTTGTTTTTAAGGCGTTCAGTTTGTTGAAGTTTTTAATTGTGGAAAATAAAAGAAGTTTAGAGTTGAGTATTTCTCGTCTTCATCCATTTCCTGACGAAGTTAGATTTACAACACTCAATGAAGTTTACTGGTCTATCCGACATAAAAAGCAATATTTTTCACTCGCTTCGGTAAGTTCACGTTAAATACATAATCTTAAAATACACTAACATTGCTCTATTTCATTAAAGTAATGACCAACATCGTGATTCACAAACATCATCGCTAATAATGTATAATTCCATGATTGTAATCTTTTGTTGTTTTCTCTTGTCTTCATGATCGTTTCCAAATTTCTATCGCGTGATCTTCAACTACGAATATGAAACATTTAATTTTTATTTATGTTCAGGAAATTGAAACTACTCTCGCAATGAAAGATAATTTTCAATCTTCATCAAGAGTGGAAGGTTTACGTTATCTTCGTTCCAGATTTTCTCATTTTAAAAATGAACTAAATAATGTGGAAAGAAGAGATTTTGGTGGTAGGCTTTACATGTATTTTAGCTTCCAATGACTCGATGAAAGCTTTATGACTCTTTGCAGGTTCATCTGTAGAAATTTTACTTTTCAACATGACGAAAAGGTTGATAAAGATGTCTAGAAATTCAACGAGTGAAGTTAAAATGAAGTTGGCAAAATTTTAGCTCAAATTGGTTTACGTATTCAAAATATGTCGCCGTTAGCTCTTATTTCTTTGGAAGGTATGTAAAATATGCAACAATCGTCAAGGCAGCTTTACAAACAGGATAAAGTAAGTCACAATGTATTATAAATATCACCAATGACATGAATTCTCAAGTGTAAATGAAAGAATCACAGCTACACAGTTCATATTGTGCTGTGTGTAAGATAATCGTTACGTTAGAGTATTGATAATTTGTTTCATGATAATTCTGATGCTTTTCGTGTATCACATTGCAAGTGTGCAGTTGACAAGCTAATAGTTTCATAACTCAAGAGTTGAAAATGGGGTTTAATTTAGACTATACAAATGGCTTGACTTATTACATCGATGTTAAAAAACTTTAAGTCTTTAGTCATGTCAACATTAAACGAGCCAAGGATGTTTAATGAATGTTTTCGTTCATGAACAGAAAGTTAAAAGAGATCAACTTGTTATGAACATATTTAAACAGGTATTAAATTATTAGACAAAAAAACTGAAGCTGTGTGGATCTTTATGATATTCTTTAATGTTGCTGACATATAGTTTATTTTATGAAAAATACACGGAATGAAATAAATATATGAACAATTTATTGCTGATTCGAATTACTATTCAATTTAAACTTTCCACTAACCTTAGATCCCTTGTTTGAAGCTTCTATCATTTCTTGAAAAAGGCTGAAGGCTTAGATTGCTCGTACGCCATTTGTTTTAATCATGAACATACCTCGTATATTGTATGGAATTATTATTCCAAGACTAGTTAAAAAATTAATGACAATAATTTTTTAACTTTATATAGATATTGAAAAGTTCAGTTATTCTAAGGCCTGTGAAGTTTTGGAAGGCGATGAAGATAATTGTCGTTATGCGAAAATTCTCCACTCATTAAATAATTGTCTTGTTCATAAAGAGTAAGTAATAGTTCACATTCTCGTCGTTTGAGATTTTTTATTATTAGTTTTTAAATTCATTATAGACAGAAATGGTTAAAATTAACGTTTTCTCTGCGTTGGAAGTAATCAAATTAAGTACAGAAGTTTGCCGAAACAGTGCATAATCAGTAAAAAGTCAAGCTATTTTTATAATGTCCCAACCTTTAAACAATACAGTTACAAACAAATCTTAGTTTTAATTGAACAAACCAAGAAGTTTATTTAACACTTCCTTAAAATATCTTGCTCTAATACAACTGTTTCCATTTCGTAAATGTTGTTGGTAAAAAGAAATTAATATTTCCAATATAAGGTTTATTACATGTTTGTAAATGTAGATCGTCCAGGTTGGTATAGTCCTGAGAAGGACTGTTTTTGTTGTTGTTGACTGACGTTTCGACAACCTTAACGGTAGCCTTCGAAACGTCAGTCAACAACAACAAAACAGTCCTTCTTAGATACCAACCTGGACGATCTACACAAACATGTAACGATACTCGGTTCAAACCATTTGCTTTATAAGGTTTATTCCTTATTCTAAAGTTAAAGTCTTCATTTCTTCCAGCATTGAGAAAGTCGTCGCAGCTGCTTCGTGTTTACGAGAAATCTTAAAGACATCTAGAATCAGATCATTCATGGAAATTTATGAAAAGAAGAAAATTGATGATTTATTTTGTTATCTTGAACCTTTCAAATCATCTCGAAGAAAAAAGGTGCAATTTCTTATTTTTCTAAATTATTCACATGTATGATATTTTAATTATTTTATGTTTCTACAATTGTTTAATAATATTTAGAAAAATGTCAATGACGAAAAAGATATGCCATCAAATGTTCGGTGTTTTTCTGAAATTGTACGAAATGCTGACATATGGAATCCCAACAACTTCCAAAGTCACGACGATTGGATCTCCACACTTACATCGACCATTATTGAAAGTGACGTCATTGAGGACGAAGTTTTGCGATGTCTTTCTAAAATATGTCGAGTTCATGTTAGTATTTTATTGTTTTTGTTTCGTTTCTACATTAGTCAATAGTATATAAGCTCAAGTTTAATGAATTTTTTGGGAAACAGACGTCGTTTGTATGTTTGAACAAAATTAAGAAAACAGGTAAATGGAGTTTACAGAACTTTAACCATTCCGTTAATTTGGTTCCGTTAAGCTCGCGTTTGCTTATTAGAATTATTCAGTATTTGTTTGGAGTTTTTCCGAGAAGATTTTCTAAAATGTTTAGCGAAAGAGATATTTTATGTAAGAGTTTTTCTAAAGGAGTTTTAGTTTAATAAATAATTCAAACTCGACATCTTTTATAGTCGCCATTTGCTGATCTCGTGTTTCCTTTTCTCGTACACGATATTCTATCAAATCATGGATCAGTTCATCGTGAAATTTTGTCTGAACAATTTGGAAGCATTGTCTCATTTCACGTTGAATCGTTTTCCCATCAAAGTCGTACCAGTACCCCGCTCATCGCCACAACAGAAAGTTCTACCAAAAGAGAAGGTCGATAAGTTGACCACAGTGATGTTGGTTTCAATCAAGAAACTACATATTGTTTGTTCGAGTCAATCATATATCGTTTATTTCTTTTATTTTCGTAGGAAATTTGAACTCTATTCATACAGTTCTTAATGTTGTTAACTATCTTCGTAAACAACCTCGACGCATGGATTCAGGGACTTACGGAACCTCTTGGGATAGTAATTTCTGGTTGGATCTCAATTACTTAGAACTGGCTGAAGCTGCTTCAAAATGTTCAGCGTACTTTACCTCAATTCTTTATGTAGAAATATGGAAAGATGTTTATAAGTAAGCTTCAATACTTGAATTATAAAAAATTATTGATCATTTTATATAAATGAAATGGCGTCATTTAGCTTGACGTCAGCATCATACGAGGAAATGATGGAAATAGACAGTGACCTAAGTGAAGATAGCTCAGAGATAAACTATCAAAGGGTTTTATTTGAAGCGTATGTTTCAATTGGTGAACCAGATGCAATTTATGGATCTGGTGTCTCCACTGATTTGAAAACCCGAATACAAACCTACCAACAGGAAAAATATTGGGGAAAAGCGTTGAGTTAGTATTACTTGTTTTAAAATTTTTATTAAAGTTTGACATTGAAGAAGAAATTTCTTTCTTTAGGATCACTCGATGTTTACTGTCGTCATTCAGATCAGTCGTCTCGTCTTTCTACTGTTAAGGTAATTTTAATGACGAAACATTGACTTAACTTATTGATTGATTTTTAATATTTTCTTGGTTTAATGTTTCTCTATATTTATTGCAATTAAAGATTTTACAGATGTTTGGTCTAGATCATGTGACCTATAGCTATTTGAAAGCTCAGAGTGATTCTTGTCATCCGGAGGTAAAAATTTAGTGCCGTAACTTTAATTTAGTTAGTTGTGATGGGTATTGTTTAAAGATCAAATAAGTTTTAGTCATAGCGAGTTTTGACGCATTCATTTTATGTTTTAGTTTCTTGAGATGCAGTATCAATCTGCCTGGCGGAACAGAATATGGGATGTTGATAAAGACATTAAGTAATCCATTTCATTTTTGATTCAATACTTCAAATGATGACAGTTTTTTAAATATTTTCAGTGAAAAGTTGACTGTAGATTGTGAAGGCGTTAACCAATGCATCTATAAAAACATTCAATTCTTAAGAAGTAACGATCTGAAATTTTTTTATTCATCCATTAATGATTGCAGGTTTGAATCTTCTTAACTCTCAATTATGTTAATTGTATCAGTTTGAACAATATCCAAGCACTATTGTCGTAACAAAAATAACTGTTTCAAACTCTGCCTTACATAAGCTTTACTATATTTCCCTCTAACACTCGTTAATTACTTCATGTAGAATCAACATAATGAAAAAAATATGTGTGAAAAATACGGAAGGTTTTAATGAATTGTATTGTCGAATATTACAACTTCAATGTTTACGTGAACTAGAGATGGCTGGAAACACTCTAATACAAAGGTACATTACTAAAACATTACAAAATTGAAAACAATGGACTCTTAAATAAATACTAAATAAAATATTAAATAATATTCTAAATGACGCTACAATGTTTTCCAGTGATGAAGACGCTCGAAAATGTCAACTTAATGAATGGATTACAGAGATACCTGAAACCATACATGAAATTGATACTATTGAACCATTATTAACGTTACGTAAAACATTATTGCAAGAACTTCATTCAATTTGTGAGAATGATAAAATGCGGAAATGTATACATGAAGTACTTCTCAGGCATTGTGAAATGGTCTCTATACTAGCTAGGCATGCTGGTAGTTACCAGGTAAGAACTCACTGTAAAAATATTTTACATAAAACACTAGATTGAAACTTACTAATTTAAGAAAATGCTGCTACTCAATAAACAGAATGATTTATGGTTGCAAACTACAAAATTTTCTTCAGGTCTCTGAAAACTGCATTGCAACCATAAAGTCTCTCGAAAAAGACAAAAAGATCTCGACATCAAATAGTTGGAATGTGGAAGAGGCAAAAGTTTTTTGGAGTCAAGGCGAACACGAGACAGCCATGAAAAAAATGAAACAAATTAACAATTCTCTGAAAGTATGATTGTTTGTTTCAGACGTTTGTTTCCACAACGTTAATTGATTTTCAAAACAAATCATTTGAGCAAAACTCAACATATAAACATTCAGATCCCCTTCCCCAATTAACGTTGTAGCGACGTGCCTGATTTGCTTTATTTTAATGTTCAGCTATGTATAATATACACTTTCATTAAAATTTAGTAAATGTGTCTTTTAAAAAATCAGGATACTTGAAATACCTGCCTTTTTTCCCACTTTTTATTGGTTTTTTTTTTTGTTTTACTGGTATCAATTTATGATAAACGTTTTTTAGCAATGCACCTCGGAATCATCGAAACTTTTGTACGCAAAAAGTCTCTGTCTTTATGGTACCTGGCTTGCTGAAACTCGTGCTGAGAACCCGAACACAATCATGGAAAAATATTTAGAAAAGGTGAAATGAACATTTATATAAAATTCTTTCGACGTTTTTTATGTCGATATCCCATCGTGTGTAATAAACAAAATTTACAATTGTATTGTTTTGTTGATTTGTCAGGCTGTGGACTTACTGGAATTGAGTGGAAACACATGCAAATCGTCTGTTGAAGTAGGTTTTCTATTCATAGTAATTTTTTGTTTGCTCGTTTTATTTTTCTACTAGCCACGAGTCTATTCATTGTTTTTGATTTTTCTCGTTAGGCATTTTATTCCTTGGCTCGGTTTGCTGATCGTCAATATAAAAACATCGACGAGTATATGAAATCTTGGGATTTTGTTCATAAGACATCTATAATGAAGGAATTGAAGGTAAAACATGAATTGTTAAATTGTACATGTTTAATTTTTCCATTCCCTAATTCAAACATGCATTTTATGTTTCAAATATTTCTGTTTGTTAAAGAGTGAAGTTGAAAATCTTCGTAATCACGGTGTTGACAAAGGACGCTATTTACGAGATTTGTGTATTCAAATGGAGGCTGATCAGCACGAAGTCATTCAAATGAACGATGATCGCGTAAAATACCTTCAAAAAGCCATCCAAAACTACATTCGATGTTTGCAAGTTGGGGTAAGATGTTTTCAATGTTTTATTGAAAAGATCGATGATAAACAAAACTTCATTCCACAATAAAATTCTTATTGGAAATAAGACTTAAATTATAAGATACATTAGATATAAAATTATAAATTTATCTATTCTTCAAGTTGGTTATAGTCATCTACAACATATAAAAGATGTAAAGTCATTTTTTATTTACATTTCAGGGAAAACACGATCTTCAAATTTTTAGAATTTGTTCTCTATGGTTGGAAAATTCAAAAGATGATTTAATCAATGAAGTTATCAAGGTAAGGGATGTTATTATGTTTTACAAATCATTTCATCGACGTTTTTCCATTTTTCACGTTTAGAAAGAGATATTTTGTAAGAAAGGAGAAATGTCAGTGGAAACCTTCAAGTTCATACCGCTTATGTATCAACTTGCCGCCCGACTTGGTTCTAAATCTTCACAGTGTACGCGCTTCCAGGAAATTTTAAGCCAAGTAAGTTGCATGTTTTTAAACATTTTTCGTTTTTTATGGGTTATTTTAATTCGTTCGTTCAATTTTTTATCATTTAGTTGATAATCATGACAGCAACAGATCATCCTCATCATGTTTTATGGATAATATTGGCTTTGATCAATGCTGACAAGGACAAAATCTACTTGAATGGTAGTGTAATGACGGGGAAGAAAAAAATGTCGAAAAAAACGAACGAAGAAGCAATGAAAAGTTACGTTGATCAGGTGGCGTCTCTTGTGATATTATTGACGTAAAAAATGTTTGACGAATCTTATGTTATGACGTTCCTATGTAGGATCGTCTAAAATCAGCGGTTGCTATCATCGAGAAAGTGCGTCAACTTAAACCGTCTATCCTATCATCAATGGAGAAACTGTCTGAAGCGTACATTGAGTTAGCAAATTATGACGTCACACAGCATAAAACACAGAAGGGTACATGGCAATCATTTATTTATATAATTTTAGAAATATTCATCTTACATGGTATTACTCTAATCATCTCAATGTTTCTTCTAATATTTGTTTTCATTTTTGTGCATCTTTCATCACCAGTTAAGAAAAAACACATTATTTTAAAGGTCCGTTGTCATTACCAGACATAACCTTGAAACGCCTCACCAACTTAAATGATGTTGCTATACCGACTGTGGAACTTGAAGTAATGTAACGATATTTTGTATATGTAACTATTTTTTGGTGAGCATTTTTTATCAAACATTTGACATTGACTTTTGAATGATCACCGTTGCCTGTTTATGTTAAATCTTAAAAAACAAAACGTTTTTCTTTATGAATTTCTACGTAAATTATTCATGCATTTTGCTTTTTCGTATGAACTTTTTAAAATTACATTTTAGGTTGATAAAACATGTCGTTATGACAACATAATTTCCATTACAAGATTTGATCCAAAGTTCAGTTTATGTGGAGGTGTTAATCTTCCTAAGATACTGCAGTGTATCGGATCTGACGGAGTTAAACGAAGGCAGTTAATCAAGGTGGAGTTTAGAGTTTGTAAATTTGCAATGCAGTGACTCGATTAAATATATCCCTTTGGGATTTAATTATTGAAGGGAAAAGCTAGAAGGAGATACTTATCATCACAGAATGTAATGTTGAGTAGTTAGTTGATGTGAATTATTATATGGCAAGCGTCACTTCCGGCCAAATGGCGCGCTTTGATTGGCTCAGAAACATTTTTGCCGGTTCATTATTTTCCCGTAATCGACTACGGTCCAAAACGTGTAATTTTACAGTCAAATGTAAACAAACTTCGAAATGCAAACAGCAAAACGCAAAAAAAAGACGAAACAAAAAACCATTTACGAATGTGAGTCGAAGGAAAAACACTTGGAAAACAGTTTTACTATCCAGACGATACAATTTGAAAAGATTTCTTTTTTACTGACAAAAACTAGTAAAGTGAAAGGCAGACCGTAAAAAACAGCAAAGACGAGAAAGCAAGCCCCGTTTCTTGTCAAATAATGCCATATAATAAACCTTTAATAACCTCGCTTTCTCGGTCTTTACTGAGAAATATCGGACCTCTGTCATTTTGTACAAACCTCGCGGGCGCTCAGTCTGTACAAAAAGGGCGTCCGTTATTTCTCCGTAAAGACCTCGCGCTCGGTTATTAAAGGCTTATTGTTCGTATATGATGTATTGCTGTCCACTATTGCATAATTGTTTATTTATTTTTTGCAACGGATCTTTTTACGTTTTATTTCTTTTGTGGTTTCTTAACGAGAGACCCTTGAGAATACGGCATCTCCTAAAATCATATCGTTAGATGTGATAAACGGAGTTTTTTCTCATTGGATGATTTGAATTTACATTTGAAATACATGCAACTGTGAGGGTTCATATCGGTACAAGCATCTAAGCATTATAGTTGTGCGTAAAAATTTGTTGAGATACTTTAAATAATTTCGATTGGCTGTTTGTATTTCTATCATTTTATAAAGGGAAAAGATGACCTTAGACAAGATGCCATTATGCAACAAGTATTTGGAATGGTTAATACTCTTCTTCAGAAAAATGCCGAGACGAGAAAACGCAGTTTGAGAATCAGGACTTATAAGGTTTGATGACTCTCTATAGCTTTTTGAAATGTTACTTTTCAAAGTGAAAATGAATCATTTGCATTGATATTTTCAGGTTTTACCTTTATCACAACGGAGTGGTCTGCTTGAGTGGTGTGAAAATACCATTCCTTTAGGGAACTATCTCATTGGGACGAATGGAAAAAATGTTGGAGCTCACAAACGCTATTATCCAAAAGATTATTCTTCTACTGAATGTAGGAAAAAAATGCAGGTATTACTTATTTCTTGGAAATTCTTACCCGAAAAACATTGAAATGAAACGATCTTCACCCATCACAGAGCGTAACCAATGTCAATGCAAACGAAAGATACAAAGTTTATAAGGTAAATTTATCTTCAAGTGGTGTTAATAATATTGTTATCGCTATTGTTTATAGTTTTCACGATCATATGATGATTAAATTATTCAGTGGTGGATTGAACGTTAAATACCAAGAGGGGTGCACTAGGAAAATCTTAGCATGTGTGATCAAAGTTTCAGAGTTCGAAATAGCTGCCTTCGATAGCTGCCTTCGATAGCTGCCGTCGATAGCTGCCTTCGATAGCTGCCTTCGATAGCTGCCTTCGATAGCTGCCTTCGATATCTGCCTTCGATAGCTGCTTCGATAGCTGCCTTCGATAGCTGCCTTCGATAGCTGCCTTCGATAGCTGCCTTCGATAGCTGCCTTCGATAGCTGCCTTCTATAGCTGCCGTCGATAGCTGCCTTCGATAGCTGCCTTCGATAGCTGCCGTCGATAGCTGCCGTCGATAGCCGGCTGTTTAAGGACGTTACCGGCGACTAGTGATTTCAAAACAAAGGAAAATGGCGGAAATCTATTTTCCCGTGATTTAATTAACAGTAATATATTTAAATATCATTGTGACTTCGACTACACAACCTTTATTAGTTTTTTCGTCATTCATAATCACCAGTTTATTGAGCAAACATGCAAAAATTTATGTATTAAATTTTCAACAATCAATCGAAAATAATGTCAGTCCTACATTTCTTCTGTAGAGATTTTGATGTGGTATTCACCCCTGCATCTTCAGTGGATTCATTACTGTCCTAATTATAGACGTTTACTTGGTCAATCTTTTAGGAAATTACGTCACGTTTTCATCCTGTGTTCCGACATTTCTTTACTGAGAAATTTACTGAACCGTCTGTTTGGTTTGCAAAACGACTCGCTTACACTCGCAGTGTCGCTACTGCATCAATTGGTAAAATTTTTTGTTTATGATACAACCAGTTTTGCTGGCTCAACTGGATGTATATTTAGTTTTCCAATTGTTTTATTTAGTTGGATATATTGTCGGTCTTGGAGATCGTCATGTTCAGAATATTTTGATCGATTGTCATACAGCAGAGCTTGTTCACATAGATCTTGGTGAGAAAATGTCGTGACAACAGAACATTGTCGTCATCTTTTGCTTCATTTCTAAAAATCGTTTGTCTTTGTAATGATAAAGGTGTCGCTTTTGAACAAGGAAAAATGTTACCTACACCTGAAACGGTTCCATTTCGTTTAACTCGAGATTTGGTGGACGGTATGGGTATTTGTGGTATTGAAGGTACCTTCAGAAGATGTTGTGAGAAATCTTTAGAATTGATGAGAACATCGCAAGAAGCTTTAGTAACCATAGTACAGGTGTCTACAAATTTTTCTTCAGTATGAATAATATTTTTCGATGATAAATGTATCATAAACTCATTTTTAGGTTTTACTTTATGATCCTCTGTACGTGTGGACATTGAGTCCATTGAAAGTGATGACATTACAGAGGAAACCTGATCTCGATATCTCTGACATTCCCGAAAGGAACATTTTCCTAGAAAGAAATAAGTCCAGTGCTAGTGATGACGAAAACTCTGTAAACAAAATGGCCGAACGTGTTTTGGTCCGCTTAAGACAAAAAATTGACGGTGTAGAAGATGGCACAGTGTTGAGTGTTAAAGGACAGGTAAACCATTTGATTAGAGAGGCAACCGATGAAAGGAACTTATCTCGTTTGTTTCATGGTTGGCAACCGTGGCTTTAATGAAACATTCACACACAAGATTGTAAACTTAGTAATTAATATTTTGCTTGTTGTTTTTACGCACTAACATTGAATCATTTGTGCTATAGTCAAGTTTACTATAAAATAAACCGAAATTTCTGCAATTTGAATGACGGGGCGTGGTCAAGTCCGAGCATGTGGCTTTGGGGGAACACTTCATGTAAAGTTAAAATGTGACAAATTTGATATTGAACTTGAGTCATTCACTCGTAAAATTTTGTTTTATATTCTTGTGGTAAATGTTAACTGCAGCTCTATTGAATTTCTTGGTCTGTCAGTGATAAAGTGTATGAATATTTTAAGAATTTTAGTAAGGTGTGTGTCAAATTATATTTTGATTTCATTATATTACTTTTCTATCATAATTACAACATAATGTTATTCATTAAAATCATGGCTCACAACTAGAAAGTTTGCTCAATTTATATGTAGTTTCCAGAATTGATATTGTCGATAGTATGCAGTTTAAATTATGAAGAAAACAATTATGCAGTTTTAACATGAAAGAAGACGTATTTACAGCTTTATGTGAGTAGTTTCTATTAACAATGACGAGGGCCAACCGTTCCTACCACCAATTTTGTTGTTTTTAATTATTACTTTGGCATGACCTTTCGTTGAAAATTGGAAAATTGTTTTGTCGTTAAATGTTCATTGTTTTATGATGTTTGACCATTTAGGAAATGAGTAAAATAACTGTAACTTCTTGCCACTATTTTTAAAAAATATATAAGCTGGGGTATTATAATGGGACGTATTGACCAACATAATCATCATTCTGTTGACAAAAATTGTTTCTCTATTGGTAAATTTCAAAGAAACTGTAATGTACCAAGAGTTTCAATTCAAGACATATTTTTCTCTCTAAAATCATCCGTTTCCTATGAAAATGAAAATATGGAATGTGTTATGTGTATTTCATAAACTGCCCTCATTGTTTTATAACTTTTAAAGTAAAGTTATAAAGAGTAGCCGAAAATCTTAATATGTTTTGGTATCATTCATTTTAGGTTTGTCGTGTTGTGTGTTACTTCATGTTTTGTCATGTTTGTGTTTTCCAATTACTATGATTGTTATTGGTAAGTACACTTATAGTATGTTATATTCTGCTAGGATGGTTTTGATGTTCTGCTAGGATGGTTTTGATATTCTGCTAGGATGGTTTTGATATTCTGCTTGGATGATTTTGATGTTCTGGTATACAAGTTCATAATCACTGTAGGGTAGTTATCTTAGTACAGTATATGTATGTCTGTATGCTGATTACAGTAATATATTGATGGGCGTGTTAGAATATTTTGTTTCCTTTTGTACATGCTATGGAATTAATAGATTTAATGGAATTTCATGTGCCGTACTCTATTGGAGGGAGGCATCTATTTTGTAGTGGAGAACATAAAGAAGTCAACCAACAATAAATCTAAGCTATCACCAACAATAAATCTATGTTGCAAAATTAATGACAAGGAAAGCAAATACTGCACTTTTAACTATTAATACAAACAAAAGCAATAATTGTTCTTAAAAATACTCCCTTTGAAGGAGGGAAATGAGCCATTGACCAGAGGGAAGTATTTATTTTCATTTCTTTATTGATGTGGTGTCTGTCAGAGAGTGGCATGTATTGGGTTGGCATGTATTATAAGGTGGCTTGTGATTCACGCTAGTCATATATTTGAGGAAATATAATGTTTCCTATAGCTATGTAACATTGGTGAGGTTAGTTGTGTTTTGGTAGGTTTTGGTTAAAATTAAAAAAATTTTACAAAGTAAAATGAAATTTTGAATGTTATTCATCACTATTGAATACTAACGATCTAAAGCATGCAGCTCATACCTAACTTGATAAATCTCTTACAAACCCACCCAGGCTTACTCAGCAATTTTATGAAATGTGTTTAATGAAACTGTGTTCAAAGATACAGAGTTTCATTCTCATAATGAAAACATAACTGTCTTTAATATGCTTAAAAAAGTTACTCTACCCAAAACACAGCAGTACTTGGGCTATCACTGTCTTTGTGCAATCTTACAGAGAGATATTAGTTTCATTAGTTTTTTGTTATCACAGCAACGTTTACTGACGTATTTCCCTCAATTACAGGCACGAGAACATAAATTTCCCTCATCAACATTACTTTTAACGTCTTATGTGATCTCATTAATTATGTGTAAATGAATTAGAAAATGAATATGTTTTTATGTATTTACAATTTAATCATTAAAAAGGTGCAAAACACTTGGATAATTGTCCTCTAGAAGATAGGATTCCAAAATGGTTGATTACAACAGGAATGATTGCTTTGATTCAAGGCTTATTTGATATTATAACGCGAAATAATCACGAACCATGGCAAAGTAGAAAACAACGATTTTATCAATTTATTGGTTTGGTTATGAACGTATTTCAAATAGTTCTTGTCGTTATTGGTAGCGTGTGGGTTTATATGAATTATGAACCAAGTTATAACGAAAATGATCGTCCTTTATTTTGTAATCGAACGGTGTATTTGTTTTCGTTCTGGATATTGAACATCACCTATATGGGTCTATGTTTAATTTTAATAATTTCTTTTGTATTATTTTTTTATAATAAGATGTGCCATTGAACGAAATTGTAAGCTGATATAGTTTAACACAATGCAATCCAGAACATTTCCAAATCGTACTGTTATGCTATGTCCATTCATTTCTCCAGTACGGGCAGTTCTTTTCACTTTAGCTAATATGAAAAATAGGTACGAATGCGTACACGTGGGTAGCCTATCAAGTAAATAGAGCTTAATGAAGTTTGTAAATGAACATAATTGAAATTAAATTGTATATTTAATATCATTTACACCAAACTCGTTCAATATTTAAATATTGATTTTAGTTATATGTTAGTTAACCATTTCTGCATTTTTTGAACGTTTTAGCTTAGATTGCACCTAAGCCTCTTTAATGCATGTGCGTTTAATGGAGGGCAACGCTAGCTCGGGGGCGGTGCTTGTTCGAACAAATACCGTAAACACGACGTGGGTCGTGTTTTTTATTGTTACTTTTCTTTAATCATGTTTTGAAATGTCTGTATTTTTGCAAAGGTTTTGTGCTTATTGCGAAGAATGTTTAATAGTAAACGCTTTGCTCGATGATTGCAAGTCATCGATTTATGAAAAATGTTTTTGAAATTTACCGAAAACGTGACAATTAAATAAATTTTAAACACGAAAGCCTTTTACATTGAAATATTTTCTATCAGCTCAATATTGTAAAAAAACCCTGGAAAACGATATGAAAATATTGCCTAGGAAATAATTATTGAAAAAAATTGAGCAAATATGATAATATAAATACAAAATGAATACTCCAAATTAATAACCAAATCATTACATAAGGGTATCAGCAGTATTTTATTTGAGTGATTTTTAACTTTTATATTATGGAAGTTGTATTATATAGCCTTTATATGTCTAACTAGCTTAATTCAATAGTTGAATAATTAAACGTAAGATAATTGAAACAAAAAATAATATGAACGTTTGTAAAAATTTATATATTTCATCAATGATGAAGTGATGAAGACCATGTCACGATTATAAACTTATTTCCTTCAATTTTTCCTTCTATTTATTTAGGATCGCTGTTCCTAAATAAAAAATCAACCATTAAACTCCTCCAATGTATTATATGTTAAAATCTATCAACTTTTAATTGCACGTTTACCTGTTGTGAAGGCGCGTCATAACCTCGATTAACTCTGCGAGCATTTGCATTAATGGATACTTTAGCTGTGTGTTGTTTTACTTTGTGTAATAAAGCCATAGAAACTAAGACCATTGAAATACCAATAACAATTGCCATACCGAGGGCAGCATATACCATTGGTTTCACTTTGTCATCTAATAAAGTATTGAAAATTATTGAAAAACGTTTATATTTATCGATCTTTAATTGAAAAACTTACCAAAGCATTTTCCTGCTTCATCGTCATCAGAGCAAAATGCTACAAAACGTGTGGGAAGATTTAAGTTTGTTGTTAGGCAATCATTAAGCAGAAGTATTTTCGATATGAATCATTATGGCGTTATATAACCAGAGAAATTAATACTTTTATATTTAAACTTTAAAAAAAACAGCTGTAGCTATAAAACTACAGTTTGAAGCTGGGATATAAAGTTTTATGAGGTTGTTATTTGTGATTTTCTTTTAATCTTTTAGTATTTTTTTCCTTTTTTGTGAAACAACATTTCATAAATCTCGGTTTCGTATAAAGTTGTGCAGTGTAAATTTATACGATCGTTTGCCTTTGAGGAGACCATATTAATGAATTAGTGAGAACAAACAATACCTGCCGAAGATAGGCCACACACAGATAACAATACTGCCAAGAATAGAGTTGACATTTTAGCAGCGTTAAACTATATGATTTATACAAATATATATTTCAGTTATCAACGACATAAATATCAAAGATTATGGCTGCGTTTACACTATACCGGATTCGTTCATCACATCTTCATTTGCTTTAAAGGGTTAACTGTTCGGAGTAAAAGCTTATTAAGCTGATAGATTTAGTCTATTTAATTGTGTTTCTGACGTTGAACAATTTCACTGCCTTTTAATACAAAGAATATTGAACCTGCTACTATAGCAATTCGGTATAGTGTAAACGGGGCCTATGTCTGGGACGATTATTTTTATATCAACCACTGTCGTAGCCAAATTAATTGACGCTATAGTTCAAGTAACATTGCCAAAAAATGTTGTGATTCAGTGACGTTACGTGTAGCACATTCATGGTAAAGAAATGCATTTTGTACATGATAAATGATTATTTTCTTACCTTAGTCTAATCTTTACCTTATTCTAATCCTTAGCTTAATCTCTGACCGAATACTGTCGAAATATTCCGTCAAGTGTTTCTCAAAACAATAACTTTGACTCCTTGTATGTCAAACAATAGTCAATCTGAATAGTTATTATTCACAATAAGGCTCTTTGTTAAGATATGATAAACTAAGTACACGTCAATTTAAAATAGCGCATTCCAGCATATCTTAAATTTTTTCTGAAGTTTAGGGCAATTTGAACGCGCTGTAAGCATGACCACAGTTCAATTTTTGAAAATTTGAGAAGTTCTTTCGTTGACATGCAAGAGCTCTTAGTTAAAAAATATTTTCAATCAGGGAACGCTATAAATTTAAACTTTCTGTGTAAGTATAGTGCCGTATCTAAAACAGTGCAGACTATTACACCAGCCATTTAGGGAAAGAAAAGTCCAGCAAACTAGAGAAAATGTCGTTTATCTCATATCGACAAGATTGGGACCTTAGTATCACTTTAAACTTTGTTATTTCTAAGTTTTCTTCAAGTGTTTCCTTGTGAAAACCACTCCGCCGGCAAAAACACCAGTCATAGTTGTCAGAATAAAGAATGTGGTTTTGATGTGACAGGTATTTTCTCTCGAATCCCAATTAATATTTAGTCTAACACAGACTACACACTTTAAAGTACAAAGATTTAAAAACATGCAAGAAATTATTGAATAGAAAAGAATGGTAAAGCACGTTTTATTAGGTATTTTGATTTACTTGAGAAGATTGTCTTGCAATAATTCGTGTTCTTTTAAGTCGTCTCCAATGACCAGTATCATAGTTCATTTCAAACAACATTTCTACCAATTGTGTTTGAGGCGTGTTCATATTTGAATTTGTACTAATCTCAGTGTGTTCACTTAATCTAACAGTAATCACTGGGCCTTGATCTGGATATGGATTTTCTGTAAAGCAATAAAGAAATATGTAATGAGTCGGTTATAATACTATATTTAAATTGTATGGAAATTCTTATTTACCTCTCGATCCAGCCATGAAGCCTAAAATCAACGATTTCTCCGCTTTAGTGACTTTGTTTGCATCACGAAACATTTCTTGTGCAGCAATTACTTGTTCTCGCTAAAAAAATTCATTATAATGTCAAAATAAACGCCGCCCTTTATTATCAGTATGATAACTGAAAAAGAGAGTAAATTCTTCGTTTATAATGCTAATGATTGCATGTAGCTAGACTTTTCGTGTAAAAATATTAGACACTCCGGAGCTTTATCAAAAAAATCCTAACAAAGAAAAAGATGATCGCTCTCTTACTGTCAGCTTTAATTCCTGTTTAGGTGCTGTTGGGTTCGCTACACTAGGTTGCGTGCTTGATGTAGGCTGGCGTGACGGGAGACTGGGTTGAGATGGCGTTTGAGATGGCGGTTGAAGGGAAACAGATTTGAATGAAGAATTTCCCGTATTAAGATGTTGTCCTGCTGTAGCAGTCTGAAGACGTCGAAGTTTTATATTTTCCCTCTCTCTGTCAATATGCATCTAAACGAAAAAATTGATAATTGACACTATGAATGAAAAAACACAAACAACCAATAATTTCAACAAAGAGCCAATAATTTCAACAAACAACCAATAATTTCAACAAAGAGCCAATAATTTCAACATAACTTACTTGTAACTCTTTAGTGAAGTTGGCTGAAGTTGTCGACAAGTTTTCTTGTGAAGTAGATTCAGATGGATTTAAAGTAGCTACACGTGGTACAGTGTTCAATCCAATTGCGTAAGATGGAGTACTACTTGATGATGTCGCTGTTACAGCTGGTGAATTGCTCACAGCAGGCTCAGATGACTTCTCAGGTAATATTTGTGTAATATTGTGAGAATTAGAACAAAATAAACAGTTAGCATCACAGTGACATGGTATAGGGAATATACAGTAAGTCCACTTTGTATATTTAGATTACTGGTTAGCCATTTTATCATTTGTATTGGTCAATCCACTTGCGTAATAAGATATGCATGACAGCTAGGAAAAAAATTCAATGGAGTTGCTCCACTGTATAGTCACTATACTGTGACATTGATTCAAACTCAATCAATTCAAATTTTTGTCTGTTATAAAGAAAATCTTTTTCAACTCAATTGTTTTCAATAGATTGATTGCAATGGAATAGCCATTCCAAATATTTACTTCTGTATTGCAACTTTCTATGTGTTAACTTAGTGTAAAAACAATACATTTCTAAAGACATGAATAATAACAATGCTTCAAAATTTACAATGCTGTGCAATAACATGCTGGCTTTGTGACTGATTATTTGACAAACTTACCTCAACATTGTTACTCAATCCAATGGCATACTCTGGTGTTGTTTTTTCTTGTGATATTTCTTTCTTCTTTCTATCTTCTTCCAATAAATTCTCTGCTTCAGCTAAGCACAAGAAAATAGTTTAAAATAAAATTACAACAACTAAAAGAATACGGTGATAAAAATTTCAATTTCTGTCAAAAGATATTGTTTTTGAATGAAACCTGCAATCATTTTCTTTCTACGCTTTGCTTCTCTGACACCTCCTCCAATTGGTTGCTCATTTATATCCAGTAGCTAAATAACATGCAACAAGGAAATAAAACATAGAATCATAAACACATGATAACAATACTCAACAGTAGCTCATACAACCATGAGTTCTATATGCATAATTATATAGATTCATTTTAAAACTGATATTATACATGAACATATTTAGAGTACATAGAGTAATTTCAAATAATAAATCACGAAAAGATTTTTAGCCTATTTTAAATACTAAAATGTAAACCTTAGCTGTTCTATTTTGCTGCTTGAGAGATGCAGCTGAAAGAGTACGTAATGCTGAAGATGAACCAGAGCTTGGAACAGTTTTACTGTGTACTCGTAGTAGAGGAACACTATGTTTTAATGGTGACTTTCCTAAAATGAGCATTTTTAAGAACAGAAATAAAGTGTAAATTACTAAGCCAAGTAAGATGATACGAATGTAGAAATTGTCACATACCGCCACTGTCAGATCTTTTTAAACTGACAATAGCTGATGATCCAGTGTGAATAGAATGACCTCGTTTATTGCCAGATAGTGATTCTGTTGCTATTAACATAAAGTGACCATAAAACATATTTCCACAGTTTGGATTCAACAATAAAATAAAAAATGAAAGCTTATGTTGCAGATGATTAACACATAAAAAATATCTCTTTTGCAGCAAATAAATAGTTGCTTGCCTTATTCACGCAGTAAAAATTATGCTTCAGGAACTCTACTTTACCTTTTTGAAATAGTTCTGCTTTCAGAGCAGCTGATTTTGGTTTTCAGCAAAGTAAAATGCTTGCCTGGTGGAGGTTGTGATCCAATAGTAGCCATTAAAGAATTACGACTTAAATATGGACATTCCATTGGTAACAATACTCTCTTGTTCACAATGTCATTCACTAAAATTAAAATCATTTTACCATAACACGAAACAAAATTGTAAAACAATAATTGATGGGTGCTAATGACATAGCGGTGAACAAACAAAACAATTTTACATTGTCTGATGAAATTTAGATTACAAACTGAAAGAATCTTTCGCTAAAACAGTCAAACATAAAACATGACCAATGATAACGAGTAAAACCTACTTGCAAGTCTTATATCCTGGAGGATTTCAGAAAAAACTGGACTGACATCCGCAAGATCAACATTTAGTCGACCAGTTTCTGGAAAATTTCTCAATATTTCTGAAAGAATTCTAACCCAGTCGTCGGAATCGCCAAATGAAACTTCTAAAATATCATTTAATTGCGAAGACATGTCTTGAGCCTGCCTGCGAGGTATGTACAGAAATGACATTAAAATCTTGATTTTCACTTGAGAATGGAGATTGTGAAAGCAATCAGGGATATTTCTTAATATATCAGTTGTAAGTATTGTCCAGATATTCGCTCCCGACCACATATCATCATTAGACAATTTATTATTCAGCCAAACACTTGTATCTACTTCTCTTGCATTAGCAGCCATCTTCTTTACTTCCTTTGAAGGATGGGAAATAATTAAATTAATTTCCCCAGTGCGTGCCAGTGGTGCGCATGCATTGAGTTCTATAAGACCTGGAGGGGAAACGTCAACTAAATTACTATAAATTATCAGCGCGCGGCCGCGTGGTCAAAAACATGGCGGATTTTGGTTGTCAAAGTCAGCGGAAAGGCGCGGGCTCATAAAATGAAATTTTTTTCGCCCACCCGGATTTGACAACCACAATTGCGATTATATAAAATATCAATGCCAAGCACAAAAACTTTAGAAATTTTGTCTTAAAAACATGCTGCAAACTTGTTTGGTATACGGATGCTGAAGTAATGCCAGAAAAGGAAACATTTTATGACACCGGTAAGCAACGTAAGATTGTTTACTATTTAAAGTGTTCAGTGTTTTGTTTTAAGTCAATACTTGAAGTGTGATGGCATATATTTTGTGAATGTTTTTACTCCTAAGTTATAATTTAAGTTATGTTTATCCAGTCTTATTTGTTCTTTACTTAATCGATTGCTGGACGAGGCAAAGCAACCAGTTCTTATCGAGATATGCATATCTTAAAACTCCTTGTTTCAACTGAGTTGAAATGGAGGATTTTTTCATGATATTTTTCTGAAAATATGAAGCAAATATTAAGGACAGAGCTGTATTGAAATCAAATGCAGTGCAGGATTAATTAATGAGCTCTTTGGTACATGTCGTACAATAAAAAATACCTTTATTAAACAGCAAGCCTGGACAATTTGACAGATTTGGACAAGCATGATGATGGTGTGTAAAGGTTTGCTTTATGCTAAAAGTTTTATAAATGCCAACTGGTGTTTCTGTAAATGAATTGTTTGTTACACAGTGTAGTAAACAGGTTAGTACATCAAAATCAAGATAAAAACTACTTTGTTCAATGTGCCAAATTTTGCTCCTACCTTGAAATATTTGCTCAAGAAAAGCTTATCATGACATGCATGAAACGTTAAATACAGTACTGCATCATCTGACAAAATCCATACGTTTTTCAATTCCAGGTGATTAAAAATTCACATAAGATGCATTGGTTGCAATGAAGTTGAATGTGGAAGAAGCAAAAATTGATGGCAAAGAACTTTTATGTCTTTTGAAGAATTACGATATCATTTAAAAGAATAAGAGTAGCAATCTAGTAAAAGAAGCCACATCCCTTCAACATGAGACTTTTTCAATTATGTATAGTTACTTTGTACAAAATACTATTTTAGATAAACTTGATTTTTAAGTCATTCACTGATATTTTTACCAAAAGACGAAAAGAAAAATTCAAAGGCATAATGTAAAATTCAAAAATTTGTCAAGTTGTTTGAACCTAGAAAAAATTAGTATAGGTAACTGTAATTTGTAAGGACACAAAGAAAAGTAGTGCAAGAAGGTTAGCATTTTGAGAATTAATAAGTTCTTGACATACATTACACAAGGCCATAATATTATAAATAATGTCTGTATAATTGTTATTATGCTAAATATCTTCACCTACATTATAATTATTTAAACAAGTTTGCCTTCATGCAGCAATAAGAAAAGTGTTATTTCAGAGAAACCAATGCACTTTGATTTAAGAAATAGTATTTTCAATGGGAAATTAATGTAGTTCTGTTCAGTAGTAGATCCATGGTTGTCAATAACAATCCAGTTTCTAATATCTTGGCTCAAAACAGAACCAGCAACATGATTAGAATTTCTGAATTTCGTTCTTTTGCTCTCCTAGTTCAAGATATTTTCCTCATAAGTTCTCAGTAGATTTATCAGAACATCATAATACTTTATAAGACACCCAGAATCAATCCTACCAAAAAAAACTCAAAAAAATTACATACCTACTAATAATATATTTCCAGTCGACTTAAGTCGTAGGGGTAAGCTAACTTTTTCCAACTCCTTTTTGGACATTTTTACTAAGATTTACCCATCTATTCAAGAAAGACAGTTGCACCAAGCTGTTCACAAACAGTCAAAAACACAAGTAATGCGCATGGGATTATGCATTAAAGCTTAACACACATTGACAGTGTAAAGATTGCCGTTTGATATTTATTTCTAATATAGCTAAAGCATTACTTGAAAAAATATACGTTATGTTACAGTAGATTTACCTCATTTAAATGTGTGTGTCTATTTCACAAAAACCAGAAGCATTATTTCAATATTTTATGCTTACGGTATCGTGGTTGTTTTCGCTGGTTGTCATTACTATGAGCAGTGTTAGAGTTCCGGTTTCGGGAGGGAGCGAATGTTAAAAATTTTTCTCAAAGTGGAAGTTTTGACAACCAAAATCCGCCATTACCGCCATGTTTTTGACCACGGGGTCCAGGCCCCTTTGCCCCTCCAGGTCTTATAGAGCTCAATGTGCGCATGTGTGCATTGGTTCGTCCCATTGAGTTCTATTATAGAACTCAATGGTTCGCCCCAGTCAAGGATATATACCCAATCCTCTAGATATCTAACCATTTATCTAATGGTATTATATCATTTTTCCCAGTTATTCGTGTGCTCTTTTTCGCCCCGTTTTCGAGAAATTTACAAAAGGAACAATGTTAAAACTATAGAGAGAAACGCATCACGCGTGAAAGGTAATGTAGGTACGTTGACTAAAGTCTAAAGCAATTCTCTCCCCTTTTTTATTACAACAACATAATCGAACTTACAAGTTACAAACATTACTTTCAACTTTCAAGCAGTGATTTGGACTAGCCTAGCTAGTGCTTGGAGCATGACGCTCTCATTAATAAACAGAATGCAAAAAATCTTATTTATCATGTTTATTAGTCATCCAGCTTACCGAGGTTTCGGTGAACTCAGTCACAAGGTAACTTGGCAGCCGTCAACGATCTATACTCCATGATGTAGTAGCACAAGCACTTTCAAAACAAAGGCGTTCTCTTTGGCCCCCCTTTGCCCAATTGTCTGTGCTCATCTGTATTTTGGTTACTTCGTTGTGATGAAAACAGAAAACATTTTTTCTTCATTTTTTCATTCCCCTTTTTCCTTTAAAAGAAAGATGTGAAAAACTTAGTGCATCACCTCACTCAGTGTCAGATAATCTAGTTCATACTTTAGCCCAGGGGTCTCCAAACTACGGCCCGTTGGGACTCTCAATCCGGCCCGCAGAGACACTTAAGAAGCCAATTTCACCACTCACATTGAGAAAACTGAACAGACTAATTGTGATTTTGTTATGATATTACACTTGGTTGAAATTTAACCTTTAAATTTTGAATAAATATTTTCTTAGCTAATGAAGCTTGTGTGATGTGCTTCGTTTTGCGCATTTAATATACGTGACAAGTTTTTTTAAAATAAGAAGATGTTTTTTTAAAATAAGAAGATGTTTCGACATCTCATGATGCCATCTTCAGTATAAGTGAAATAATAAATGATACAAGGTTTATATAAAAGTAATATGATACATAAATTACAACAATAAAAAGGAATTAAGATAAAATTAAGGGGAGCGTCCGAGCGTATTATAAACTAAACATTGTATTGAATTTAAAAACTTGAACATTGAGATCAGGTTTAGTTTTGTTGATGTGGAGTGCTTCTTTGATTTTAAAACAGAATGAGGTGTCGGTAGTGTCGATGATTTTGAGGCAAGGGGGTGAATAGTTGGTTTTACATGAGTGAGATTTAAGAAGGTGTGGGTTAGATATGAGAGTTTTTGTCTGTTGTGGCATGTTCCCTGATTCTGGTGGATAAATGGCACGAAGAGTCGCAAATGTATCTTCTGTTCCTTTTTATTGTTGTCATTTATGTATCATATTACTTTTATATAAACCTTGTATCATTTATTATTTCACTTATACTGAGGATGGCATCATGAGATGTCGAAACATGTCTATTTTAATAAGTACTTCGTTTTATTAAAATATTCGCTCTTTGACCAGCGGTATACGGTTCGTCGGCCCTCAACATGCTGGATGAAAGTTCATGTGTCCCTCTGGCTGTAAAGTTTGGAGACCCTGCTTTAGCCTATCAGCTGGATCAGGGCCATTGATTTCTATTAAATTAGCTGGAGGGGAAGAGGGGCCTGGAGCTATGATTTTGGATGAAAAACTTTCTCTTGAAAAATTATTTTTATCATTCACTCCCTCCTGAAGTCCTGATGTGTATCTGGTTCATCTGCTTTATAATGTAGCTTTAAACATTCAAAAGTCAATAACAAACCGGTATACCCAAAACATAAAGATGTGCCTTAGTGTTTATGGAATACACACTCATTAATATGAAGTAAATGTACAGCAAACAATTTTTGTTATGTATAACAATTTAAATTAAAAATAACATACACACCACTCTTCAGTTGACCATAAAAAAATGTCTTCAAGTTTATGTTTACATAAACATTAACTGACAACTTAACTGTTTGCTAAGAGCTTTGTGCAACTATATTTTTATTGCTTAAGTCGACAAGTCTTAGAAAAAATACTCATGAAGGCATGAGACATGTTGGCCTAGGCCTAAGGCCTATAATATTTTGCCTTCACAGCTTGAAGCAAGAGCTTGGGAAGATTGTTTGATAATGAAAGTGGGTTTTTCGCTACAAACTTGCAACTAGGCTTTGCAAAATCAAATTACGATAACAAATATACGTACCTTCTCAGCTGCAGAAATTGATGGAGAACTCTTTCCAACATTGACTAGAGAAGAGTTTAGTGACATGTTTAAGAATCTTAGACAAAAGCGTGCTGCTGTTGCAGTTTGGTCGAAACTTTCTGGCATGGTACGTACGTGAGCACTTAATAGATCAAACTCTTTCTAAAAACTTTTCAGAATGTTATGTTTATACCAGCAAACGAAATCTCATTAAAAACAACCACTGATATTGTTGCTTTTACACAATCGATTCTGTCGCCTTTATTTCTAAACGTCAGTTTTACAATTTCAAACATTATTTATTATCATCATATAGTTCTATTTCTTAAGTTATCATCGTAGTTTGATTATCATTAATTACATGTCAGATATGAGTTTATTTTACATGGACTAAATTGTCTTCATTACCGTCATCAAATGAACTCATGGAGTCTTGTTGTCTTCTAAAGCACTTGTCGAAGCATAAACTTCTACCGTAAGAACAATCAGAGCAAACGATCCTTTGACTTGCGTCGCCACATGACAAGAAACAAGTGTGCCACATTGCTACACATTTGCAGGTGCCGGCTGCAACGCCAGCTCCCATCGTTAACAGTACAACTGTTATAAAACAGACTTGCATGTTTTTGACGAACATTCTTCCTAATTGATTCTAAAAATTTACCCAAAAATTCTAAATTACGCGTGGTTGAAATCATTTCAAACATTTTCCCTCATGCATCAAAGATGATAAATAAATGAACTCTGTATTCATCATAACAAATATTTATAAATCAACAGATGAAGGACGAGACATGTTGATGTGTACATGAATATATTGACTTGAGCTTTTAGTATTTAGTTGAGTTTTTAAGATACTGGACATATTCATACATAGCATTCAATATTTCTTTTATAAATTTGTGATACTGTGTATAGTGAGTGCTTACATAACTGATATATACTTACATCTTTTCTATATAATTAAAACGTGCGCCTTTTCTTGTGATTGAATGTTCTACCTTCCAACGGACAATTAATGACTTACACTCACGTCATTTATATAACAATCTTTAGACACATTGCAGGAATAATTACTGTCCTGTCCAGATGTGTGTAAAATACTTATAAATATTTCAATGTTTTATCTTTTTGTTCTTTTACCTTTTATCATCTTTATCGCTAAAATTTCAATGATTTGATGTGATAATACTCTTATTGTTTTAATAAGTTCTATTATAACTGTATTTTATGCTTCCATATTGAGTTTGTCTTTTTGAAAAACTGAACTCTTTCAGGTGGCTTAATCATTTGCAATGTGTATTTCCTTTTCAATATTTAACGATATTATCGGTAAAAAATTTCCTCAATGGGATGAAAGCGACATTCATTATTATCTGACATAGACAGTTTTGAATTTTTTTAATTTTCTGTATCATGCAGAGTCGTTTTAAAAAAACTTAACACTTACGGCATAGCCGTAATTATTTACGGTGTGTATTTCTTTTTCAATATTTAACGATTTTGCCTGTATAAAAAATTATGTCAATGAGATAAAGCGACATTGATAGTTGTATTGAGATAAGCAATTTTGAAATTTTTAATTTTCTTGTGTGTTGAACGATTGAATATCGACAGTCTTTAGCTACAAGTGGTTTTGCACGCCAAATTTTTAACATTTTTTTGGCAATAGCTACATACTATTTTACAGCTTTTAAATTTCTATTTTATCGTGATAGGAAAGATTAAAACTCGACAGTTATTTAAACTTTATAGCTACTTTGAAAAATAACATCGAACAAATAATGAAATATCGTTGAAATTTTTTTCCACAACTTTACCAATGTGGCGATAATTTTTCTTTGTTAATGATGTATATGTTTAACCATCTGTCCTTTATTAGAACGTCATTGTTCCAGTCGATGACGTTGTTTTAATTGTTATTGTCATGTAAGCCATTTAAGCCCACGGCCAATGATGTTTATAGTCATATAAATGTCATTGTCATACGTAATGTCATATACTAAAATTAGCACGCTGTTAAACTTCCATAGTCGTCAGCAATCAACTTCTGCACAGAAACATCAATAAAATATAATTTCCATTCTCGGCACAACAGACATCTCTATAAGGATCACAATTGCAGGCGTTGAAAACCACAAAAATCTCTGTGGTTTTCTACGAAAGCCTTTTACATTGAAATATTTTCTATCAGCTCAATATTGTAAAAAAACCCTGGAAAACGATATGAAAATATTGCCTAGGAAATAATTATTGAAAAAAATTGAGCAAATATGATAATATAAATACAAAATGAATACTCCAAATTAATAACCAAATCATTACATAAGGGTATCAGCAGTATTTTATTTGAGTGATTTTTAACTTTTATATTATGGAAGTTGTATTATATAGCCTTTATATGTCTAACTAGCTTAATTCAATAGTTGAATAATTAAACGTAAGATAATTGAAACAAAAAATAATATGAACGTTTGTAAAAATTTATATATTTCATCAATGATGAAGTGATGAAGACCATGTCACGATTATAAACTTATTTCCTTCAATTTTTCCTTCTATTTATTTAGGATCGCTGTTCCTAAATAAAAATCAACCATTAAACTCCTCCAATGTATTATATGTTAAAATCTATCAACTTTTTAATTGCACGTTTACCTGTTGTGAAGGCGCGTCATAACCTCGATTAACTCTGCGAGCATTTGCATTAATGGATACTTTAGCTGTGTGTTGTTTTACTTTGTGTAATAAAGCCATAGAAACTAAGACCATTGAAATACCAATAACAATTGCCATACCGAGGGCAGCATATACCATTGGTTTCACTTTGTCATCTAATAAAGTATTGAAAATTATTGAAAAACGTTTATATTTATCGATCTTTAATTGAAAAACTTACCAAAGCATTTTCCTGCTTCATCGTCATCAGAGCAAAATGCTACAAAACGTGTGGGAAGATTTAAGTTTGTTGTTAGGCAATCATTAAGCAGAAGTATTTTCGATATGAATCATTATGGCGTTATATAACCAGAGAAATTAATACTTTTATATTTAAACTTTAAAAAAAACAGCTGTAGCTATAAAACTACAGTTTGAAGCTGGGATATAAAGTTTTATGAGGTTGTTATTTGTGATTTTCTTTTAATCTTTTAGTATTTTTTTCTCCTTTTTTGTGAAACAACATTTCATAAATCTCGGTTTCGTATAAAGTTGTGCAGTGTAAATTTATACGATCGTTTGCCTTTGAGGAGACCATATTAATGAATTAGTGAGAACAAACAATACCTGCCGAAGATAGGCCACACACAGATAACAATACTGCCAAGAATAGAGTTGACATTTTAGCAGCGTTAAACTATATGATTTATACAAATATATATTTCAGTTATCAACGACATAAATATCAAAGATTATGGCTGCGTTTACACTATACCGGATTCGTTCATCACATCTTCATTTGCTTTAAAGGGTTAACTGTTCGGAGTAAAAGCTTATTAAGCTGATAGATTTAGTCTATTTAATTGTGTTTCTGACGTTGAACAATTTCACTGCCTTTTAATACAAAGAATATTGAACCTGCTACTATAGCAATTCGGTATAGTGTAAACGGGGCCTATGTCTGGGACGATTATTTTTATATCAACCACTGTCGTAGCCAAATTAATTGACGCTATAGTTCAAGTAACATTGCCAAAAAATGTTGTGATTCAGTGACGTTACGTGTAGCACATTCATGGTAAAGAAATGCATTTTGTACATGATAAATGATTATTTTCTTACCTTAGTCTAATCTTTACCTTATTCTAATCCTTAGCTTAATCTCTGACCGAATACTGTCGAAATATTCCGTCAAGTGTTTCTCAAAACAATAACTTTGACTCCTTGTATGTCAAACAATAGTCAATCTGAATAGTTATTATTCACAATAAGGCTCTTTGTTAAGATATGATAAACTAAGTACACGTCAATTTAAAATAGCGCATTCCAGCATATCTTAAATTTTTCTGAAGTTTAGGGCAATTTGAACGCGCTGTAAGCATGACCACAGTTCAATTTTTGAAAATTTGAGAAGTTCTTTCGTTGACATGCAAGAGCTCTTAGTTAAAAAATATTTTCAATCAGGGAACGCTATAAATTTAAACTTTCTGTGTAAGTATAGTGCCGTATCTAAAACAGTGCAGACTATTACACCAGCCATTTAGGGAAAGAAAAGTCCAGCAAACTAGAGAAAATGTCGTTTATCTCATATCGACAAGATTGGGACCTTAGTATCACTTTAAACTTTGTTATTTCTAAGTTTTCTTCAAGTGTTTCCTTGTGAAAACCACTCCGCCGGCAAAAACACCAGTCATAGTTGTCAGAATAAAGAATGTGGTTTTGATGTGACAGGTATTTTCTCTCGAATCCCAATTAATATTTAGTCTAACACAGACTACACACTTTAAAGTACAAAGATTTAAAAACATGCAAGAAATTATTGAATAGAAAAAGAATGGTAAAGCACGTTTTATTAGGTATTTTGATTTACTTGAGAAGATTGTCTTGCAATAATTCGTGTTCTTTTAAGTCGTCTCCAATGACCAGTATCATAGTTCATTTCAAACAACATTTCTACCAATTGTGTTTGAGGCGTGTTCATATTTGAATTTGTACTAATCTCAGTGTGTTCACTTAATCTAACAGTAATCACTGGGCCTTGATCTGGATATGGATTTTCTGTAAAGCAATAAAGAAATATGTAATGAGTCGGTTATAATACTATATTTAAATTGTATGGAAATTCTTATTTACCTCTCGATCCAGCCATGAAGCCTAAAATCAACGATTTCTCCGCTTTAGTGACTTTGTTTGCATCACGAAACATTTCTTGTGCAGCAATTACTTGTTCTCGCTAAAAAATTCATTATAATGTCAAAATAAACGCCGCCCTTTATTATCAGTATGATAACTGAAAAAGAGAGTAAATTCTTCGTTTATAATGCTAATGATTGCATGTAGCTAGACTTTTCGTGTAAAAATATTAGACACTCCGGAGCTTTATCAAAAAAATCCTAACAAAGAAAAAGATGATCGCTCTCTTACTGTCAGCTTTAATTCCTGTTTAGGTGCTGTTGGGTTCGCTACACTAGGTTGCGTGCTTGATGTAGGCTGGCGTGACGGGAGACTGGGTTGAGATGGCGTTTGAGATGGCGGTTGAAGGGAAACAGATTTGAATGAAGAATTTCCCGTATTAAGATGTTGTCCTGCTGTAGCAGTCTGAAGACGTCGAAGTTTTATATTTTCCCTCTCTCTGTCAATATGCATCTAAACGAAAAAAATAGATAATTGACACTATGAATGAAAAAACACAAACAACCAATAATTTCAACAAAGAGCCAATAATTTCAACAAACAACCAATAATTTCAACAAAGAGCCAATAATTTCAACATAACTTACTTGTAACTCTTTAGTGAAGTTGGCTGAAGTTGTCGACAAGTTTTCTTGTGAAGTAGATTCAGATGGATTTAAAGTAGCTACACGTGGTACAGTGTTCAATCCAATTGCGTAAGATGGAGTACTACTTGATGATGTCGCTGTTACAGCTGGTGAATTGCTCACAGCAGGCTCAGATGACTTCTCAGGTAATATTTGTGTAATATTGTGAGAATTAGAACAAAATAAACAGTTATCATCACAGTGACATGGTATAGGAATATACAGTAAGTCCACTTTGTATATTTAGATTACTGGTTAGCCATTTTATCATTTGTATTGGTCAATCCACTTGCGTAATAAGATATGCATGACAGCTAGGAAAAAAATTCAATGGAGTTGCTCCACTGTATAGTCACTATACTGTGACATTGATTCAAACTCAATCAATTCAAATTTTGTCTGTTATAAAGAAAATCTTTTCAACTCAATTGTTTTCAATAGATTGATTGCAATGGAATAGCCATTCCAAATATTTACTTCTGTATTGCAACTTTCTATGTGTTAACTTAGTGTAAAACAATACATTTCTAAAGACATGAATAATAACAATGCTTCAAAATTTACAATGCTGTGCAATAACATGCTGGCTTTGTGACTGATTATTTGACAAACTTACCTCAACATTGTTACTCAATCCAATGGCATACTCTGGTGTTGTTTTTTTCTTGTGATATTTCTTTCTTCTTTCTATCTTCTTCCAATAAATTCTCTGCTTCAGCTAAGCACAAGAAAATAGTTTAAAATAAAATTACAACAACTAAAAGAATACGGTGATAAAAATTTCAATTTCTGTCAAAAGATATTGTTTTTGAATGAAACCTGCAATCATTTTCTTTCTACTACGCTTTGCTTCTCTGACACCTCCTCCAATTGGTTGCTCATTTATATCCAGTAGCTAAATAACATGCAACAAGGAAATAAAACATAGAATCATAAACACATGATAACAATACTCAACAGTAGCTCATACAACCATGAGTTCTATATGCATAATTATATAGATTCATTTTAAAACTGATATTATACATGAACATATTTAGAGTACATAGAGTAATTTCAAATAATAAATCACGAAAAGATTTTTAGCCTATTTTAAATACTAAAATGTAAACCTTAGCTGTTCTATTTTGCTGCTTGAGAGATGCAGCTGAAAGAGCGTAATGCTGAAGATGAACCAGAGCTTGGAACAGTTTTACTGTGTACTCGTAGTAGAGGAACACTATGTTTTAATGGTGACTTTCCTAAAATGAGCATTTTAAGAACAGAAATAAAGTGTAAATTACTAAGCCAAGTAAGATGATCTGAATGTAGAAATTGTCACATACCGCCACTGTCAGATCTTTTTAAACTGACAATAGCTGATGATCCAGTGTGAATAGAATGACCTCGTTTATTGCCAGATAGTGATTCTGTTGCTATTAACATAAAGTGACCATAAAACATATTTCCACAGTTTGATTCAACAATAAAATAAAAAATGAAAGCTTATGTTGCAGATGATTAACACATAAAAAATATCTCTTTTGCAGCAAATAAATAGTTGCTTGCCTTATTCACGCAGTAAAAATTATGCTTCAGGAACTCTACTTTACCTTTTTGAAATAGTTCTGCTTTCAGAGCAGCTGATTTTGGTTTTCTGCGCAAAGTAAAATGCTTGCCTGGTGGAGGTTGTGATCCAATAGTAGCCATTAAAGAATTACGACTTAAATATGGACATTCCATTGGTAACAATACTCTCTTGTTCACAATGTCATTCACTAAAAATTAAAAATCATTTTACCATAACACGAAACAAAAATTGTAAAACAATAATTGATGGGTGCTAATGACATAGCGGTGAACAAACAAAACAATTTTTACATTGTCTGATGAAATTTAGATTACAAACTGAAAGAATCTTTCGCTAAAACAGTCAAACATAAAACATGACCAATGATAACGAGTAAAACCTACTTGCAAGTCTTATATCCTGGAGGATTTCAGAAAAAACTGGACTGACATCCGCAAGATCAACATTTAGTCGACCAGTTTCTGGAAAATTTCTCAATATTTCTGAAAGAATTCTAACCCAGTCGTCGGAATCGCCAAATGAAACTTCTAAAATATCATTTAATTGCGAAGACATGTCTTGAGCCTGCCTGCGAGTATGTACAGAAATGACATTAAAATCTTGATTTTCACTTGAGAATGGAGATTGTGAAAGCAATCAGGGATATTTCTTAATATATCAGTTGTAAGTATTGTCCAGATATTCGCTCCCGACCACATATCATCATTAGACAATTTATTATTCAGCCAAACACTTGTATCTACTTCTCTTGCATTAGCCATCTTCTTTACTTCCTTTGAAGGATGGGAAATAATTAAATTAATTTCCCCAGTGCGTGCCAGTGGTGCGCATGCATTGAGTTCTATAAGACCTGGAGGGGAAACGTCAACTAAATTACTATAAATTATCAGCGCGCGGCCGCGTGGTCAAAAACATGGCGGATTTTGGTTGTCAAAGTCAGCGGAAAGGCGCGGGCTCATAAAATGAAATTTTTTTCGCCCACCCGGATTTGACAACCACAATTGCGATTATATAAAATATCAATGCCAAGCACAAAAACTTTAGAAATTTTGTCTTAAAAACATGCTGCAAACTTGTTTGGTATACGGATGCTGAAGTAATGCCAGAAAAGGAAACATTTTATGACACCGGTAAGCAACGTAAGATTGTTTACTATTTAAAGTGTTCAGTGTTTTGTTTTAAGTCAATACTTGAAGTGTGATGGCATATATTTTGTGAATGTTTTTACTCCTAAGTTATAATTTAAGTTATGTTTATCCAGTCTTATTTGTTCTTTACTTAATCGATTGCTGGACGAGGCAAAGCAACCAGTTCTTATCGAGATATGCATATCTTAAAACTCCTTGTTTCAACTGAGTTGAAATGGAGGATTTTTTCATGATATTTTTCTGAAAATATGAAGCAAATATTAAGGACAGAGCTGTATTGAAATCAAATGCAGTGCAGGATTAATTAATGAGCTCTTTGGTACATGTCGTACAATAAAAAATACCTTTATTAAACAGCAAGCCTGGACAATTTGACAGATTTGGACAAGCATGATGATGGTGTGTAAAGGTTTGCTTTATGCTAAAAGTTTTATAAATGCCAACTGGTGTTTCTGTAAATGAATTGTTTGTTACACAGTGTAGTAAACAGGTTAGTACATCAAAATCAAGATAAAAACTACTTTGTTCAATGTGCCAAATTTTGCTCCTACCTTGAAATATTTGCTCAAGAAAAGCTTATCATGACATGCATGAAACGTTAAATACAGTACTGCATCATCTGACAAAATCCATACGTTTTTCAATTCCAGGTGATTAAAAATTCACATAAGATGCATTGGTTGCAATGAAGTTGAATGTGGAAGAAGCAAAAATTGATGGCAAAGAACTTTTTATGTCTTTTGAAGAATTACGATATCATTTAAAAGAATAAGAGTAGCAATGTAGTAAAAGAAGCCACATCCGCCTTCAACATGAGACTTTTTCAATTATGTATAGTTACTTTGTACAAAATACTATTTTAGATAAACTTGATTTTTAAGTCATTCACTGATATTTTTACCAAAAGACGAAAAGAAAAATTCAAAGGCATAATGTAAAATTCAAAAATTTGTCAAGTTGTTTGAACCTAGAAAAAATTAGTATAGGTAACTGTAATTTGTAAGGACACAAAAGAAAAGTAGTGCAAGAAGGTTAGCATTTTTGAGAATTAATAAGTTCTTGACATACATTACACAAGGCCATAATATTATAAATAATGTCTGTATAATTGTTATTATGCTAAATATCTTCACCTACATTATAATTATTTAAACAAGTTTGCCTTCATGCAGCAATAAGAAAAGTGTTATTTCAGAGAAACCAATGCACTTTGATTTAAGAAATAGTATTTTCAATGGGAAATTAATGTAGTTCTGTTCAGTAGTAGATCCATGGTTGTCAATAACAATCCAGTTTCTAATATCTTGGCTCAAAACAGAACCAGCAACATGATTAGAGAATTTCTGAATTTCGTTCTTTTGCTCTCCTAGTTCAAGATATTTTCCTCATAAGTTCTCAGTAGATTTATCAGAACATCATAATACTTTATAAGACACCCAGAATCAATCCTACCAAAAAAAACTCAAAAAAATTACATACCTACTAATAATATATTTCCAGTCGACTTAAGTCGTAGGGGTAAGCTAACTTTTTCCAACTCCTTTTTGGACATTTTTACTAAGATTTACCCATCTATTCAAGAAAGACAGTTGCACCAAGCTGTTCACAAACAGTCAAAAACACAAGTAATGCGCATGGGATTATGCATTAAAGCTTAACACACATTGACAGTGTAAAGATTGCCGTTTGATATTTATTTCTAATATAGCTAAAGCATTACTTGAAAAAATATACGTTATGTTACAGTAGATTTACCTCATTTAAATGTGTGTGTCTATTTCACAAAAACCAGAAGCATTATTTCAATATTTTATGCTTACGGTATCGTGGTTGTTTTCGCTGGTTGTCATTACTATGAGCAGTGTTAGAGTTCCGGTTTCGGGAGGGAGCGAATGTTAAAAATTTTCTCAAAGTGGAAGTTTTGACAACCAAAATCCGCCATTACCGCCATGTTTTTGACCACGGGGTCCAGGCCCTTTGCCCTCCAGGTCTTATAGAGCTCAATGTGCGCATGTGTGCATTGGTTCGTCCCATTGAGTTCTATTATAGAACTCAATGGTTCGCCCCAGTCAAGGATATATACCCAATCCTCTAGATATCTAACCATTTATCTAATGGTATTATATCATTTTTCCCAGTTATTCGTGTGCTCTTTTTCGCCCCGTTTTCGAGAAATTTACAAAGGAACAATGTTAAAACTATAGAGAGAACGCATCACGCGTGAAAGGTAATGTAGGTACGTTGACTAAAGTCTAAAGCAATTCTCTCCCCTTTTTTATTACAACAACATAATCGAACTTACAAGTTACAAACATTACTTTCAACTTTCAAGCAGTGATTTGGACTAGCCTAGCTAGTGCTTGGAGCATGACGCTCTCATTAATAAACAGAATGCAAAAAATCTTATTTATCATGTTTATTAGTCATCCAGCTTACCGAGGTTTCGGTGAACTCAGTCACAAGGTAACTTGGCAGCCGTCAACGATCTATACTCCATGATGTAGTAGCACAAGCACTTTCAAAACAAAGGCGTTCTCTTTGGCCCCTTTGCCCAATTGTCTGTGCTCATCTGTATTTTGGTTACTTCGTTGTGATGAAAACAGAAAACATTTTTTCTTCATTTTTTCATTCCCCCCTTTTTTTCCTTTAAAAGAAAGATGTGAAAAAACTTAGTGCATCACCTCACTCAGTGTCAGATAATCTAGTTCATACTTTAGCCCAGGGGTCTCCAAACTACGGCCCGTTGGGACTCTCAATCCGGCCCGCAGAGACACTTAAGAAGCCAATTTCACCACTCACATTGAGAAAACTGAACAGACTAATTGTGATTTTGTTATGATATTACACTTGGTTGAAATTTAACCTTTAAATTTTGAATAAATATTTTCTTAGCTAATGAAGCTTGTGTGATGTGCTTCGTTTTGCGCATTTAATATACGTGACAAGTTTTTTTAAAATAAGAAGATGTTTTTTTAAAATAAGAAGATGTTTCGACATCTCATGATGCCATCTTCAGTATAAGTGAAATAATAAATGATACAAGGTTTATATAAAAGTAATATGATACATAAATTACAACAATAAAAAGGAATTAAGATAAAATTAAGGGGAGCGTCCGAGCGTATTATAAACTAAACATTGTATTGAATTTAAAAACTTGAACATTGAGATCAGGTTTAGTTTTGTTGATGTGGAGTGCTTCTTTGATTTTAAAACAGAATGAGGTGTCGGTAGTGTCGATGATTTTGAGGCAAGGGGGTGAATAGTTGGTTTTACATGAGTGAGATTTAAGAAGGTGTGGGTTAGATATGAGAGTTTTGTCTGTTGTGGCATGTTCCTGATTCTGGTGGATAAATGGCACGAAGAGTCGCAAATGTATCTTCTGTTCCTTTTTATTGTTGTCATTTATGTATCATATTACTTTTATATAAACCTTGTATCATTTATTATTTCACTTATACTGAGGATGGCATCATGAGATGTCGAAACATGTCTATTTTAATAAGTACTTCGTTTTATTAAAATATTCGCTCTTTGACCAGCGGTATACGGTTCGTCGGCCCTCAACATGCTGGATGAAAGTTCATGTGTCCCTCTGGCTGTAAAGTTTGGAGACCCCTGCTTTAGCCTATCAGCTGGATCAGGGCCATTGATTTCTATTAAATTAGCTGGAGGGGAAGAGGGGCCTGGAGCTATGATTTTGGATGAAAAACTTTCTCTTGAAAAATTATTTTTATCATTCACTCCCTCCTGAAGTCCTGATGTGTATCTGGTTCATCTGCTTTATAATGTAGCTTTAAACATTCAAAAGTCAATAACAAACCGGTATACCCAAAACATAAAGATGTGCCTTAGTGTTTATGGAATACACACTCATTAATATGAAGTAAATGTACAGCAAACAATTTTTGTTATGTATAACAATTTAAATTAAAAATAACATACACACCACTCTTCAGTTGACCATAAAAAAATGTCTTCAAGTTTATGTTTACATAAACATTAACTGACAACTTAACTGTTTGCTAAGAGCTTTGTGCAACTATATTTTTATTGCTTAAGTCGACAAGTCTTAGAAAAAATACTCATGAAGGCATGAGACATGTTGGCCTAGGCCTAAGGCCTATAATATTTTGCCTTCACAGCTTGAAGCAAGAGCTTGGGAAGATTGTTTGATAATGAAAGTGGGTTTTTCGCTACAAACTTGCAACTAGGCTTTGCAAAATCAAATTACGATAACAAATATACGTACCTTCTCAGCTGCAGAAATTGATGGAGAACTCTTTCCAACATTGACTAGAGAAGAGTTTAGTGACATGTTTAAGAATCTTAGACAAAAGCGTGCTGCTGTTGCAGTTTGGTCGAAACTTTCTGGCATGGTACGTACGTGAGCACTTAATAGATCAAACTCTTTCTAAAAACTTTTCAGAATGTTATGTTTATACCAGCAAACGAAATCTCATTAAAAACAACCACTGATATTGTTGCTTTTACACAATCGATTCTGTCGCCTTTATTTCTAAACGTCAGTTTTACAATTTCCAAACATTATTTATTATCATCATATAGTTCTATTTCTTAAGTTATCATCGTAGTTTGATTATCATTAATTACATGTCAGATATGAGTTTATTTTACATGGACTAAATTGTCTTCATTACCGTCATCAAATGAACTCATGGAGTCTTGTTGTCTTCTAAAGCACTTGTCGAAGCATAAACTTCTACCGTAAGAACAATCAGAGCAAACGATCCTTTGACTTGCGTCGCCACATGACAAGAAACAAGTGTGCCACATTGCTACACATTTGCAGGTGCCGGCTGCAACGCCAGCTCCATCGTTAACAGTACAACTGTTATAAAACAGACTTGCATGTTTTTGACGAACATTCTTCCTAATTGATTCTAAAAATTTACCCAAAAATTCTAAATTACGCGTGGTTGAAATCATTTCAAACATTTTCCCTCATGCATCAAAGATGATAAATAAATGAACTCTGTATTCATCATAACAAATATTTATAAATCAACAGATGAAGGACGAGACATGTTGATGTGTACATGAATATATTGACTTGAGCTTTTAGTATTTAGTTGAGTTTTTAAGATACTGGACATATTCATACATAGCATTCAATATTTCTTTTATAAATTTGTGATACTGTGTATAGTGAGTGCTTACATAACTGATATATACTTACATCTTTTCTATATAATTAAAACGTGCGCCTTTTCTTGTGATTGAATGTTCTACCTTCCAACGGACAATTAATGACTTACACTCACGTCATTTATATAACAATCTTTAGACACATTGCAGGAATAATTACTGTCCTGTCCAGATGTGTGTGAAATACTTATAAATATTTCAATATTTTATCTTTTTGTTCTTTTACCTTTTATCATCTTTATCGCTAAAATTTCAATGATTTGATGTGATAATACTCTTATTGTTTTAATAAGTTCTATTATAACTGTATTTTATGCTTCCATATTGAGTTTGTCTTTTTTGAGAAAACTGAACTCTTTCAGGTGGCTTAATCATTTGCAATGTGTATTTCCTTTTCAATATTTAACGATATTATCGGTAAAAAATTTCCTCAATGGGATGAAAGCGACATTCATTATTATCTGACATAGACAGTTTTGAATTTTTTTAATTTTCTGTATCATGCAGAGTCGTTTTAAAAAAACTTAACACTTACGGCATAGCCGTAATTATTTACGGTGTGTATTTCTTTTTCAATATTTAACGATTTTGCCTGTATAAAAAATTATGTCAATGAGATAAAGCGACATTGATAGTTGTATTGAGATAAGCAATTTTGAAATTTTTAATTTTCTTGTGTGTTGAACGATTGAATATCGGCAGTCTTTAGCTACAAGTGGTTTTGCACGCCAGATTTTTAACATTTTTTTGGCAATAGCTACATACTATTTTACAGCTTTTAAATTTCTATTTTATCGTGATAGGAAAGATTAAAACTCGATAGTTATTTAAACTTTATAGCTACTTTGAAAAATAACATCGAACAAATAATGAAATATCGTTGAAATTTTTTTTCCACAACTTTACCAATGTGGCGATAATTTTTCTTTGTTAATGATGTATATGTTTAACCTTCTGTCCTTTATTAGAACGTCATTGTTCCAATCGATTACGTTATTTTAAATGTTATTGTCATGTATGTCATTTAAGCCCACGGCCAATGATGTATATAGTCACTGCCTTTTAATACAAAGAATATTGAACCTGCTACTATAGCAATCCGGTATAGTGTTAACGGGGCCTATGTCCGGGACGATTATTTTTATATCAACCACTGTCGTAGCCAAATTAATTGACGCTATGGTTCAAGTAACATTGCCAACAAAATGGTGTGATTCAGTGACGTTACGTGTAGCACATTCATGGTAAAGAAATGCATTTTGTACATGATAAATGATTATTTTCTTACCTTAGTCTAATCTTTACCTTATTCTAATCCTTAGCTTAATCTCTGACCGAATACTGTCGAAATATTCCGTCAAGTGTTTCTCAAAACAATAACTTTGACTCCTTGTATGTCAAACGATAGTCAATCTGAATAGTTATTATTCACAATAAGGCTCTTTGTTAAGATATAATAAACTAAGTACACGTCAATTTAAAATAGCGCATTCCAGCATATCTTAAATTTTTTTCTGAAGTTTAGGGCAATTTGAACGCGCTGTAAGCATGACCACAGTTAAATTTTTGAAAATTTGAGAAGTTCTTTGGTTGACATGCAAAAGCCCTTAAATAAAAAATATTTTCAATCAGGGAACGCTATAAATTTAAACTTTCTGTGTAAGTATTATGCCGTATTTAGGGAAAAAAAGATCCAGCAAACTAGAGAAAATGTCGTTTATCTCATATCGACAAGATTGGGACCTTAGTATCATTTTTAACTTTGTCATTGCTGAGTTTTCTTCAAGTTTTTCTTTGTGAAAACCACTCCGCCGGCAAAAACACCAGTCAAATTTGTCAGAATGAAGATTGTGGTTTTGATGTGACAGGTATTTTATCTCGAATCCCAATTAATATTTAGTCTAACACAGACTACACACTTTAAAGTAGAAAGATTTAAAAACATGCAAGAAATTAATGAATAGAAAAAGAATGGTAAAGCACGTTTTATTAGGTATTTTGATTTACTTGAGAAGATTGTCTTGCAATAATTCGTGTTCTTTTAAGTCGTCTCCAATGACCAGTGTCATAGTTCATTTCAAACAACATTTCTACCAATTGTGTTTGAGGCGTGTTCATATTTGAATTTGTACTAATCTCAGTGTGTTCACTTAATCTAACAGTAATCACTGGTCCTTGATCTGGATATGGATTTTCTGTAAAACAATAAAGAAATATGATGAGTCGGTTATAATACTAGCGGTAGTCATCTAAGGTTGTCGAAACGTCAGTCAACAACAACAAAAACAGTCCTTCTCAGGACTTTATTAACCTGGACGATCATCATTTACAAACATGTAACGATACTCCCGGGTTCAAACCATTTACTTTATTGTTGGTACTGCATTCAATTTTAATGCAACGATGACAAAAGCTCTAACAACGATGAGGTTCCAATACAAAAACAACCATTAATAACACTGCGTCTTCTAAAGATATGTTCAATATAAATATCGATGAATCACATATAAAGTTATGAAACTCGTCGACTCACGTGGTATATTGTAGTGGAAACTGCTGAAGATATGTAAAAATTTAACTATCTGCGTCTTTCGTTTAGGACTAGCAATCTGATTTCGAAAGTGATGAGGAAACAATCACCACAAGAGATTTGCAAGAAGAGTATGAGTTTACTGTCCAAAGTGTGTATATACACATGGATTATTTTGAGAAGAGTACCTAAGGAATGTTATTGACGAAGGATAGTACAAGGACCAACAAACACCATGAGATTGTGGAAGGATTAGTTAACGTTCATTCACAGCTAGAAACTTCGATTATTGCTTGTGCTAGCTCACTGTATGGATGTGTAACTAAACGTGAAAAAAATGTGAACAATTTTTGTTTAGCTCAATGCTTGGAAAAAGGAGGGTTTGCTTCAGTCGTCAAGGTAACTTTTTATTACATGCAACATTGTTTAAATAGACGGTAATTTGGTCATGTGAAGGAAATTTTATACGTGATTTGGAAATGCTTTATATACGATTAGGTACGTAATAAATTGGACGGCTGTCTCTATGCGATCAAGAGAATTCCTTTGAATCCGAAAAGTGTGCTGTTTAATCGCAAAATTACTCGAGGAGAGAAGTTACTTTCTATATTGAATCATAAAAACTGTGTAAGGCAAAAGAAATTTACTATCCAAAATGATTCGAAATTTTATAACATAATGGTTCAAAGCGAGGTTCAATTTAGACGATACAAATTGCTTGGCTTATTAAATGTTATCTTTCTAGAAACTGTTATAACAAAGTAGATAATCCCTTTTTCCCATGAAGCCCATGGATGCTTTCTTTCATAATGAGAGAGTCATATTGTATAAGGGGCTCGTTCATCACGAGAGAGTTATGAGAAAGTTACATTGTAAAAGGTAACAAGTAAAAAGCGTATAAACATGCTTAGAGTTGATTTAAATTATAAGTAAAAAACGCAGAAGTTGTGTGAACCTTTGCAGTATCCTTGGATGTTCTAGTTTCTTTATTAGAAGAATTCTTGTAAAAAAGACAAATTTTGGAAACAAAATATCCCGTTTTCAGTCCATGTCTCCCGAGACCACGAGATAGTTTAGCACTAGAGCGTCTCATGTTAATTAAGGAAACCAGATAATTCTGTCTGCTACAAAGTCCATGGATGGTTTGCTCGTGATACTTAAGAAACAGTAAATGAGAGAGTTAAATCAGAAAAATATAAACCAATAAAAATTGTATGAAACATGTTTAAGGTTATCTTAAATTATAAGTGCCAGAAAAAGGCGCAGTGTCAGAAGAAGTTAATTGAAACATTGCTTGGTTTATTTTATGAGAAGAACTCTTAAAAGAAAAAAAAAGATAAAATTCGAAAGCAAAAAAACCCCGTTTTCGGTCCATGCTTCCCGATGCCTTCTTAAGCGTAAGGCACTAGAGCGCCGCATGTTAACGTTTCGGTAGGAGATTTCGGCCCCTCCACGCTTTCCTACTTGGGAGATGCAATAGCAAGCTTCCGCCCATCAGACCCCGAGATCACCTGCGATAGCCTTTGCTCGGGGTACGCAGGGAGAGTGCGGTCGCCACCGAAGTGTGGGCCCCTAAGCCACTGCATACCTAATCGCACCCAGCTTCCACTGCTAGTTGACATCTACAAGTTGAAGTTTCAGCTTTATATATATATACAAAAATTCCAAGGTTTACGAAAGTTGTGGTATTATTAAAGTCACTACTGCGCATGCCCAGATTATTTCTTTCATAATTTGTGACTAAGTTATCTAATTGCCGCAAATGTAGTGCAAGTACATACAGTTAGTCGTTACCATGACTATGAACAATTAGTCGAATGGACTACGCATGCTGGAGCGCATGCGCAAATGATTTATATATTAAATTGTTACTAAGCATGCTATTTACTTCAAAATCGGTGCTAGTAGATGCAGTTGGTCGTTGCTATGTCCATGAACTTGGGCAACTGGTCAAGTCAACATACTGCGCATGCGCAGAAAATTTCTCAGAAAATGTGTGACTGAGCGAGCTAATTACTCCATAATCTGTACTTGTACATACAGTTGGTCGTTGCCATGACCATGAACTTGGAGAATTGGTGCAGTTGACTGTGCATGCTCAGATTAATTCTCAATTAAATTTGTAACGGAGCGAGCTCTTAAATTGGTGCTTGTATATGCGCTTATTAAATTTTCAATCATTCAAACTCATGAACACTTTGTTACGCCACTCGTAGTATCTGTGACGATGTTGGAGATGTTTTTATTTTTCTCCATGACTTTGTATCTGCATATTTTGTGCATAAACAATGCTCTTATATTTATGACAGATATTATACATCGTGGATTGAGGTAGAAGAAATATATCAAAATGAAACTTCCAACAGTTAAACACAATCAAGCTTGACAGAGGAGAAACAACGACGCTAGTTTGAAGATAGCTTGATGGAATTGAACGTAATTCAAGCACCTAGCGTACGCTCGAGAGTTTTGGAGGAAGACTCGTTGACCCTTAAAAACACGAATGATTCCAAGCATGCTTACGACGCTGAAAGCTCTAGCGAGGACGAGACTCCGATACAAAAACAACCATTAATAACACTGAAGATATGCTCAAAAGAAATATCGATGAATCGCATATACAGTTTGGAAGCTCGTTGGCTCACGTGGTATATAGTAGTGGGAACTGTTAATGATGTTGCTGAAGATATGTAAAAATAACTACCAGCCTCTTTCCTTTAGGACGAGGCATCTGATTTCGAAAGTGAAAAGGAAGCAATCACCACAAGAGATATACAAGAAGATTCAAAGTGTACTCTGCAAACTTTGTTTATACAAATGGAGTGTTTTGAGAACAGTACTCCAACGAATTCTATTGACGAGGGATAGTACAAGGACCTACAGAGAAAGTGAAGTCTTCTCCGTGAAATTATGGAAGGATAAGTTCAAGCTCATTCTTAGATAAAAACTTTCCATGACTGCATGTGCAAACAGTATGTATGTATAACTAAACCTGAAGAAGATATGAGCAATTTTCGTTTAGCTCAATATATTCATTGAAAGACTATAAAGACTTTCCTTAACTAGGTTCCTTGAGGCACTCCAACGGGTCCTGAAGTAGAGCATCTTCTTTTGTTGACGTAATTGGTCTATTTTTGCAACTGAGGTTTCTTCCGTTTTATGGGAAGATGACAGATTCTTTAGAGGTCAGAAATTTCTATTGTTTGAGTTCTTCAGAGATTCTGGTCAAGTGCTATGTTTCTTTTTTTAATGGTCTCATGAATGAGTCTTGATGTCATATAGATCAATTTAGAATAGACAGAAAATATCAAAAAAAGGTAAAGTGAGAAATTCAAAAAGAAAGTTGACAGCTATCTATTGAATAATAAAATTTAGATGTAATGATCCGAGACAGAAGATGACAATGCAATGTTTTGACAAAAATACGATGAAATTATGCAAAAAAAATGACGGCAATTCTGTAAAGAAAAATATGGTAAAATGATCCAAGACAAACAGATTTCAATAGGTGTATAATTATATATTTGTAAATACGTTGCCAGAGAGTTTAGGCCCTGTATGACTTTTGAAAACTTCTTGCAACAAGTTCAATCTTCTTTCATGTTGCTTTGTATTAGTGGCTTGTATTATGTAAGGTTTGTATGACACGACATCACGACTGGATTGTCTTTCATAACTTACCTTAACTCAAAAAGCTGTTGATCAATTTAATTCACACTAAGATATAAATAACCTAACCGTGGTCAAAGTTTTATGTTTCGTGGTTTTTGACTTTTACGTGAAACTCTGGAGATATATACAGCTGTTGACTGAAGATAATGATGGATATTAGGTAAACGGACATTGACATTGAAACTTTATCCATATTGTGCAATTACTGTGTTGAATAAACCATTTCTGAGAAATGTGATTTTCAACATTTTCATTGTTTCACTACTCAAAGTTGTATTTAAGCTTCTCACTACAATCAAGTCCTGACATTACGATGTCCTTGATATCGATCAAGGTATAACATTCCAAGGAGTATCGTTACATGTTTTGTTGATGTAGATCATCCATGTTAGCTGAGTCCTGAGAGTGAGGACTGTTGACTGTTGACTGTTGACTGACGTTTCGACAACCTTAGCGGTAGTCTTCTTCAAAGTAAAGAGTACCGCTATGGTTGTCGAAACCTCTTGACTCGGAAGTAACTACCGTACTGCTAAGGTTGTCGAAACGTTAGTCAACGTCACCACCAACAGTCCTCAGGAGTCCAGGACTTTACTAACCTCGACAATCTACAGTATAAACATGTAACGATACTCCCGGGTTCAAACCAATGGTTCAAACTATTTACTTTATTACGATAATGATGACATTCTATGGAAAAAATTATTTAATTGAAACAGCAAGTAAAACATTTTTTTCAGTATGACGTTTCCATGGCTGAAAGGAAACTTTGAGTAGTTGCAGGTGATCTTGTGAATATTTATAATCAAGTTTAGCGTTTTTTGCATAATGTGTATTATAACACGCTTCATTTGTACAGCAAACGCGGAAGCTGAGAATCAAAATTATTAAAGCTACTTTTTGTGGAACATGTTTTACTCGCCATTATATGTATTGTGGGATTCTAAAATATTATGAAAATTGATGGCGTTTTCTTCTTTTAAAGACTGGCTGGTAAGTGTATATATTCTAATGCAAAAGTAATGGTGTCTGTATCTTGATGGCAAACACTTTGAAGTTAAGACAAATTCCAATGATGATTGTACCATTGAGAAACTACTCCAAAATTGTTCTCAAACTTTTCTTAAACGTTTGCAATGCAATGTCTTTATTAATACACAATTGTTTTGTTAACAAATGTTTGAAAGAAATGTTTCTCAAGTGGATTATTGATTTTCCAGTAAATTCATTGTCGTTAGGACGTTAATGGAGTTTAAAATGCGTTCTTAGTTTTCCCCGATGTTAATTCCCTTCGTTTTCATGTTAACTTCATCTTTTATGTTTTACTCTACTAAAGTGCTTAGTAACTGGCAAAAAGCTCTACAGATGTAAACATGTGTTGTCATTTTTACTTGCCGTGCCATACAGAAACGAAAGCGATTACTGTACTTTATACTAAAATTATCATCAATTTGTTTGTGTTCAATATGCTGTTCCTAAAAAGGCAAACGAAGATGTAAACATTTAAAAATAGTCTATATAGAATAATTAAATGTTCTTGTTCATTGCAAAAAATCTTTTGTTTAGGATTGCTGGTCTGGTAAATGTGATGGAGATTTTAGAACTGTCTATTTTCATAGAGATTTACCCGAAGGAAATATTGAAATTGCAAAACAATATCAACAATATCCTAACAATTCTGTTGTGTCATCCAAGGTTTGATTTTTAAATTATTAATAATATAATGCGTTATTTCTTTGCCTTGACAACAAAATAATGTATGACAAATTTCTTAGTTTAAGTCTCTATTGTCTACTTATTGAAGGGTTTTTTTAACTTTAGTTTTGTTGTTATGATTTTACTTGATTATTTAAATGATTTTTTATTGGCACAATAATTTTTTTATTGATGCATTTTATTAATAAATTTCCATTTATAGTACACAGTTTGGAACTTTCTACCAAAGAATCTTTTTGAGCAGTTCCGGCGAATAGCAAATTTTTATTTCTTATGTATTAGTATTGTTCAGGTATTCCCTTTTTCTCTCTTCATAATATTTCAAAAAAACTGTAAATGATTATGACATTTTTTTCATTCAACAACAGCTATTTATTGACAGCCCTGTCAGTCCGTTGACAAGCATTTTACCACTTTGTTTTGTTGTTGCTGTCACTGCTTTAAAACAAGTAAGAATTCATACATAGATATTTGGTAGTATTTAGTTTACTTAAAGCTTAATGTAATGTGATGAGAAAATATGCCTTTGATACATGGAGTAATAACAAAACATGATCTATGTAGGTGAAAGAGGCTATAGTAGCTGTGTAATAGGTGAATGTCATTTTATATTTAAGGGCTATGAAGATTGGAAACGTCATCAAGCTGACAAAGAAGTTAATTTTAGAAAATATGAATGTGTTAGTTATGTCAATGGCTCATTAATCAGTGTATTATCAAAAGATATCAAGGTAAGGATGATTGCCAAGATAACTTTATATAATGTAGAGTAGAGTCCATGACTTTCTAAGCTAGTTTTCAAAAAAAATTTATATATATATAAAAAATCATAAGGTTTATATTTTTGTGACCACTTATTTTTCAAAAACGGAGGTTGGTTTAGTATGTGCTCTACTAAAATCCTTCTGATAGGAGGTAAAAAATGTGCATCGGTTATCATCTAATGTAAAGTGGAATCTAGTATAAGATGATAACTTGAAATGTAGAAAATATGGATGGAAGAATTACAGAGCAGTGTGAGAAACAATGAATGTGTGTTGTTGAATGCAAGAATAAAAGGGATTCGAGATTAGGAAATATCTTGAAGGAAAGAGGATGTAATGGAGTCAATAATTAAGAAGAAGTTTGCTCTTAAAGACAAGTAGCAGTGAGAATGAAGCAAATAAAGAGTGCTACAAGCATATTAAGATTCAGACAATAAATATGGCTGAAAAAGAAATAAAAACTATTGCTGACAGGAAGGGGAGAGATCATGTTTAACCATGTTAAGTCACTGGATAGCAAGACTATTGAAGGAGGACTTCATGACAAGAATGGGAGAAGGAATTTGATGGTAGCTTAAAGAAGGTGTTGCAGTGAGCAAGGAGGATAAAAGATATACAAAGTCAATACAAATAGCAGTTATGAATTACTGTGAAACTGCTACAGCAACCATCGTATTTGGTTAGAGTTATCTGAGGTCAAGATTTGTATGGACCACTCTGATTTGTCACTGTTGCATTTTACAATTGTTATGGATGACTAAAGTGTTATGTGCAGAAGACTTTGGTTTGAGTATCAAGATGATAAATTGTGAGAGAACTGTTAGAATTTGAAGAAGATATTTAGCTTAGCAAAGATTGAAATGGAAGATGGTGAACTTTAAGTTGGATTAAATTTTAATTAATAGTTATATTGAGTGGAGTAGAGGTAGGGGTAGTAAACCATATACACGTGGTATGTGTGGATAATTTAGCGTTGTATGTGCAGGTGGTATGTGTGGATAATTTAGGAGTTGTATGTGCACGTGGTATGTGTGGATAACTCAGAGTTGTATGTGCAGGGGGTATGTGTGGATAACTCAGAGATGTATGTGCACGGGGTATGTGTGGATAACTCAGAGTTGTATGTGCACGGGGTATGTGTGGATAACTCAGAGATGTATGTACACGGGGTATGTGTGGATAACTCAGAGATGTATGTGCACGGGGTATGTGTGGATACCTCAGAGTTGTATGTGCACGGGGTATGTGTGGATAACTCAGAGTTTGGTGACTTATTATGCTCGATTCATTGGAGATATATGAAGAGGTTGAAATGCTTTGACTTTGTGTTAAGATCTGGTGCCTTCATGTTGTAGTCATGAGTAAGCTCGAACATTTGAGAAGTTACTCAACTCAAAGTTTATCTCACAGGTTATGTTTCTGCACAATTAATTCATAGGTTGGTGATGTCGTAAAAGTAAAAGCGGACGAAGAATTTCCTTGTGACTTAATTTTGCTTTCGTCCGATGATTTTGAAGGAAAATGTTATGTAACTACCGCTAATTTGGATGGAGAAACAAATTTAAAAGTGATTTTGCTCGATGTATTTTAATCATTTGTTATAAATGAATAGTTATGTTTTACTAAACCTGTGTTCTCTCTGTTTAGATTCATCGTTCTCTTACAGACACAGCTTCTCGTCAAACCTCAGAAAACCTTCATCAATTTAGGTCGCGAATTGAATGTGAACACCCTCTTGCTGACTTATACAAGTAAGTTGTTGTTTGTATTCTGTAACAAAAATCTTACTGTGTAGTACAAAAGTCTTACTGTGCACAGTATTAGTTTATCATCTACGGTCCGATAGTTATGATTATCGATTTGATTTCTCAGCAACTTTATTATATTTTCCTCCAGATTTCATGGTAAAATGATCTTTAAATGCGATGGACAAGAAGTGACAAAGTAAGGCTACAGCTAAGTTTCCTAATTTAAACCTTTACGTTGCTACAGTTACTTCCAATGTGCAATATTTCTTACTCCGGCAAAGTTCTATTTCTATATTTTTGTGTAGTTTCTTTTATAGAGAAACGTTTGATTTTTTATTAGATCATTAAGTTCTCATCAACTCCTATTACGAGGAGCAAGACTCAAGAACACAAATTATGTTTTTGGTGGGTTTGGGTGAGGTTTCATACTGTTATGTTACATTGCTAGCTTACAATATTCTATTGTTGAACATTTCAGGCGTTGCCGTTTACACAGGAATGGATACCAAGGTCTGTAAAGAAATAATCAATGTTTTTTTGTTTTTTTTTCGCTTATTGTTAAAATATTTTTAATAGATGGCGCTAAACCAAAGACAAAACCCACATAAATATTCATCCGTTGAAAGGTAATGAATCTGTTGAAGGTTTTTACAAAGTTTAATTTTTTTACGTTTTTTGAAATTTGCCTTTTCTCTCGTTTTACAGAAAGATGAACACATATTTAATTGTTTTCCTCGTTTTGCTGATCCTTATCAGTACTTTACACACTGTTTTAAATCGTTGGTACCAAGGAACTGATAGTGGTTCTCCTCCATATGTTGAAAAAGCCGACACTGGGGTAATGAATTCACGTGTTATCATTGTATACGAATTTTCTATCGTTAATACGTACATTATTCAATATTCGCGCTTCTAAAGTCTTCCTCACCCTCACGCTCACTGAGTACGACTCAGAAATCGCGTACTTATTGACATTCTGATTTTTTCATCGATGACCATAATCCTTAATCACAATAGAATCCAATAAAATAGAACGGTCATATATGAATATTGCCCCCCCCCCCAATTAGAATGTTTTGTGGTCCCCGATCCCCTAAGATTACCACTCCTAAGTTCACGTGATCTCATATTTCTAGTCAGGTCAATTTGTGGAAGATTTTCTCTCGTTTCTCATCCTCTACAATTACGTCATTCCCATTTCATTATATGTGACTATTGGTGAGTAGAAAATAACAATTATTGGATAAGGTTGAGCTTGATATCAAGAATTATTCAGATCGAGGTTGAATATATTCAATAATTTTAACGGAAACAGTTTGTAAAAGACTTGCAAATCTCGAGTAAGATTCCGCCATTACACTTTTTAGTTTGCAATTTTCACATGAACAATTATTTCATCTACAGATAATTTTCAATATTTTGTCGGTGGCAACACATTGAGATTTATCTGTAGGCTCGTAGCCAATAACAATCGAGATTTCACCCACATTGTACAATAATTAGGTTATTTGCTTTGTTGCCAATTGTAACTTTTTTTTTTACTTTGTTCGTAGAACTTCAAAAGTTCATTGGTGCATTATTTTTTAACTGGGATATTGAAATGTACAATCCTGTAAGTAGACTTTTTACTTTACATACATTAATGTAATTGTGTAATATTATATGAAAATTTTTGTTTTAGAATGTTTGATGTTTGTTTTATTGCAGAATTATTAAGGTAATTTTTCGTTTGTTCTTATAATATTGAATTAATCGGTTTTATTTTAGGATAGCGATGAGCCAGCTAAAGCAAATACGTCTGATCTCAATGAAGAATTAGGACAAGTATGAAACATTGAAGTACACAATGAAACACAAGACAGGGAGGGAGGTTGTGTTCATACAAAAGTTATATTTAATGCTTAGATTCAATATGTCTTCACTGATAAGACCGGAACCTTAACAGAAAATGATATGCAGTTTCGAATGTGTTCAATAAATGGTACAAAATACGAGGTAAACTTTCATTATTATTATTTTTTGTATCTTGACGTTTGCATGATTAGTGTGTTCTAATTTTTTAACTAAAACTCTTATTGCAGGAAGTTGGCGAATTTCTCTGTGAAGACGGTTTAATATCAAAAACTTTCAAACATTCTGATTTCACCGTAAGCTTTTCATCTTTAGCAAATCTTTTCTCTCCTGATGTTGTGCAGTAATCGTAATTTTTTTTAGTCTAAAATGAGCGAATTTTTTCTTGCCCTGGCACTTTGTCATACAGTACATGCGACCAAGGAAAAGAACAAAAATGCTTTATCTCCTTATTTATACCAGGTTGATGTATATGTTACATTACTTTACAAAGCGTCTAATATTTTATGTAATGAAAATTTAATTATGATTTATCATCGTACAACATAAGACGTTAACTGTCTATTTAAAGTTTAATTAATTCATATGAATATATCTTTCTTTTTATGGTAGGCTTCATCTCCCGATGAAAAAGCGTTCGTTGAATGCGCGCAGAAGTATATTTTTCTTTGTCGTATTTACTGATTTAAATAATGAAGGTTTGACATTTTGTTACTATTTAGATATGGTTTCACATTTCAAGGAATGTCTGGCGAGAATATGTTGGTAAAGATTGGTGATAATTTAAAAAGGTTTAAATAAACATTACGTAATATTGTTTAATTTGTTCATGTATGTAATAAAATAAAATGTTTTTGTGTACGTAAAATTTATTTGATTATAAACTTGTCTTTGCTGAATTGGTATACTTTTACTGAATTATTGTATTGATTTTTCTGTTCAGATATCAATTACTTCATGTTTTGGAGTTTGATTCAATTCGGAAACGAATGAGTGTTATCGTGAGGGATTGTGACGGTATATTTTGATTTTTACTTTTTTTAATTTTTGCATCTTAAAATTTATATATATTGTTGTATGATGTTATGTGACATACGTTGTGTTCTATTTTTCATTGTTTTTTCTGTGTGTTGACCATACTTTTCTGTGTGTTGACCATACTTTTCTGTGTGTTGACCATACTTTTCTGTAGGCACCATCATAATGTTCTGTAAAGGCGCTGAAACAGCAATTTTAGAAAAAACTGTCGACGGACCGTCCGAACAAACACTTTCTCATATCAATAGTTTTGCTGAGGTAGATTTTGTTTGAAAATGAAATTTTGTTTATTTCTAGTGATGTCTTTGTAGATTTCATTATTTTTAAATTGACTTACCTATTTTTAGACTGGCTTACGTACTTTGGCCATTGCGAGGAGAGTCATTTTAGAAAGTGAATATGAAGAAGTTAATGCAAAGGTTCTTTCGTTCATTGTTTCGTACGTGAGGTTTTCGAGTTTGGGAAAAATTGAATTTTTGTTTCAGCTTAAAAATGCAAGTGAAGCAATCAATGAAAGAGACGAACAGGTCTGCCATTTCTCCAAAAATGATGAGTCTTGATAATTGGTTTTCTGACACACTGAACCTAGTGGTATTTCTAGATTACCACTAACAGTTAAACAGACTTTCTTACATAACATCTTTTACTTAAGCTGGCGATAGTGTATGACGAAGTAGAATCACGTCTTACGTTGTTAGGAGCGACTGGAGTCGAGGATAGGTAAGAACAATTACTTGCATTTGACTTAAAGATTTCTTTAAAGATTTAAAGATTTATTTAAAGATTTACTTAAAGATTTAAAGAGTTATATGCAGATCAAATTTTTATCATGCCGTTGTGTCGACAAATTAAAATTGAAAGATTTTTAATCCGATCTGATTAATAGTATGGCAGTAGGCCATATTGATGACTTTTAGCTTGATTAGAATTTCCAGTGAACTTTATTCTCCTTCATCTAGCATTCGTGGAGCAATATTTTGTAAGTTTTTTTTTCTTATTTAGACTTCAAGATAAAGTGAAAGAAACGATTGTAGCTCTCCGCGATGGAGGAATGAAAGTATAAGTTACATGAATATCAAATATTGTCCATGACAAAAATTTATTTTTTTCAATAAGTTTGTTCAATATTCAGGTATGGATATTGACGGGAGACCAACAGGAAACAGCTGTGAACATTAGTCACTCATGTGGACATGTTCAGGTAACGACTAATGATACTATGTTAACATTACTACATTATCTACTCCTGCTGTTCACGTGTTCAGGTCAATGTTTATTTACATTATTCACTCATGTTCACATCTTCTGATAATGAATTGTTAATATTAGTCACTCATGTTCACATGTTCAGGTCATGATACGTTGACATTTGTCACTCATGTTCACATGTTCAGGTCATGATACGTTGACATTGGTCACTCATGTTCGCATGTTCACATGTTCACCAAATTTCTTTTGAATTAGTCTGGAATGGAAGTATTGGAGATTGTGAAAAAGGATTCAGTCGATGCTGTAGAGCAGTCCTTGATTACATATAACGAAAGGTATTTATCGAGGAACAATTAATTGTGCTTTAATCAATATCGTAGTAGTCACTACTGACATTCAGTTTACTTTATTGCTTATAGATTAGTTCAAAATCCTGACAAGAATTTTGCTTTAGTTATTGATGGATCTAGCTTACGTCACGCCTTGGATGGTAATAAAGGTTAGTTTAAGGATAATCAGTTGTAGTCATTAACTTTGAATGCACACGTTTGTGAATATGCAGTTTTCAACATGTTTTTAACCTTTTACTTCATCTGACATTTGCATTACTTAAGAACGAAGTTTTTTATTTTTTTGCAATATTATTTTTTTAGATCTTTTTGTGTCTGTCAGTCAATACTGCGTTGCTGTACTGTGCTGTAGAATGTCTCCTTTACAGAAAGCTCAGGTATCGTCATTTCTAAATGTTCTTGAATATTTTCTAAAGGCTATGACAGAGAAATAATTCGTCAACGAAAAATTTTAAAATCATGATCATTGTTTGAAATATGTTTATATTAGTGCATGTCCAGTTTTTTTTCCAAACTTTGTAAAAAAAACAATAAAGATGAGTGTAAATTTGTGTTTTAGGTTGTTAAATTAATAAAACATTCAAAAGAAAAGCCAATAACGTTAGCTATTGGTGATGGTGCCAATGACTGTAGTATGATACAAGAGGCTCATGTAGGTATTGGAGTAATGGGGAAAGAAGGAAGGCAAGCAGTTAGAACAAGTGATTATGCCATATCAAGATTCAAATATCTACGTCGTGTTTTACTTGTTCATGGTCATCTCTATTATATCCGTCTTGCTATAGTTGTACAGTATTTTTTTTATAAGGTATGAAATTTTATCATCATCACATATGATAGCAAAAAATGTCCCTAGTTTATTTTGATAATTTTTTCTTTTTCAACAGAATGTTTTCTTTACCATTCCTCAGTATTTCTACGCATTCTTTAACGCTTATTCTCAACAGGTAAACTAGGATTGATTTTAACATCCATCTTTTGTAGATAATATCTCAACGTTTATATGTAAGTACTATAAAATATTCACCATATGATACTATATAAATTTATCTATGCGTTATATTTTAGACTCTATATCAAAGTGTTTACCTAACATCATTTAACATTTGTTGGACCTCGTTACCCATTCTTATATATGGAATATTTGAGCAACATTTACGTACTAGTACTCTTGAGTTTCAACCTGTTCTTTACAGGTAAGTTACACATGATGTTTCTTTACATTTGGTATAAAGATGAAAAGTATTTTGTTTCTATTTTCTTTGTTGTATTTTATACGAATATCACCATAAATACCTATGTACGACGTACTTTAAAGATTGATAAATAATGTCCCTCCTATAGAGATATTTCTGCTAACAAATGTCTGTCTTGGCTTCACTTTACATTTTGGATGTTATCAGGTGTGATGCATTTGTTTCAGTGGAATTCCACCTTTAAATTGTTCATTTTTTTTTCTTTATAAAGTGGACATGTATACGTAATTTGTCCACTCGATACAAGAAAGAATGTTTGCAACAAAGTAGGAATTTCATTCAAGATTGCCGTACGTGTAGGGTTTAGTAAAAAGATTGTATGTGAAGAAAATGAATCTTACTCTAGCTGGCTTAAGCATGCTTTAAAAACACTGTAATGCATGATAACATAAATTTGAACAAACTATTGCAGCATCGTGGCATGGTTTGGTTGTTTTCTTTGGCTCGTATTTTTTGTTTGGTGAAGGAATGATTAACGACAAAGTAAGTTGATCTTATATAACTATATACGTATATGTGCGTTTTAACTTCTTGGTTGAGTTGAGCCTCAATTAAACTTTGTGGTTTAGTTATGATTTATATTTTATTGAATGATATCTATCAGTTGTTGAAGAACTTTATAAATTATGCAGTAGTATTGTAGGTTGTTGAAGTACTTTATAAATTATGGAGTAGTATTGTAGGTTGTTGAAGAACTTTATAAATTATGGAGGTGTTTATTATTAAATGGTACATAATAGCTATTGAAATTATTTGGAGACCATCGAGGTTTACGAAAAGATAATACTGTTCCTTGAAACTATTCATTCATTGTTGATATTCACTAACGATTACTTTAGTGATCGTGAACATCAATGCATTGTGTAGAAAACGTTTTTTAACATTGTTTTGAATTCAATCACTCAATTTGTGATACTGAAATCATTTGAATTTATAACTTGTTTTTATTTAGGCATTTGGAAATTGGTCTCTTGGTCAGTTTGTTTACACTGTTGTTGTAATCATTTGTAATCTCAAGGTAAACATACCTAAGCGTCACGTGATTTTGACCTTAATTAATTGATAAATTTTTGTATTGTGTTAAGTTATGTGTTCGCTAATACATTCAACATCTACAGTATAATTATTTTTATAATTATTTTTATAATTATTTTTATAATTATCATTTATTATAATCTATTATCATCAGGTATGACGTTTTTATTGGTATTCGGTTGGTCTATTTTTATTTAGCTTGGTCTTTTCTCCTGTTATTGGACATTTCTGAATCATATTGTCATCTGGGGATCAATTATTTCTTATATTTTATTTGCTGTTGTAGCTTCATGCAGTTTATGGTAAATTACACAAACTTTCTAGCATTCTTTGTCTTAATTCATGATCTTCTCACACACATCGCAATTAGAGAAAATGTTTTTAGCATGTGTACGAAATCATTTTTCTCGGGTACACACTTGATAAACTATTATAACAAACTATAATTTTTATTAAAACATTAGAAATATTTTTATTCTATACCATTGAAAATTAATTTAGAATATAAGTTCAATTTTAGTAAAAGTAAAGTGCACTTTAATATTGCAGAACTGTAATTTTGTTAATTATAGTTTGTTCATTTTTTATAGGGACACTTTTCAGTTTGATAACAAAACATATGACTTATACTGGATAATGGAACAATTACTTTCTGAGGCTTCAATATGGTTTGGCTTTTTAGTGATTACAGCGGCTGCATTATTGCCAGATATGGCATTTACTACGCTAACCAGATATTGTTATCGTACAAAGACACAGGTTGCCCAGGTATGCAATAAGTTTGCTTTTGCGAGGTTTGAAAATCTTCCTGTTTGAAATTAAAAACTGTTGCGTACGCTCACACCGCTTTGGTCACGTGTTTTGGTCACGTGTTTTGCTGGTAAATTTATGTAAAATTTTAGAATATTACATGTTCGGGACGTTTTGTAATGATGAATTCAATTTTTACATTGATTATAAACACATTCAGTTTAAGCTCTATGCATAAGATTTAAATCTTACGTTTTTACAGACGAGATTTTTGCAAATCTCACCATCATATTCACTAAAATCGTAATAAGACAAAACATATTAAAGAAAAATTTGGTTAAATTAAATGTGTGGTAGTAACATTGAATTTTAATAATATTAATGATAGTTAAGAATCACATTAATGTCGTTTACATTATAAATATTTTTTGTTCAAAGATTAATATTCTCATATTAACCGTTTTATTACTTAGCTACTTTGTACTTATCTGTGTTTAGTTTGTAGAAAATTCATTTGTTGACTTGTTTTGGTTTCTAACGTAATACTGCATGCTGTATATAGGAATCATTTAAATCGGGAATTGGGAAGATTTTACACCATAGTAAAGTTTGGAAATCAAATGTACGTAATCCTATGTTTAATTCTGGAAACATCGAAGTTCAGGATTTTAAATATAGTCAAACTGAGATTGTCGAAAATGAAGAATATAATCAACAAACGAGTAACTGTTAGAGCCTAATTTGTACATAAAAAAACAGTCCAAAATTTCTCAGGTTGAGCAATCAACGATGTTTACAGAATGGTTTCATCCATTTACTGTTGTGAAATTGTTCATTAGAAATAAATGTTGCAGGAATTTTAGTGGTCTTCACTTTCTATCTTTACTTAGAAAGAGGCATTTTTTATTCTTGGAACAAATAAAGTTTTGTTTCATTGTAACTAATAAACGTAATTTTAAACATGTAGCTAATCCTTAATAATCGAGGTTTATTTCAAACATAAAACTTTTTATGTTTCAAACACATTTAAAAATAGATGATCAATTTTAGCTCCACCTCACATATTGATACGGGCCATGAAATTTTTTTAAAAGATTTCTTAAAACTATGAAATACTTTCTGTATTTAACATCAATGTTGACGTGCTTGCGTTAGAAACTATATTTCATGAGGTTTTTGTGTTATATAAATTAAACATTTTATCGTCAGTCGTTTTCTAATTTACATATCTTAAAATCATATTTTATTACGTTTTTACGCCACAAAGCTGCTTGCATATTTTTCATTGTTATGAAAATTGATCACCTACATTATACATAAAGAAAGTTAGTTAGATTTTGACGATAATCAACGTAATGAATACGTAAAATATTAGAAAATGACTAAACCTAAATTATCAAATTTACATACCACAAAAACCGAAATAATTCCTGATGTAAGCACGCAAACAACTTGCTGTTAAAAAATGAAATCCGTTGCAGTTTTATGAGATATGTAATTAAAACAAGAAAAAAAATTTATTTCATGTATATTTTCATGTGTTTGGTATATAAAAAGACTGACGTCTGAAAGACCTTTTTCGTTATCTATAACATACATGCTTAATGTTCAAGTCCACTGGGCAAACATGATAAAACTCGTATTTTGTAAGTTAAAATCATTAAAATAATTTACACCTCTTATAACTTAATAAAATTGAATGTTATTTACCAGTTGTCTTTATTTATTTTAGGCATATGTATGTTTGCAAAATACCGAATGTTTTTTTTATTCCCACTTAGCATGGAATCATTTATTCTTAAAACGATACTCTATGACATGCATTTAAAAACTCTCAACTCTATGAAAACTCTCAACTGTTGACTGAACAAAGAATTTTTGATACTTAGTAAATCATTTTAATAATATATTATTTTGGTAGCTAGTAAATATTTAAAATTCTTTATTAGTCATAGGAAAAACTGGATTTTCTTAATCTTGTACTCAACTTTACTTCTTCATAACTATTGTTTATAGATACTCAAATTTATGTTAAAACCAGATTTCTTATATTCACTGCTAAAATATTTTCTTTTCCAGTTGTTAGAGAGAAATCCTAAATCAACGAAACTGTTACAAAAACGTCGTTTGAGTGATATAGTGAGATTAAAAAAGCATAATACAGGTTATGGTAGCATAGCTCCTTCTTCTTCATCTGTTATTTTGGTTGATCTCTCTGATGAAGATGTAGATTTTCAAAAAGCAGTTTAGGTTATTTATTACAACAGTAGAAGTTCGAGATTTGATTTTACTTCAAAACTGGCAATATGTAGGCTTACCAATATTTTATCTGAACTGGACACATCTCACATGTAAAATATTAAACATTGCTAAAATGATCATGTTATTTGTTTTCTTTCGTTTTCTGCTACTAATCACGAAATCTCATTAAAAACAACCACTAATATTGTTGCTTTTACACAATCGATTTGGTCGCCTTTATTTCTAAACGTCAGTTTTACAATTTTCAAACATTATTTATTATCATCATATAGTTCTATTTCTTAAGTTATCATCGTAGTTTGATTATCATTAATTACATGTCAGATATGAGTTTATTTTACATGGACTAAATTGTCTTCATTACCGTCATCAAATGAACTCATGGAGTTTTGTTGTCTTCTAAAGCACTTGTCGAAGCATAAACTTCTACCATAAAAACAATCAGAGCAAACGATCCTTTGACTTGCGTCGCCACATGACAAGAAACAATTGTGCCACATTGCTACACATTTGCAGGTGCCGGCTGCAACGCCAGCTCCCATCGTTAACAGTACAACTGTTATAAAACAGACTTGCATGTTTTTGACGAGCATTCTTCCTAATTGATTCTAAAAATTTACCCAAAAATTCTAAATTACGCGTGGTTGAAATCATTTCAAACATTTTCCCTCATGCATCAAAGATGATAAATGAACTCTGTATTCATCATAACAAATATTTATAAATCAACACATGAAGGACGAGACATGTTGATGTGTACATGAATATATTGACTTGAGCTTTTAGTATTTAGTTGAGTTTTTAAGATACTGGACATATTCATACATAGCATTCAATATTTCTTTTATAAATTTGTGATACTGTGTATAGTGAGTGCTTACATAACTGATATATACTTACATCTTTTCTATATAATTAAAACGTGCGCCTTTTCTTGTGATTGAATGTTCTACCTTCCAACGGACAATTAATGACTTACACTCACGTCATTTATATAACAAGAATAATTACTGTCCTGTCCAGATGTGTGTAAAATCCTTATAAATATTTCAATGTTTTATCTTTTTGTTCTTTTACCTTTTATCATCTTTATCGCTAAAATTTCAATGATTTGATGTGATAATACTCTTATTGTTTTAATAAGTTCTATTATAACTGTATTTTATGCTTCCATATTGAGTTTGTCTTTTTTGAGAAAACTGAACGCTTTCAGGTGGCTTAATCATTTGCAATGTGTATTTCCTTTTCAATATTTAACGATATTATCGGTAAAAAATTTCCTCAATGGGATGAAAGCGACATTCATTATTATCTGACATAGACAGTTTTGAATTTTTTTAATTTTCTGTATCATGCAGAGTCGTTTTAAAAACTTTACACTTACGGCATAGCCGTAATTATTTACAGTGTGTATTTCTTTTCAATATTTAACGATTTTGCCTGTATAAAAATTATGTCAATGAGATAAAGCGACATTGATAGTTGTATTGAGATAAGCAATTTTGAAATTTTAATTTTCTTGTGTGTTGAACGATTGAATATCGACAGTCTTTAGCTACAAGTGGTTTTGCACGCCAAATTTTTAACATTTTTTTGGCAATAGCTACATACTATTTTACAGCTTTTAAATTTCTATTTTATCGTGATAGGAAGGATTAAAACTCGACAGTTATTTAAACTTTATAGCTACTTTGAAAAATAACATCGAACAAATAATGAAATATCGTTGAAATTTTTTTTCCACAACTTTACCAATGTGGCGATAATTTTTCTTTGTTAATGATGTATATGTTTAACCATCTGTCCTTTATTAGAACGTCATTGTTCCAGTCGATGACGTTGTTTTAAATGTTATTGTCATGTAAGCCATTTAAGCCCACGGCCAATGATGTTTATAGTCATATAAATGTTATTGTCATACGTAATGTCATATACTAAAATTAGCACGCTGTTAAACTTCCATAGTCGTCAGCAATCAACTTCTGCACAAAAACATCAATAAAATATAATTTCCATTCTCGGCACAAGAGACATCTCTATAAGGATCACAATTGCAGGCGTTGAAAACCACAAAAATCTCTGTGGTTTTCTACTACTTAAGCATAAAATCGTCTGACTAAAAGTAAAAGTTTAACAGTTTACATTATGTGAACTAACCGGTTTCTGATTATTAAATAGAAATTTCGTCCGTTTTACAAGCGTCACGTTAATAGGATGTGTGTAAAAAGTTTTGCTCAAAACCTGACTAACAGTTAATGTGAATTGTTTTCATTTATGTAGCATTGTTTTTGTTTAATAGATGTGAGGAACTTGTGTTGTAAAATATTTTTTTTGGAGACGATAACGAGTAGCTATATGGCTAGCTCCTTATGTAAACTTATTTCTCGTGATGGGTAAAAAATCATCTAAAAAAGGATTAGTTTTTTTTTCAAAAGCATATAAGAAAATTAAAAGTGAGGAAAAACACAACTTTTTGACAAAAGGACAAAGTTGAAGACATGCAAATTGAAAAGCTGAAAAAAACGAGTTTTTTCTTGAACCTCTTAAAATTATCATCTCTTGATGAGTTCATTTTCACCCATCTGTCATAACCTGTAACACCTTATTAAAATAATTACCACTATCAGTGACAAACTCACTTTCTAAAATTCATCAGATGATTTTGCAAGAAAATAAAGTTGTTATTGAACATTTTTTGATCACAAAGACAATCTAACAGCAATGTCCAGGTAATTTACTTTGTCTCTTTAGTGGAAATATTCTGTGCTGAAGAATGCTACATATTTACGGATGGTTTTTATGTTATCATTCTGAAGATAAAAACCAAACAAAATAAATTATTCGTTAAACAGTAATTAAACACATTTACTTGGTAAAGTGATGTGCCGTGTACAATAAACAGCTACAAACTAAACATTTCCATTCACAATGTTTCATATAAGGTAAAGAAGTTCGATTCTACAATTGATACGTTTAGGTTTATATTGTTATAATTTTTAACACGTATAATGAACGATTCATCGCTGGAAATAACGCTTGTAATAGCTTATGAAAAATTTAATTTTCTCCTTGATAAATAAGGAAACTCTTATTTTCCATTTGAGAACTCCCGGACTTACTGCATGAGCAATATTCTTTAGGGATGAGTGTAAATGGAGATGTTGAAGTGCCACAAAATCGACAAAATCCAACTTTGCTGCAACATGGATGACATTTGAAACAAACGATGCATGTTTCTGTCAACAGAAAAAATATGAACAATTTCAACTGTCGTGAATTAATTTTGTTGATTAGTTGCTGATTTTGCTTTTAAATAGTTATATCTGAAATCACCTGCCCTTACTTTGCAAGCTTCTGTACGTGTTGTACACATTGTATCCTCGCATTTGCGATCTTTAAAACTTCTCCGTCGCTTTGTTGAGTGATCATAAAAGTACTTCAAGTACAGTATGGTCAATTAAGCTTCTCAAGTGACCCTCATTAAACTGTCAGAAATAAACTCAAATTAGTGATGATATTCACCCAGTTTGCTTTCATGATGCTTAAATTATTCAAATTACATGCAAGATGCAACAAAGCAGCATGTTTCGTTTCATACATTATCCCATTTATTTTAAACTTTGCAGTCTTTGTTCGTTAGCTTGGTTTCTTTTAAAACATTTAATTTCATGCTCAACAAAACTTTTCAAAGCAGTATTCACCTGAAGTCCTAGGTAGATATGTGAAATAAAGGCTGTCGACTGTCATTCTCTTATGATTTCTAATTACCCATGGTTTTATTAGAATTTTTGTTATTTATTCCACTTTTCAAACCTAAAATATACGTTATACCACTGGTGTAAAAAAATTTCGTTTTTTGCTCTACGAAACAAGATGTTTTCATATGTTTGTAACGTTGTTCATAGTCATTCGTCGGTAAAAGAACTAAGGACATGTTGACTTTCATTAAACTCTTTTTTATACACGAATACTTTGATCATTTGGACATAACAAATTATTGTGAGAAAAGGAAACTTCCGCTGAGACCATTTCAAGAAGGTCTAAAGTTTTGTGCCTTGCATGATCGCATTAATCGACTTTGATCATATCGATTATATCGATGAGATCATGCAGATGTGATACTTTATGTAAAATTTGTAACAGAGATGTAGTGAGATTGAAAGTGGTGGTAGCAGTCACGTGGTTATCTCTCTTGTAAAGAAGAGATTTTACAGTTTATCAGTTTTCACGTGGAAATGTCTCGTCGTAAAAGCAACCAACTGCCAAATAACTTACCCCAACTTCAAAATGTTATCAAACGAGATCCTTTATCTTACAAAGATGAGGTAGATAAAAATTCATCAACTTTTTCTACTTGCTTAATTCGTTAAAAAATAATGTTGAATTTTCAACAAACATGAACTGCTTTCGTCTGATCAGTATCATAATTTATATAGATAGTATTTATTATTTACATTGTTATTGTCGCTTCAAAACACTCTCGACATTTATAGTCAATTTCGCATAACTCAATTTACCAAGCTGTTTGAACATTATTGAACATTCATCTTGTAAAAAGGCTTGATGAGGATTTTAGTTTGAAAACGTTTGTCAATCGTAGAATAATGCAATTATTATATAAAATTCTTTTATAGTTTCTACAACAATATCGCCATTATCAATCAAACCTCGCAATCTTCAAGATAAATCCATTGCTTTCCAACCAAGTTTTTGAAGATCTTGCTATGTTTTTGAGTCAAGTATGCAATAGATCATGTAGCATGAAGTAGTGAAATATATTTTGATATTATTATTTATGAAACATTTCACAAGGTTTCACATTGTTATACAAATGAACTTGAAAAATTTCCACAAGAAATAATTGATATTTTAACAAGTCATTACATGGTTATGAATCCAGATGTACGGATGGTGAGTCGATATTGATAATTTCAAGAACTGATTTATTGTCATATCCTTTTGAAATTTTTCATGTATGATTTATGTTTTAGACATTGTGTAGGAGTTTGATCTTACTTCGTAACAAAGGATTACTCTCACCAACAAGGTTACACGAATTTTTAACTTGAATATTCTGTAGCACAATCATAGACTACTATTGCTTCTAATTATCAAGCCAATTATCAATGACTACATTTTTAGTTTGTTAGAACTCTTCTTTCTGTTATTTCGTTGCAATGACAAACTTCTCAGAAAGGTATTGATTGCTGTTTTATTATCAGAAAATGTTCCGTCTATGCTCCTTGATCAGACAACAATTTGATGAAATGTAAAATAAAACAATCCATTAATAAAACATCTTATAAGCCCATATTTAACCAAAACATTACAGTTAAAATTGTGATGGTGTAACTCAAATTTGATTTTACAAGATGCCTTTTTTAGATGATGTTTTATTTTATATTTTGATCAATGCTTTTTGCATAGTTTGTGAAATTATTGTGTTTGTATTTATTAGACTCTGTATACTCACATTGTCAAAGATATTCGAAACATAAATGCAAAGCACAAGAACAACAAAGTAAATAGTGTGAGTAAATCATTACATTTATTGAATTGGAATTATAAGGACTTGACATTAAATATCTAGTTCATTCATGATATCCATATTATATGGAAGAACTGTAACTAAAGTAATATTGACAGATGACTTCTTGGAGTGGAGTTTATAATGACACAAGTTTTAAACACAAGATTTAAATTGGTTTTATGTAAATGCAAAGAACTATCTATGTATGTTATTTAATGTTTTAGACTCTTCAAAATTTCATGTATACAATTTTGAATGACAGTCATGCTCTAGCAGCGAAAAAGTCACTTGATGTTATGATTGAATTGTACCAAAAAAACATCTGGAGAGACGTAAAGACAGTCAATGTCATTTCAACAGCCTGTTTTTCACATATTACCAAGGTACATACTGAGTTACAAACCATAAACAACTTTCTACATTAGTGTATACAACAGACTTGTTTATCTATTTATTAAATTGTAATTGATAAAGTGTCAAAGTTAAGATTTTTTGAAATGTGAAATGAGATAATCCTTATGTATCTTTAGATCTTTATCAATGATTACATATGGTGTATATAAGATTATTTTTAACATTTATGATATTTTCACTTTATTTATCATTTATCTTTCTGTTGGCATTTCTTTCATATTAACTTAGATTTCAGTCACGGCTTTAAAGTTTCTACTTGAAAAAAATCAGAATGATGACTCGGAAAGTGAAAGTGAGGTAAGTTTCGGTTCTTTCATATTTTCTGTTCAAATTATCGGTATTTGTGTCATGGTTCACAAATCATGTTAATATCAAGGTGCATCCCATTTTCTCTTATGCTGCAGGATGACAAGCCAACAGAAAAGCAACTCTTACTGGCCAATCGAGTCCGCAAGAAAACAAGAAAAAGTGAAGCTAAGTTGAAAATCGCCTTGAAAAATATGAATGTAAGAGGTTAACATCAATTTTATTGAAGTTTTTTTCTTGAAAATATTGTAAGAGATATTAAATACCACCTAGGATTTTTGTATTTAAAAAATTACATTATTATTCTGTTAAGTAAAATAACTTATCATATAATTAAAATCTCTCAATGTTTAAATGACAAAAAAACACTGAAACATTCACTCTTTATCTACCAGTTATTGTCATTGTGGATGTTCTGTTATAGCGATATTTTTTTACTGTAGAAACAAAAAAAGAAGCATTCAAAATGCACAACATTTTCTGCATTGTATCTTATTAACGATCCACAAGGTGAATTAAAATGAATACAGTTGCGAAAAATATTGTTTTTTAATTTGTTGGTTATGTGCCAGGGTTTTGTGAAAGACTCTTCAAAAAACTGGGAAATTCCACTGAAAGATTTGAAGTTCGTGTTTTGATGATGAATGTTTTGGCTTGTTTGATCGGTGTTCACCAGGTTTGTCATACGTCATTATCACGTGGTTAGTCATACATCACCATCATCAAGTTTGTCATACGTCATTATCACGTGGTTAGTCATACATCACCATCACCAAGTTTGTCATACGTCATTATCACGTGGTTAGTCATACATCACCATCACCAAGTTTGTCATACGTCATTATCACGTGGTTAGTTATACATCACCATCACCAGGTTTGTCATACGTCATTATCACGTGGTTAGTCATACATCACCATCACCAAGTTTGTCATACGTCATCACGTGGTTAGTCATACATCACCATCACCAAGTTTGTCATACGTCATTATCACGTGGTTAGTCATACATCACCATCCCCAGGTTTGTCATACGTCACTATCACGTGGTTAGTCATACATCACCATCACCAAGTTTGTCATACGTCATTATCACGTGGTTAGTCATACATCACCATCACCAAGTTTGTCATACGTCATCACGTGGTTAGTCATACATCACCATCACCAAGTTTGTCATACGTCATTATCACGTGGTTAGTCATACATCACCATCACCAGGTTTGTCATACGTCACTATCACGTGGTTAGTCATACATCACCATCACCAAGTTTGTCATACGTCATAATCACGTGGTTAGTTATACATCACCATCACCAAGTTTGTCATACGTCTTTATCACGTGGTTAGTCATACATCACCATCACCAAGTTTGTCATACGTCATTATCATGTGGTTAGTCATACATCACCATCACCAAGTTTGTCATACGTCATTATCACGTGGTTAGTCATACATCACCATCACCAAGTTTGTCATACGTCATTATCATGTGGTTAGTCATACATCACCATCACCAAGTTTGTCATACGTCATTATCACGTGGTTAGTTATACATCACCATCACCAGGTTTGTCATACGTCATTATCACGTGGTTAGTCATACATCACCATCACCAAGTTTGTCATACGTCATCACGTGGTTAGTCATACATCACCATCACCAAGTTTGTCATACGTCATAATCACGTGGTTAGTCATACATCACCATCACCAGGTTTGTCATACGTCATTATCACGTGGTTAGTCATACATCACCATCACCAAGTTTGTCATACGTCATTATCACGTGGTTAGTCATACATCACCATCACCAGGTTTGTCATACGTCCCTATCACGTGGTTAGTCATACATCACCATCACCAGGTTTGTCGTACGTCACTATCACGTGGTTAGTCATTAATCACCGTCACTAAGTTTGTCATACGTCACTATCACGTGGTTAGTCATTAATCACCGTCACTAAGTTTGTCATACGTCATTATCACGTGGTTAGTCATACATCACCGTCACTAAGTTTGTCATACGTCACTATCACGTGGTTAGTCATACATCACCATCACCAGGTTTGTCATACGTCATTATCACGTGGTTAGTCATACATCACCATCACTAAGTTTGTCATACGTCACTATCACGTGGTTAGTCATACATCACCATCACTAAGTTTGTCATACGTCACTATCACGTGGTTAGTCATACATCACCATCACTAAGTTTGTCATACGTCATTATCACGTGGTTAGTCATACATCACCATCACTAAGTTTGTCATACGTCACTATCACGTGGTTAGTCATACATCACCATCACCAAGTTTGTCATACGTCATTATCACGTGGTTAGTCATACATCACCATCACCAGGTTTGTCATACGTCATTATCACGTGGTTAGTCATACATCACCATCATACAGTAACAATCCTGTTTCTCTATTGGAATTTTCATTCATGTATTCTTTTGTAGCTGTTTTTGTTTAGTTTTTATCCGTTTCTTCAAAAATATTTGCAGCCTCATCAGAAAGGTTGGTCAGTATTTGTGAAAAGGACATTTTTTATTTTAATGTCTGCTTTTTTAATAAAGATTTCTTTAAAAAATTTTATTTTGCAGAAGTAACCAGTATGTTGACATTTTATGCTCAGGCTTGCCATGAATTAGTACCATCTGAGGTAAGCTTTATCTGTATATTTAAAGAATCTTAAACTATCATCATAAGAGAAAATGCAAGTTTATCACAGTTGCTTAAACTGGAATTTATCTTCAATGTTTCAGTTTGAAATGCTTTCTTATTTATGTGTTATGTTGCCACTATGTATATATTTTATACATTGTTTGTTTTTGTCATAAATTTTGTAATATTAGTTTAAATTTTGTTTTATTCTTTTTCTCATTTTTAGATTGTTGAGCCTGGCTTGAAAGCGATTGTCAATAATTTTGTTACAGAAAGAAATTCAAATGAAGTAATTGCTGTTGGGTAAAAGTGAATAATTTTTTGTAACATTTACAATGTCTGGATTTAAGAATGAATTCATCGTTGAAATATTTTCATCTTCAAAACGTTTCAATATTTTATGTTTGATGTTGAAGCTTTCACGATGAATCGAAATTCTATTTAGGTACCAAGGCAATATATTTATCCCATCAAAATTTTGTGTCGTTGCTACAGATATTTATTTTAAAAAAAATATCATCTTGATGTATCATAAAGTCGTATGCAGCAAGCTGTTGAAAGTTATTTTATATTCTTACTGAGAGGCTGCAGCTTTTGCCTGGATGACGTGGATTCAACAAGAAATGTTGGGATTAAAAATGAAAACATTTGATTATTTAGTATTAATGCTGTGAAGGAGGTGTGCATCCGCTGTCCACTAGTAATGACTGAACAACTACTACGAGATCTGGCTGCGTACAAGAAATCAAAAAACAAAAGTAAGCAACTTATCGTTCATGCGTTTATTAAAATTGATGTGTCAGATGCAACGATGTTTTTTCACTTTTACTCGAAATCAAATGAATATTGCATTTGACTGATTTCTGTAACTTACAGTTTTCTTCTATTTATTATTGTATTCTTTTATCGATTGTAGTCGCCACACTTTCTTCAATAATGTATTTACGACCTTTCATTGCAATTATCAGGTGTTTTTAATGCATCAAGATCGCTTATACAACAATTCCGCCTCCTCAATCCCAGTCTCCTTCATGAGAAAGACAGGGTAAGTTTTATGTTTCGTTCATGTAGATACAATTCCCTGTCATTTATAATTCTTGTTTAATTAAATGTTTCGAAGGGTAAGATGACTGTTCAAGAGAGAAATGTTCGTCCTAACGAATACGGAGAAATGTCGTCAAAAAATTATGTACCCGGAGCTGAAGTAAGTATATAGTTTAGAACAATCTTATTTTTATTGGTGAGGTTTTTCTGGTCTTATAAGTTATAGACCTCTCTAGAGGCCAGTGAAACTGGAGCGATAATATGTTGAAATGTTATTCAGTATATTACACCAGCTAACCACACTACCATATATAGCAATAATATAGAATGGTAGGTCAGAATGCTACACATGTTTACACCACACTACCATATATAGCAATAATATAGAATGGTAGGTCAGAATGCTACACATGTTTACACCACAATACCATATATAGCAACAATATAGAATGGTAGGTCAGAATGCTACACATGTTTACACCACACTACCATTCCAGTAGCATTTAAACATGTTTGTGGATGTTCATCGTCCAGGTTAGTAGCGTTCTGAAAAGAACTGTTGTCATTTATACTGACTGGCGTTTCGACAACCTTAGCGGTAGTCATCTTCAGACGCAAAAAAAAACCCAAAAAAGCATGAAGATGACTACCGCTAAGGTTGTCGAAACGTCAGTCAACTTCAACACCAACAGTCCTTCTCAAGACTCTACTAACCTGGACGATCTACATTCTCAATGTAAATCGCATGTAGTGATAATCCCGAGTTCAAACCATTTACTTTAGCATTTAAACAGTTGAACATTTCTCTAATTGGCCAATTTCAAAATGGTTTATGTTACTCTGTTCAAGATGATTTATTGCAACTAAGTTTAAAACCGTTTAGTGTTAGTACATCAAAGTCAGGGTTAAAATGTTAAACGTCATTTATTGTCAATAGTGTACAAACATTTCATTTTTCTGTTAACGAAAATAAACAATTTTATATTTTTAGCTTCTGGACGAAAATGAACAAATAAATGAATGTAAATATAACTGCTGATTTGTTTTGCTTTTTCAAACGGGGGGGGGGGGATATTTGGATAATTGTAAACTGGAGGGGAGGGTCCTTAGATAATTGTAAACTGGGAAATGGATCCTTGAATGACTGTAAACGGGAAGGACTGGAGAATTGGATAAAGGTTAACGGAGAATTAGTTTGTAAAGTCGTTTGTAATTCATTCATGTGATAAGTTTCTAAGCAAATCTAGAATGGTTATTTACAAGACCATTTTCAAGAGTACAAATTATGCTCATTTCAAGTGAAATTATTCAATTATCATCTACTTTTCTTTTGTTAAATATGTGAGGCTCAAAAGACTTTAAATTGTTATTTTCAATGCTTGGTAGATGATGTTGAGTCAAGTGAAGATGAATGCAGTGACATCTTTCAAAATAAATGTGATGACAACATTGTTCAAGAAGAATGCGGGGAAAATACGGTCTGGTTTATATTTGTTATTGTTTTTTATTTTTTTAACGAACTTTTTAGCACATAACATGTACATCATCAAATTGGTTACTCACCCACAAGACCTTCGTTGATTTAGATAGATAACGAAGAAAAGGAGTCAAAAGCGGCCAGAATTAGCCAATCAAAGGTGATTTTCATAAATATTATATTTAAGTTATCACATCCAACACATGGCAAGTCATGTAATTATTTAAGTCGCATGAAATATTATGAAAAGAGGAGTAATGGTTCTCTTCATTCAAATTCTTATTTAATGTATTGATTTTAACAACAGTCGTCATTTCAAAGATTGAATGGTTAAACGCACTTAAATGATGTTTTTGATGGCAACACCTATCGTGACAAACCAAATTATTATTGAATAATTAAAGCTAACTTCATCAACCAACAATCAAATTTTATTTCCTTCTCTCTTCATGTTCTGTATAATTTTTTTCAATGGAAAATTGTAATTTAGATTTTTACAAATGATGATTTCAAAAAAATGGAAGTTCAGAAAATCATACAGGAAGTTAACCCTCATAAAAAGCGAAAACATGAAAATATCGAAGAAACCACAGAAAGGTGACTGCTTGGATTCTAAGGATCGTTTTTTGAAACTATATTAACGTTTTTGTGTAAATTATCTTCACTTGAGATAATTTGTATTTTAGGAAAGAATTATTGCATGTTGAAGATATAGAACAGATTATTAGTAAGAAAAAACGCAGTGATAAGGATGAAAGAGTTGCTTCAGTCAAGGTATTTTTATCATCATTACAATAGTATAATATTTGTAGTCGAAAATGCTAAAATTTGATGGGCTAACTTTTCATTTTTCGTACAAGAAGTCCTTATAAGCACTACATGATTTTTCTCACTCTCTAATGTTGTTTATCATCACGAATTGACGTCGTTTGAATAGAAACTCCAAAATTTTATGTGCCATACGTAGTTTGGTTTTAGGCATTGTTACAGCCTTACGTTTTCAGGTTTATAAATATTTTGTTTATTGAGGCCGGTCGCGATGGTGTTAAAAGATCTTTTCAAAAGAATCGTTGCAATGAATACACAAGTACAACAAATAAGGTAAAAAAGCATAACGTAAAGTACAATACGGTACATTATAGACCATTAAACTAACATTCTTATTTTATGTGTGTATACCATAATTATTTAACAACCTGTTGATTTTTGAATTTTCATTTCGTCGTTCTGCAACAGGAGAAAAAGAAAAACAAAACATTCATGATGGTAAAACATAAGGTTAAAGGAAAAACGAAAAAATCTTTCCGTGAAAAACAGGTATGTAGAAAATTTTCTTGCTATCCTTGTCATCTCTTGCTACCCCTGTAATCTCCTGCTATACGTGTCATCTCTTGCTACCCCTGTAACTCCTGCTATCCTTGTCATCTCTTGTTACCCCTGTAATCTCCTGCTATCCGTGTCATCTCTTGCTACCCCTGTAATCTCCTGCTATCCTTGTCGTCTCTTGCTACACCTTAATCTCCTGCTATCCGTGTCATCTCTTGCTACCCCTATTAATTCCTGCTATCCTTGTCATCTCTTGTTACCCCTGTAATCTCCTGCTATCCGTGTCATCTCTTGCTACCCCTATTAATCTCCTGCTATCCTTGTCATCTTTTGCTACCCCTATAATCTCCTGCTTTCTTCTCGTCTCTTCATAATGTGAATCCTGACACTGATATTATGTGCACATGAAAAACATGAGTCTTGGACGAAATTTGAACTTGCACCTTTACCTCTAATTTCCTTTAATCTACTAATTTTGTCATCTCTTACTATCCTTGTGATCTCTTACTATCCTTGTGATCTCTTACTATCCTTATAATCTCTTACTATCCTTATAATCTCTTACTGTCCTTGTCATCTCTTACTATCCTTGTGATCTGTTGCTATTCTTGTAATCTCTCGTTTTTTGCAACTTATTTTATTTTTCTTATCTCATTAGATTGCACTTCGGGACTCGCTTTTAAAGAAAAAGAGAAAAACAAAGTTTTAACGCTTACTATAAAACTAAAACCCTCTTAGATTGTATGCACATGATCAGATAATTAAAATCATATGACATGCATTCTGATATGAAGGGATTTCCTATTAAAGGTCACCGTGTAAAATTATGTTTGATTACAGATACGGTCTTCCATACACATCTATTCTTTGACACTCTCCTCTGTGTTCAGTGTTCTTGGATCCAGGATTCATATAAAAAAATAAACGAACTGTGATTTCTAAATACTTCTGAATATAATTAAAAGTGAATGCAATCTGATATCATGTATAAAAATTATAATTCTGAACAAGAAAATGGGTCAAAGTTTAAAATCTGCTAGCTTAAATTTGTTGGATTACATCTATGTGTTCATTTCATCTATGAACTTGTGCATGCTATTGATTTGTGTGCTTTGCTATGATATGTTTTTGGACTCAATGGAAACAGAGACGTGTAACCAAACTAAGTTAAAGTCGATATATAAAGGACAAGGGTTGTGATTAAAGGCAAAACCTGAACTTTGAATTGCAAACAACAACATTTCTTTCATTGTAACCTGATCGCAGGCGAAGTTCTTGTCAAAAAGTTCTTATCAGGAGTAATATTTTTATGTTGGGGCCAGTTGGATTTTTCGACTGATTTCCATATGAAATGATTGTTTTAACATTATATAATTGCGACAAAAACGTTGCATGTAACAAAACATTAAGGATTGTAAAAAACCAGGTCTCGCCGAGACTTGAACTCGGATCTTAGGATTCAGAGTCCTAGGTGCTAACCATTACACCACGAAACCGCTCGCTTGAGGAGAAATTATTATGCTTTATAAATCTTTAAGTATATTAATTTGAATAACTACGGCTCATTCCGATAATGAATATTTTACTATATATGGTAAGCCTCGCCCTTCCGAGTCAAGAAAAAAACACGAACACTCGAACTGCAATCGTGAAAGATTGAAGACGTCATTATCTAATAATACGTGAGAAATTTACGAACGTTGAAAATTCCCAACGAATTTATAAACGTCTCTCTCAAATATACGCCACTTTAGCAATTTTGTCCTTTAATGAGAAGTGCTTAAGTGCGTTGTGATCAACTTTCGTGAAGAATTGGCGTTTTAGAAGAAACAGGTTACAGTTTATTAAAGTCGCACTCAATTTCTGCTCTACAAGTCTGACATATAAATATATTTTTTCATCCGTAAAACGTCATTTAGAATGGAAACTGTTAATATTCAGTAAGTATTGAAGTGTTTTTACATACAACCATTAGAAAATTTTAGTTTAATGCTTATTTGTGGTTAATTGTGTAGTATAAACGTTGACGATGGTATGCCACGATTTCCTTTGACGTTTCGAATTCCGCTTTCTTGTACTGTTCGTCGTTTGAAAGAAATTATCGAGAGTCAAGAAGGATTGGGTATAACAGAGCAAACTATATTTTTGGATGATGTAGAGGTATAATTTAACAACTGAATTTTTTTCTGGCTATGGCGTTGCCATATGGCACTGGGAAAATGACACGCGATTGTCTTAGCTTATCAATGCTGTTTTGTATAAAATATTTCTAATTTTCTACGTCCAATAATTCTTTTGATAATTTTTCATATGCGTATCAATCAACCATTAGATTTTTCTGTTCTAGATTTCGTTGCTTACTTATGTAGTTTTTCTAATATCTAGTTTTTCAAAATTTTCTTCCTTGACTATAGAAGGAATTATATCGTTCAAAATTTATGTTAGGTTTAAATATTTTTTTAGCTAAAAGACAGACTAACATTGGGGCAACAAAATGTTGTCGATGATTCGTTTCTGGATTTACACGTCAATTTTGATGGTATGTTAGATGATTTTATCATTTGTGTTTTCTCGTTGCCATCCGGAAATCACATTGTTCTTTAGGAAGTAGATTTTGTTTAACAAGCACATTCTTGCCCTTGACACGACTAACACAAACGCCAATATTGTTTATTAGCGTGACATCAGCCAAATATTTGAAATATTTCTTCAATACAACTACCCTTAGGTACAATGATTTGTTTGCTTTGCATTTAAACATCAAAAGGCAACGTTTGATTTTTTCATGCGCGATAATGTAGCCCACCCAAGAACAAAATATATTTTGCTAAGTCTGTTTGCATTGATAATGAGCAGTATGTTCGTCCTATCATTTATGAGAGCGATATTCAACAAATCGTTTACCATCAGGAAATATTAAGTGTTTCTCATGGGAATTTAACTTTATTATCACCATTAATGGCGTTCATAACCTTAAACTTTATGGGAGATTAATAAATTGCGCTTATGACAGAACAATGTAATTATATCACACACTAATTATTAAACCTTGGTTGTGATTAACTGAAAACCTGCAATAAATGAAATTAATTTGTTAATGATTTAAAGTAGATATCTTTGATTATGAATAATTCTTGAATTGATTTTTCTCATGCTAGTAAAAAAACCTCAGAAATGGATGAGTTATATTAAGGATATTTAAGACTTTACTTGGGACACATTTGGTTCAGTGGTGCGAGCAGAATTTTACTTTGGGGGTGGGGGGGTGGGAGTGCTAAACACCCCTAAAACCAAACAAAATGACTCTTATTATATATTAGTATAAAAAATAATAATGCTGAAAAAATGCGTCATATTTTGTTGGCCATTTTGGTTGAAAAAAATTTTTTAAAAATGGCATGATGGCTTCTTCCTTTTCTTTGAAATCACAAAGTGTCACCAAGGTCCTGAAGCATCCTGCTGTATTTCAAATCCTGTGGTATTACTGACTAATCAAGTCTTAATATATATTGTTACTGCTTCATTCAAGTATCCATTGTTTGTGATGTTTTTTTCTTCAATAATTGTGAGTGTTATTCCTAGAAATTCCATCACCAACACATAAGACAAGCAGTGTTTCATCACAACATGAAGATTGTGTTGTTCCTGACATTGACAATGATGAAGATGTTTTTAATTTTGACAAACCAAATTTTCCAACTGGTATGTTTAATTTATGCATGCAGACATTCTCTAATGTTGTTTTATCATCATCTGAATACTTTGTTTTGATAAAATTTATTGGATCACAGAATGAATGAAAAACATTTTATTTGAATGACCTAGATCCTCGATCGTGGGAGATTTCTAATGTTATGGAGTGGTTAAAGTGGACGGCAAGAATGTACAACATTAGAAATATTGACTTTGATAAATTCCGTATGAATGGGAAAGGTTTATGTATGTTAGCAAGGAATGGATTTATTTATCGAGTTCCACATGGAGGTGAACATTTATACGAAGACTTTCAAATCAGATTACGAGAGGCCTCAGCATCACAAAGTCATCAACAAACCTTTTTATCGCATCCTCACAGAAGTTATCCATACCTTATGAATCTTCCTGAGGTGAAATTCAGTCCACCACAACGTAATTTTTACTCTGCAGGAACCTTACCCCTTTCTATCCATCCATGCTTAGCTCAGGGACAATACTCACCTGAAACAAGATCACCATTTGAATACAACCATGATCCAAATGTTTTTTTCTTTAAATTTTAACAGTGACATTTTCAAAGACCTTTAATATGTGAGCAAAGTATAGGTTATATGGGTAGGTTTTTATTATGGAAAAGGAAGTTAAGACATGTTGTATGAAATGACAGCATACAATCAATAAGTCATGTTCAAGTTGTTAAAATACGACCAATGTATTATAGTGAAAATATTAGTTTATTGTGAATGAAAATTGAACCAGGTGTATTAGTTAGGTATGACTGTAAATACAGAGCAGGTTTCTGTATTTTTACTCAATAGCAGTGGTTGTTTTGTAAATACCTGGAAAATAACGCGTGGAAAAAAATGAACGTTGAGATTGTGTTAAAAAATTCAATGTAGCTAAGTTATTTTGTCAAAATACATATATTCATCAAAAATTTGGTCTTTAAAATGAGTTTTGAAGGACAATGGCTAGTTCGAAGTATTTCATAAAATCATGAATTGAAACGTGATTATAATGTTAAATGTAAGCACAAGGTTTATAAAAAAAAACAGTTATGAGAACGTAGCTCAATTGATCAGTGCGAGCAAGACTTGCAAAAGCATTTGGTGGAATTTGTAATTGGATATCTAGTGGTTCATATGAAACAAAAATTCTTGGAAATGACCATCGTGTAGATGAGTTTTTTTTATTTCAAGTTTTCATGAAACACTTTGGCAAAAGCTTGATGGTAATAAGCTTATCGTGAGTAAGAGATGACGACATGAAGTATTGATATGTTAAATTTATTCAACTCTAACAGCCAGTAACATAATATGTACGTGACATCAACGATTATGTCCTTCTTTAACTTCTTGTTATTTAATACGTAGTATTTATGTTGTATAAATGGTTTTGTCGACAGTGAAATTCATCTCTTCACATGAACAACAAACTGAAAACTCGAACTTGAAGTCTAAAGATGTGACAATAGTGTATTTGAAAGCGACAATCGTGATATTAATAGTTGTACTTTCCACCGTCTCAGGAGTTTTATTGTGGAAGGTAGTTAAAGATTGTAGCAGCTCTGAGCAAAAGGTAATTTCTTTGTTTTCATTTTTTTGTGTTATAGCTGTCTCACAGCTTGTCTCATTATTTATGTAGCACGCAAAGCCTTTGTTTCGTACGCATAGCGACTAATATGGTGTTGATATGAATACTGTACAAATGTATATTTTGTTTAATATACAATCTATGCAATAATTCTGTGCTACCAAAATACATAGAGAATTTGTTGACTTGTACAATGGTAGATACATTTGTTTTTCCATGTCCAATTAACTTTTTAATACCTTTAAGAAACAGGAATAATGATCATAGGTCTTAAGTAGTATTGTGATCAAGTATTTGTGTTAAAAATTATACCGAGATGGTTTATATTCTACCGTGTTGCCTGTTTTCTCGTTTTTTTCTCGTACTGTTTATTATTTTGCCCAGTAAAGTAAGTCGTACAAATACTGTTGGATATCATTTGGAAATCGAGTTTATGTAGGGTCTACATAAAATCATACGACAAAAATTTATCGCTCGTCAGTGTAATCACGACCTATAATCTCCCATTTCCTTGACAGAAACTTTCAAACAACAATAAAGAAGAAAAACTTCTCCCGAACGATGGAAATTCTCAATTTACACAAGTATTAAACTTATTATAAAAAATCTGTGAATGTTTGAAACAAAATTTTATCATTTCACAACATATATGATTTAGATATACAAGAAAAGCCAAAGTATATCATGTCCTCTGTATGCAGATAAAACTTCTTTACCTTACACTTTACAACAAAGTTTGCGCGAAACTTTTCGAAATGTGGAAAAAACCCTCAAACAGGCCGTCGACGGCAAGTCATTAGTAAGGATGATTTATTATTGTGTAAATAATTTATTTTGAAAGTCAGAAAACGTAGTTTATAATTACGTTCATTTCTGATTTTTACTTGGTATACTTTTATGTATTTTCTCTCCATAAATTCCAGTACGAGTATAACATTAAATTGTCTGAAAGAAATGAAAAACAGACAAATACATCTGCATTGCCAAACATAGGAATACACTATGTTTGCTGCATTGGTGGAAAAAAAGTTAAAATTTTATCAGAAACTGAATTTCTTCGTTAAAATCTATGATACATGTACGATTTTCTTGGGTTTTTTTTTAATTTTGGAATTTTTACCATAAAATCATGAATGAAAAGGTTACAACATATAACAAGTTTTTACTAACAATTATTATAAAGTTTTTATCTTCCTTTCGTGTTACCGTCCATACTCACGAAAAATATGCTTTGACAAAGTAAAATTTTAGGTTCATATAGAATTATCAAGTACTCAGAGTTAAAACATAAAGTACATTTACCATGCTAACAATTTTCTATTCACTTAAAAAACAAGAGAAGAGAAGATCGAAAACTTGTTTTTTCATAATTTATAGGTCTCTGTGTCGCTTAGTGCAGTTTATAGAGATGACAAAGTTTGGAACATTGGTTTAGGAACTTTAGATAAATCGACATATCCATTAAAGATTCCAGATGAACATAGTTTATACAGTACAGGAAGTGTTGTCAAAATTTTAACAGTAAGCCTTACGGAATTAAATGTTTCAAAATGAAAAATCTGTTACTACGTATTTATGGCGGTAGTTAATTTTTTGAAGGTTGTCTTGACATTCAAGTTGTTGAAAGAAAACAAAATAACTAATTTAAATGATCCATTGAGAAAGTACGAGCCAAATTTTATTATTAAAAATCCGTTCAATAAAGAAGACATAACAATAAGGTAAAAGTTCATATTTCTCATATAATTCACATAACTAATATATCCAAATATTTGAGCATTTTGTTTACAATTGATTAGTTCCGGATATTTACTTAAAATAATTTCTGTCATTTTGAACATTCTAGACAAATCCTCGCTCACACATCAGGTCTTCCTAGAGAAGTATCGTGTGGCCCTTCCTTTTCTTCTTCCAATACAAAAAAGATTTGTCCTGTTAACACAACATTTGTTCTAAACAAATTGAAAAATCTTCAAGTGAAATTTCCTCCGGGTTCTGCTGTATCTTACAGGTATGAATTTTACTCTCTTTCATTATTTAAGTAAAACTTGATTGGTGATATTGCGGTATTTGTCTAGGTAATAGCATGGTTTCCAGTGCAGTTTGTGAAAAACACGCACGAGCCTTTTAAAGACTATCAAAATTGCACGAGTCCGAAAGACAGGTGCATCTGCTCGAGAGTTCTCACAAACGTTTCCGAGGTTTGCATAAGCCAGTGCAAACACGGAAATATCTTTTATTTCTTTTATAAAATAACAATGATGCGAAACAAACAATTTTAATCATCTTCTAACGTGTATTCATGATTGATTTGCAAATTTGATTGGTTGAACTTAGATCGTTTTGCACAGGCTAATGCAAACACAGTTCTACACTAATCAGCTCACGCGTTTCATTGGGTTTATTTTATAAGTATGTCGAGAACTACAAACTTGCCTGTAGTTCTCGACAAATCACAATATGGAGACTCGGTTTAAACAATACTTTCATTATTTCCAACAACCACTAAAAATCATGATATAGCTTGAGAACGTTCTCTCTACGACAACTGCAGAATTACAACAAGTCTCTATATATTCTCTACTTTAAGAGTAAATTTCCTTCTATTACGCAAATGTCAAGTCAGTTCCGACAAGCTTTTGGCTGTCTGTCTACAGCTGTCCAAGGCTGATTTAATAAAATATTATATCAGTGAACGTTTGACTGAATTAAAACGAATAGCAATTACATGATTTGAAGGAATTTCAATGAATCGAATTTCAAAATATCTTTTTCAGCAATCTAGGTTATGCGCTTTTAGCAAATGTTTTGTTTGAAATATTTGGACGAAAATATTCAAGTTGGCAACAATGGATGTTACATGAAGTAGTCTATCCTCTTGGCATGACAAGAACAATCTTGAATGTTAATGAAAGGTAACTGTCTTTTTTATTGCTTACCTAGTGAACAAATAAGAAAAGATATAGAAGTATTTTATTTTTAGACAGTTTTATAACACTGCTACTGGATATAAATCTAATGGATTACCTTCTCATCATTTAAACTGGGGTTGGGCTTCACCATCTTTTCAAATGAAAACCTCCACTTCTGATCTCTCGAAAGTTAGTTGATTAATTTTCAAGTTTCGCTCTGTTGAATTCTTTGTTTGATTTTGCTGATTAAATATTTTTAATTCTAATGTTAAGTTAATGTTGGCAATTTTGAATCCTGGAAAGTCATTTATTGATGAAAAAATGACAAAAGAAATGTTTAAACCAGGTGAACTAAGAAGTTTATGAAATGATTAAGGGTAACAATTGATGAAATTAAATTGACAAACTTCGTTCTTACACAGAATTCATATTTCCTGATCTTTATACAATTTTTGCAACTGGATGGCAAATTCGTTACCATAACTTTGTTCGCGTCGTTAGAAAATCAGGAGCAGTCCCAGGCTTTTCATCATCAATTATATTAATGCCAGAAGTACGATTTGGTGAGAAGTTGAAAAAATAATTCTTTGTTTTGACAACAGGGTATAATCATCGTTTAAAATTATGGTCTTTTTATTTTTATTGTGTAGGGTTTGTTTTGCTTGCTTCAGGCGAAGAAATTGCTACAAAACTCGCTAACAAAGTAACGATGATAATTTCCAAGAAATTGTCAAAGTATTTGTTGTACAAATACCCGAAGGTATGCCCGTTTGTATGAGAAATTTAACTTGACACGACTCTCTGGTATTGTTAAAGTCATTTGTCAAATTTTTTTTATTTTCAGATAACAACTCCTACTGATTTGAATAAGTACACTGGTCATTACGTAGTTAATAATAATTGGAGTGATAAAGTGAAAGCGACGATTGAAAAAGATTTATATTCTGGTCGTTTGATATTGAAACAAGATCATGGGTATCCAAGTTATGTTTATCTTAACGCCATGGATTCTAAACATTTTCGGATTATCTATCCTTATGGTCTACCATGTTCTGCATATTCTCTAGGACAAGATAAAGAAATTGTTATGTTTCAACAGCTCGATAGTAAAAAGCGTTATAAAAAATTTAAACTTGGTTCTTTTATATTTCGTAGAAGTTTGTGATGTTAGTGACGTACAAAATGTTGACGTGTGCCGTACAGATTTTCACATTATGAAGATCTAACCAATCAAAAAATCAAAAAACCATTTTCTATCAATGGTTGCATATTCCTCAGGTATTATGAAATACTTCATTTAAGTGGATATCATATAATATTATTTATTAGAACTTAGATTATTGAAAAACTAGCTGGAAGGAAGAGAATAACATTGACTACTTTGTAAAGATACAATTATTTTATTTGATGATAGAAAAATCTTTAATTTTGCTGTATTGAAACTGTTTGATAAATTTACATTTAATTTTCACGGAGCACTCGATGATGGTGTGGAAAGCACACATTCAATTTTACTCTGTTCTAACAGTTCCTATCATCTTTAACCAATTATCTATCTAAAAATTATTTCCGTTATTTGAAGTAACCAAATTAAATCGTGTCAACAAAAATTGGTTATTTGTTATAATCAACTGGTGTCAAGTTTATTATTTGTTATAATTAAGTTACATCAACTGACGAAATTTTGTAATATAATAAAATAACTAATGCGAAAAATCTTTGTCAGTAAGTTAAATAATAAAAACACATTCGGCGCTTCATACATTACTTAAAAAGAAATTACTTTATGGCTAGGAGTATATTTCTAAATTTCAAGATCAGTTTTATGGAGTACTTGGTATATTATTAAATATGTTAACAAATCAAATCATCGACTACCGCTAATTGCTGTCGTCTCATCTTCAATTTAAATACTGCTTTCTTCTTTGACTGTTAGTATCGTTTCGTATTGTATCGGCAAGTATGCCATGTGTAAACATAGGTACGGCATGCGTACTCTACCATTGTGTCTACCTTTAGGTCTACCTTTATGCCTACTTTTATGCCCTACCTTTATGTCTATCTCTATGTCTATATGACTATCCCCAAGTCTACTTTTGTCGCTCAGATCATTCAGTAACTGGACTACAACACGATGTAGCTACTTGGCGAGTTGAAGGTAATCTAGAAAGAATTTTAAGATTGCCCAATTGATAGGGGAAATGCTCGAGAAACATTTTCGGCGAGCCATTTTTTATATACGTGGGTGTAGGAAGATCGATAATAAGGGGGCTCATATTCATAAATACATGAGATGCAGTTTCGTTGCTATTCATTGTGCTCAAGGAATTACTATTCATATATATATGGGGTAGGTATGTACTTTGTATGTATAATGTAAGTTATAAACAATCAAAATAAAATAAAATCTTTGCATTTAAGCCGCCAGAAGGGAAAACCGTGCTCTATTTGACAGGAAACTATTAATGTATGATGTGTAATTTTGTTGTTTTGCAAAAAGACTGCATGAATACTCAAAATAATGAATTTACGAGATCAATCATGGAATATAATTTTTTTCATTTAAAATCTATAAATCTTCTGCGCTAAAAAGAGACTTATATCATTACTCTAGACTAGAGTATTATCTCCTTTTAGAATTGGTGGCATGGACGTGCAGCGCTTTAGACATGCCTGGGGTTGTGAAGACTGGGACCTAGTAGACAAAATCTTGTCAGAAGGCCTAGAAATCGAATGCTTGGAGGTGCTTAACTTTTTTCATTTTTATCACACAAAAAGGAATATGGAAAGATTCGGAAGAATAGTTGCAATGAAAATTTATTGTCTCATGGAGATTCAAAATTCTTTGAAAGAGACAACATATGATACAGGCTGATAGTTGAATAAAACATAAAACAATGCATTGTAATAATATTTTTCTATCTAATTAATTCCTTTAAGTTTTTAGTTTTAAATTTATGTGTGCAAAAAGAGCTGGTCATTTGCCATTGAAGACCTTTGTATAATTTCAATGTCTGTCACTGTGCTAAGCCCACAGGTGCATAAAATATTGTCAACTTTGTAGATGCAAGCACAAAAGCTTTTAGAAATGTAATGCACGTTTGGACATTAGCACAGTGATTGGGCTTCAAAATTTTACAATAGTTTGATTGCCAAACTCGTTTTTATGAACACTCTGTAGAAAGCTAATTAAAGAAATCAGATGTTAATGTCAGCTAATAACTACAATAAGAAAATGAGAAGCTATTAACAATCTAGATCGTTCATCAAATCTTTTGACATCAGTCGACATTTAGAATTTTCATGATCAGCTAGCTGTAGTTGTTCACCAAGGAGGCCTCAATGTTTGGAGTTTGCTAATTTCTGTAGCTGACATATACGTATTTATTTATATCTGTGTTTATATTGTATTCAATTGCATTTACCGCTCTGTGGGATTAGTTACATCTAAGTGATGAATCATGCAAATTTTAAATCTCGGCTGATTTCAAAGACATCAGTTTTTTGAGATAAGCACAATGTACAATTGACGACACACCTAGTAAATGACCAATCAGAACATAACACGTTTACGCCACACCTAGTCACTGACCAATCAAAACCCAACACGTTCGTGAGACTTAGGCCATAGTTTAAGGCAAAACCTAAGAACGAACCATTTGAACGTGAAAGTCGGTAGATGTACGACGAATAGTTAGCTGAAGTCGAAATTATTCCTTGGTGAAATATCTCCTGAAGTGCTCTGAAAAAAATGTTCAGGTAAATGTGCTGTTTCATGTTCTTTTGCACTGAGTCTGAATTAAATTTGGACGCTGTATGAGATGTTTATCTATGCAGAATGCGGTGTGGCCTTTCCATAAAGTTTTCGTCTTAGTAAATTTTGTTTCTTCTATGCTTTATTTTAGACATTCTCTTAAACAACATGTAGTCATCAAATGAGATTGAAAAACAGCAAACAAACGTTGGTGTATTTACCATGATGGTGGACTCTACAATTAAAGAAAATGGTTCTTGTTCACAGCGATTGAGGAGAATTGTGGCTGTTGTCGACCATTTCCTCGACGCTTATCTAAGCATAAGAACAAAATACAATTCTGTAATTGGGTTGAAATTCTTCTTCACTTGAACTACATTACTATTGAATAAAATGTTCAATGTAAGTATGTTATCAATGTTTTTTTATTTATGAAAGTATAGTGTGAACTGACATTAATTGGATTCAATTATCATATGTAGAAACCTTTAATGAAATCCTCTGAACAATGATCAAGGATGGACAATATACTCTCATGAGTCCTCTGAACAATGATCAAGAATGAACAATATACTTTCATGAGTCCTCTGAACAATGATCAAGAATGAACAATATACTTTCATGAGTCCTCTGAACAATGATCAAGAATGAACAATATACTTTCATGAGTCCTCTGAACAATGATCAAGAATGAACAATATACTTTGATGAAGTTGAAAAACACGTGACTTCTATTGTCCTAAAGGCCATCTCTACGAAGAATGCAAACACTATTGATGAGCAATGCATACATCAACCTAACGCCTGTTTCCATGGACAAGTCAACATTATAACCTTTTCTAAAACATTGTTCGCGGACATTTTCCTGCTAAGATCGCGACTGCTCAATCAATCGCAATGATGAATAAAACTACGCCACTATTGAACGCCCAAATTTCAACATTATTTAATTCAAAATTTTTCGTAATAAAAACATGGAATTTCTTTGACTTGAAAATACAAAACCTAAAAATCCTAATTTTCCGACTGCCTGTCGATATTTCCGATTTAATGCCGTAGACGACATGCACAGTTGCAAGAAATGGCCAATCTTGTTTCTGTGCTTGCCGTCGTCGACATTAAAGCGGGAATGTTTGTCAGGTAGCCTGAGAATTGGATACGATGGTTTCACCATCAATGTTTTTAATTTTTCAAAAAACTATTTTGGGCTTTTTCGTGGCTGTCCTTGCTCACTATCCGATCGTCTCATCTTCGTAGTTGGCAAATGATTTGTCGTTAATCGTACTCTGTCATCGAACTGCCGAAGATTCTGTCGTCAACCTTCCAAGGATTCGTCGAAAACCGTGAGTGTAATAATAATAAACCTTTTAATTATTTAGACCTGCTAACAGGTCAAATCTCTAATATATTTTGGACAGTAGCCACAACAAATCCTGGTGCTCAGTATATTCCACATGAGGCTATTTTTTAATGCAGGAATGCAATTTCAAGAAACATCTAAAGAAATTAACATCTGCATTTTCAAAATAGTCTTTATTAAGAGGTGATAAAAATGTTCTTTCGGTTGAAATAATCCAATTGTGTTTTTGGTGCTGCTTTAATTATATTAAAATTAGTAATCATGTAGTTGTATAAACTGTGTTAAGTCAGTGACTGACATGCAATTGTGTTTGTTCTATATAATTTACCTTCGAAAAACCTCTGTGTGAATATACTGATTTAAGGAACGACGCATGATCGCAGCGCTTGTTGCCTCGCAGAAGGATAGGCAGGACCATAGCTTAGAATCGGAAATGCAAGTGAAGTTTGGCCCAAGGAAGGCAACTTCAACTTGGGGTTAGTGGGTACAAATGGTACCTTAGCGTAGAGGATGCAAATAGCATCTGTAAGAAGACCTTTGAAGACTGGATCTAGCGAGCAAGACCTATTGAAGACAAAGGAAAGATGGTGGTTTGCTGGAAAGACAAAATATCTCTCCCCTAGTACGGTAAAAGCATGCAGTCTTGTAGTCGGCCAATTTCATGAATGGCTTTCTACATTGACTATTAAGGCACTCCTGCATGGATCCCCTATAATGCATGAGTAGTTCAACCCACCCCGGTTGGAGGTCGCCCGTAGGTGCAACATGCACTAGGTTAGGTTAAGTTAAGGGCATGATGGGTTACCTCCTTCAAGGGGCATTCCTTTTCAGGGCGGAATTCCGGTGTCATGCGCAGGTAGGAAGTTTAGATAGCTTAGGCATGCGCCTTAGTTGCGGCGGGTAGTTGCTACGCTCAGGTAACGAACGTGGGGTTTGTACCTTTCAAGGATGAACCTCACTATCAAGAGAATTGAGTGAATTTTAAATGTTTGGAAGAAAACTTTCAATCTTGTCACTCATTATTAAATCGACAAATAGATACTTAAAAAAGTATTTAATTTGTTAACACATTTACAGTTTAGGGGCGGCGTGGCAAGTACTGTAAATGTGTAAAGGGACATGTTGTTTTCTGTTAAAGAAAACTTTATTCCTGGGAATTTCAATGCTGCAAGCCACAGCGTAAAAAGCACAAAAGTAAATTAATACACCAGGTCTAAGTATGCGGTATGCCTTCATAATAATCTGAAAGAAAACACGGTTTTATTAAAAGTGCATTGTTTTGTTTATTTCTAATGATTACTATGAAGACAAACCGTAGACGTTGTCACATATTTTACTTAAAGTTACACGAAGGTTTCCATGTTCGCCATTTGCGTTTCTATAAAAGTGAACTATGTGATATTGTCAAACTAAAACATAATTAAATGAAGCGCTGCGGATTGTTTGGTTAAAAACCAAACTTAACGTGTGTTTCTTCAAGTGGTTGATGTTAAATTTTCTCTTGAAAATAAATTATATAATAAAGGAACATTGAATTTCGTCTGACTGTACAAACTATCTTGAAGTACTATAATCTAATCCATGTCATACAGCCAGCGCTTCTTCAGTTTTAAGCGTTAGTGACACGGGCGCGCAAAGCACTGAATGAAACAGTGCAAAATAGGGCGCTTAGGTGGCGCTAGGTGCGACTGATTTGGTTATGGATTAGATTAGAAAACACACGTTACAAGAAATTCCCATCAAATACACAATT